AGAGTAGGTCCTTGGCTGGATAGCTAACTAACCTCTACAGTACTACTCCGTACAGTGCTAGTAGATTTCGATTTCTGGATGATATGGGACCCTGGTTGGGCAGATGATCAGGAGTAAAATATCTACCTAGTTTTCCCCTGTATATAGGTTTCTCGGCAGAGGTAGTATCATCGCGACCAATGATTGAATCCATCTCCCACTTCCATACGGGGCAAAGGAGGCAAACTGAGAAGATGTCCTTTGGAACGTTCCCATATTATTTATGTACCATGTAATCCATACTCCGTACTATGTGCTAGGCGAAGCATATATGGAGTAACACTATTGGTAGGGTGGTCACTAGATGGCTGCTGAACGCAGCGGTGTCAATAATAAAGATATATTTTTTTTCTTTATTATTATTTCCTTTATTTTGTTTTCATTTCCAGCCGCTTTCTGGTTTCCCTTGTTGGTCCTTGTCTCAAGGCGAGTCAGAGAGAAGATAAGGAGGTTCACTTTTATTGCAAATTGTCTGAGCATCATCCATCCCCATCCTTAGCGCCGGTATCCATGCCATGCTAGGGGACCTGGAAATGGTAGTGACTGTCTTGGACGCAAGTTCCCCCCCCCCCCCCTCCTCCGTCTGGGCCCCCATTGTTAGTTTCACCACCTTGTTGCCACGGGAGGGCTGCGCAATGTGATAATCCCCAAGACGGAGAGGGTGATATCAGACCATGGAAACGAAATTTTCTCTTTGACGCCGATCCAACCAGAGTCCCCGAATCCATCATACCTAATGTATCGATGTACACGAGCCCAGCTGACAGGGGCCCCCGTAAGGGTAGTAAGTGGAAAGAGAAATGGAAAAGTCCCCAACCCGTCCGTCGTCCTCCGCCGTCGCCGGGGCCTGCGCCTCCATGGGTCCAAGGGTGCTTTTTTTTTTCCTTGGTCGGGTGGGCTCTCCTCTTTTCCCAGGCAAACTAAACTACCTACCTAAACCATTTGGTCACTTTATCCTAGAGGTACCATGAGTCCGTAACGACCGATTGTCCTATGGTCGCGAAACCCAGAATTATACCGGGAAGGACCTAGTGGCGGCATGACGATGGACTGGAATCAATTTTGGGCTATCGGAATCGTCGAACACACCGCAGAATGACACGCGGAGATGATGAATGGATCCTTCTTTTCTTTTTTTCGTTTTCGTTTTCTTTTCTTTCTTCGCTTTCTTTTGTTTTGTTTTTGGGTTTGATGGATTTTTGGTTGGGACGTGTTATGGAATCCTACGACTGGCCAGAATACAACAGACTAACAAGAACGACCAGTTGGACGATCGAAAATAGCAGTCTGCGAAAAGGCGCCGCAGACGAGATCGGTGTTGGATGGGGAGATGATGATGAATTATGTGGGGTGGATACTGGATAGGGAGAACTCACAGTAATATCTCGGGAGGGTAATAAACCAAGTAGGTAATAATACAGTGATTTGGACGGGAGAATATTACCAGTACCAGTCCGGTCGGTCGGCAAGGTTGGTTGTTGGCAACAGGCATGTAGGGCGCATAGCTAATGCATTATTATTATGATGGGTATGCATTACCAGGTTCAGATGGATCAGGGGGGGGCGTTTGTGGCCGCTGCTGACCCCCCTCAGTATGGAGACTTACTCGTATACCTCTTCGCGTCGCAGATTACTTTACTTGGATACTTTACTTGGATGGGAAAGGTACTACGGATAGTTAGGATGTATAGGGATCCTAGGCACAAATCCTGGTAAAGTGACCTATCTGTACTTCTGTAGTCTCACTTCGTAAGGACGGTATCAAGAGGTCCGGCGGCTACAACCTATCCACTATTCACAGGGAAAAGGAAGGCAAGGCAAGGCAAAAGGCCCGGGAATGAACGGATCAAGCACGGCGATTGGAGGGTTGAATTGGTGCTCTTTCGACGAGTGGGGTTTAAAGTCATTGGCTGACTATTTCGTGGGCCTTCTGGGTCCTCCTCGTCGGAGTGACGCTTCCATCAGCTTGTTGTTATTTGTCCAATAAACTGGCCAAACAAGCGTGCTGTGTCTCCAGCTGCATGTACCTGCCTTGGTCTTTTTGGTGCGGACGCAAGTACGCAGTAAGAAGCTACGAGGCTGGTCAAGGTCGAATCATTACGGAGTTAGAGGTGTTATAATTAGGTCGTACGGAGGGCGGAGGACTCAGGCTCTTTCCGACCATGAGATTGACTATGAAATTGACATGACTACTGGGAGCATTGATCATGACTATTACTACCTACTATGTAGTACTATTCCATCGGTGCCGTGCTTGTGGATAGGTGACGGACTGGGGGTCTGTCATTTACAGCCAATTTCAGTCTAGGCTAGTGTTAGTGTGTAATGTAATGGTACTCCCTAGCAGTCTCCGGGCATGTTCCATACCGGGGAACAAGAGGGTCGGTAATCCTCTGTCTATCTCTTCCTCCTAACAACAGCAACAGCAATATGATTTGAGCTCATTAGCCTGGTGATTAATACCACACCCAGTCAATTCCCCTCCACCCACACCATACCATATGTGCCCGTCTTGTTTCTTTACCATTGCCATACCCTGGGAGCTTTTCCAAGGTAACCCACAGAGCCCATTTCACATTTCTACCTATCAGTGATAATCCTTCGTCTTTGGCCACTCTTACCAAAATTTCGATTCTGTACGCAAGTGACCCATAATTCCAACCTTTCCGCCTCTCTGTTTTCTTTTCTTTTTTTTTTACTTTCTCATTTTCTTTCTTTTTCGCTTTATTATTTTTTTCTCACCTTCCCCAATTCAGTCATCCCTATGGGCCATACATTATCTGTAAGCATGAGGTTCCCCAAAGTAAAACCATCCAGGTATGATTCCGTAAGGATCGTTTGATGATTGCACCGGTACTGCGGCGCCAATGGAATTCTCTATCCTATTCCCCCCTCTCATTCCTTTGCCTTCAACCTGGTTCAACTAGATTCTGGTGATCAACCATACACGAGTGCACAAACCCCCTTTCGCTCACTTCTCCCGTGCCTCCCGGGAAGCTGACAATGCCCCCTTCACCCCTGGGGTATTATCTTTCATCAGTGTATATGGAAGTACGTATTATTCTTTTGTTTTGTTTTGCTTTGCTTTGCTTGCTTTGATATGGTTTGATATAGTCTGGTTTAATTTGATTGATTTACTATTACTATTCTTATCAGTACTTTGTATTATTTCTGCTCTATGCTATCATTTGGAATATCAACTCGGATACATAATTACTTACCAAACCTTAAGCCTGGAAAAAAGGTAATTAAAGAAACCAGAAAAAAAAAAAAAAAAAAAAAAAGGTTATTTGGGCGGTACACCAAAACGACGGTTGCAATGTGACGCTAAAATTGATTTATAATTGGATCTGATATGGGTCCTGACGGGGACTCAAACAATCACCACGACGAGGTTGTTGTCCGAAATTCCCATCCCCTCTTTCTCTTCCTCACTTTCCGCCTCTCTGGCTGACTGATGGACGTTTCTCCCGTGGACTGGACTGGACTGGACTTGGGGGACCCAGTTTACTCACTAGTCGCTCAGCCTACCCTTTCTTTCCTTTATCATCATCATTATTATTTTTATTTCTTTTAATTTCTACGCTTTAAACTCACTTTACTGGTACAAGACTAGGGCTGCTCACCTTGTTACCCTTCCACTACTCCGTAGCATGCATCCACTTGTTCCCTTGCCCCCCCTCCCCTTCAACCCCCCCGTGGGCTCTTCTGACATCAACCGGTATTTCCATCACTCTTCCAAGACAAAGCAGAGACAACCAATCTAGGATGACCAAACCGGAACCGACCCAAACGAGTCCAGAAAGGAGGATCTGCCTTCTGGACCTGCGTCCGGGCCAAACTCTGTCTACTCTGTATGGTCACAGCACTTTGTTCCGACCGAGAACTAATACCCTGGCTCATGCTAGCGGAGTTGGATGATTTATTAGTATTTGCTGGATGAGGCATGATGTCTTGACCTCATCCTTTGCCTATAATTACCTTTTTTTTTTCTTTTCTTTCCTTTTTTTACCTTTTTTGGTTTCTTTTTATTTTCCTTTTTTGTTTTATTCCCCTTCCCATTTTCCTTCTCCTCTCTACGTAGTAAGTCTTCTTTTATTACAATTTTCAATTTAATCATTTCTTGATTTTACCTTTTTATTTTGGTTTGATTTATTTTATTTTTCACTCTATTTCCTTTTCCGCTTCACCCTTTCCATTCCCTGCCTTATTCAATTTTGAATCCATTCTCTTACATAGTTTGGATCCATAGAGCGTCTTGGTATACTAGCTTTTTGGTTTTTTAGTTTATTCAATTCATTTACTGGAGTCTCTTCTCATTTATTCCATTTTATTTATCTTATTAATTACCATTCCATTCTACTATAATACTCTGGGTATTTGATTATGACTATCCTTTACTTTGATTTGATTTTCATTTAATTATTCTTGGGACATACTTTGCTTTGATCTATAACTGGTTGATTCGCCAACTGCTATAGTTCCTGCTTATACCTTCACCTCACGTCCCTTCCTTTTTATTCTCAATATATCTCTCTATATTGCTATGGATACTATGTGATATTTTTGTCTATCTTGGCCTGGAAACCCCCTTCACCAGATCTTGCCTCTCACCCCTTAAGTGCCTTCATTCCACCAGGCAAGGCATGGTCAACATTCACGAGCACCACTGTTGCTATCCGACCAAGACCCGCATGGCTTCATGATATTTACAATCAGAGAGTATACAACCTCGAATCTTGTGTCTACCTAATTGACCCATTCCTGAGGGTTTGCTCATTCACTTTTCCGCCGTTACAAACCAGCGATTGCAACCGTGGATTGGTAGTGGATAGTGACATTGAATATATCACCATCTGTCAATGAGAGCTCCGCAACAACTCCGGTTACCAAATTTACCCTCCTAGATCTCTCAACCTCAGTCATCTTGCCGGACTTTCTTCTTTTCTCTTTCTTGCCATATGTCTCTTCCAGTCCTCCCGACACACTCATTTCCTACTGTCCCTCCGATTACTCCCACTCCACCTGTCTACACTCGCGCGGAAGGCGTAAGGAAGCGACATCTCGAATCTCTGCCCGAAGTGTCGGATCACTGGACCGCTCCCTTCAGGGACGGTTTACCAACTCCTCCCAGCGACATGACCGGCGTGGCCTACAACAGCATACCCCCGTCCAGCTATGGTTCGAAATTGGAGGGCATCACCCTTCCGCCTTACGCCAAAGCCCCCAACTACTCGTGGATTCCCTCGGAGCCGTCGAGTGCCGTGACGCTTTCCAACCACCGAAACCATGAGCCGTCGATCCAGAACGCCCCGGCCTCGGAACCGGAGAGTCGGAAGAAAAGCACCAATTCTGTTCCCTCATATCTCAAAGTTCCTCCCTCTATCAATAACGGCAAGGGAAGCTTGACTGAATTTGCTGCGCAGGTGAGCTCTCGTTCAACTATTTGATGAAGGTGGACTGGGTACTGACCAGAGTAGATGACGTGCCTCTTTTGGTTCGAAAGCACTGCCAAGTTGAAGGCCATTGAAGACCGCCTGAACTCCGTTCCCTTCCTTGTTCCGGAGGCCTTTCCCACGGCCGGATTTCAGAAATGGGTGACGAATATCCTCTCGACCACCCAAGTGAGCCAGAACGTCATCCTACTGGCATTGATGTTCGTCTACCGCCTGAAGAAGTTCAACCCCGGAGTGCGAGGGAAGAAGGGTAGCGAGTATCGTCTCATGACGATTGCCTTGATGTTGGGGAATAAATGTGGGTAACCCGAGGCCCTAGTAAAGTGACGCAACAGAGAGCTGACTGGTTTGCAGTCCTTGATGACAACACCTACACCAACAAGACCTGGGCCGAGGTCTCCGGAATCTCGGTTCAAGAGATTCACATCATGGAGGTCGAATTTCTCAGCAATGTTCGGTACAACCTGTTCGCGTCTGAAGAGCAGTGGGCGGAATGGCATACGAAGCTTGCTCTCTTTGCCGACTTTTTCAACAAGGCGACTCCTGCACTGGAGAGCGAGATGGGCCCATCCCCCCCAGTCCTCCGCGTCTCGCCCAATCTGGGACCGCTCCCTCGGGTGCCGCAGCTGTCATCTCCAGTATCCAAATTGCCCTCGCCTCCCGCATCCGATTCTCTTCGCTCCCACAACTGGAACCTCCCATTGAATGGCCCAGCATACTCGGCCGCTCCCCAGCCCCGGAACGAAGGACCCGTTCTTTCTCGAAAGCGTACTCGCGATGAGCAGATCGAGGAGCATCCGGCCAAGAGAGTGGCAATGCCAAATTCCGCGCAGAAACCTCTACCTGTCTTGCCGCCATCGTCGGCGTTGGCGAACATGCCAGCATTGCCTTCAGTCTTGACTCCGACATCAGCCTCTTCACAACCTTCCCTACCCACAACTATCTCGAGACTGCCTCCACCTAACTTCCCGCCGCCCTCCTCTTACGCCTACACCCCGTCTATCCCGACCCCGGTATCTCAGTACCCTCCCGCTGCCTCTCGCGCCATGCAGTCTTCTTTCAACCCCGCTCCCACCTGGCCGTCTCAAATGACTCAGTCGATGAGTGTTCCGCCTATGACCAATGGACTTTATGCCTCCAATACATCGATCTCGCTGCCAGATCCCGGAAGACTCAACAGCAGTCCGTTCGGAGTGTCATCGGCCACCGTGTCTCCTGCATCGGCATATTCCGTCCATACTCCTCAAACCTATCCATCTCCCTCCTACCTCCTCGCGAACCGAAACTCGCCCTACCGGCCCGTGCGAAGCGTCAACACCTTGCTGATCCCTCCGCCATCCTCGTCATTGCAACAGCAACGCAACATTCCCTACGAGCACATGCACTATCAGCCACTCGGCAAGACCGCGGCCGACCGCAAGTCTGGTCTGTTGCCGTACCTCCAGCCCGAGGATTGGTCGCAGGGACAGCAGTTCCTCCACCCTATCTTCCACTCCACCCCGAACTACTAGAGATGGCCGAATTTCATTTCTCGCAACAAAACCACCCATCACGTGACACGACGATTCATACGAGAGAGATGCTGATTCTTCTTTTCCATTCTGATTATTGAACTTACGACAACCCTGTATATTGTACTTTTAACCTTTTCCATTTTTCACGACCTGGCATCATTATGGCGTTTTGACATAGAACTCGGATTAACAACGTGTCCGGGGGATTGAAGATTTTTATCCATTCTCATTCTCATGTTATCTACTCCTCAAGCATCATGGGACTCGGCGTCTTTTATCTATCTTCTACTGCAGATTTGATCTGCGAATACATCCAGTGTGTTGATTTATGCATTGCATGTCTAGGCGCTTTTGGGTGCTGTTTCAAACGGACATACTTAGCTAGGTAGACTGGCCTTCTGCTGGTGACTTATATGATTATCGTGTGATATCTTATTCTGTACTCCGTAGTTGTGGAATTTATTTGTAGTTCATACAAGTCACATCGATCATGATCTTGCTAGCTTTACTATCTCGCCTTAGTCGATGAAGACATACAGACTTGTCAGGTGATTAACTCTCGTCATTACTGGACGGTCAACACCGTAGTAATCTGCCAGTCTACCGTCTTACAGGACCACTTTGACCACACTAAAGCCATGCCATATTGACAAATGTATGTATAGCCTTTGCTGCTCTGACCGACCAGGAGAGTAGCATGATGAGGATAGGCTTGGCTCGTAGAGTTTTACTGGTCTGGTTTATTGAGCTTTTGTATTGTTGGTGTATTGCATAGTAGGTATTTTGGTTAGGAGAGAGATGGCTTGACTTGGTCGTAGGTATTAAGTGTATATTATACTCGGATCCATAATCAAAGATTTTTTAGTTATTTAAGTTTAATTTCTCTATCTAAATGTCTTCATTTGATAGGTTTTGATTGGGAATTACTCTGGTTAAGAGGAATTATAGTACCTAATGGTTGTTAACGATAACCATAGGTATCGACCTAACTATGGACTTGGTGGGTTTGTTAGTAAACGGCCCGACATTTATCCACCCCGGGCCGCCAGCAGCAACACCCGGAAAGATCTTGTCGCCCGTTCGTTCCCATCCATATACATAACGCCGCCCATAACCACGCCGTCCACAACGCCATTGCAACAATGGCACCCAAGCTCCAAGCGTTAGCCATGCAATGGCAGCGCGCCCTCGCCAAGCCAATCGTGGCAACCCCGACACAGTTCCTCCTCCCCCAACTGCAGCAACAAACCAGGAACGCCCACATCCTCGCCTCGCTCTCCGATAACCCCGGCGCCTACAACAAGAAGATCCGTCGCGGTCGTGGTCCCGCTTCGGGGAAGGGAAAGACGTCTGGTCGTGGTCATAAGGGTCAGGGTCAGCATGGAAAGGTCCCTGCGGGTTTCAACGGTGGTCAGACGCCGGAGATTATTGTGCATGGTGAGAGGGGGTGGAATAATGTGTATGTTTTTTCCTTCTTCTTTTTTTCTTTTCATTCTGGGAGTTTTGCTCTATACGCTTCAAGCGGAGAGTGAAAATGCTAATGAAATGCTAGTTTCGCCCTCGACCTCGCAACCGTCAACCTAGACCGCATCCAATCCTGGATCGACCAAGGCCGCATCGACCCAACCCGCCCGATCACCATCCGCGAGCTCGCTCAATCCCGCTGCATCCACCAGACCAAAGAAGGCGTGAAGCTCCTCGGCCGCTCCGCCGACGCCGACACCCCCACCGACGCCTCCGCCGAGACCCAGGCCGCCACCGGCAGCAGCAGCGCCCTGAAGCAGCCCATCCACATCGTGGTATCGCGCGCCTCGGCGTCCGCCATCGCAGCCGTCGAATCCGCCGGCGGCTCCGTGACCGCCCGCTTCTACACGCGCTCCGCCATCGCGCGCATCATGAAGCGCGAGATGCACCCGTTCGTGTCGACGGCGTGGACCACCGAGAGCGGCAGCGACGAGCTGCACCGCGCGGACGGCATCCTCGACGGCCAGACAACCGAAGTGGCTGTTATGAGCCAGATGGGTTTCAAGTACCGTCTGCCGGACCCGACTAAGCGTCGCGATATCGAGTACTACCGTGACCCTGCCCACCGCGGGTATCTCAGCCATCTGCTGAAGCCGATGGAGGGTCCCAGTTTGTTCTTCCGCAGCCCGGTTGAGAGGAAGTCGGCTGCTGGTACGAGGAAGGAGAAGGTGTTGCCTGAGAACAGACTTTGGTAAGGGTAGTTTGGTGCCTGACTGTTTGGTGTTAGCGCTTTTCTATCTGTGTATTTTGGTAGGGTTTGGTTGATGTCTTCCTTTTTTCTTTGTTATATTGGATCCTTGTATAAATATCATTTCTAGATCTTCATGGAATACGCTTTGAGCATAAGCTTCTTCTATCTTACGAGATCTATCACGGCTTGGTTGCAACACTCGAGAAGTCCAACCTACGCCAAACAGGATTGCTTTGATGGCGAACCTACATAATTTCGTCTATGAGCCAGCTGTCTTCGCCAGTCACTTCGAATCAACGATAAAGCCACTTAAGCCTATTGTATTAAAGAGAAAGAAGACCTCCGGATAGGTATATAGGTACACGATAATTAAGGCAGAAAATTCCGACCGTACAAACGCCTTGCTGGTTGCCCACGTATCATTTTGGTAATTTTGCTCAAGAATCTGCTCGGGAATTTTGCTCGACTGGTTGAAAGAAATGGGAATAATGGGGGAGTGGAAAGCCAAAATGTCGATGCTTGGAAAACAGACGCATATAAAAGAGAAAGTAGTATAAAATATATCAAAAACGACGAAAAATGAGAAGACACCACGAGAAAGCGAGAGAGTAACATCAGAAAGGAAGGGGAAAAAACAAGAGAAAAAGAGAAGGGTATCAAATATGATCGAAATCCGAAACACCACCACATTCGTCCAAATTCATTATAGGGTAGAAACGACCTCCTGGTCGTAAAATTAGAAATTCGTGTCAATCTGTGACGACCCATCGATCAACGAGGGTTCATAACACAAATCACACCGCATGACCCCAAAGACACTTTTACAGTCTCCACGGGCTTTCAACGGCACTGTCATCAATACCATCCGAGTACTCTTGGAACCAGCGAGAAGACAAAACATCGCGAATGGTCCAACGGCTTTCAGGGTTCATATCGAGGCATCCTGCGATCACCTCCAGCGCAAATTCTCGCTGCTGGCGACCAGGCAACTCATCGCCCGCGCCCAGCACGGCATTTTTGTCCCATATGCCGTTCATGATGCAGTTTTGAATGCGAGGAGCAAAGGGGTCCTGGAATGGTCGTGATCCCACCAGCACAGCGAAGAGGACGACGCCGAACGCCCACATGTCGACCGAAGGGGCGATGATGCCACATGAAGAATGAAGCAGCTCGGGGGGCGCGTATTCTAGGCTTCCTGCAACGCTGGTACTGGAACCAGCAGGTCCGATATTCTGCGGGGGTGGCCGATCCGCTGCATCGTCGTAAGGGTCGGGCGAGCCACCGTCATTGTCCGTGGACATCCATTCTGCCATTCCAAAATCACACAGTACAAGGTTGGACGAAGTCTGGCCATCGGACACCTCGACCGGATCCAGGAGGCAATTCTCGAGTTTGATGTCCCGATGCACCACGCGTGCATCCTCGTGCAAGTATCGCAAAGCGCAGGCCAACTGATAGGTGTACTTTTTTGCCAATCTCAATCCAATACCAGACCGATTTTTTTTTATGAGGTCAAATAGAGTGCCGCCGATGTGCAATTTGGTGAAACAGAAAGTTGCATATTCGGTCTCGTAGACCGCGTCCAGTGTCAGAACATTCGGATGGCTGAGATATCGCCAAACCCCGACTTCGTGGTCGAATTCAGCTTGAACGGCGTCGTTCTCCATTTCGCTCTTGCCAGAAACTTGCTTCCGAACAATCTTGACAGCCAGCCGCTTGGTTTCGCCGCTCTCCTCAACCTTGTAGGCTTCTTTGACCGTACTAAAACCACCGAAGCCGATTTGCTTTCCAAGGACGTAATCCGTCCCGACCATTTGTCCCTCATCGTCGGGCTTGGGGGCAGGTTCTTCCCTGGTGCTCCACATAGAAAGGAACATGCTGGCTGGTGACTTGCCGCTTGAGGCAGTAGATCGGCGGGAACTATGACGAGTAGAGCCTCGGAGACCCCTCTGCTTGCTTCCGAATGGAGTGGGCACGCTTCCCGACCAAGAGCCGCGATCATCCAATGACGCAAATGTCTGTGCTGGGGACGCCACGCAGATTGGAGAAGGAAGGATGCCTTTCGACGCTTCCGGGGGAGTTCTCAGCTCCTCTGTGACGGGGGATGCAGTTGACACGGAGGTCAAGGAAGTCGGACGGTCGATATCCTGCTGAGCATCGCGAGTCCCACCATCTTCCTGAGGGAGCGCGTTCCTCAAAGCTGAGCTCCTCGGCTGGAACTTCTGAGCTCGCACCCTCCCATCGCCTCTGGGTAACGGCTCTTCGAGCGGTCGCGGCTGGCCCGAGTTCAGGGTAACATTCGGGTCAAAGCTAACGGAGGGTCGCCGGTTTTGCAGGAACTCATCAAAAGGGGATGCTGGGATATCATCCGGTTTATGAGGGAACTCGACATCATCTTGCGGAGGAGGTTCGCCAGGACGGGGTACGGAGATTGGCGGTGTCGATGAATGCAAATCATTCAGCACACTGTTGTCTTCATCAGTACCGCCACGGGATGCGTCATAATCGTGAAAAGTGTTGGTACGGTCGCCCTCGATACCATCTCCACTACCCATCCCTCCTCGTCCCCCATTTTCAGGCCGCCACCGGGGCCTGTGTGCGAGATCGAAAGAAGTATCAAGCCTCAACCCAGCCAGCGCACTGTTCCTATCTGTATCAGCCATGCCCCTCCCTGAGAGCGCAAGGCTAGTTTCGTAGTAGTTATGTCGAGTTGTTGTAAGTTTCTAGCGAGTATCACGGGATAACATGTGTGGTGAGAGGTGGATTATATGATGAAAGGATGCTGTCGCAAAAGACACCCGACAGAGGATGACGTCGACAGGGAGTATAGTAGGCAGGCAGTGGAAAGGGTCTCATCGACAAAAGGTGATAAGAATGAGGTCACATAGGTTAATATGGATGGTAGGAAAGAAGGAAAAATCGTCAGATTGGGATGAAAAAGAGGCAAGGATGGGCATATCGGGTGAATACGGAGGTCGATTACTGCAGGATGAGGAAATGAGCAACAGCGGGGAAGGCGGGTCAGGGTGACTAATGCACAATACTATCAACCAGGGCCAATGAACGCGGGGGCAGACGTAAGGTGGACCCGCCCGGTCTATCACCTGACTCTAAAGTCATCGGCGCTAATGCAGTGTACCCTCTTACCCTGTACCCTAAACCCTAAGTGCGTCCCGGTGAGTTCGTCTGTAACCTGCATTATCGCCTCTCGTTCAGCCACTTAAACGTTTATATTATGTTTATTCATGTATAATGAAGTCGCAGCTTACTTAAGACGTTGTCCATCTACCGTTCTTAATACTCTCTAACCCCCTTGGTATAGTGGTGGTACAAACCATGACAATGTTTACATGATAACTTGCTCCGCGGGACATACTATTTAAGTTGGATAAAACTATGGGGTAATCAGACCGGACTTGAATAGATTGCAGGTGCCTAGGCGCTCACAGGAGAAGTCTGTTTGAAACCCCACCGTAGTACTACATCTAGATGTGTGAGTGGAGTACGGAGTAGATCTAAAATAATCCAGAATTGATCTTTCGATCTTTGGGCTCAATTGTCAGTCCAATACATGTCTAAATATGATAGGAAGGAACTCATGCATCGACTGAGCAAAATACCACGGGATACGTCTCATTGGATGGCAACGACGTCGTGCCTCCACGAGTGTGTCTTCATCTAACATATGACGTGAAGAGCTACTACTCCACATACGATTCGCTTGAAGGCCTGCAAGGCTGGCTATTAATCCATGTACTAAAGGCAGAATTTCCGATGATGCAACCATCGCTACACCAATATTCTCGAGTCGTATGATGATCCCTCACTATAATTATGTTGCTATAATTAACTATTTCATCCCCCCTGTACAAACATGAAATTGCAACGTCATGGAGAGAGGATAACAAAATCTCTCTGATCACCGAGGTCTAATAATCTTTAGTTGATTGTTGTAAGTCTCTAGCAAAGACATTTTCCCTTTATAATCTGTATGTCTTGATTGAATCTCCTTGTTGTTTAATTTGATGAAAAAGATGAGGAATTCTTTGATTGATTGACTGGGAAAGGGATCGGATATTCCTTTTCTATGTGATTGATGCAAATAAGACCCATCATACCTATTCTTCCAGAAGATGTATCTTCAACCCAAGGGAATTCTGAAGTGTCCGTTGGGCATGGAAGAATAAATAGTTGGGCGGCATATACACCTTCCCACAGTAACCAAGCCTGGGCATCTAGTGGGGCTAACCGAAGTGGACGACCCAAGGGATCGTGTCTGTGGTCCAGGCACGAGTTCCTTTCCGACGTTGGCTCATTTAGGCGCGCGCAAGGGGCGCTTGTTACGGAGATTCTGGAGACCTCCTTTTCCCGCGTGTCTCACAAGTCTGGGGAGCTCGTTCCATCCAACTGACGGACAGAGTTCCGGGTTGTTTGTTTGTCTGCCCACGGCCTCTTTCTTTTTTGCTTTCTTTTCGGTCGCTCATATTACTCTGGAAGTATTATTTTCATCCCGTCGCTCGAGCCCCCCCCTTTCGATCGCCTTGTGCGATTATTCTTTGTTTTCTGTGGCCCAGTGCCCTCCCCCACCTGTCGCTATTCGTGGCGTAATTATCTCCTCGTTCTATATTCGTCTCTATTGATCGCGGCCGGAACCTTGTGGCCTTCGCTCTTTTCTATACTCGTCGTTCTTGTCATTCCTTCGAGTTCTCTGGGTCGTCAAAACCGCCGCGTTCCTTCCGCACTTTGATCCAACACAAAATTACCAATTAATGAATCGCTCTTAAACTCGCGAGCTTTACCTCAACTTCTACAGATCTCTCACTGCTTTCTATAAAAACCTCCAATTCCAGCACCATGGCGAGACCGAAGATGGTGCGAGCGGGTACTTGTTTCCCACTCCGTATAGTCCCCACATAATACTAATTTCCAGACACTATAGACACCCTTGACCTCCAAGACGCGGAGGCACCATCGGCGAAGGACCACACGAAGCAGGGTAGTAACGCGGCCAACACCCAGGGTACCCTTGCCCCCCACCAGGAACAATCTATCCGCCATGCCGATCAAGACTCGAAGTCGGAAATGAAGCAAGGGCCCGGAGGAGTCTCGACGAACGGCGACGGAATAGACATGTATGATGACGAAGATGACCTGGATGGTGATTTGAGACATGGCCATGACGCGGACGATGGCGACATCGGCGACGGGGACAGTGATGATATGCTGGATGACGAGTTTATGGACAAAATTTCTAGCTCCCCATCGATCGACGATGGTGAGTAATGCCCTCTTTGTGGCATTCTGTCATACCGTTTTCGCTTTGTGCGTGGGCTCTACAAGTTTCAGGCTAACCCCGATCAGAGGATATCGACTTTGAATTCGTTTACGCCCTCCACAATTTCGTCGCGACGGTCGATGGACAGGCCAATGCATCCAAAGGCGATACCATGGTTCTTCTCGACGACAGCAACAGCTATTGGTGGCTTGTTCGCATTGTTAAAGATGGCAGCATTGGTACGTCGAGGTCCTGCCAATAGCATTCCACTTACTTACCAAACCTAGGGTATCTTCCCGCTGAGCATATTGAGACGCCAACCGAGAGGCTTGCTCGTCTGAATAAGCACAGGAATGTTGATGTATGTGGCTCTGACTCGGCTCCTTGATTTGTCTAATAACATCTTCAGCTTTCTGCCACGATGCTGGGAGACAACTCGGAAAAGTCTAAAAACCCGCTCAAGAAAGCAATGCGACGCAGAAATGCAAAGTCGGTTGCTTTCACTAGTCCGACCTACATCGAAGCATCCGATGTCGATTGGTCTACTGACGAGGAAGATGATGACGATGCGTCCTTCGCTGATGAGGACTTGGCGCGGGACGTTGTTGACGACATTCAAGAAGAGCAAGACGATGACATTGTTGTGGAGCCCTTGAGAACTAAATCACAGCGTGACAAGGTATCCGAGGAAACGGAGAAGATAGATGAAGTGCAAGAAGCCGATCCCTCTAGTCCTACTAAACCACGATCGAGCCAGGACCTCCTGGAGCCTGATGGTAAGATGATCTTTATTCGCGCCATTCGACTGTTTCACAACTGATCTAACTTTGTTTGTAGCCGAGAGCACTGTCAGCAGATCGAGAAATGGTACTGTGCGGAATACGGACTCATTCTTCAAAGATGAGACAGTGGAAACGAAGAAGATCTCACTTACTCCCAACCTTCTCCGAGATGAGAACCGTGGCGGGCCTATGTCACCTGATTCGAAAGAGGTAAGTTTTCCACTGGTCTTTTGTTTCCTGTTCAAGGTACTGATAGGATGTTGCGCTGCAGAGTCGTGGAAGCTTAGACACGCTGGACAAGGCATCTATCTACACAACCGACAAAGAGAAAGCCAAGGAAGACAAAAAACGCAAGGACAAGAAGGGCGGGATGCTCAGTGGCTTGTTTAAGAGAAAGGATAAGAAACCCAGGACTTCCGAAGATGAGCCCGAGGACCTCGAGAAGGTCTCCGGCGAATCATCCCGAATGTCACCACCGCCAAAGACCTCAATGGAGTCGATTTCTACCATCTCTTCACCCGAGACGCGTTCTCCTAAGTCTGTCGCTGCCGTGCAAAGACAGACTGGTAAATTGCAGAAGCCGTCTCCGGAGGCCGCTTCCCCCACCAAGCAGGATTTCGAGTACACCTCTAGGGCACATGAACGGATCCCAGAGGAGGAGGAACCATTATCTCCGGACATCCAAAAGCCAGACCAGACAATTCGCCGTGTGGCGTCTGAGGATGCTCAAACCGCTTCCCGGTCTCTCCAACATGTTGGCACGCACGGAGAGGCTGTGTTGTCTTCTATTGATACGTCAAGGTCGCCAGCAAAGAACCAAAAAGACGAGCAAGAACTGGTTGATAAACGGGCGTATGTCCAACCGCAGTCTGTGATGTCTCCGCCCCAAAAATTCCCGCCAAGTCAGGGCTCAGAAAACCGGAACCAACGTTTGGACTCGCCTATCCATACATCTCCCACGGTATCTGGAGTTTCACCACTGGCACCAAGCATGTCATCACCGGGACGCTCTCCTTCTCCAGTCTCCCCGCCTCTGTCACCTGCCAGTGATACTATGGATCGAAAAGCTAGCGACGCGACTTCTGTATCGTTATCTTCTGAGCTTCCTCCATGGAGCGATGCAAGCCTACGCTCGTATCTTGACGAAGAAAATGATATCCGCGATCTGTTTATTCTCGTCCATGACAATTCCAATGTCCCACCTGCTGGTCCTGACCATCCGATAACCGGAAGTCTCTTCAAAGAAGAAAGCAAGAGGCTGAAGGAAATGACCAGCCACTTGGACACCATGCTAAGTGACTGGATCACCCGGAAAGCACAGAGCACAACAAGCAAGTAAGGATGGTTCGCACTCCGAAGATACCTTTTCCTTTCTATCTTTCTTTCTCTCTTTTTTCTTTCTCCCTTTTATCTGGCTAGACTCGGGCCCGCGTTCCTATGCAGCAAACGGCCTAGTATTGGTTACATATTGGCTGAAAGGGGTGCGATGTGCTGGACGCATGATTTTGGTTGGACCATTTGGACACTCTTTTTTCCGCCCTTTTTTTTGAAAGAATCATCGGGGGCAGTATGGCTGCCTTCATAGGACATGGTGTCTTTTCTTTCTCTTATTTGCTACCAGTCGTTTTGCCATTTTCGTTTGGTTGTTGATTTCCCCGCCTTTTCAACCCTACTGGGATACCCAAGTGATTTTCGTCTTTGTTGCTTTTGTTTTTATCTTTTTCTCTGCTTACTATTCCCCCTATTTGATTTTGAGACTTTGAATTATTCATTTCTAGACCTGAATACCTGTAGATCCTTAAAGTAGAAAGTTAATATCGTACTCAATACTTGGCACCCAGGTCAGGATATTGGAGTGGGTATTTGTTGAACCATCAAGCAATGTCAGCAAATACACATATGATTCATAGCAAAATCTGTCATTTACATGATTGGCAATCATCAGGTCTGACGTAAGTACGAATTACAAGACCGCTGTGTAATATAATGCAGGGGGGTGTCGTGCGGCCTGGTCAGCAGATAGGGAAGCTGTCATTCAGCCGTCATTCAGCCAGTCATTAGACAGACAGTAATGATACACGCATGCCCTTCCCTACATCTTACAATCCTAGGTATTTATACATATTGAGTCAACATCCTGACGTATCCCAACAATCGTGAACTTCTTTCTTTTCCCTTCGCTGTTTCAGACTACATACCCTTCAACATGGCCGATCCATATCAACAGTATACAAACCCACACCCGCAGTACATGCAGCAGCCAGCCCCGCCTCCCCCCCCTCTTCCTGCGGAAAGCGAGGCAGCGTACTACGCACCGCCCGATAGTCTCTACCAGAATCCTCCGTATGACTACGAGACGCAGTACTCGTATGGCCAACATGTCCCGCCAGATCATGGATCGAACTATGATGTGAGCCAGATGCCGAGATATCAGCCTCCGATACCGCCACCGGCGCAGAGCCAGAGCGATAACTTTTTGAGTCCTGCGTCGGCGGCGGAGTATCATCCGCAAGAGTATTATGATTCGGGGCGACTGAGTCCGAATTATGAGGCTGTGGCTGTGGGGAAGATGGGGAGTAATGCGGATTATTAGTGTGTATATCGTCTTTTATCCTTCCTGTTTGGGCGACTAACTAAGAATGTGATTTTGCAGCAATCGACACCCAGCTGAGAACCTTAGCGGGAACAGTCCACACCCATCCCAGCGATCAGACCTCCCAGAAGGTCCCGGAGGCGAAAAAGACGGCGGCGCAGATGGCAGCGGCGACGAGCGCAGCGTGGGTGGGGCCCTGGTAGGCGGCGCTACGGGATACTATCTGGGACATAAAAAGGGTCATGGGCTGCTGGGGGCTGTGGGTGGTGCGTTGCTGGGGAATTTCATTGGTGATCGCTTGGAGGGGGATGATGGGAAGGGGGAGCATCATGGGGGCCGGCATGGGCATGGACATGGACATGGACATCGGCATGGGAGACGGCGCCATCATCATCATCATGGTCATCATGGTCACAGTCATGGTCATAGTCATAGCCATAGCCATAGTCATAGTCATCATCGGAGCCGGTCGAGGCATGATACTAGTAGTACTAGTTATAGTGGGAGTTCTTGATCGTGGGTGGTTTGTTGAGTTTGTTGTTTTGTCATAGGTTTGTTGCCTTGCTTTGTGCTTTGCTGGTTATTAGAGGGGCGTTTGAAGAAGATGCTGTTTTCAAGATTGATGATTCTGATGATATGATGATTGATGATTGCGATTAATATCGTTTATGATTAAGATCCAGACACTACAATTTTACGCACCATTTATGTATCGATAGATCTAAAACAGATAACCATACAGTTTTGAATACTATCTGTATCATCAATTAGTAGCCATGAAATCACTACAAAGGCTTGAACGAGTCTATCTCGCCGTATCAGAGTCCAGACATGAGGCTCAGCGATATCAGATCTCCGATATCCGGCTCGACCAATCGACAGCCACAACTTCGCAACTTGCCAAACCTTATTCTAGACTAGACTTTGGTCCAGGCAGACTTTAAACCCTGAAAACCAATCATCTCGCTCAGAACACCCTGAATGTCGAGCAATCGCGAAAATCCACTCTGGCCTACTGGACCAATGGCGGGGAGAGCCAAAGTACACGTCGACGCGTCGGTTGAGATAGGCCAGTCTAGGCTGTTTCAATAGATATGAGTCATACTTGATGGATCTTATCTGGATAGAGAGCTGAAGTGTGGGACGAGGTCGTATTCCTTACTTTCCATTCACTGTTTCCTATCATGTTTGGGGGATGCACTGGGATCATCCTGAGACAACAGTACACTATCCTGTCACAGATGACGATTACTAACTCAACTCATACATATCTACTGGTCTACGATCAAGTGTGCCTATACAGGCATTTGAATCATAGGCTGTCGTTTTGTCCGTTCACAAACCACATGAGCTCGTACAGTACGCTGTTCTTTTAGACACCACGACTGATCATCAGTATGTAGAATGGCCGTAACTTGGCAATCGTCACACTGCGTGAACCACAAGATCCATGAGATAAGCCATGTCGAATCAGCTCTCAACTCTCAGCCATCACGCTCCCTCGTAAGCGGCCGGGTGAACGGCATAAATAGCAGTATTCGTCCCACGTACGGACGTCAAGCATGTAACAATGGATAAACCTTATTTGCGTGATTCTGCAGATGAAATCCTCAAAGACTCCATCCCCCAGGGAGGATCATGGAGGAGATGCTCCTGAAGAACTACCCCAACCGGGTGTGATATCCGCGGTGTAGACACTAGCGAGGAATGAAGATCCGCAATAGCCAAACACGGTAAGCCTCAGGCTGACCCGCCGGATGCCCGATCCACTCTATTGCGGGCAGCCAATCAGCGGGCCTGGATAGCGGGGGATCTGTTATCAGCGGTGACAATCATCCCCATCAACTCGTGACCGGATCTCAGCTCGAATGACTGACTGGACTAGTCCACCACACCTCATCCCTTCCCTCCTCCCTGACTCTCCCCCTTTCCTTTCATCCGACTTGCTATTCTTATTCTCTCTCTGTTTCTCAACTGTTATTTCTCTCCGATCTTTGTCGCTACGCTTGAACATCCCTCCCTGTACAGTTGGAGTATACCGCTCGATAGACTACGCCTGCTCCGTGTGACGCGCGCCGGTGTCCCTACATTATTCTCCCTCAAGCTTGCTAGAGCATTACCGCAGAGTCCTGTCCGCGTGACACATCATCGAAGAAACAGATCATGCATTTCCCTCGATTAGAGGCTGCATTACCGCATCACTGTGAACCGACATCGCCCGTACTGGCCTATATTTCCGCCCACCTGCACATATGCCTTCCGACGCCTCTCGCACTCATATCCACCCTCCTTGGGATGCTCAGCATAGTTTCATGGCTATTCGCGCAGCTCCCGCAAATATACAAGAATATACAACTTCAGTCGACGTCGGGGTTGTCCATCTACTTTCTTGTGGAGTGGTGCTTGGGTGATGCGAGCAACTTGCTCGGTGCTCTGCTCACCAGGCAAGCAGGCTGGCAGGTGGTTATTGCAGGGTACTATGTGCTGGTCGATGTGACGCTGGTGTTCCAGTTTTTCTGGTACACGCACTACAAAGGAAGATGGGAGGATCGCTACATTGGATTTTCTTCGTCGCGCCGCGATGATGGATCCGAGGACATCCTGGAAGGAATCTCCGTCATGGAGGACGACTCCGCATCACAGACTATTTCTACAGGGGGCACACCGAGATCCAACGCAAAGAACGTAGCGGATCTTAAGGAACCACTACCGCGCTCCCTGGGCAGCCAGTCTCCGTCGTATTCCCACATTGAGAAACTAAGCACATCCCGACGCACGACGAGCCGACCCAGCAGCGGACCGAGTCTTCCAAGTGGACCAGCAAGGACGATTCTACTAGCCTCGATGCTCTGCGCCATGGCCGCAAACGCCGCACCGACAGAAGTGCAAACCACAGCCAGTCCATCAGACGACAGCCTCGAACTTCTCGGCCGGATCTTCTCCTGGATGTCGACCGTCCTGTACCTATTCTCGCGCCCTCCCCAACTCTACAAGAACTACTGCCGCAAAAGCACCTCAGGCCTGTCCCCACTTCTCTTCATGGCCGCCTTCTGCGGCAACTTCTTCTACTCCGCCTCACTCCTGACGAACCCCAACGCCTGGGCCGACCTCCCACCCTACGGCGGAGGCGGGTGGGCCGATGCGGACGGCAACGATCGTCTGGAATGGATCGGCCGAACTATCCCGTTCTTCCTTGGCGCCTTTGGCGTTCTCTTCTTTGATGGCTTCATGGGCGCCCAGTTCCTCATGTATGGCTCAAATGATGACGAATCTGTCATGGAAATCGAGGACCCTAAGCGTGGGCGTAGCAAGTGGACTCGCGTCCGGGGCTGGATGAGAGGCTGGATCCCCTCTATTTCTCCGGATCGTATGCAGTCTGCGGAGGCGTCTCACGAGAGTCAGCGTCTTCTCGCTGGTGAGCGGGATCGATATGGTACTGTCTGATGCTATTCTCCAGGCAGTCACTTTCTTGATTCTCATTACTTCTTTCGCATCACCCACTTACTGTTATTCCCGACGATCTCGCCTGCATTCGCAGAGGGGATTCAATCATGACGTTACGACATACACACCAGAGTACATGTATCCTCTGGACTCCATACATTTGTTCTCTCGCTTGGCACTATTTTTTTCGGGTTTCCTACCTTTAGCATTCACTTGGTTTAGCTTCTTGGCGTACTATCTTCCTTTTCTTTTTCTTTCCTGAATCTGTGCCTTCCTCCCCATATTACACATTGTTTGGCGCTCACACACGCACGCGTCATCAGAATTGGATTTACAACGGTTGTTCTGTCTTGGGTCAGGTTGGTTACTCCGATATGGTTGGTTGGTTGGTTGGTTGGTGGGTATACACACATGCATACAGGTTACATCTTTCTATAGACGGCAGTCATATGGTAGAGGGTCAGTCAGTACATACTATTACAATATGTACCAGAATTACACCACAGCTTCAACATTTTCATAAACCTTTCTGCTTCGGTGCTCACAGTGCTCACGTGTCAATTTTGCTTTTTGCTTTTTGCTCACTGAAAAAAACCTACGCATACCCGGAGCTTATCTCAGTTAGTAGGGGGAGATAACCTGACATACTACCAGTAATACGAAGAGCCTGTCAAAGAAGCCAACGCGCGCTCACAATCTAGTTCCGCCATGTATCGGCCGCCCCCAAGCCCTATCACAAAGTTATACCACCAGAAATCTTCCATCGTGAACCCAAGCGCCGTGGTAAACTCCCAATACTCAGGGTACCAGCCCGCAGACTCCCAGTCCAGAAACCCCGTGATCCGTCCGTTCTGCACGAGGATATTATGGTGTTTAAGGTCGCCGTGCGTGAAAACAACACGATGAGCCATGGACCCCATCTTCCTGGCCCGAGCAAGCGCATCGTTGTACTCTGCTTCAGACGGGAAGCCGCCTGCCCAAGCGGGCTTCAGAAGGTTCTCGTTGAGCTCTTGCTCCGACTCGAACGGCCCAGTGAGATGATCATTAGGCACGCGGACACTCCGGACAGCCGTGCCCACCAGAGAACAAACCCTGCTCCCGTCCCACGGATGTTCCCATCTCCGCATCACCTCCAAGTAGCCCTTTAACTGCATCTGGATGGTATCCCGTTCAGCGTCGCTGAGCGCTTCGTATACTCGACCAAGTTCATCGCCGGGAATACGCGTCATCGGGATCGATACGGGAGCATGCGGACTATCCGCATGTTCTCCGTAGCAGATCACTCTCGGAACGGGGAGACCTGCCCTTCTGGCGACCTCCATCGTCAGGACTTCTTCCAACCGCGTGCCGTCAGACCATTTCAGGATCCGTCCGAATGGAAGCTGGGCGATCTGGTTGTCGTAGGTGGTCCCTACCCAGCTGCAGTATGATCGGTAGAACCGTCTCAGGTACTTGTGACTGATGCCCCATAGTCGGCGTACCTGTGGATGAGTCGTGCGTGGGGTTACGGGTATTTGGTCGGTCACTGTGTGTGTGAGGTGTGGACTGTCCAGGTGAAATCTGGCATCAAGCAATGGAGTAGCAACGGGAATTCCATCATCAGGGGAGATTATAGCAAAAGTGGAAGGGGTTGAAACGGAGTGTTGGGCCTGATGGGAGAAGAAAGAAACATGTTCGTTTTCTGGGTCAGATGCTTGCATTCATTGTCTCTGGGCGGTTGTTGTGCACGACCATTTTCCTCTGGTTAATTGGGTTAGGGTTCACCCCACGGGGATCCTGTTGGTCGCAAAACAATGCCCCAGACTCTACGCCTCTAGGCCCGGTCCGAGGCCGGCTTCCGGGGGCAATCCTGTCCCTTTCTAAGAATCATCGAGATAGCTTCTTTTATATGGGAGATATTAACACATAACAGACCTCCTCTTATCTTATTGCTTAGCTTATCTCTATATATATAATTAGCTAGTGATAGCTAATAGTGAAAAGCAAGATTCTTCCTTCTTCTCCTATGTATGGGTATATATATACGTAGCTTTCTTCAATAATTTTATATAAGTTTGTCCGGGGATACTTCCATGAAACTCTGGCTGGACTTTTTCGTGAATTAGGTGATCCCCGTCCGCTGGAAACCACATGCATTCAATCAGCTGGTGCTCCATCCCGACCAGAAGGAACTCATTCTGGTTGTCATTGAATCGCAAAGAGACAATGGGCTTGGATTCGAGGACTTTGGGGCAGGCAAGGGTCAGGGGATCCTGGCGCTGCTCTCGGGGCCACCAGGAACGGGGAAAACCATCATGGCAGAAGCAGTGGCTGAGAATCTTCGTGTCCCATTGCACACTGTCGGCTCTGAGGATTTGGGCTCTGGCGCTTGGGAGATTGAGAGGCGACTCAAACAGACAATGAGCCTGGTTGCTCGCTGGAACGCCATTCTGCTACTGGACGAGTGTGGCATCTTTCTCGAAGCCCGCACAACACACGATCTCGAACGGAATGCCGTCGTATCGGTCTTCCTGCGTTGTCTCGAGTATTACGAGGGTATCCTCTTCATGACCACCAACCGCCCCGAGAATATCGATGAGGCCTTTCGCTCTCGGATTCATCTTATGCTCCAATACCCCAAGCTCGAGTCACGGTCGCGCCGCCAGATATGGTCGAACCTACTGCAGTCGTCTGTTCCCCATCACGAGCTGACAGAAGACGATATCACTCAGCTGGGGGCTCATGAGCTCAATGGACGGCAAATTAAGAACACTGTGAAGATAGCTCAACTGTTAGCGCTCAAGAGAAAGACGGGGCTGAACAGGGTATCTGTTGATGCTGCTCTAGGGATTGAAAGGAAGTGGCAGACCCCTGATTTCAACACCAGCCAGTCTGGATGTTCCAGTTTCTCCTGTCCAGCGGTAACAGAAGAACTGACAGCTCCGCCAAATGGCGACACGGGCCGAGTGGTCGCAGCCCAGGAGACGCAATCTTTAAAACGCGCACGCGATGTCGAGGTGACAGACGAGAAGAGGGAGAAGAAGAAGCAGAAGAGGAAGGATAAAAAGAAGAGCAAGAAGGAGTAGTGGAAGACGGCGCGGGGTTCAAAAGGCTACTCAAACGTAGTTATGGGAGGACAAGAAGAAGAAGAAGAAGAAGAAGAAGAAGAAGAAGAAGAAGAAGAAGAAGAAGAAAGGAACATGTTTGGCAAAAAAGGCAAGAGCTACTTCGCAAACCGGCTACCCCCGTTTACATCTGTCTCTCTCACACTCAGATTTGTTGTTCACTTCTCTCATCCCCGTTCCTGGCCTCACCACATCCAGCAAAACATGTCCCGATCGCACACTATCACACATTATGCATGCTTGACACATCCTGAGTAGACTTGTTAAGACAGTTTCCCTACAATTCAAAGCGTGTTCAGGTTCATAGATGCTTAATCCCAAATCGCCAACCCGTTATCTTCCACGACATTATGACTTTTTTTTTGTCAATAACCAAGACGCAGTCATTCCAGTGCCTAAGCAGTGTGGGGCTGCATGTGGTATGTAGGATTGGGGCTTCTTGTAGATTGATTTTGGCGAATGTATTGTCATGTGGATGGTGGTGGTGGTGGTAGACAATAAATTCAGAAGACATAACAGAACAGAAAAGAACACACAAAAAACAATATGAGACTTGAGATCCCATATACTTGAGCATTTATCTGTCTATCATTACAAATGATAACGGTGAATGAATGACCGAGGCATATCATATGTGTATCTACCTTACAGGAACGCTCATTCATCGTCAACCTCATTTCATTAAGCTAAGGTACAGCGGGTCGGTGCAAACGTCCCGGGTAATAAAAGATGTATGTGAAAAAAAGGAAAAGAAAAAGAAGAAAAAGAGAAGAGGAGAAGGGAACAAAGAGCAGGCAGCCCCGGCCCTCCAGCACTTGGTGGGCAGTCGATAGGCGACCGCTCGGTGGGTCATAAGGAAGTGTCTATAGGGATGACATGACGGTGGTGATGATTTGACCAGGGGGGAGGGGACACTGCCGGATGAAGAAGAATAATGGTAATAATGGTGATGTTGATGATAACGGTGATTAGGGGATGATCGGGGGGAGAGGGAACACGGCGGAATGAAATGGAGGATGATCCAGGACACTCTCGGTTCTCTGTCAGTCGCACGGCGCGGAGAGGTCAATAGGATGATAGAAGACGAGTCGAGGGTATGTTTTGTTGCGATTGATGTTTTCTCCAATTAGTGTAGGTGTGATGAACCATGATGATACCCCGACCGTCTTTCGATCTGAGTGCTCCCATGGGGCGCGTGGACTGATCTCCGAATAGCCGTTGAAGGCGGTGATAATAATAGAATCTGTGCCGCGGTATGACCAGCATCAACCGGGTCCATATAAAATTGAACCGTGACTGTGTGAAAAAGAACTCCTTCCAATCCTATATGCAAGACCACCAGAGGTAATATGGACATTCAACGTAACGAATGACCCGGCCCGCCCGGAAGTGGGCAGGCTGGGTTGGGCTTCCAAAAGAACACGCGTGTGCCCGTTTAGTACAACGGCGTCTGCACATCTTGAACACCACGCTTGATCACATCTTCGAGCCGCCAGCGCGGCGGGATGACGGTGCTGCTCTGATGACGACGCTGGTGTTTCAGCATTTCGGGAGACGGCTTCACATCGTCGGTGGGCGGCAAGGCGCCCCCAGCAACGCCGGTCGAAAACTTGAGTTGCAACGCGTTTCCGATTTCGTCACACGCAGCCAGGACCCGATCCAGGTCTTCTTTCGTGTGGGCGGCCGAGACGCAGAACCGGGCTCGGGAGGAGACCAGAGGGGTAGCCGGATAACCGACGACGACCACGGAGATCTTGCGTCGAAGCATTTCGTGGGAGAAGGCAGGCATCTTGGCCGGGTTGAAGAGGAGAACAGGGATGATAGGCGAATCGTCGTGGCCGTACACTATAAAACCAAGACGCTTCAATCCGAGACGCAGGTAACGAGAGTTGAAGGCCAATCGCTGTAGCCGCTCTTCACCCTGGCCGGGGACGATGTCGCCGCTGATAAGCCGCAGCGCCGAGGAGATCTGCGACAGCACCGCCGGCGCCGGAGACTCTCCGTAGAGAACGCCCGAGTTGGTTGCGCGCAGGGTGTCAATCATCGCCTTATCCGCCGCGATGTAACCTCCGTTGGCGCCAAAGGACTTGGTGAGGGTCCCCATCAAGACATCCACTTCGCTGGTATCGACGCTGAAGAAGTCACAGACGCCGCGCCCGCGGGGACCAATGGCGCCGATAGAATGGGCTTCGTCGACAAAAAGGTTGAACTTGTAACGTCGCTTCAACAGAATCAGGCCGGGGAGGTTGCACATCGATCCCTCCATGGAATAGAGGCCCTCGACCACGACCAAGATCTTCTTCCACGGGCGGTGCGTGCGCGGCTGTCCTTGGCTAATTGCCTCACGCAGTTTGATCTCCAGATCCTTCATGTCATTATGTTTGAACATGGCGATCGACGCGCCGGACAGACGGGCGCCGAAGCGGATCGACGCGTGGTTGAGTTCGTCCGAGATGAGGAGACAGCCCCGGCTCACCAAAGCGGGGAAGACATTGGCATTGGTTCCGAAACCCATGGAGAAGACCATCGAGGCTTCCTTGCCCACGAATCTGGCTACTAGATCCTCCACTTCCACGTGCAGATCCTGCGAGCCGACTTCGGCGCGGGTGCTGGGAGAGACGATGCCGTATTTTCGGATCGCCTCCTCGGCCATGTCGGCGCAGGGGCCTTCGGATTGGGCGAAGCCCAGGTAGTTATACGAACTGAGGTTCAGGGTGTCGGTGGTGGTTCCGGTGAAGTAGAAATGCTTATTGTGGTCATTAGTGGACCGGTCCATCAAGGTGATGTACCGGCCGGGCACGCCGATCACGGGGCGTTCGAAGCAATCGTTGATGCGCAATTTTAAGCGGCGGACGTAGAAATTATCAAAGTCACTATTCAAGGCCCCGTAGCCATTCTGCGGCTTCAGGTGGCGATAATGCTCTTCGCGGAAGCGCTTCCCGAAGAAGTCACGGACGTGCCCAAAAGCAATTAGGATTAGGTAACTGATGTAGGTGGTGAGCAGATAGTAATAGGGCGGTTCGTCCATGACGGGCTCCGGGAAGACACCGCCAGGATGTCGACTCGAATAGCGGTGGCTTTGATGACCGATGGGCCCGAATTGCGCATGCTGCTTCGCCAGGCGACGGGCCTGCTCCGGCGAAGGGGGCTGGAAGAGCGTAGTGGGCGGCTCGTCCATGTTGGGATTGTCCGCGGTGGCGGTGGAGAGCGAGATCGTCGGCAGCGATAGGGAGGCTGAGCTGATGGGAGGAGCGGAGGCAGGAGGCTGTGAATTGGCACTAGCGGTCTGTCGAGGGGCAGTCGCGTCAGCCTTGGGTTTCGGGGAGGCGGAAAAGAACTGAACGAAGCGATTGGGCTTGACGGAGGACGATTGAGTCGCAATACCGCGCTTCCCGGAGGAGGTGGAGGAGGGAGAAAAAGACGGCGAGCCGGAGGGGTCTTGAGCGGAGGAAGAACCAACAGATCGACGAGGCATCGCAAGGAAACCAACGAACCAGACAAGTGAGTGTTGTTGCACCACTGGTGATTTGAGAGATTGAACTCTGCGATGAACACCGGGACAGAAGTTGTTATCACGGCACCACCAGTCTGGTTTCTTGGGTTAAGAATAGATCGACACCAATCTATTCAGCCGCAGAACAGCAGTTAGCGACGGCGTTCCCCAGTATGATAAGACAAAATAAAATAAAAATAAGAATATGGTCGAATGGGTGTGAAGAAGGTAGCAAGAAATTCAAAGGTCGAGTCGTGCAGGTAAAATTCAGGTACAAGATAGGAGAAGGGTGGAGGCCGATTCCGAGGGAGCCGGGTCGGTCCTGTAATTTGCGGGAACGAGCAAAATGGAGTTGACTGACCGACATGCACACGTGGAGAAGGCGTTGAAGGACTCGGAGCCTTGCAAGAGACGGAGAATGGATCCCAATCAAGGGATGGGAAGTTTCAATTCCCAGGCAGGAGTGAAAGGATTGACGAAATTTAGGAAGAGAGTGGAGGATGATATGACACAAGAGCAAGAGGGGGAAAAACAAGAGGAGAGAGAAAGCTTGAGGAGGAAAAGAAGCGAAGAAGAGAATTCGAGAGAGAGAGAGAGAGAGAGACAGAGAGACAGAGAGAGTCCTTGGGTCACGGATGGATCCAAGCGCCAAGTTTTGGTTGGGATTCTTTTTCTTTTTCTTTTTCTTATTTTTTTCTTGATTTCTCTATTTTTTTTTTTTTTTTTTTCTTTAATTTTGATTTATTTTAATTATATTCTTTTCCAGTTCTTTCGCTTTCTTCCCCTGGCGTGAGTCTTATTTCTTCATTTCTCAGGTTGACTAATGCTTTACTGCTTTTCTCCGACGGCTCCGAGGTATGGTAACGTGGTAAGATATACCGGATGGAAAGTAGGATCGGAGCGATTGGCTGGATTGGACCACTATGGAAGCGCCACTAGGATGGGTTTTCATACGGTAAATGAGTTACCAACTGAGTTACCAGCCCCCTGGTTCCTTTTGTGCTTATTTTATTAATGGATTTTATTCATATTGATTTGATATTTTATTTACCTACGGTATATTAGTTTTAATTCTTTCCCTCCCTTGAATGTGATCAACTAACGAGTCTGATTCAATTCAATTGGATCAACTCATCACAATCCAGCCCACCCAACTTCAGCCTAAGAAAGGGGCATGCAAGGTGAAAGAGATGGAAATGAGGTGAACTCATGCAGGAGACTGACTTCAAAGGTTCAGACTCCATCCGACATTCCACTCCCCTGGATTTCCACCACTCTTGAAACACTGCACTCTCTGTTGTTCTCCAGAACTGCATGCTTCGATGCCAGTATTGTTCAGGAGGATCCACTGCCGGTTGACGACCTATTTTTACCCCTTGGATGACCGACGCCGTGGATCGGTACAACGGTAGAAGAAAGACTCCCAAGCGGTCATCAGAATTGAGTACTAGTAACCCTCTAAGAAGAATCCCCTGTCCACACTACCGTGGGCTATCGTGGCTATCGTAGCCTTAGTGGCAATGCCAAGACCCGACTATGGATCATGCATGATGGGTGTTGGGCCCGTTGGGGTTGCGCCGTTCAGTCTCCAAATCATGGACTCCAGAAATGTATTGAGCGTGATAGAACTCCGTAGGCGTCGTAATGCTTCCTGGACTGTGACCGGTGGAGTTCCAATTGAACGATTCATTCCATCTTGGGATGTCACGGCGGGGGTCCCCTTCCTCATGGTTTGAACGGCCACCGCACCTCCGGTATTTTCCGCCCCCGCGATTCCAGATTTGGAGTCAGCAATAATTCGCCTCAGATCAGCCTGGTCTGGATTTTTCCCTGTCAACCCAGGTTGATCTTCTCATTCTTTGATCCATTGCCACTGGGACCTCCCATTCAACTTTCAACTCACTCCTCTCCGACACCGAAGCAATTGGCGCACCCTGTATCAAAGAGTCAGTGTGGGGTAAGGTTACAGTTCCAACCCACGACAACCGATGATGGCCACAAATGGGTCCTGTCATACTTCCCCGGAAGAACTATGGCGGCATTCCTCGCCCGAAAGCACCCAGATCCACGATTTCATGCAAAAGTCGGCGAAAAAATATGACCTGCCTTTAAACAACTACCAAGATCTGTGGCAGTGGAGCGTGTCCGAGCCGGCCCAATTCTGGGAACACGTGTGGGAATACACCGGCGTCAAGGCCCACGAACCCTACAACCGCGTGAGTAGACCCGGCAATTTCAGCGATGATGCGTCATTGATTCCCTTTGCCCCGTTACCAGAGTTTCTGACTGCCGCATAGGTCCTGGGAACGGACGACTCTCTCTTTCCGCGGCCGAACTTCTTCGAGGGCAGCAAGCTCAACTTCGCCGAAAATCTACTCTACCCGACGAGTGCCCCCGATGAGAATGCCATCGCCATCATTGGTGCTACGGAGGTGGGTCGCGAATATATCTCCTGGAAAGAACTTCGTGAGCGGGTTCGTAAATGCGCCAATGCCCTGAAAGAGGCGGGTCTACAGGCAGAGGATCGGGTCGCGGGGTTCCTCGGCAACCATGCGAATACGGTGGTTGCCATGCTGGCAACAACGTCAATCGGCGCGTTCTGGACCGGAGTCTCCCCAGATACCGGGGTGCACGCGGTGCTTGAGCGCCTTCAGCAGATCGAGCCGAAAATCCTATTTGCCGACAACGCCTCGATATACAATGGAAAGGTACACGGAGCGAATGCAAAGCTGGGGCTGATTGCCCCGGAGATACCGAATCTGGAGCTGCTCGTTTTGTTCGAGACGGTTCCGTCCCACACCTTGAACCTAGAGGAGATTCCGCTCGTCAAAGGAAAGGCTCTCACCTACGATGCCTTCCTCGGCAATGTCAGCAACTCCTCGGCCCCGCTGGAATTTGGCAGCTTCAGTCCGGAGCACCCCGTTTATATCTTGTATTCCTCCGGTACTACTGGTGCGCCGAAGCCCATTGTGCATGGGTCGCTGGGCACTCTGCTGCAGCACAAGAAAGAACATGCACTCCATTGCGAGATTCGCCCGGGAGACCGCCTGTTCTACTTCACAACCGTCACCTGGATGATGTGGCACTGGCTGATCTCCGGTCTGGCCACGGGCGCCACTATCGTTCTCTACGACGGTTCGCCCTTCCGGCCGTTCGACTCCGAGGGAGGAAATGGGGAGATGGCGATGCTGCGCCTAATCGACGAACTGCAGATTACCCACTTTGGCACTTCCGCCAAATACCTTTCCGTGCTGGAGCAGGCATCCCTGAACCCCCGCAGGCACCCCCACCGCCCGGTGGCCCTGCAATCCTTGCAGGCGATTTTCAGCACGGGATCCCCCCTCGCTCCCTCGACCTTCGAGTACGTCTACTCGTCGATCCACCCCGATATCATGCTGGGCTCCATCACGGGCGGCACCGATATATTATCGCTATTCTGCGCCAGCTGTCCGATTCTACCCGTCTACAAGGGCGAAATTCAGTGTCGCTGCCTCGCGATGGCAGTCAGCGCATATGACTATGCAGGGAAGGACATCAGCGCTTCCGACGAGCCCGGCGATCTAGTCTGCACCAAGCCCTTCCCCGCCCAGCCCGTCATGTTCTGGCCGCCGGGCCCGACCGGAGCAGACAAGTACCGCAAGAGCTACTTCGACGTGTTCGGCCCGTCGGTCTGGCACCACGGTGATTTCGTGCGCATCAACCCCGCCACAGGCGGCGTGACCATGCTCGGCCGAAGCGACGGCGTCCTCAAACCCTCCGGCGTCCGCTTCGGCAGCGCAGAGATCTACAACGTCCTCCTCAAGCATTTCGCGGAGGAAGTCGAGGACTCTCTATGCATCGGGCGCCGGCGCGAAGGGCTCGACTCAGACGAGACGGTCGTCCTTTTCGTGAAGCTGGCCTCGTCGTGTGAATCTCCGACCGGTATGCCAGCCGACCTGGCTACCCGCATCCAGACGATGATTCGCAAAGAGCTCAGTCCGCGCCACGTGCCTGGTGTCGTGGATGCCTGCCCTGAGATTCCGGTCACGTCTAATGGGAAGAAGGTGGAGAATGCTGTGAAGCAGATCTTGTGTGGCCTTAATATTAAGATCGGGGCTAGTGTTGCGAACGCTACTTGTCTTGACTGGTATAGGAACTGGGCTGCGGAGCATCCTTGAGTCGAGGATTTCCTTATATCAACTGTACATGTATAGATGGACTAAGGGTTGTAGATAGACTTAGATCTTAGATAGAATATACCATAGAATCTCTCCCACGTTAACGTGAACTTGAATTAGATGAATATCCCCAACCACAGGGACTATCCTCGTATCAGTATACTAGGCGTACTGAGCCGATGAAGCCTAGGTGCTTGCTTGTGCTTTTCATAGTGCAGCGGTTGCCATTCCATCAAGCCGAGGACGCAACGTTTCAGACAATGCTTGTCAATTATTTGACACCATTCGATTCAACAAAAATCGTAATACAAATTCCACACTCATAAACAATCCTGTTTCTGCAACAATCCGTAGTCGCAGCATCCTGTTCTTCCGACCTGTCCGGCCCATCGGCGCGTCTCGATTAGATAAGCGAACCCGGCCAAATCCTTTTCCAGGGCAGACGGCCGTGACGAAACCTATCCGGAAGTAGTCGACTTTCTCTCACCATATCGCACGGGGAGGCGCAAGTTCAACAGATTATTTCTAACCGCGCTTTGAAATCTACATATTCACCATGCGTCGCTCTGTACTGCGGGCAGTCGAGTCCGCGAAGCCTCTCGCCCGCTTGCCTCGTGCAGCGTCCAGAGGTTTTGCTACTGCCCAGGAAGATAACTCGAAGGTATGCATGCACCTCTTTGATACGCACAGCTTTGGGGATTGCTTTAACCAGTGACTGACACTTTCTTGTGCTAGGACCCTGTCGAGTTGGATCAGATCACCGCTCTCCCGAACGGTATTCGCGTCGCTACCGAATCCTTACCTGGACCTTTCGCCGGTGTTGGAGTCTACGTGGACGCGGGCTCTCGCTATGAGGATCCAAGCCTTCGAGGTGTGAGCCATATCATGGATCGGTTGGCGTTCAAGTCGACCACAAACCACTCCAGCGACGCCATGCTCGAGGCCCTCGAGGGTCTGGGCGGAAACATCCAATGCGCTTCGTCCCGCGAGTCGCTCATGTACCAGTCCGCCAGCTTCAACTCGACGGTCTCTACCACCCTCGGCCTGTTGGCGGAGACGATTCGTGACCCGCTCATCACGGAAGAGGAGGTTCTTCAGCAGCTAGCGACCGCGGAGTATGAGATCAATGAGATCTGGGCTAAGCCGGAGCTCATCCTGCCGGAGTTGGTCCATATGGCTGCCTACAAGGACAATACTTTAGGGAACCCTCTGCTTTGTCCCGCTGAGAGACTGGGAGAGATCAACAAATCTGTGGTGGAGAAGTATCGCGAGACGTTCTTCAACCCGGACAGGATGGTCGTTGCGTTCGCGGGAGTCCCGCACGACCAGGCTGTGAAGCTCACGGAGCAGCTTTTCGGCGACATGAAGGCACACAGCCCGAGCAAGGGCCCTGTGCTTTCCGGGAATGGGGTGGACACAACCTTATCCTCTAACGAAGGCCAAGTACACACGATCCCTCAGTTCTCGCCCACATCCACCATTTCGTCCACGACTGCCTCCCAGAAGACCGAACTCGGCTTCCTCTCCAAATTCCCCTTCCTCAAGAATCTCTCTGGTTCCGGATCCCAGTCGGGCTCTACGGAACCGCTTGACCCGGCGCTGATGGAATCGCCGTCGTTCCATCTGACGCGCCCGTCCCACTACACCGGTGGATTCCTCTCCCTTCCCCCGATTCCTCCCCCGGCCAGCCCCATGCTCCCCCGGCTGAGCTACATCCACCTCGCCTTCGAAGCGGTCCCGATCTCGAACCCCGACATCTACGCCCTCGCCACTCTCCAGACCCTTCTCGGCGGCGGCGGGTCCTTCTCCGCTGGTGGGCCCGGCAAAGGCATGTACTCCCGTCTGTACACCAACGTGCTGAACCAACACGGGTGGGTCGAAAGCTGCATCGCCTTCAACCACAGCTACACCGACAGCGGCATCTTCGGCATCTCCGCCTCGTGCAGCCCGACCCGCTCCACCGAGATGCTCGAGGTGATGTGCCGTGAGCTGCAGTCGCTGACCCTCGACACGGGATACAGCTCCCTGCAGCCGCAGGAGGTCAACCGGGCCAAGAACCAGCTCCGCTCGTCGCTCCTCATGAACCTCGAGTCCCGCATGGTGGAGCTGGAGGACCTGGGCCGTCAGGTCCAGGTGCACGGCCGCAAGGTCGGCGTCCACGAGATGTGCCAGCACATTGAGTCCTTGACCGTCGAAGACCTCCGACGCGTGGCTAAGCAGGTCTTTGGTGGCCTCGTCCAGAACCCTGGACAGGGAACTGGTAAGCCGACGGTTGTGTTGCAGGAGGGCGAGCTGGAGGGATACCGTCTTCGTCCGTTCCCGTGGGAGGAGATCCAGGAGCGGATTGCGCGCTGGAATCTCGGACGTCGTTGATTTAGTATATTAACGTGTCGAGGGAATGCGAGAAGGCACTTACTATAGAAACGTCGTGTCATATTAGATGTATAGTATAGAACGAAGACGATCGGATTGGTATTCCACTCTATGTATTTGAAAATGATAATGAGATTCATTCTAATCTACCATGTTGAATTTTTGCAGGCCCTAATTTTTGAAATCACATATTATTCGTAGCCTCCAGCGATACTATCACATAAAAAATACAATAAGAAACCAAAAACGAAGAAAAAGTAAAAACATCGTCATAGTACTTACATACTGCATAGTAAAAGCGGCTCCCGAAGCTCCTTGCCACTTTAGTCGCCGAGGGCTCTCGCTCCGCCGGGAAAAAAGTTGGACCATCGGTGCTCAACCTCATCCGCCTCGGAATCCGCAAACTCACATCTAACCTCCCCTTCCCCGACCACATCACTCTTCAACCAACGCGCCAACCAAATTCCCTCCTACCTCTATACACGCTTTATAGCCTTTTTTATTCACAACCTTCACAATGGTCAAGCTCACCGAGGTCGAGGACGAGCACTTCACCCAGGAGAAGCCCCAGCCTAGCAAGCATGATGTCCTGCTGGCTTCCGATGATGAGGACGACTACACTGATACTGGTGAGTACTGCTGCGTCAACTTTCTTTTAGATTGAGGGGAATATGCCCCATCGACAATTCATCGCGCTGGCTTGCCTTCTTTTCTCCCTCACAACACCATCAATCATCAATCAATCACCATCTGCGTCATCCACAATCCACCCAACACGCCCTCCCCCAAAAAATCAACCAAAAAAACCCGAATTCCAATCTCAAAGAGTCATCCATCTAACCATGAAATCAACAACCAGAATCCGAGATCTCCGAGCAGTCCGACGAAGAACTCGACAGCGAGTCCTTCCTGGACCGCCTGTCGGCTCTGCAAGACATGATCCCCCCGTCGGCCCGCCGCTCCTTCACGAGCTCCGTCTCCGCCGTCACCAACCTCACCAAGTCCAGCCTGAGCTTCAGCGGCAAGGCCCTGTGGATCCTGAGCACCAGCGCTTTCCTGGTCGGTGTCCCGTGGGCGCTGGCTTACGCTGAGGAGGAGCAGTATATTCAGCTCGAGCGCGAGCAGGGTATGATTAAGGGTGCTAATGATGTGAGTTTATAACTTTCTTTTTCCGTCTATCTTCGTATTTCACTTGGGAGTTGCGGCTATCGTGCGTGTTTACGTACGCTGTCGGGCTTTGGTTTGCGGGGACGGTGACGTGAAAACTTTTTTTCTGGTGATGATGGCACCAACAACATCAGAAAGAGTGGTTTCATGCGTTACAGCTCTCTCATCATCCGTTCTCGTTGGAAATTGTATGACCATACTAATATAATCCTCTCTAGATGCTCACCCCCGGCATGGCTCCCTCCGACGAGCAGAAGGCTCAGTCCACCATCTAAATGAAAAACACCGACGAATATGAAGATCACAACAATTCGAATGATTCGCCGTGAATCTCGCTGCAGCGGCCGCTCGATCCGCTCGACGCTTTTTTGACCTTACGGCTTATGTATGTGGTATACGATGTCATTGGTTCGCCCGGCGGAAAAGACTGTTGGTTATAAAAAACAAGAGAAAAGAGAAAAAAAATGACAGAAAAGAAGAAGGGGGAAAACAACGGCAACATGCTGATTGGTTTGGATCCAAAAAGGAAAAACGCTCAGCATCGGAGCGGAGTGGCATGAGAAACAAAAAATGGGCATTTGCATGATCAGGTTTCGTTTCCAACGCGTTGCAGTGCACGAACGGTGTTTCATCACTATTTACCCAACCCCTGTTGATTGATCTTTGTTTTCATGCTTCATGCTCAATTCCTCGTTCGTCTCCTCTCATCTCTCATCTCATCATTGTTTCGGGAGTCGTGGGATATCTCGGGCAATGCTTGTATTTGTACATTTCCTTTTCTCTCTCTCTTTCTTTCCTTTTTGTCTCCCCCTGTTGTTATGTGAGTTCTTCCTTGTGTTTAGTATAGTTTCGACCTACGTTTTCCGGATATGGACTGGATGAGCGGATGGTGTTGGGAATGAATCAATCAATTTAGTTCTTTCCTTTTTATCGGTTGGACTATTTATGTATGTATGTATGTATCAACAGGTACATTTCTGTCTGCCAATAAGTATGGGATAGATGTCGTTTGTGCCGTTGTAAAAAAAGCAGCAGAGAAAAGGAACTGTCAACCAAGAGATGAAATTGGGTATCACAAGAATATGGAATATGGATTCCGTAATAGAAAGAAGATGACAAGAAAGAAAAGGTGCAAATAGAGGCAATAGCAAATTCCTTCCGTAGCATATGTAAGACCATCGAGGAAGAATATCAAGAATGTTTGTAAAAGAAGCAAGAAGACAACGAACTCGAAATTCAGCCAATACTGCCAGAAAGAGCCCTATCAAAGTGTCTACAACAATCAGTCAGTCAGTCAATAAGCCCTATTCAGTTCAAGAAAGAGGATGGGGAAAAGAAACATACAGTCGACTCCCTAGCCGTCCGCAAATTGATATGAAAATCGCGCCACAGCTTTTTAACCTCATCGTTCTCAACCATCGTTTTGAAGACCTGCGCGGCGTACTTCGTCTGTTTCCTCACACTCCAGTGGCTGCGTTTGACGACTTCCTCGTCGGAGAGGTACCCCATGCGTGCGAGGTGGTCGACGACCCATTCGTTGAGGTTGAAGCGCCAGTGGGTTAGTGTGTGTGCGATTGTGGCTCGGTTTTTGCAGTGTCTGTTGAGATGGTTAGTTTGGAATTTATTGGGTCTGGGGTAGACTATGGGACTGGTCGTACCGGCCGAGATAGAAGCGGTTGTTTTCGTCGGGGAGGATGTGGCCTTCGCGATCGCGCTCTACGCCGTCATCCTCGACCTCCTCCTCCTCTTCTTCTTCTCCCTCCTCCTCCTCCTCCTGTTGTGAGAGTTGTCCGTCGTCGCTGCTGTCCTGGTCTGTAAGCGCCTCCAGCGTTTCCAGAGAATACGCCTTTCCGTAGAGCTTGATATCCGATGAAGCCGGATGTCCAGACCGTTTACACGCATCACACGGGTGGTGCTCGGATGTCGGATAAGAGGTGATCTCGATGTATGGACGCGCGAGAAGAGCGTATCGGAATTCCGCGTTCCACACTGACGACACAAGTGTTGACCCAGTCCGCCCCTTGACTTCGCTTTCGAGCTTGTCGAAGGCGACTTTGTAGAGCGGGTCGGACCGGGGGAAGGCCGGGTTGAGCTTGTTATGCACCATCCACTCCACGGCGTCTTGGAAGTAATCCTTGAGTTGCTTGTATGCGTGGCGGGAGAACTCGAGGGGCATGTCTTCGTGGCTGGTCGGGACGCCGAGCTTGTCGTCTTCGTCTTCTAGCACGAAGTCGTCCTCGTAGCGATCTAGATCGTCGTTGCTGGCTATGGCGGATTCGACGTCGCTGTCTTCGTGCGTGATGCGGAGTCGGGGCTTTCTGGTGTCGCTTGTCTCGCTGCTTGCTTCACTTTCTTCGCTTTCTGATTGATCGTCCTCCTGCTCGGATTCTTCGTCCTCTTCCTGGCCCGCGGATTCCTCGATATCGTCTTCTTTTTGTCCTGCCCGTCGGCGCCGCAGGGTCTCTAGGTGGAGCTGCCGCTGGGCTTTAGCTGAATTCGCTAGTCGACCACGGGTTCTTGTCTTCTTTACAACTACTAAAAGTCAGCCATGTATACTAGGTGCAGGCGAGATCTAGTAGCATACCGGAATCTTGAAGATCCGCCAGGTCCTCCTCAATGTCCAGCATATCCTGGTTTTGATTCTGCGGAGGTGTCTGAGGGGGTTCAGTAGGCGCACTAACGCGCCGTCTTTTGACGGGCGAAACCACCGGTTCATCCTCAGAATCATCCAGTACTACAGTAGACACCGGTGCTGGACCTCGTCTCAGCTTGCGGCGAGGTCGAGTGATAATTTCGTCGACATCGCTATCTTCCAAAACGGCCGGACTTGGGGAGGCTGCAGATGACGGCTCAGGAGCATCCGGAGTGGGGGAGCGTTTTCGCTTAGACCTTCTCTTTTTCTGCTCAGATGGCACACTGCGGTTTGTATCCATGGTCTCTTCCTCTTCGGCGGTTTTAACATCTGGCTCGGGAGCGGGGACGTCATCGGAGCCGTCGGCCTGCGTCGACTGCTTGTCTACTCGAAGACTCATCATCAGCAACAGACATCCCGACATAACGAAGCAAACGTGTAAGCAGCATACCTTTCTTTTTCTTCTCTTTCTTCTCCTTCTTGGCCCTCTTCTTTTCTCGCTTCTCCTTTTTCTCTTTTTTGTCCTTGGTTTTTTTTTCGCGCCCGGGCTTCATGGTGTCTTCCGCAGATTTCGTCTCCACGATCGGGCTGGGCGAGACTTGGGGACGCTCCCGGCGAAGTGTGGCCGTTGAGGGATGCCCGTAGCGCAGGGTCGCTCGGCGATCGGTTCCATCTACTGTTTCTTGCGTATCTTGGGTCGGCGACGCTACCGGGGCGAAGGAAAGCCGCGTCTGTTTCGCTTTGCCATAGGTGCGGGGCATTTGCGATGGGGGAGTGAGCGGTCTCAGTGCGTAGGGTGGGTATGAGGTTGTCACTGCTTGAAGTAAAAATGAAAGAAGAAGAGCCAAAAGACTGATCTGCAAGCAGACAACTTCTCTTAAGACGAAGGTAAAATATGGACCACTAAAGGTTTTGGAGAAGCTCCGGATGAAGATCCGCGGAGACCGCGTCGGAACGTCACGAGAGCACGTGATATGATATAGACCGATCAGTGATTGATATGGGAAGTAGGCATGGATATCGAGGTTGAACTTGCTGGGTTGAAAATCTACTACATAATAAGAGGAACGATATGTTCAACCTAGTACCAAGTACTGTCTTAAATCAAGTGAAAAAAAAGTGAAACTGAATTTATGTTTTGCTCAGACCCAGAAGTATATATCATTCAGATCTATGTGATAAATATATTTGCAGTATAGATATGTTGAAGGGTGTTCAGAGTAAACAATCCCAACACATGAATTTCTTATAACAGTGTTACTATCGTTATTAAACAGTAGTTTCATGAACGAAGATTTCCACAAGCATCAAACAAAAATAGATCAATTGCTTAATCTTGTTAGCATTGCCAGTGTCCGTGACCAATCTACTGGCTCTCCAACACTAATATACCAGCTCCAGCATTCCGTGTCCAAATTTATAGATTGTGCATTTTGCATGTCTATCACTTGTCAGTGCTAAACACCACTTTCCCCATGAAATGCACTGCCAACAACAACTACGCGCATTCATCTATGCGGTGCTACACACAATTTCTTATGAGACCAAAGCTTTCCACCTCTCATCCCAGTGAGACCTTGAGAAAGACAAGCCTAAAAACCAAGACTAATTACATCAATTACTTTTGAAGAAGCTCGTCCCGTGCTGTTAATACCAAAGTGGTTGGAACAGATTTCAAGATGGGAAGTACTGGTGAGCCACCTACTGCCGTGGCCAGAAGGGCTGGTATCTTCCCGGATGGATTAAGACAGGTAAACAGCCTCATCCTTTGAACTAATGGGCTGCTCAGTTGAATCTGTGTTAAGCCTATTCTAATCTTGCTGGTGAAGCTTGTGGTCTGGGAGACGTGTGACCCCTGTTAATTCTCAAGTCTGCGAATCCCTCTGTTCCCCATCCATCTACTCATTCTCGCCCATCCATCGCTCGTTTCCCCAGAAGTCGGTCTTGAATGTCTTAGTGACACCAAATATCAAGAGATCCTGGATCTATAATGCCGCTTTATTCGTGGATTTTGTGTCATCCCATTCCCTCGTTCATTTGTCTCTGATTCGTGGAAATTACAGTGTACTTTCTACGGCCTAGAATTTCCTCGAATACCACCCTAGGTCTTTCCAGATAGCTTCAACCTCGTCGACGCCTCAAGCTACCCCTGCTCGAATTATCGCCCTTCGTTGGCCCTGCCTGGTCATCCCACCTTTTAGGGGCTGCATACCGACTCCTAGTGCTATGGGCACGGATGTTAGCGTTGGTTGGGGAAGCCCGTCTCGTGGGTTCGGGCTACCACCGAGCGAGGGACTCGACTATGGCCTACTTATGGCTTAAGTACATAGAGGTTGTCTCCGCTCTTTTCCTATCTGATCTGTGGTGACCCACAACTCGAGCGTATCTTCTGTTTATGTAACTCGGGAGGGCATCGCCAGGTCAAGATCAACATACAACTTGTGATAGTCCATGCATGGGTTTGCAATTGCTAAGGACTAGTTAAAACAAATCTCATTCGATTGGTATCGCATCTCCCCTCCTTGCTCCGCGAGCACATACCGCAACATAAATCACAGGCACCATGGGAACCATGGGCTTAGGCCTCTCAAAACGAGGCTACAACTGGTTCGTACATATCACCATCATCCAGTTGGGTTAACATAACTAACTTATTCCAAAGGTACATCTCACTTGTCGCAGCAGCATGCATGGTGCTTTACGGCTATGATGCATCCGTGTACAACTCCGTCCAAGGATCCACAAACTGGGTGACTTACTTCAATGAGCCGGATGCAAACGTGATTGGGGCTGTCAACACAGCATACACTGTTGGTGCAATTTTCGGAGGTTTTTTCCTCGGGGGCCCGATTGCCGATTTTTTAGGTCGGAAGCTTGGGATGGGTATTGGCTGCGTGTTGGTAATTGCGTCAACATTCATGCAGACGTGGTCTCCACGTGGGAACATCGGGTGCTTCCTTGCTGGAAGATGTATCATCGGTATTGGCCAGGGGATTGCCTTGAGTAAGTCACTGATTATATGCTGTCACATGTAGAAGAAAGGAAGTTGAACTGACCGTGCTATCTGACAGCGTCGGGCCCGATCTATATTGGTGAGCTTGCACCAGCAGAGATTCGAGGGAAGATCATGACATTCTGGCAAATGTTCTACTCGGTGGGATCTTTTATCTGCTTCTGGGTGAATTATGGCTGCACCCAACACAAAGAAAATCTGGGTGAATGGGATTGGAAAATGGTTGTTCTTTTCCAGCTTCTGGTTCCCATCTTGATTCTCTGCTTGTTGCCGACTATTCCCGGCTCGCCACGATGGTATAGTCTCACATAGTACGCTCCATTAAAATTTTATGCTAACATAACACCAGGTATATCCAGCGAGGAAATAATGTCGAAAAAGCTCGTGCCGCTCTTGAAATGGTTCGAGAAACAGCGGAGGAAGTAGAAGACGAGCTGCTGAAAATCCGCGAGGCCCTCGAATACGAGAGGGAGGCTATATCCAGTACCTACTCGGCCCTTTGGAAGGACAAGTCTTTGCGCAAGCGTATGGGTCTGGCACTGGTTGTCAACGCTGGTCAGCAAATCACCGGACAGGGGACGCTGAATACGTACTCCACCAAGATCTACCAGAAGGTATTCACCAGTGCCGGCCAGATAGCCCTCATCAACGCACTCAACGCCACTTTTGGTATTCTTTTTACGCTGAATGCTGTTTGGATCATTGATCGATTTGGGCGAAAGTTCCTCCTCATTATTGGAGGCATTGGTATGGGGATCTGCATGATCATTGTCTCTGCAGTTGAGACAGAGACCGCATCACCCGGTGGCACGAAAACCCAGCCAGTCGGTATATCGATCGTGTTTCTACTATTCCTATTCATATTCTTCTGTGAGTGTCCAATAACCACTAAATACCCATGTCAATTGCTAATGATAAAACACAGACAAACCATCCTGGGGCGCCACGGTATGGATTTGGACCTCAGAAATCTTCTCTATGAACGTGCGAGCGCAGGCAGTGGGAATGGCGTCGCAGACGCAAAACGTCGCCAATGCCATCTTCCAACAATTCTTCCCCATCTTCCTGGATAATTGCGGTTTTTATGCGTTCTACATGTTCGCCGGTATCAACTTTCTCCTCGCCGTGTTTGTGTTCTTCTTCATCCCGGAAACCAAGCAGGTTCCTCTCGAGGAGATCGATGCCCTGTTTGGCGGGGCTAATCATGTTACACATGGCGAGGATCTCATTAGGAATGAGAAGGAAGTTAGACCATCGTACTCGGATACCGGCGAAAAGAGGTCTTGAAGCAGTTGTGGCTGAGAATGCTGCCGGAGATAGGTACGGCTTGAATGTTATTGTGATGTAGTCTCGCATACGACATTTATCCTCACTGATACTGGATCATTAGGATGCCCCTTACTGGGGATACACCTGGCCCGTTTGACATCAATTCAACTAACCTTATCAAATGTGGAGCCGAATGCCCAGCTTTATAGACTCGACCAGCAGCCGTGGTATGCGGGGAAGCGAGACCGCGGATTAAATCCGGGGAAGGGCTCCATCATCTCTCTTCTCCTACAGATTATTTCTAAGACCATAATATACACTATATTGTCCTCTGTTCCCCCACTATTTACAGACCCATACACTACGAACGAATTGAGAACAAGTCTCGCCCCCAAATCCTAACCCGTATATCCCCACGTGGACAACAAGCCCTAGCGACCATCCTCAACCTAAATCAAACGCTAAACACCCCCAAGAAATGAAGGCTCCCAACAAACGGATCCCATTCCGCCCGCCAAGCAGACCAGCTAGCCTGATTAAGGGCGAGTTGAGTCCTGGGCTGGTTCTTTTCCTGTATTGATGTGGTGGCAAATCGGCGGGCTAACTCCAACCCAACCCAGAGATGTGGTCGGAATCGCTCCGCACTTGTTTGCCCTTGGGATGTCCGGGGTTTGCGGGGGAGGATCCAGCACTAGCTTGGCATGTTCTTCCTCTCTCCAAGTTAAGTTCTTCCCGAGATTCTGGGGACTGTCGTATACTATCGTCTGGATTTGTTTTTCAAGCACCTCTACTAGGTTATTCAAGCGTACAGGCAAGACTTTTATTGTAAGTAGGTGCTTCTATAGTTAGTGGTAGTACAATCCCACTGTTCGCCTTTCCTTCAACGATTATCCATAGCAAAACCTAGGTATATTCACTTCTATTCTCGTACTTCGCAACATGTCCGACTTCATCTATCTCTCCCCATCTTAAATCATAACCGCCTACCAAACTGATAAAGACGGATCTTCCTTGTCGAGACATCCCCATTAACTAATTAACCTCCAAGTGCCAATCCTTCTTCCCTGCTAGACGAAAAACCTTCTTTGTACCCAGTTTCCTTGGCGCGCGGAACCCGGTTGAGAATGCGGAATCCTTACGTTCCTGGGCGTCATGTATCTCTGTTGGCGCAACTAGTTCATGCATATGGCCGTCGGAGAAGACACCGACTTTAGCTTTTGTTTTTGATTTCGTTTATTGAATACTGGTTTTTTATTTTCTTATTTCGTTCTGGGCGGATGGCGCTTAAGTAGGTGTGATAGTAATAAGTGTTAGTCTGTATAAAGGGTGCTTGCCCCGCGCTTTTCGTGCTGGTGATGTGGTGATGTAGGGGCCGGTGTTTATATTTCTAGGTACTCATCCTCTATTTTTCTTTTCAAACGTGTAGAAGCTACGTGGTTCTGGTAGTATCTGCTTCAATCATTGACTTTGTGGACTACCCCTACCTCCCTCTCTTGCTACCCTACCTCCACCACCACAGCCTTCCACCAAACGAGGTCCCAATCCTCCAAGGGCCCCAACAGAACCCGCAAAAATGACACCACCATCCGACCCCGAAAAAACCGAGATGTCTCAAGAGCACCTCGAAGACATCAAGTCCTCCTCAAGCTCCACCCTCTCGCCCGACGCCGTCTCCGAGCGCGCCCTCCTCTGGAAACTCGACCTCCACGTCGTCCCGATCCTCACCCTCCTCTTCCTATTCGCCTTTCTCGACCGCATCAATATCGGAAATGCGCGGCTCATGGGCCTGGAAGAGGACCTCGGTATGAAGGGCCATCAGTATAATATCGCGCTGTTTGTGTTCTTTATACCGTATGTGCTGTTCGAGGTGCCGAGTAATGTCATCTTGAAGAAGGTGAAGCCGAGCTGGTGGCTTTCTGGGATTATGTTTGGGTGGGGTGGGTTATTCCTTTCTTGCCTTTCTCTCCCTATGATATTGATTTGGTGGTTTTCTAGGTATTGTGACAATCTGTCAGGGTGTGACGGAAAGTTTCAAGGGACTAGTTGCTTGTAGGGTCTTAATAGGGTTGTTGGAGGCTGGGTTCATGCCTGGTTCGTGCCCCCTTTATACTCCATATTATCGGATGTATGCTGACTCCAAAAGGATCCGTATACCTCATCAACATGTACTACCGTCGCCACGAGCTCCAGTGGCGCCTCAACGTCTTCTTCAGCGCAAGTATCTTGGCTGGTGCAATCAGCGGGGTACGTGACCCTCCCCCCAGCCTGACGAAACGCATTTAATAAAGAATATAGCTTCTCGCCTACGGCATAGCCAACATGGACGGCATCGCCGGGTACAGCGGCTGGCGCTGGATCTTCATCATCGAGGGCCTCGCCACCGTCGTCGTGGCTGTCATCGCCAAATTTGTCATCGTCGACTGGCCCGAATCAGCGACCTTTTTGAATGAAGACGAGCGGGCTCTCCTGCTGAAACGGCTGGCCGAGGATCAGGGCGAAGCGAAGATGAACCGGATGGATAAGAGCTCGATGAAAAGGACGTTCTCGGATCCGAAGCTGTACCTTGGGTACGTGGCAATTTCCCTGGATGAAACCTCCGAGATTTGTTGAACTAATGATCGTGTCGAATAGCCCTATCATGTACTTCGGCATCGTCAACACCGGCTACGCGGTATCATTCTTCACACCGACCATCCTGCACCAACTCGGCTGGACGCAAGTGCGCGCACAAGTGATGAGCATCCCCGTGTACTGCGTCTCGGTGGTCATCACACTGGCGACAGCCTACGCGAGCGACAGGCTCCGACACCGCTTCGCGTTCACCCTGACCGGGTGTCTCATCGCCACGCTGGGCTACGTGATTCTGCTCTGCCAGGGCTCTGTGCCCGTGGGAGTGCGCTATTTCGCCGTCTTCGCCATCACGAGCGGCGGGTTCCTCACGCAGCCGATCTTGATGGGTTGGCTCAGTAATAACATGGCGGGCCACTATAAGCAGTCTATTGCATCTGCGATGCAGATCGGCTTTGGCAACTGTGGGGGTCTCGTCGCGAGTAATATCTATTTCGACTCTGAGGCGCCCGGGTACCGCACGGGGTATGGTGTCAGTTTGGGGATGACTTGGATTTGTGGATTGTCGTGTATGGCTTTCCTTTGGTATCTGGTTAAGGAGAATAAGTTGCGAGAGAGGGGGGAGAGGGATCATCGGTATGAGCTTCCGAGGGAGGAGTTGGAGAATTTGGGGGATGATCATCCGAGTTTTCGGTTTACGTATTAGAGTATTGTTTGTTGTTTGGGAGCTTGAGCATATTGGAATTAAATTGGTGTCCCGCGTTCATTCATCTTGTATTTACTCGGAGACTGGGACTAAGCTGTCCCGTGAGTATATCGTCGACTCGACCTCTCTGTCTGCACTCGCGTCCACGCTGCTGGTTGACTCGGCATATACGGTGCATTTCCAGAACGATATGCTTACCCCATCGAAATGGAATGTGTAGCAGTATTTTTTGCGTAGGTCCGACTGAGAACCCCCTATTGTACTCGTTGCGTGAACAACAAGCTCGTCCAGTGTTTGCGTTTCTTCTCTAGCCCGCTGGGGCAGCGTAGCATTCATTCCATAAGAACGATGGTAAATCTCAGTGGATCCACCAACGACGTCCTCTAGCCAAACTTGTATGTGTGGGCCGCAGGGTTGCAAGAATGAGTCCTTGAGACGGTAAACACTGCGTCTAACCACTGCTGTTTCGCTGATCTCTTCACAGAGGAATTCCTTCTCGTATCCCGGGGTAGACACATATCGCGGAAAGAACGTCACTGTACCAGATGCATTCTTCTCCCCGGTAGAGTTTTTCCGCGAGAATCGCCAGGTCCCATGGAGAGCCCGAAAGACTGCGGCGGCGGTAGCCATATTCGGTAGATCAGGACTGGGAGAGAGGGTTTTCTCCAGGGATTCCAAAACAATACGAACGTCTTGATCTCCCGCGGTTTTCCCTCTCTCCACGCAACATGCGTTGGGTTTACTGCCCGTATACCGCGCAGGTATAACAGGCCCTGGCTCACCCTCCGGTATGGAGAGTGGAGTACGACAGATCCCTAGCTCTCTGGAAAAAGACTCCATCAATCCCACGTAGTCGCCCATGGGGAATTGACCACGCTGCAGGCGCGGATCGGCACGCCTAAGATTGCGAATGGCTTGTCTTTCTTGAGATCGTGACTCAACCTCATGGCTCGGGATCTCAATTGGATCCTCGGATTTACCTCGGGACCAGGTTGCCGCGAGGCTTTTCGCCTGCATCTCCATGGCGCCCCAGTATGGACCGCGGTAGAACCCGACGAACCCTAGGTCGGGTATGTCAACGTGGGAAGTACCCTTTCCGTCTAGAACAAGGGATAGGAAGGAGTCGCTTGGGGAGTACTCCAGTGTTGTGAGGACATCCTCTGGAAGGTAGGATATAGAGGTAAATGGTGTAAAGCCAGTGGCCGTGACGATGGCAGCAACGTTGTCTAGGAGCTTCGTTTCGCCATTTGGAAGAGTCACTTCGATGCTCGCTTTGTCAGAGGAGAAAGGCTTCACAGCGCATACCCGTCCAGTAACTGGGTTGATTGTCCCTGCGCGCACATATTCTGCATAGTCGTCTTGAATGGCTACCCAGGACGGTGGTTTGCGGTGATCTTTTCTGTCGTTTATATGGACATCAACACTTCCGACGCGTCTGTGCTCTCCTCCAAACAAAGAGAAAAAATAATCATTTAATTTCGTAGCCTGTTCTTGACCGATAGGCCCATAGGCATATTCGACTGGTCCTGGTGGACGCCGTGCTAGGTCATAGAACACTAGGTCAACGGGTAAGAACGTCGAGGGTGACTGAGCAGCAGCCGACGAGCTCGTATGTGGAATGTAAAATGGGACTGTCCAGAATGGCCTTGAACAAACATGGTACACCTCAAAGTGCGGTGCATTTTGGGACGAATGTAGTGAATGCTTGAGAGAGGACAAGTGAAGTGAGATTGCCGATGCAGCCTCAGCACCAGAAATACTGCCTCCAATGACAACTATTTTACCACCTGCGGTTCTGGCAGTGTTCAGAAACTTGCGCATATCGCCCTCATTGTTCAGAGCTGAGCTGTGGATAGCCCTGTGAGCAAAGATATCTAGCCCGGGGATATCTGGTGTGTGAGGACTCGAGAAGTATCCAGATGCGACCAAGAGGAAGTCGAAGGTTTCACTGCTTTCTTCTTGGCTGTCCTTATCCTGACCTGTACTGCTGAGACTTTAGCCTGTATTCCAAGTCTCCTGGCAAAAGCGGGTAGAGAAACCTTTCATCCGAAACCCAATGGATAGTCCACCGCTCACTCGGCCTCGCCTCAGCACAGCGGACAGCGCGAACAACCCGCTGGCCCAGCCGAAGCACATCCGGCGACAGATACTTCTCCGAATACCTCTTCAGATACCCCCCCACCTGCCACGCCTGGGGAAACATAGGAACATCCCGTCCCTCGAATACTGCATCCCACGCCAGATCGGAAAACGCCACCGAGAACCTGCTGAGGTTTGTCCTCATCAGCGGATCCACCTGCAGCCCGCGCGTCGGCCGGCAGCTGGAGCTTTCATTCTCAGCGGCTGGGGGCTCCGTAGGCCATAGACCGCCTATATCATGGCGTTTTTCGAAAATCACCGGCTGAAATGTCCCTTCTGGATGGTTCTGGAGCAGCGTTTTGGCTGCTACTAGGCCCGAGGGACCGCCGCCTGTGGTTGTTAGCCGGTATATTCCCTACAAAGGGTAACACCCTCATCCTATACTAAGGGAGAGCTGACCTATTATGGCGACTTTCTTTGGGCGTTGCATATCATGCTATCACATCGCCTGGCTGGGAGACATGAATGAGTGAAGGATGAGGGGGTCCGCCCGTGCCCCGCAGAGGGGTATCATATACAATATTCCCTCTTCTCGACAGCACCCAGCAATGACAGGGGTGGTAGCAGAAATCGCACGGGGACATGCTTTTATGTTCGCTCTTAATGATTATTGTTGTTTGCTCGCATCTTCAACCTCAAATCGTAAATCATTTCATAAATTGAAGTTTGCCAATTGGCTTCCAGTCTTCCTACGTTAGCAGTATGCCAATTATCGTAGATACACTACGATGTGCTCGGGAGATACATTGCTTATAGTTTCGCCAACCTCCCAGCAGCGACTTCCTGAGCATTGCGATAGTCAATCGCAAAACTATAAGCGGGATCGTAATGCATAGCCCAATACCCATCCCAGATGGTCTTAGTGATGGGTCCAACGTTCCCCCCATTTACAGGTTCACCATCCAACGACGTGATGGGCATCACACCACCAGCAGTCGTACACATGAAAATCTCATCACAGGAGTAGGCCAAACTAACCGGCACGACCTCGACGCGAACCGGGATCCCATTAGCCCGCGCGACGTCGATGACACTCTTGCGCGTCACGCCTTCCAAGACGCCCCGGTCCGGAGTATAAAGGGTACCGTCCTTTACCAAGACAATGTTGTACCCGGAGCCCTCGGTGAGATTTCCATCTCCGTCGGTGAGAAAAGGATAGTCGGCGCCCCGATCGGCCGCCTCGATCAGACCACGCGTCAAATCACCCCATTGCAGGTTTTTCACAGTGGGGTCCATGGAGCCTGGTGGGACCCGTCGCACAGTGCGGGTGATGATAGCACTACCGCCGACGTGCTGCTCCTTGGGCTCCATGACCCAGAGATAAGGGACGACGAATAGGTAGAGGGTATTGGTGAGGTCTTTGGTTTTGGCACCTCGGACGCCCTGAAGACCGCGGGTGACGATTAATTCCACAAAGGCGTCTTGGATGCCGCTCTTCGCGATCATGTCCACTAGGATTTGCTTCACCTGTTCCCGGGGCAGAGGAAGTTTGAGGTGCAGCTTATGACAGCTGCTCTCTAGGCGGGACAGGTGATCGTCGAGGCGGAAGAAGCGCCCATCCCAGACTGCGGGGACATCATACGTCAAATCACTGTGCAAGAAGCCTTGGTCTAGGAGGGGAATCCGGGCCTCGGCGATGGGGACGAGATTCCCTTCCACCCACGCGATTCCTTGGGCGAAGGGACTATTGTTTGCTGCGAGAGTAGCCTGTCGAGAGGTATATCCCGCGAATACATCTTTCATGGAAGTCATGGTGGAGGGACTTGTAGTATGAGTCGATTTTTGGTTTCAATCAACGACTGCGATTACAGCTGAATGGATTATTCGGCCGTATAGACTGTGCACGACCTTCCCTCTTATATGCTGTCCACGAGAGAGGGGTGCACAGGGCATGGTTAGGGACATGAGGTACATTAGTGCCGGTGCTTCCTTCACATTCAAGCGTTGCATTGAGCGGGGGAGCGGGCGGGCAAGGCAGCGAGACACCCAGGCTGCAATAAGGAACGAAAAACGAACTTCCCAATCCGGCAAGTGAAACGACTGACATAATCAATCCGGGCCAGCCGAGTCCTTATTGCTTGATTCGGTTAGCGCCAACTGGTCAATCTGCACGCAGCACTGTAAACGGAGGATAAGGTTATCTATCTACTAAACAAGCGATAGTCCGACCAACAAATTGACATATCCGTAGAATTGAACGACTAGCTATGAGTCAAGCAATGGATCAGTTAATATGGCCTGATCTTACAATCCTGACCAAGTCTCCGATGCGGGGCAAACCGAAACCTTTAGGTAATTGACACAGGGACCTAGCCTTGGTGCTTGCTATCAGCGGAGGTTCCCCACACTCAGTCGTTGGTTTTAATTCGGACCCAAACCTCAACCTGGGGCGGTTCATTTGTCTTCCACCTCTGTAACTTCCCTTGACAAGAGAAACTCAAGATTGCAAGATGTCGCAAAAAAATGTCGTTGTGATAGGGTACGGAATATGCATTGGTTTCTTCCATATGACATGAACAACTAACGACTGTAGAGCCGGTGTCGCCGGGTTGACCACCGCTCTCCTCCTGTCCAAGCGTCCCGGCTACAAGATTGTCGTGGCTGCCAAGCACATGCCGGGAGATTATGACATTGAATATGCTTCCCCGTGGGCTGGAGCGAACTATATGCCGTAAGTCATACTGTGGATCTTTGCTAGACAGTGACTGACTGGTTTCATGCAGTGTTTCTGTTCGTGGAACAGAGGCGGCAAAGTGGGACAAGGACACTTGGGGTCCGCTGGAAGACCTAGCGCAGAACCATCCCGATGCTGGGGTTCACTTCCAAGGTATGTCGGAACACTGCTGTACAGTTAACTCGGAAGCTAATGTTGCCTAGAGTGCGAAATCCGCAGTCGCTCGAAGGATGTCGGCACTGCGACGGCAGACTGGTTCGCTGAGCTCCTGTCGCCCAGCCCGTGGTTCAAGGACGTCGTGCCCAACGTATGTTGAAAATGCATGTTCACAATCAGTGTAAGACCAAATATGCTAAAAACCCACAGTTCCGCACGCTCCCTAAAGAGACTCTCGGCTCAGGGATCGACTCCGGCACGGCATTCACCTCCGTCTGCATCAACACAGCCATCTACCTCCCCTGGCTCGTCTCGCAGTGTCTCAAGAACGGCGTGATCTTCAAACGCGCCGTCTTCAAGCACATTTCGGAGGCAAGCTCCTCAGGCATCCACCCCGGAAACAAAGTCGACATCGTAATCAACTGCACAGGACTGATGGCCTCGACCCTCGGCGGCGTGGAAGACAAAAAGGTCGTTCCCGCTCGCGGTCAAATAGTTATCGTCCGCAACGACTCCGGTCGCATGTACGATATCTCCGGCACAGACGACGGGCCCGACGAAGCGTGCTACATGATGACGAGGGCCGCTGGCGGCGGCACCATCCTCGGCGGCTCCTACCAGAAGGGCAGCTGGGAGTCGCAGCCGGACCCGAATCTCGCGACCAGGATCATGAAGCGCGCTGTTGAGCTGTGTCCTGCGCTGACGGGCGGGAAGGGAATCGAGCATCTGGATGTTATTCGCCATGGGGTGGGGTTGCGGCCTGTGCGTGAGGGTGGTACCAGGATTGAAAAGGAGCGTCTGGGAGGTGTGTGGGTTGTTCATAACTATGGTGCTGGTGGGGCTGGATATCAGTCATCGTATGGGTGTGCGAAGGCTGCTGTTGACCTCGTTGAGGAGGCCTCGAGAGAGAAGGCGAAGCTGTAGATAACATACCGTACGGTATATAGATCTTCTTAGGGTAGGAAGTCAGTTTTGTAAAGCAGTGCCTCAATGCTGATTCAATTCCGCCGGGCGGATGGAATAATTACAATTTACCTAACAGTCTTGAGTAGTAGACAGTATACTATACATAGGTTATCAGAATTGTAAAAGATATACAAACTACAATATTAGCAGGATTTATACCCAGGCAATATTACCCCATAGTAATGATGTGCCCGCCAGCCCGACCCCACTTCAGAAGATACCACGTCCAAGTTCATACATCACATCAATCAATCAACACAATTTCCCCCCCTGCATAACCCACCCCAAAACCTAGACACCTACCCTAAGTATCTATATACCTCATTAGAGCCAACACCAACAATGGCCGCAACCGCCAAACGCCCCGAGATCATCGCGCTCGCCCGCGACTTACACGGCGTGCCCATGTGCGAAGACTACGAGCGCATGATCTCAGGAATGATGTACGTACACTGCACACATATAGTACCGTTCCTGCATACATTAGTCACATATAAAGAAATATCTTACCACATACCACGTTCCCCCCAGTTAACAATCACAGGTACAACCCCACAACCCCGCAACTCTCCGAAGCGCGCCACCGCTGCCGGGGCCTCACAGCCGACTACAACAACCTGGACACGAAAACCATCAGCTACGAAGAAATCGGCACCGCACGACACGCCCTCCTCGGCAAACTCGTCGGCAAAGTCGGGGCCGGCACGTTCGTCGAACCCCCGTTCTACGTAGACTACGGCTGTAATACAGTCATCGGGGAGAACTGCTTTATTAATTGGAAGTTAGTATCCCTTTTCCCCCTCCACTTCCCATATATATCGTGATGAATGCTAATGGCGATGACAGTGTAACAATCCTCGACACAAGCCTCGTCCACATCGGCAACAGAGTCCAACTCGGCACCGGCGTAAGCATATTCAGCGCCGGGCACGACACGAGCGTTCTCTCGCGGCGGAAGTGCGTCGAGTTCGGACACCCGGTGTTCATCGAGGATGACTGCTGGATCGGCGGGAATGTTATCATCTTGCCCGGGGTGAGGATCGGGCAGGGCTCGACGATTGGGGCGGGGTCGGTTGTCACGAAGGATGTTCCGCCGTTTTCGGTCGCCGTGGGGAGTCCTTGTCGGGTGATAAAGACGGTATTGTCGGCGGAGGAGGAGGAGAGGGAGGAGGGGAATGTTTATCGGGATTTGTAGGTGTTGATTGAGGTCAGCTCTTTGGTGCCTGTTGTTGCTGGTTTAGTGTACTGCTGGTAGGGTGTAGATAGGTATATGGACTATATATAGATGATATTGAAACGCGTCTATGCATACCCGTTCGTTCAATCACTGGTACAACTACTGATTCTTCAGGTCGACCGCTAGATTATAGGATAGAGTGTTTGTTCATTTGTATCAAGGGTCAGGAAGGTTTCATTCGGGAGAAACATCAAGCCAAGTCAACGAACAGTGGTTCGTTCAAGTCTCCAGGGCATAGATATATATTTCGAACACCAAGTATATATTACGTGGAATTGTCATCCAATGCAATCGGCATCGTAGAAAATCCAGCTCTACTACATCCTAGCCATTTAGTACAGTACTTGCCATAGCACCTATAGTATATATACATGTGACTCACTGTTTCCAAAGTGGTCAAACTCAACACCAAGGTCATTAATGCTTCAAACTGAGCCAAATTCAAGGCACTGCTTTATCCATCCATCCTATCAAAAAAAACAAGACACAATCTGAGCAACTCTTCATCCCCAAAACCAAGAAACCTCATCAAAGTCAATTAAAAATTATATTCAAGATTCATTATCGGATCAATGGGTATCAAAAAAGGGTATAAAAGAAGAAAAAGAAAGAAGGAGAGAGATAGAGAGGTGGTTGGTAGAGAAAAAAAGAGGAAAAAGAAAAAAGATATCAACGGCCCGAGCCGCGGATCGAACGCGGGACCTCTCGCAGATATGCTTGGGTTTAAATCCCTAAGCGAGAATCATACCACTAGACCACCCGGGCTTTGATGATGACGACATGAAGGGAGGATTGTTCCAGAAGGCGGGAATCCAGGGGAGCTGGTTGAAGGTCGGTTGCATGGAAGTGGAATTGGCAGTGGAAAGGAGGCGAGACGGAGTTGAGGTGAAGGTCATGAGATCGAACGTGATGAGCGTTTTTCGACAAGGCTGAGAAAAAGAAAAGAAACAAAAAAAGGAAAAGAAGATGAGACATTAAACGATAGGCTGTGCGATGATGCTTGTTTGTCGTTGGCGTGCGTCGCTTGGCGCCGTCTGATGACGCCAATGCCAAGGGCGAGGATTCGCATGCCCGCATCGTTCTGGAAGTAGGGGGTATAATCCATGACGCAGCCTGCGCCTCGGGTATCGTCACTTAGATCGATTGGTTTGTTTCAGGGTTGGCTGGGTGGGTGTCGATCTGGGGTAGTAGTAAAGTTCTTTGGGAGGGTTGATTCTCCCACCTAGATAGTGTGGCGATCGATGGATGGCGTGTATGAGTTGTTACACACCGCTGTTGTCGAGATGGTGTGGGCAGGGACTAGGGAGTCTAGTGACCTAGTTGGATACCCGCTCCAGCCAAGCAGTCACCTGCACCTCTGGGCTGTCGCTTTGGGGATGATAAACGGCTGTGACCTGCTGTGACGTGACAAAGGTATCGACGTTGCGCTCGGTCAGAGGAACCTTGGTCCTGTTCTTCTGTCGAAGGACCTCGCGCTCGGCACGGGCAGCCGGTGATAACTTGGAGAGGGTGTTGCGGATGCGACGGATGCCATCTCCGCCCGGGAAGGAGGTGATGCGCGGTGGGCCGAACGGGGTATCGACTCTCCACGGGTCTTCGGAGGCGAGAGAGCGAACGCTCTTCTTGCGCTCGGAGCGGAACTTGGACATGATGGGCCAGGGTGCTTTGGAGGGGCGGTTATGATGGTGATGATGACGGTGGAAGGGGAAACAGGAAGGCATCGAAGGGGGGACAACCAATGTGAATATATAGGGGGAGGGTTAAGAAAGTATGTGTTGTGCTGGACTGGCTGGCCCACTAAAGTGATTAACGTGCGGGGGGGCGCGGCGGGGTGGCAGGGGACTGTCTTCGACATCAACTGGGTAAATACGGGATGAGTGGATCCGCATGCACTAGTTCCAGTGAAGTTGGGGAAACGGAGGGGAATAAGATAGATAGCAAGTGCGCGAAGGAAGACTATACCTGCCATTAAACCTGCAAGAGCCCAGAAGGAAATAATACGCTACTTGGCAGGAAAGTAGCCCGGGGGGTCCGAGTGTTATGCCATGCCTTGCCTTGTCTTAAACGTGGGATTTCTGATTTCCCTTCATCTCTGTCTCGAGAATGAGTGGTTAAGGAGATTAAGATCAGACAAAGGGAGAAAAGAAAACAGGAGCATGGAGGGAAAAAGGGTGACCTAACGACGTCATTGAACAACGAGGCAGGCACTAGGATATGTTGATCCGACAGGTTTGGTTTCATGACACGACTGTATTTATTATTAGCCTGTACCTTGGACAGATAAGCACTGCCATACTAGGACATAAATAATAGAAAAACGGCAATAACGGCAATACTTCCACATTCAAGTAATATTATTACCCGTTCCACTTACGTATCATCCCATCAAGATAGTACTGATGGGTTCCTGCCTCACTTACTGATAACACGGCAATCGCGCGTATCCCTCTAATCTAGCAAGTAGTTACCAGTTAGCGCCCGGAGTGGGGTGAAAACAAGACGAAGCCATACACTTAGACCTGGTTTTATCTCGACCAGACAAGCGTGTGGATAAGGCTGATCTCCCAGAATCATCCGGATTGTTCGACCAGGGATTGTAGATGCATGAAGCTGGTGCTTGGCAGGGAATGATCGCCGAACAAGTCATCAACTACTCCATACTGTAATCTAGTCCATCTTAGCAGGTTGTACACAACCGGACTGAGACTGCATCTGACACAAGCCCAGCTACCTGATAATGAGACAGTCATTATTCTATCCCATCAAGTAATCCACCAAGTCATCTATCTACAATCCCCCACTGACAGCAACTCACTCACTCACGCCCCTCCCCACCCGCATAGCAAACATGCAACTCCGCGGGGATCAACCCAACCAAACGCAGCTGGAACCATCTGGAAAAAGCCAAGGAATGCTTGGAAGGGCTCCGTGCGGGGTCAGCAGCCACCAGGTGTCAGTAGCAGTATCTCCGCTGGTCCATTGCCCGCTCTGGATGCGGGCCCTGGATGGGTGGTTGATTTGACTGGTTGGTAGTCTGTGGGTAGGTACTGGATGGGTTCGTATTCTCCGTCTACCTACATAATGCTTTCGAGGTGATTCCCCGATGCATATCCTGATTGGGTGTTTGGTTTGGGTTGCGTGGACTTGGGGTTGGCGTGCGTATATTGTGCAGGCTTGTGCTAGGTTATACTACTAGGTTGTGGATTAGGTATGGGTGGGGACTGGTCATCTGACTAGCATTTGCAAATGGTGTCTTGGTGAAAATATGGAAGTTTGTAATTTCCCTAGCCAATTCCTATACACCATTGATATATATCCACAGAGATATTATACACAAATCAAATCAACCATACCCGCTGGTTGGCAAAAACGCCAAACGACCATTTTCTACAATCTTGCATATCATACCAGATGCCCAGGCAACGGTCACTAAGAAATCAACAGTTCTCGAACGCTCATTCCCGTCTTCTTGTGGGGATCTTGCATCGCAACTCGGGGGCCTTCCGGTGGAGTGTGATGCCCCTCGACAGAGCCCACAGAGCCCACAGACCCCACAGACCCCACCGACCGGCGACACTCCCGGTTCAACATCAGCAGCGCAGCTGACGCCTCGTGGTCGAGATTGGCGGACGGGTTCATATACTGCGGGTGGAGCGCTGGTGATGTGTGTGCGGACGATGCCGTCCATGATGCATGCGACGAAGGGATGCCATGGTCGGCAAGATACATGGGACCCAGGGCCGGGCTGGGGAGGATAGAGGGTAGAGGCTCGACTGCTGCAGCGGTCGGTAGTACACCACCCCAGGGAGATGCCAGGGATGCCTGGGGAGCCTGGTATGGAGGAAGGTCCGGGGATACCGAAGCCGAGGGGTCCTCGGCCTCATCCCCCAGGATTTCAGGTGACGTGGGAGAGGGAGGTCCGGGCGGCATTCGCAGAGGGGCCGTGGCCGGCTGGTCGGTCGTCTTCAGATCCTGGACGCACTGTTCCAGGTAATTGACGTAGTCAATGCTTGCCTAGTGATACTATCAGCCGACTGAACGAGGGTGGGCGTGAAGGGTCGGGTCGCCGGACGAACCTGCAAGATAGCCAGCTTATGCATCTCCTGGCCATTACAGGCGGGAATCATATCCTTCAGCGTCGAAAATTCCTCGTTCATTTTGGACCGCCGCCGTCGCTCGATCAAACTGTGGGCGGTCTTCCGGGCAATTTTCCGACCGGCCGCGCTCGTCGCACTGGGTTGTTTCTTTTTGGACGCCGCCGCCGTCGGGCTGTTGCTGGGGTTCTTGCCATTCTCCCGGGACTTGTTGGCCGGCGGGGGAGGCTTGGGTTGGGTGTGTGCCTTGGGCTTCATCTGGATGATCTTGCGGGTGCGGGTGGGAGGTGGCGGCAGGCCAAAGTCTTCGAGTGGCCTCTTGACGCCGGTCTGATGGGGTTGGTTTGCACGACTCCGAGCGGCGTCTGGGGAGGTGGGCGAGACCGGATAGTAAACTGAGGGGTCTGATCTTGAGGATCTCCGGCTGGGGTGGTCCAGGTTGGATGGACTGACGGCGGCAGGAGGTAGAGCGAACAGGTCTGTTCCGTCCAAGGATGTCTGCTCCTTGATGATGAGTTCCCCCGACATGGCGGGGGTCGGAGGAAGACGAGAACGAGACATGGGGGCGAGGCGAGACGAGGGAATGGCTGAGGTTTCAGCGAGCACGAGACTGGTGCACTGGTCTAGGAGTATGTAGGACAACCGGTTTGGCCAAGCGAACGTTCCTAGATGGTAGGGTGAGGTAAAAAGGATAGATAAATGTGATAAAAATAAAAGAGGATTCTTATTCAATTGTATTCTCTCAAGGAAGAGAGAAAAAGTTCAGCCCCAATGATCTAAATCAAAAGACCAAAACAGCAACATGATGGGCTCCTCCGTACTATAAGGAGATCGGGAAGGGGAGAACGAAACAAGGGAGAAACTCAAAAGGATGGCAGAATCCGATCGGGTAATACGTCAGGTCTCAAAGACGAAAGTCAAAGGCCAAAAAGTGCAAGCAGGAGAATGGGATCGACGTGGAGCCAGGAGAGAAAGACGAAGTCGATCATGGTGTTTGGTGTCGCGTGCTTGGATTGCCCATGCCCACGCGGGGGATCTAAGGGAGCTAATTGGCTGTATGTGGGTAATGCACTTCCGCGGTGCCTGTTTACTTAATGAGTATTTCCTTCGTACTTTAGTAACAATTGACTTTGGTTAGAACTCGTGTTGGTGTCTGTTCTTCTGATGGGTGTACCATTAATCGAATTTCAACCTTATCGATTTGTTTGGACAACCATGGTACGGAAGAGAGCACCAAACACCAGGGCCCGGAGCATGGGATGAAGTCGGAGTCAAGGCAACTATCACATCCGACATCCGAAGTCTTTCCGAGCCCAATATGATTAAGGTACTCCCACTCAGGAAATTGTTCATATGACTTGCAGACAATAAAAAGAATACCATTGTTACTCAATATTGGAGGACCATAACATGAAACAATCAAACTAACGACATCCTTCGAGACGACCAGCGCTCCGAAGATCGTCGTCATAGGTCGCGTGTTATTTTCGTAGCCCATACACTCCCTGATACCTTACTATAATAGCGAAGGCACTATAGTGTGTTCCGTGGTCCGCCCCCGGACGGGGATCGGAGCACGTGCACACCTCCCCTTCCCTGAGTGGGATTTTCCCGACAAGTCCATACCGGGTATATTTCCATGAATCCACCGCAACTATCCATGGACGAGCATGGATCCCTGCACATGTTCCTCCCATTCAGAGTCGGAGCTCCTGCACGATGGAGGATACCCCATTCTAACGGCACCGATCGGTACACCCAATATACGTATCCCAGCTGTCACCCATTAGTCAATGAAATCTACCATCAGACAGGGAAAGAAACCCACCAGAAAGATTCATCATGAGGCAAAGCCACCACGCACGCCTGCGCGGCAATCGCACACAGAGCCGAGCAATCGGACGTATCGTCGGAACCACTCGATGCTTCCTTATTGGCGCTGTGCGTAGTGTCCGGCGATGAGATCTTGGGCCAGTTGCGGTGGCCGCCTTCACCGGGCGCAGTCGCTCGATCTGAGGCTGTGCTGTTGGTGCCGGAGATCTTGGCTATGCGGAGGGGGCCGGCGGATGGGAACGCGGTGGATGTGGTTGCCAGGATGGCAATGGTTGTGAGGAGGGTGTTGGTTAGGTGCATGGTGCAGGTAAGATGTAGTTGATGGGTGAACCAACGTATGGACAAGTATGGGAAAATAGGTTGGGACGTAAAGTATACAGAAGAGGAACTCGTAGTGAACAATATCTTTCTTCTTTCCACTGACTTGGGAACCATGGTCTGTATTCCATCGTCTTTATATCGTGGACCTCACTAGAAGCAAGAGCTAGCATTCACAAAGGCACATCCAGCCTCCCACCGACCTTCAGCATTCCTCATATCCCCAATGTCACTTTAATTTCTTCAGCCAGACTCGAATTCACACTATGACTGGGTGAATATAACAAGGTGCATACCAGACGATGATGAAACATGATCGGATCAAATAACCGCTATGTACACAACGCGCTCATGCATACCAGGATCGTCGCAGGGAGGACTGACCGTGTCTTTAGGGCATCAAAGCATCTGGTGGTACAGACTTTGATGGTTTGCAGGTTTGCATAGTCAACTTTACGTGTTATGTACATCTTGGTTTGGGTACTGCTTACTATGTGGTACCTTATCTATGCTGGAGTATCACCAGATCAGCTATCCACACGGTCAGTAAGTACCTAAGTACCTGCCTGGTATCTGGGGAGTAAAGTCCAACGCGCAATTCCTGCACGAAAACCAAACTCGGGATATACTACACCCATACATACTTTCCCAGCATCAAGCATTATGGGTTTATCAATTTACACCCTCCCACACACTCAACAACCAACATGACAGAATGAATAAAGGTGAAACACCAAACTCCCCAACCTTGAGGAAACATGCCAGCCCAAGGGGTTCGCATTTTTCGTCGTTCCAGCCTGGCTACTTGAAGTAAGTGAGAAAGAAGGAGTGGGCGTGGTTGTATTTTCAGATTTGCGATCCTGAGACGGTTCAGGAATGCGGGTCTTCACTCGCTCCTGAGTAGTATTAGGTACCGGTAGTATCTGAGGTAGGTAGTTCTACTGGTATAGCTGTTGGATGATATTGTGTGGGATTAGTAGGTATCTGTCTTTCCTGCCCCTTGTTCTATCTCCTTGAATAAAAATTGATGTCATAGTCTCATGTTTCTAATGTTTCTATATACTCATGATGTATGTTTATATTTACATACAAATTCCATCACTGTATCATGCAACAAGGGCATCCATCCCTTCCCTTCATCTACAGACTGACATCATCACCGTCATATCACACAGTGAAAGGCCAACTCAGGTAAAAACTCTCTCCAACAACACCTCCCCAAAGTTCCCCTCAACAGGCGACCCATCCATCCTCCAAATACGATTCCCCGCCGACGCACTCAACCAAAACCCATGGTCACTAGAGCTCTCCTCATCGCCCTCAAGACGGTGCCTATTCCTCCTATCAACAATACAAGCCCCACGCGTCCACTGCCCCGTCGTCTCAACCCGGATATCCTCCGGCGACGTCGCACTCGGCACCCACCGCTTGTCGTCCGTCGTCAGCGCGTACCACACACAAACAGGGTCATGCAGGCTCAGCTCGGCGTCATCGCCCACGTGGCCCTGGTGTAGGCGCTCCAGTGTGCGGAACGTGTGCCCCATGAAGGCTGAGACCCATTCTGCGAGTGGTGAGCCTGCGACGACTAGCGGGGCGGTTGTTGTGCGGAACTGTCCGCGTTTCATGCCGTGCTTGAGGGTGATGTCTAGCGGGAATTGCCGTAGTGTGAGCTGCTTGGGGAGGGTGGCTGGGTAGTTGGGGAGGCTTTTGGGGCTCTTTGTGTGCGGCATTGTTGTGTGGGGTCGGGGGGATGTTAGGGCGTAGACTCTTGCTGCTGCGACGGCGTCGGCATAGGCGTTGAATTCGCCGACGGGGGTTACCTGGGGTGGTAGTGTTAGCATACAGCCTCTCTAGATATATAGATGTCTGGACGAGTGCGTCTGAAGGGTGTAAGGGTATAAGGGTGTCTCGCGGCTTACATTCCCAGGCTCATTCACAGTCCCTCCCATAACGACAACCTCCTTAACCCGAAGGAAAGCTTCCGGGTCAGCCGCAGACGCAAGCGCCAGATTAGTCAACGGACCAACAGCCACGAGCGTCACAGTGTCGGGGTCATTCTCGCGCAGCACACGCAGGATCTCTTCGTGCGCGGGGCGCTTTGAAGCGACGTATAACGGACGGGCAGGGTCGCCCACTGGAACGGGGTCGATCTTGGAAGGATCCGCAGACGGGTCGAAGAGGTGCTCCCATGTCTCCTTGGGAGTAAGATGTGGGTGCTATACGTAGTCATTAGTATTTTGGTGTTTGTAGGAATGGTTGGAATGGTTGTGTCTCTTACACTAGCGTGGATACCGCCTAGTCCGTCGGTTCCGTCTGTAGATGATCAGTTAGTACTTGGATCCAGGTAGACAGTTAAGAAGGATGGATGTACTCACGGAAGTAATCAGCCAGCATCTTCTGCTCCTCGAGGGGATCCTCGGCTCCCACCGCTACCGTGGGAGGATGGGCGCGCAGAGCGTCGAACCCCTCGGGCCGGCCCTGCTCTCTGCGCCACTGCATCTCGCGCTCCAGGATGTGGAACATGGAGACGACATTGCGGAGACAGCTGTAAAATCTTGGTCAGAAGCTGGATACTGAAGGGGAAAGGGTATAAGATAGTCTCGTGGCTAACTGGCCTGACCTACCTTCTCACTTCAATATTGCCAAATGTCAACGAGATCAACTCGACCTCGACTTCCTCGGGTTTAGCCGACAGAGCGAGGAGAAGCCCGAGAATGTCATCGATGCCCTATTATTTTACAGCCAAATTAGCATGGGTTATTCAAGCGAAGATGTCCATTGAAGCGGCATGATATGAAAGATGAGGGGTAAGGTGGCGCACGGCGCAACTCGCAACTGGTAGAATCGCGAGGTATACCAGGTAAAGTTAGTACATACAGGATCGGTGTCAATAATAATTTTCTTGCCCATTTTCTCTTATGTCTCTTGCGTAGTTCTGATTCTAATAAAAGGTTTGCACAGCAGGTAGGTACCTATTTATTGATTGTTGTAGAAGTGATAAAGCCAGTGACGAAGGCGGGTTGGTTTGGCTATGTCATCATCGAACTCCACTTCGTTTGACGTTAGTCATGGCTATTACGGACTCCGGGGGGCTAGTTAGGGACAACTCCTGAGTAAGTGGGTCCTGGCTACGAACGCTTCGAAGGCTCAGTTTAGATTTGGCCATGCATTGAGGGTCTCTTATATACATAGGTTGCAGTATAACATCATTCCTTGTATCAGACAGACAACGAACATTGACACCACATGGCCTAGAACTAGATGATATACTATAGCACGCTCTACTAGCACGAGAAACCACCCTGTCGGCACTGTTCAAATGAGAAAATTGGTAGATTGCTCGGTCATTAATTGTCATCGAAGTCACTGTATAAAATGCCACTGCTTTACAGGATAGAAGGCGAAAAAAGAAGATAAAATGATTGGAAGAGATATCAAAAAGAAAAAGAAAAACACATCCACCGATCAGTGGTGGTCAAAGCCAGCGCCCTTGTGCCACGGGCTCGCGTTGTTCTGGCCACGCTGCATGGTCTGGGCTGAAAGCATCGGGCTACCCATGGGCTGTCCATTGCTGGGGATGAGCGGCACGGACAGATCGACTTGGGACACGGGGGTGTGAGGCGAGGGCTGGTCCAGACTGTGGCGGCCGCCGAGACCGTTGCCGGGGGAGAACGCATCGCCATACATCGGGTCCTTGTGGTCGCCGCGGGCGGTGGCGCCCAGGGCGTCCAACTCGGTCGACATCGGCAGGTTGTGCGACGACTTGATGAACGAGTCGCGGTTGTCGGCCATGGGCTGGTATCGGGTGTCCGGGTTCTTGGTGAAGATGGCGAAGGCGGAGGAGACCAGGATCGCAATCAGCAGGATGAGGATGAAGACGGCGTTGACGACGAAGAACACGACGCCCATGACACCGGTCACCAGGCCCGGCTGGTTGAACACGCCCGAGAAGAAGAGGAGGAAGATGGAGTTCAGGAATCCGACCGCGCAGATCGCGATGTTGGCCACGTTGGCCTTCTTGTCCATCCACGGGCGGAGGACACTGGCCGCGATCAGCATGGCGGCTTCGATGACCACCATGGCGACCGTCTGCACGACGGGGGCCGATTGAGCGCAGGCGATGAAGATGGCTTTGGCGGCGAGATAGGCAAGCGCCAGGACGATGAAGTAGTACGCAGTGGCATTGTACTGGGTGTAGAGGATGCCCCACTTGGTCAGACACACGGGGTTGGCATAGAGGATGAAGGCCGGGTTCTGGTGGATTTGCACGGATTGCCGAGCGAGATAGATCACCTTGAACGCCGCGACGCCCACCGTGACCACGGTCAACAGGAGCATGAAGACCGCAAGGAAGATCTCGGCCGGTGAGTCCCGGTGGGTGAACTCCCACAGGCACAGAACACACATCTGGACGAATCCAACGAGGAACAGGCGGAACAAGGTCCCCTTCGCTTTGAGGTTCCAGTCGATTTCCTGGACCTTATGAGTTGGGATCTTCCCCTTCTTTTCCAGGAGGGTATAGATACCCCGGGAAATCCCAAGGCAGATCATGACGAGAATCACAAAGGCGAAGAAGAAGATCAGACCCGTCAAGAAGATATTGGTCAATTCGATCCCGGCGCGGAATCCGACTCGCTCGATGCCAGCGACGGAGACATCATCTGCCGTCCCTTTACTGCCTGCCCTCCTCACCAGGCCGGACGACCTCTTCATGATATCGAGCGACCGCTTTTTGACGACGTGAACGGAAGTATCTTCGAGGTTGGATAAGATCATGGATGGTTTTCCGCCCGTCGCTCGCTGGTACCAAGTGGTCAGAGTCTCCAGGAATTCGACGTGTATGATCCCCATACTCCACTGGAAATTCTGCGTCCAGGACTCCACGATCGGAGGCATATCGACTGCGAGCATACCGAACAACGCCTGGGATTGCATGAACCCGAACAACGTGAGGACGTTTGTCGCAATGTGGATGGCAGTCTTGGATAGACCCATGGTCGACATCACAGCGGAGACGAGCACACCCAGCCCCGAGATGACCGCGGACGACCATCCCACTCCGGACTGGTAGACTGTTTTACCGTTGGTAAGGGATGCTTCAATACAGGAGATGCTGTCGCCCGTGGTGGTTTGGTTGATGTAGACCCGGATGGTAGCGTCCAGATCCGGCACCGAATATGCGATCCCTACATCTCTATGGTTAGGACCACCACCCACGGCTCCTGCTTGCTTTCCAAGCACAGAGAAGAAAGGTCTTACCGGGAATATTTTTGGCCACATCCTTCGGGACATCGACGTTGGTGTCAATAGGGGGCATTTTGCCCGAGCGCAGGGGACACAGCCCGTCCATTTTCATTTCGCACGGGTCCATCTCCTTCCGCAACGCCTCATAACCATAGGCCGTGAGAACCACCGTGGCACTCACTTTGCCGGAAATTGAGGATATCAGATCAAAGTTCAGGGATAGGGTGCTGTTGTCCGGGTAGAAAATTGCTTCAAAGTGAGAGGATGTGATGCCTTGGCCCTCGGAGCACAGAGCCAGAGAGTCGGATTTGATCATGTCAATAGCCATGACCAGCGGGCACAGAAAGGCCGCGAGCAGGTAAGAGGACAACTGCATATTGGCCAGTTGTCCCTAAAAGGGTTTCAACAAAAGGGTGGGAAGAATGGTGTCTGCGATGTAAAGAATGATGCTCGCAAGCGAGGAGATCGATAATAACAGGAAGTTGGTTCAAGCAAAATGAGAGACTAGTCCACCAGGGCTCATGAGGTTCTTGTAGCGCCAGCGACGAGATTGGACGACGATAGCTCTGCCCTGAAGTTGTACAGAGCTTTTGATAACGAGCGTGGTATTCGGGAGGGGTGGGAGGGGGCCCTCAAGCCAACAAGCGCCGATGAAAACGGCGCTGAAACCAAGATCAGAAGGGAATGAATGAATGTACAGTATCGGAGTGACGGAGAGACCGCAATAGATGGAGCATCGAAAATAGTCAAGCCTAAAGAAAAGAAAATAAAATAAAAAATAGACCAAAAAGGTAAAATGAAAAAAATCGAAAAAAATAATATAAAAAAAAGTAGAAAATAAATCTAATAAAAAATTAGATAATAAAATACATGAGAATTAAAGAAGAGAACCGGCAGGATAAGGAAACGGGAGACGGAGAATGATGGGGGAAAGAGAGGAAAAAGAGCGTGGTTGGAAAGACCGAGTGTATGGACATGGATGGATGGGTCTCCTTTTCTTTTAGTTGGCCGTCCCTGGGCTCTTTGGCTTGAACCAACGGACAAGGTCTTTGTGGGATTGACGGGCGACGCGAATCGCTGAGACGGACCGTGATGGGATCGTCGAAGGATTATTATTACACAGCCACCCGGATAACTCAGGAGAAGAGAGGGGAAATCTTCCCATGTCGTCGAGTATAAGCTCGCCCCCTTCCCCTCAGGTTACAAGACCCATGGAATGTAAATTAAATCAAATGCTTGCACATGATAGACTACTTACCGTCGTCCCTTCCCCCCCGCAAGAGAGCTTGGGTGTTGTGTGTCTGGAACAAATGTTGCCGGAGGATAAGAGGAAGAATAAATTATCAGCCTTACTGGTGGCCGTCACCCTCTCCATCGACATGATCGTTTTTGTTAGGTGTCTGGACGATCACTATCATCACTAAACGAAGATTGGCCCGTTGAACCCCTGGACCCAGAAGTCCTTTGGTTTTTTTAATATTTTTTTGCCTCCCCCCCATAGGATGGGTCCTCGTGTTAGGCCAATATAACCTGTAGATAAAATCATGAGCATCTGCCACTGGCGTCAGTTGACAGTTTTCATATCACGCTCCTCCGGCTGGATCCGGTCGATGGTACCTTTTTCTCGTTCGTCCTTTCTTCTTCTCTTTGCCTTCTTTTTTTATGGGGAAGCCCTCCCGGTCTTGACACGGTAGAATAGGTGACGTAGTGGAGGCGGGTTGCCCCTTTTCACAGGCCCACCGCATCCAAAACTCAGCTGGTGAGGAAATGAAGATCATAACATGGCGCGATCCGGGGGGGCACACCATAGGCGCACATTCGCACCGTCCCTTGGCTCGAGGACCCCTGTGGGGTTACCGCAGAAATAGAAACAGAAAGCCTTGGATGTGACTGCGTCAGCTTGCTGATCGAAGAGACTAACAAGTCATGACCCTTCCGCGGGTGAAAGTTATATATATGAGGCGATTACCACACCTAATCTCTCAATGAATCGTTGGGAGAAGATCCTTGATCCTCCTGTTCATGACGACATCGTTTTAGATGAGAAAGCGAGCCGAAGTCGCACGCCCGTTATGTGAAGTGGAAACAAGATCTTTTAAGCCGCAGTGGCCAGCCACTATTCCAGCCAAGATCTGGAGGTCTTGAAGACGATGCCAGCCATTCTGTCCGACATGAAATCAATGACGACTGGTCGTTCGATTGCTTGACGTTGGTCAGTGTCAAGTCGACTTGGGAGACCCTGACAACCGAGGCATGCTGCCGATGGAGAAGATAACTAGCCTTTTCAATAGATGGTTCTTGGGGGGCTTGGAAGGCTTGGACGGGGCTCTAGAGTCCAGGGGAATTTTTGGTTGTGTCGCACGGGTCAAATAATTGTCTAGGGAGTGAGACTTGAGTGATGAGGCGGAGCGCCTACATCCTGTATACGAACGCCTGTGGAACATGGAGGAAGCATCAGGTTTGGACGCTTCCCTTCCACTTCTTACTTCATATTTATACACATCACGTGGTGCATGTCTACTTATTCATATTCACTTATAATTGATAATGAAGGCATTCTTTCTTCACATCTTGTTTTCTCTTTTTTTTTGCGTCCCCAAGTCATAGTCCATACACAGGGATGAGTTTCAGATGTCAACTAAGGCAGAGGACCTCACAGCGAACCACGTTATTACAGTCAGAAATAAGACAAGGTGAGGTTACATCCAAAAGACAGATGACCAAGCACGCAAACCTCGTGATATTTCAAGACATCTGTGTCGGTCGCCACCCGATTGAGTGTCAATATATTGGTGTTGGTCATACTCGGGATAGGTGAGATGTCTTAAAATCTCATTGTGTTGTTAGGCTGTGTCTTGCTTCATATATAATGGTGCACGGAGACTGGATAGTCACTAGTTAACTAGGTAGCTACCTATTCAAGAGGACTCCGTTTATCGTGACTTCCAGGGGATGAGCATCTTCCATAACTCTAGAGTCCAGAGTCAGATATCTGATTGCGATTCTCCTATTGATTTCCCCGGGGTTTCAGCGGAGACTACAGACTAACTCCAGACTACAGAGACAGAGACGTGGCCTGTTCGACCAAGGTCCCGTATTGTCAATACGGATGTGGTAACCACTGTACTCGGTGACTTCGATCCGAATACAGAACGGATACACGCCATCATGATCCTCCCCGGTGATTCGTGTGCGCATTTGATGAAACCCTCCGTCGGCCTTGTCTAGACGTCGGGAGACAGGGTTACCGCAGGATGGCATTTCTAGGAGCGAATGAACAGCTTGATCCTTTACACTTGGACCTATCTAGGCCATCCTCTCATAATGGGTGACCATATGATTCACGATATAGACATTGTTTACCTGTTCAATACAGGTCTTCATTGCCTGGATTCGAGGTACCAGGACAACAATGCCTATCTGTCATCTAGGTGCGATAGTCTAGATCCTCCTCCCTAGACCCGTTGCTTATTGGCTATGCTGCAATGGTGTCTCTAGATGAAGGGAAGACTCCTGTGTGGTGAGCTTATCCTTTCTCCGTGATCCATAAGACTAAGCGCAAAGGGCGTGTAATATATACAACAAAAGGGCATGTCTCGATTTATATACAGTCGAGATGAATATTCAATGTCTCCAAGTTCGTACTTCATTGTGGTAGATCCATTCCACACCTTGGTAATCTGAACTCCTCCCCTTTTGATGAGCATACACCAATGATCACATTGCGTTGAGTGGAGTCTCAAGTCAGTCAGCAGTGCAAAGACCACCTTGATAAATTAACATGATTATGATAGATGGAGTACTTTAATCTCAGTGGTGAGTATCAGAAATGGCGATCAAGAGCTTAGCATAGCAGTACCTTTGAAGAGCTCTCAGGTAACACTCAAGTCAATAATACTGATTGAAGGTGGAAGACGTAATTACCATGTAATGAAACATGATTTCATCCGGTGACCGGTGACTAGTTCGTAATTCGGGGCCCCTTCATCTTCGGCCGTTGTCCTCTTCTTCCGCCTTTCTCTTCAACTCTGCTTGTCTCCTTTTCCCTCCTCTTCATATCCCTCCTGTGTTGCTGCAATTGTCTTCTGAACGTACGCGGTTTACTCTTCCGCAACCCTTAATTTCTCCGACACGTTCTCATCGAGGTTGTAGATCGCGTTGATGCTCCTCGGGTGATCCGCTTTTCTCGCCTCTTACCCCGTTCTCGCACGCCTCGTCTTACCTCGAAGCGCTACGGAACCGAAAAACCACCCCCTGCTGACGATCGACGGTTACTTCGGTCATTCCTAGGTCATCGCGAAATCTTGCGGAAAGCTTCAATCGCTCCGAGGGATTGATTCTGATAATTGATAATTGTTCCGGCCCATTGGAAGCTAGCCACAGCGCAACCGCAACGCAATCTGGCCTCACGGCAATTAGCTTCTCTTGGCATTTCTCTATCTTCTCCTTCAACCCGCTCTTGATCTTCCCATCTTTCTCAGCTCGATGATCTAAAGTCAACTTGAGGATCTGCGAGAGGTCGCCCGCTTGGTATCTTCTCGCACATGTACTAGTTGCCTAGTTGACAGCTGTCTCTTTCCGACTCTTGACACGCGTGCGCTGGTTGCTCCAGTTCCACCGCACAGATCCGCAATCCGCTTCTTTCACCCCTAACCCGTTTGTACTTTGAATTACTACTGTAAGTATGATAATATCGCCTGTTTCCCGCGCCATTGGCTGACCCTACTTTCATTAGCATCGAAAATGATGAACCCATACATCAGCTGGGCCCTCGTGCTCGTTGTGGCCGGTGGCCTCGGTTGGTACTACAATGGCCCTGTCCCCAAAACGAAATCCCCGATCAAACCCGCCACCGAGAAGATCGAGGCTGCAGTGAATGTGAAGAAACCGAAGCGGAAAACGAAGAAGTCGCCGGAACCCTCGCCTGCCCCCGCCTACCAGGAGGAAAAGTCCGTGTATGAGCCGCAGGTTGATGAGGCCGACGAGGAGATTGACCAGAAGGAGATGGCCAAGCGCTTTGCCGCTGTTAAGAACGGAGTTACCCCCGGTGGCGGTAGCAAGTCGCAGAAGAAGAGCAAGAAGGCTGCGGCTTCCACCCGGGCCGAGAAGGGCGACAATCGCTCCGTTTCTCGTACCTCGTCCACCGGTGCGGATGCCGATGATGATCTGTCCTCTACCGGCTCTCCCATGGTTAATGCTGCTACTTCGTCCGCCGATTACGTTTCGGATATGCTCGAGGCGCCCGCCCCCGGAGCTTCCGTCCTCCGTGTCACTGGTTCCATGGACTCCGACTCGCAGAAGAAGAAGAAGACCCAGTCCTTCAAGCAGGTCGAAACCAAGAAACAGCGCCAACAGCGTCTGAAGAACGAGGCTCGCAAGCAGCAGGTCCAGGAAGCTGAAGGGGAGAGACGCAAGCTGCTGGAGAAGCAGCTGCACTCCGCTCGTGAAGCCGAGCGTCAGGCGGCAGCCAGCTCGAAGCCGTCGGCGCCTCAGACCAATGCCTGGCAGACGAAGAGCGCGGCCAACGGCGCCAACGGCACCAACGGTGTCAGCAGTGCCCCCAAGCCCGCCCGGCCTGCCTCGCTGGATCTCCTGGACACCTTTGAGCCCGGCGTTCCGTCCGCTCAGCCCGCGAAGCAGTGGAGCCAAGGGATCCCCACGGAGGAGGAGCAGATGCGCCTCCTCGGTGCTGGCGATGACCAGTGGACGACTGTCCCCAGCAAGAAGGTCAAGAAGAAGGGTGGCAAGACTGACGAGAGCGAGGCCAGCGCCACGGAGAGCCTGCCTCCCTCGTCGGCCCCTACTCCCGCCCCGGTCGAGCCCAAGGTGAAGGTGACCCCCACCTATCTCCCTGACGCTCTTCGCTCCGGGCAGAAGGGTCACCCGCTCGACTCCGACTGGGCCGCTTGAATGACATGTCTTGAATTCTCTCCGCTCCCAAAGCCACACCGGCGAAAAGGGGCAGCACCTTCCATCTCCGCGGGGAACGCGCAGCTTGGACTGTACCTACTACTATCACTCGAGGATTTGGCGTTCTCGGTCATCGACTTTATCAAAAGCCAGACCTGTTGGCGGGGCATCACATTGCTGAGGGTTCGGCGACGGACGATTCCCACCGACGGCACAGAAAACACAAAAAATATCCCTGAACAGAAAAAAGCAAGGTAGAGAGGAGTGGCATGTATTCTTTGATATGATCTTTATCATTCTATTGTTGTCCTTCTTAGGTTACGGCTTTGTGTTTTCTTTTCTTTACCACTTCTCTGTCCTTTTCTTTTCTCTATTTCCTTATCTTTTCTTTTCCTTTTTTTTTTTTTTTATCATTGTGGAAACCGACTGTGTTCTCCCGGTTATATTCTGCATGACGCTGTGGACTCGCGGCCGAGTGGAATATTAAACTGGGGTCCATCGTATCTTTCTTCCGACCTGGACGGCGTTCGCATACCTCTGTCTAGGCTAGTCGAGGCTCAGACGAAATTGTGGAGTATGATCTGCAACGTTCGTATATCCACTGAGCGACAGCTGGCCTTTTTCTATTTTTGTTTCTTCACGGAGGCTATGTTCGATCGTCCAGATCAGGTAACTGTTGTTTTTCTCTCTGTTCCATGCGCTTTTGTTTTACTACCGGAATTATGCTTGGTTTGGGTGGGGGGAACGAAGAAGATCTGGGATCCCTCGATTGATGTGGGGGGGGTCGGTGTATGTATCTTAATACCATGTATATCCATCCACTGAAGAATGATTAATGCGGGTGCTTTGACGATTTCAAATCCCGTGGGGAGACTGTTTATTGGCGTAGCGATGATCTCCATATGCATCGGACTCCGGAATTCTATTGAGGTTTCTGAGGTTTATTGAAGGAGGCGCAGGGCGGCAATCGACCATACCGCAAGGGGACTAGCGGCGAGTTCCGGTTATCGTGTCCTGAACTGGCCTGAAAGTCACGGACCACCACAGCAGGCGGAGCAGAATAACAACTTCCCTTCCACCCTGGCTCCTTTCACCTTGACTTCTTATACGGTTCTCTTCTTCTCGATCTTGACCAGCTCTCTATAGCTTTGGTCTCTTTTCTCTCCCTTGCGCTTCGTTTCTTGCTCTTCCAATCTTCCGGTTTGCCCGTTTATCGTTTGTTTTTCCTTCCGCCACTGCCGAGGATCAGGATTACCCACTATACCCGGCGTCATCCACCTCCCTTCAGCCCTCTTTGGTTTCTCTATTCTAAGTAACAGAAACCAATAAACCAGAAGACCCCGAATTCTCCCGCCATGGCGCAAATCCGGGGCACTGCGGGATACAATCTCGGCCATCAGAACCCCTTCCAGGGTCCTGGGCGAGCTGATGCCATTGACGATCCGAGCCCCTTGGATGCGATCCGGGAACAGACCAGCAAGATTGAGGACTGGCTGGACACGATGTCCGACCCAATCAAGCCGTATGTTGCTCCCAGTGACTCCGATTCTTTGAGTGTTACACCAGATCATGTTTATGAAGGGGTGGGCGTTTACAATGGCAGTTCCGAAATGCCCTGCTAACACCGTGTCTTTTTGCTCCGCAGGTATCTACCAGCTTTTGGCCGATTTCTGATCGTGGTCACCTTCATTGAGGACTCATTGCGGATTCTGGCCCAATGGAGTGACCAGCTCATGTACCTGCGTGACTACCGAGGGAGTAAGCCATACCCTTGCTTTGCGACGAGACGGGCCTTTGATAGTCCCGTCGCCATCCCCTAGTATACAAGCTGTCATACAGAGGTTGTAGCTAACTCTACATCTTCTATAGTCCCCTGGGGCATCACGCACACCTTCCTCCTGTTCAACGTGCTCGCGATGACGGTATGCTCGACACTGGTCATCGCCCGCAAGCACACCGAAATCGCCGTCGCCGGCCTACTGCTGGTCGTCATCACCCAGGGCCTCGGATACGGACTCATCTTTGATCTCAACTTCTTCTTCCGCAACCTCAGCGTCGTCGGCGGTCTTCTCATGGTCCTGTCCGATTCGTGGGTCCGCAAGAAGTTCGTGCCCGCGGGTCTGCCCCAGCTCGACGAGAAGGACCGCAAGATGTACGTCCAGTTCGCGGGGCGCGTTCTGCTGATCTTCCTCTTCGTCGGGTTCGTCTTCTCCGGCCAGTGGAGCTTGTGGCGTGTGATCGTCTGCCTGTTCGGCCTCGTCTCCTGCGTCATGGTCGTCGTTGGCTTCAAGGCCAAGTTCAGCGCCATCATGCTGGTGCTGCTGCTGAGCGTGTTCAACGTGCTTGTCAACAACTTCTGGACGGTATGTTCCATCCCCAAGGGACACATGCGTGCAATTACTAAACTCAATGCAGCTCCATCCTCACCACCCCCAGAAGGATTTCGCCAAGTACGATTTCTTCCAGATCCTCTCTATCGTGTAAGTGACGTCATCCGTTCTTCCACCTCCATCCTCCCCGCAACCACTAACACCGGCACACAGCGGAGGTCTGCTGCTCCTTGTCAACATGGGCCCGGGTCAACTGAGTATGGACGAGAAGAAGAAGGTCTACTAAAGAGTAGACACCGTCGAGTAAAGCACGAAGACAAAGTAAACGGAAAACAAAGAAAAAACGAGTTTAGTCGAACTGTATGGCTCGTGACATGATTTTTTATCTATGGGCTTAGGGCTAGTGAGACCCTTATGAATATTGAGATTTGATTGCATTTCATCTATTTCATTTCCTTTTGACATCCATTCAATTCATCGTCCACATCCCTGGGAAGAAGAAAAGCATATTCTGCGATGCCCTTCATACTGGATTATATTATTCATCAATCAATCTATCTAGCTAGCTAGCTATTATTTAGGGGAGCTAACAATGGATTATTTGTCTGGTTCCAGCTTGGGGTGGATTAGCTGCATTTCATCAATGAGTCTTCAATGCAGAGTTATATTCCAGCATTTGTGTATCTTTTCTATATCTTGTTTCTATATGTCCTAAACTATCAATTTCTCGGATGAATCAATCAACCATATAATCTACATCTTTTACTTTGGGCGTTTCCTCCTTGCATACGTGGGTCTACACTACACTACTTCTCCGACGCCCTTGCTCTGGATTTTTCTCCCGGTGCTATTTTCGTCATCTTATTTATTCTTTTCATCCTTCCTTGATTTTTATATATTATTGGGTAAAATAATAAGCAATTATCTATCTGTTTGCATATAAACCAGATGTTCTAACCGCGCATGTATGATATGTATGTATCTATGGTGGACGGAACCCGGCTGGTGGATTAAGCGTATAACTCTATTTATTTGACTTTGGCTAGATTTTGCTAGATCTCACCTTATTCATTTGATAGATCCAGAGGATGCCTCTATTTATGCCCAGATGAAATGAATGCCTTTGTATCCTAGAGTGGGACGATCATGCACCCTGCGAAGGATGACATATACCACACACCATATGGTTATGTAGTTAACTTGAGGACCTTCTCTCTAACCACCATACTTCGGTGGTCAGTTTGGTCAGGTGGTAGGTAGGTAGGTAGGTAGTTAGTTTTGTGTTGTATAGAAGGAAGGACTAATTCAAGTTGAGACCCCTTCTCATGTTCGTTTTCCCTGGGAGGTGATTAGGATTTAGTGATCCGTCAAAGGATAGAGAGAGAGATATATACAAACAAACAGCATAGACTAGATAGACTAGACTAGACAAACACTGGATGTTCAGTATCGGCGCATCTTTAAGAAATACATCAATGCCTGACAACAACACAAGATACTAAGACGGTTTTGATCTGATGCTCTATCATGATCAACTAGTAATAAAGCAATAGAAACTAGTTCGTAATCTACTTCCTATCTCCGTATCGTAACTATGGGGTGTTTGGCTTCGATGCTACATGGCTTATCTATATTAGATTATCAATGATATATCCTATCTACTCCTGAATACGCCGTACCTCCTACTATATTATAAGAAATGGAGACCACTCAATACTATACTCCCTACACAACTAGTACGCATCCACTCAACTATACCACCCCATTTCCTACTCTAATCTCTACCCATAATCTAAACAATTCACACAATTGATCCATTGATCTCCTATCTATAACTAAACAAACCAAACAAAAAAATAAAATAAAGAAAACAGACATCGAACGCTCAAATGCACCCACGCAAGACGGAAGGCAAACAAAAAGATATACCTAGGTTATTATTGTAGTGTACACGATGGAAAGTACAGACACAGGGTCATCATTTCCATCCAGAGAAGTATAAAGAAATAACTGATAACTAAGGAGAGTAATCCACGCACGGCAGCTTAAACAGATGAATGAAGATGTTTAGAACCCCTGCGCAGGGACGGTCGGAATGGAAATTGGTAGAAAAGAGGGAATGAAGGAAGGAAGAAAGAAAGAAAGGTAGGCGGTATAATGGGAGACTAGTAGGAGGATAGCCAGGCGACGTCCTCACGTTCGATTCGTGCTGGTCCTGCCATTCTGTGCACATAGCTTTATCTATTCGAACGGCGAACATGCTTTTCTGATATTTCTGGCTCCCATGCAGAAAAGGATAAAAGAATGACCGCTTTTAATTGCTGCCAACGCCGAGGGAAATAAAAAGGTGGGTAGAATACCGCCCCTGGAATCAGAAAGGGGGGAAAATGAAAAAGCCACGAGAAAGCCAACTCCCAGCATAACAGAACGCAAAGGATGAAAAGCGAGGAAGGGGGCGGAGTGCGACGATCACCCTAGATATCCATGCTCCAACGCCACGGCCGGATCTGTTCGAAGTGGCCTACTGCGACGTCGTCGTGAGGGTCGTTGATTTCCACATGGATACACTGGACCTTGTTGGTATCCCGCTGTAAGGTGGAAAGAGTTTTGGAGATCTGCGGGTGGTGCACTTTATCGCCATCGTTCATGCGCTTGGAGACTGGCCGGGAAACGGGGGTATCGGGAGAGTGTAAGGAGACACCAGGGGAGGAGTCGGTCGGAGAAGGAGGTGACGAGGAATCTGATCGGGAATGAAGGGACTCAGGGATGACGAATTTCGATTCATCGCGGCCGTACACGGAGGCCGAGGGCAGGAGTTGAGGGACACGACTGTCGGGACCAGCAGGTTCCCGACTGCGATAGCCACTGGGAGTGACGCGGATCGAAGGCTTAGGTTTTCGTTCAGGGGCGCGAGAGGAACGGTGGGATGTTTCTTGCGGTGAAGATGTAGGTCCGGTGGCATTCTTCTCGGGGATGGTTCGCCGGGTGGCTTCAGTCGGGCTGCTGCTGGAAGAACTGAACCGCTCCTTGCCAGCCATAACCTTGGCACTCGGCGGAGGTTGCAGCATCCATCGCGTTTCCGCCTTGCTCTTAGGCCCACTGACGATCGGCGGGTGCAGGTCGTTGACAGGAGGCACCCGAGCGATGTAGTATTTACTATTCGAGTCCTCGTCCGCCCTGCCCCGACCGGAGAGTCCGACCGACGAACCCTTTACCTCCACCTCTTCACCCCACAGCGGTTCGTCCTCCCGTTGATACCGCATCCGATTCCACCGATCGCCGAGCTGGTGCTTGAGCACGCTCTTGTCCTTCTTCTGCAGCCCTTCGAGCTCCAACTCGGAGGCATCCAGGGATCGTGCATCGGTATTCCAACTATCCGTCCGACGATGGTTGTTGCGATGCCTTCGCGGCGGGGGTCCGGGGCCCAGGGCGATTTCCTCATTCCACCCTTGGTTAGTGCTAAATGCGGTCGGCTGGGCAAAGGGTCGGGGTTGGTCGGTCACGACGGCGTCGATCTTGGCGTTCTCGCGGCGCGATCGGGCGGCATCTTTCATGCGTTTTCGACGGTCGACTGAGTTCGCACAAGGGGTGCAGGTAGCGTAGTAGAAGACGGCCGACTGGACGCCCCGATAAAGCCACATGGTGACGAAAGCGGAGGCGGAGTGACGACGGCTTCGGTTTCAACGGATAACGAGTAACGAAGTGATACTGTTGATCCGGCGACTACGGACAGGGCGTTCAGAAGAACAGACGAGCCCGTAGGCACGAATAAGTACAGTCCGAGGTGTGCAGCGACGGTGACGAGAACATGAAGGGCGTTCTTGGCGTTTGCAAGCTGGCAGGTATAGATAACGGAGGTCGCCCAGCGACCTACAACGTATGGGCGGTGAGATAGGGGAAGGAGGCGAAAAAGGCTCAATACGACGAGCACAACCGAAGACAAAGTCTATCTCCAGGGATGAGGGAACTGAGGGGTAAGGAAAGGAGCGACAATCAGAAGGAAGAATTCGAGAAGAGGGGAGAGATGAGGGAAAAGAGAGTGAGAGGGGAGAAGGAGACGAGAGAGAGAGAGAGGAAAGAAAGGGACCGATAGGACGGAACGGAAAGTGACAGGGCCAGCCTCAGGCAGTTAAGGGGCAGGACGGGACGAAACAGTTTTGGGAGAGACTTTCTCTTGGCACGGGCGGGGCGTGGATTAGGGAAAAGAAACGGCGCAGTCAGAGATTGATGATCATTTCGTACGCTTGGAACAAGGGGCTTATATTGGTTTATCCGGTTTATTTCATGGACATTGGATCTTTAATTTGATGTGAAAATTTGATTTTTTATCTTCTTAAGATCCATATGTAATCTCCTATTCCCTGGCCCGACAGTCAGCGGTGCCGAGTTCCTCATCCGGGGAATCCTGGCGCCCTGTTCATGCGACGGGTGTCATCTCCCTCCCGAACTAAATAGTCACCATTGTAACACTAAAATTGGCAAGGTAGAGTGAGATTGAGTAGTATTCCTTTCTTCGTCCTAATAGTAGGTATCAATGTAGATCTCTCGGCCACAGGTGTCATGTTGGAGCCCCTGGAGGGATTCCGTTCCTCCGTCTAAGTATAGAGAAATCGAACACATGGAACATGTATCCATACATCAGTTTGGACCCCACGATGCGTTGTGCTTTGCTTTTTCCATTTCGTTCCCCAAATAGAATCACCACCGCTGATTGGGGTGTAGTCGTGGACATTCCCCCGTCCCAAATTCCAACAGTAGACGGACCGCACGGATGGCCATCTTGTGTTCCCGGTGACCCCCCATCCATCCCTTGTCAAGCCTTATATCCACCGTCCCGAGGCTCGTAAGTTCCCATAGCACCCTGTCTGGAAGAGCGTAATCGGTCGGTTGACAGAGGATAATCACGGATGGTCAAACCATGTCCACAGCCACAGGGAACGATTCTGATCTCATCCTCCATGCATGCAGGCCGCGGCATGGTCGTGCGCCCCGTCCCCGCATGGCCCCCAGCCAAACAAGTGACGCCTTCGACCGCTTGCCACCTCACCACCCCTTCCTTTGAGAACAATAAAAAAAGAAATAGAAGGTAAAAAAAAAAGAAAAAAAGCAGATCATGACGAAAACAACCAGCTCGACTAAGCATGCCAAGCCAAGCCAATCGAACCTCCCCACGTCATGGTTCGATCATCCGCCACCGTAATCGTGAGCAAATTAGAGACAAGAGTGACAACAAGACCACTGGAGGGCGTGCGAGCGAACGAGAGACAGCGAGAGAGAGAGAGGTAGGGAAAGGGAAGAGAGAACCAGCCAGCTAGCCTCCTGTCGTAGGCAAACCGTCGTAAGCATGCATGCAGAGCCTCACGCGTTCTTCGTGCCCCGAACCACTTCACCCTTGACCTTCGTCCAGTCGATGTCCTCGTCGATCTTCTCGTCAACCTCACCGCACACCACCACGTTGTCTCCGCGGATCAGGTAGAGCCCGTGTTCGATCTGCGAGCTCGGTTCCGGGTCGTCGGGTGTCCGGATGATGCGCTCGATCGTGTCCAGGAGGACTAAGTTTGTTAGCTGGTCAGTGGACAGCAGTGTGCCCAGCAGGGTGCGGCCGTCAACGGTCAACACTAGGATTTTCTCTGGAACGCGGTAACCACGTATTAGCTTGCTTCCTTGCGTGGAGAGTTTGCGTCGATCTAGGTTCCTTACTGTTGATATAAGAGTTGAGAGACATTGTGGGATTTCGAAAGAAAAAAGAGTGAAAGTCGTGAGATAGTACTGATATGGTGTCTCCGAGCTCGAATGCGCGCCTCGGCTTAAAACCCTGGATAGCGATATGATCCCCAGCTAGTCACAGCTATTTCGGTTCGTCGGGAGAGCCGCGCTCGTCTCTAACACGAACAGATGGAAACCGTATGAGGTCCTGGACGTAGACAGACGCAGTAGGTCGTGGTGAGATGACCGCAAAAGGATTCAAGATCGCCCGACTCGGAATTTCGTGAGCTGGTGATGCTACCCGACGTGATGGGAGAGCTCGCGGGCGGTGTCGTCCTCGGCACACGTTTCGGACAGTAGCGTAGATACGGATCGTATATAGTCGGGCCGTCGATAGAATCTATTCTGGGTATGGTGAGTTATGTAGTGAGGGGTGTGGCCGGCAATTGGAAGTGTTTGCGCTGCTTCTCCGGGTCCCGTCACCGTCGCCGATATGGTTTACATGGTCACGTGAGAGCAGATATGGGCTACCATCCATGTCGATGGTGGAAACGTTCCACCAAGACAGTGTCTCCACTACTTCCTAATTATGTGCATATGAAACAAATGGTTAAAGATTCATTCCAAAGCAGTCGTCTCATGCCAATCTTAATAATTTCGGTGGATGATGTCTTTCAATTCTAGTAAGGTCCACTGATCCAGAATGCATGATACAATTTATAGAATATATTGATTCGCTACCACTGCCTACTACTTTGCACGTCTGCTTCAACCAGTCAAAGCCCTCAGATCCAACGGCACACTGCTTCCCCGCCCTGCGCGATACCGTCGAGTACCCCCAACGAAAGGCCGAGGCTTGGGTAAAAGCCCCTCCGGTTGGAACTTGAATCGATTGTCATCTACCCGAATGGCCCCGTGCGCACCTGGACCCAGAGGGCTCGATCCCGGCGACGGCCCGCCGTTCGTGAGGGTGAAAGCGCTGGGGTCCAGAGGGGAACGACTGGGTTGGGAACTGGCGGGAGCGTCGAAGGAATGTGGAGGCTGAGAGGGCTGACTGGGAGGAGGTGGCGGAGGTGCAGCGGGCGCCGACGCTGCTGGTGGGGGTGGAGGGGGCGCGGACGGGGTGTGATGGCCAAGGGCGTTCCTCGCTGCTTGTACGGCTATCGAAGCTGCGGATGTCCCATTAGGCGGTAGCGGGGCTGATGATGGAGGCGGGGGCGGGGGTGTAGATCGCGCAGGCGCTGGAGGAGGAGGAGCCCGGGGGCTGACGCCGCAGGCGGAGGAGGGGGTGGTGCCGACGGACTGGCGGAGGGAGGCGGTGGGGCGGGAGCAGAGGGCTTCTTGGAGAATATTGGTGGAGGGGGCGCTCTTCCCGGACCGGGCACTGGCGGAGGCGCGCGAGGAGGTGGAACATCGGGGGCTGACTTTGCCGACGCGGTTGAGATAGTTGACGACGGTCGAGAGCCCGGCCTCGGCGGAGGTTTCCTGAGATTCGCGACCAGCGGGTTCACCGGAGCAGGTGGAGAGCCTGCCGAAACCGGGCGTGGTGGAGGACGAACGCCTGGAGGCTTTGGAGCTGAGGCAACTGGGGGCCTAGAGCTATCATTTTCCGACTTATATGGCGAGTCACGGTTGGCACCGGTATCGACACCTCCTCGACTGCGCAATTTGGGCATCCCGCCAGCAAGAATCCCAGCAAGCTGCGGAGGAGCTCCCGGTGCGCTGTCGCCTCCTGCTCCTGCTCCGCTATCACTCCGTCCTCGGCTCGCTGCTCCTGGAATTGGCGGTGCTTGTGCGGTGGGGGGCTTCTTCATTCCTGGGACAGGCGGGGCACTTGCAACGGGAGGCGCGCCGCCTGATTTCACCCCCCCCGAGACCTGTGGTGCCGACCTGTCGTTGGTAACGGCCTTCTTCAACCGGGCGCCCTTGTTGATATCTGACAGGAGCGCGCCCTATCCAAGAGATTAGCAGTCGGCCGGGGCGGGCGCTTCAGATTCGTTCCTATCTTACCCGATCTTTCACCTCCGATTTGGGCGGCCTATTTGGTAACATGGCTGGCGGGGGAGGAGGAGGAGGACCACCCATCGCGCCGGGTGGCGGCGGGGGCGGGGGCGGCGGAGGCATGCTGTCGAGACAACTATCTAAGACAATTGGATATGGCGCTCAATGCCGGGGAGATAGGGATAAGGGTCGATGAGGTCACTTAGGGAGAACGATACTCCAAAACGTTAGGGATCATTTGTTCTTGCCTTAGAAGGCCAGGGTCAACTGAATAAAAAGGAACCCAAGACGTAGAGATGTCGTCCAGGTAGCTGTGTTGACCAGAGGGGAAGAGGAAGTAGGAGAGAGGGGAGAAGGGGAGTGAGATAATGGAGGGTTAGGTAAATGGTTCGTCAGAGGGACTCCAGGCTGCCTTCGGAGTTCAACGCACTAGTGGCGGTGTTGCCGCCGGCAGTATGTCTCCGCCTTGGCTAAGTAGACGGTAAATATGGGCCATATCGACTTTGTCGTGATTAGCATCTTTCACCAGAGTCCCACAGTTCCATGATGATGATGAAAGGCATTGCTCTCCCCCGTCAGAAGGGTTCGACTCCACACGCGCTTGTGTGTCAGTTGTGCCAGATATCTGCTTCGCCCGCTCCCCGCCAGCCGTCTCAGTTTGCCCGACCCTATACGACCAGACCGTTCACCCGCAAGACGGAACTCGGACAAGTGCGCCCCAGAAATGCGCTGAACCGACCATTGACGTTCCCTCGATCAATCCCGAGACGATTCGCGTCTACGGCGTCCGAATCCCCCGTTTCGCAGACCCCCGAGGCTACCCTCGCGCAGATCGAACAGGAACTCGACGAGCTGCGAAACACGGACGCGGTCCCTTCGAACCAGACGGTCGATTCCCTTCTGCACCGATGCCAGGAAATAGCCGAGGCGCTGGCTCTCCCCGAGCAAGACTCGAAGACACCAGCCCCTCGAAAAGACGACAATGAGATCTCGCACCTCCTCGACCTGGAGGAAAAGAACCAAACACGGAAGCGAACCAAGTCCTCCCCCAAAGACACAATCCCCCAACTCTCCAGCGCCGTCTCCCGCGTCGCCTACGAGCTCCTCTCCGACGAGAAGGTCTTCATCACCCCCGAGGCCCTAGCCCGCTACTCCAAAATCCAAACGCTGCTGAAGCGCCCAGACTACTTCCCCGAGATCTTCTACCAGTACGCGCACAAGCCCCACCCCGAGGAGGGCAGCTCGCCCGTCAAATACCACAAGGCGAACCCCAAGGACATCAACAGCGCGATCCCCGTCGACATCGCCAACATGGCGCTGGGTGTTGCGATTGAGCAGCGGAATTTGCCCCTCGTGCTGTCTATAATCGACCACACTTTCTGCGCGCCGGCCTTCCACCGCGCCAAGGTCTTCAAGAAGGCTGCTATCCCGCTGGGCGGTCTGGCGGCTGCTCCTGCTGCTTGTTATGCTGTCGCTTCGTGGGCTGCGAGCATGCAGAATACCATGGATCCGAGCACTGCGACGGGGATCGCGTTCGCTGCTATCCTTGCGTATGTGGGCGGGACTTCTTCCGTTGGGCTGTTGGCGATCACGACTGCGAATGACCAGATGGAGAGAGTGGTGTGGCAGTCGGGGATGCCGTTGCGGCATCGCTGGCTCCGTGAGGAGGAGCGGGCTGCTTTGGATAAGGTTGCGCTTGCGTGGGGGTTCAAGGATGAGTACATGAGGGGTGAGGAAGAGGGGGAGGAGTGGGAGAGTTTGCGGGAGTTTATCGGTATGAGGGGAATGGTTCTGGATAAGACGGAGTTGATGCCTGGAATGGAGTAACCGCATCTTTGGCATTGATAGTATATCTTGTATTTATTTTATAGATATCATGTAGTTTTACGCATACTTGATCGCATCTTCAGTTACCAATTTTACTGAGATACAAAAGAATGACTACGAGTGTCAAGAAAAAAGTAGAACCAAGTCGTGAGTGTTTTTCATTCCATACATAAGGCGTTCAAAACCCCACAGCTAAGATCCTAAAACCCCAGCGTAACGCAAGAGCGCAAGACGTCTAGTACAGACGCTTGGGAGGAGACATGGAAGCCTTGATGACCAGGCTTCCAACGTTCTGCCAGCCCTTCTTGAGCAGGGAGACGAGGTAGTTGATGGCCAGCATAACGTTGGAGACCAGCTCGTCCTCGATCATGCCGACGTTGCCAACGGCAACACCCAGGCACAGAACCTTCTTCAGCTGGAACTTGATGGTCGACTTGACGTCGGTGACCTTGTTGTTCAGGTCCTCACCGTGGGAGACGGGGGTGGGGAACTTGCCGGCTAGAGGGGAAAAAAAATCACGGTCAGTTTTGAGGTAGAGGATTGCAAGGCGAATAGATGTCACATACCCTTGGACAGACCGGGACCGAGGAGACGGGGAATCTGCTTGATCAGAGACTCGGAAGCCAGGAAGGCATCGTACTTGCGCGCGAGCTTCTTGATGAGCTTCTTGTTCTTGTTCAGCTTTTTCAGGTCGTCGGTGGACATGCCGTCGATGCCGTGGTGCTTGGCACGATCGAGATCGTGCTGGTCACCAAGAACACTGTAGAAAGACAACTGTCAGCCACCTTATTCCGCCATTATCCATCACTCGACGATTGTTTCCCGTCGATCACATCCATCTTTCAAGATTTGTCGGCGCAGAGGCATATAGACGTACCAGACGCTCATGTTGGGGCGGGGCACGGTGGGCAGGCGGATGGTGCCGGAGAAACGCTTGTCACGCTGGGGGTCATAGTTCTTCAGACCGATCTGAAGCTCGACGGTCTCGAGGAAGTTCCTCTTCTTCTCATTGAGAGAGTAGTTGAGGAGCTGCGAAACGTTATCGCGCACTCCGGCTGTCACGAGGCAATAGATGTTAGCAGCGGTTTCACAGGGGACGACGGCGTGAATGAGATGGAAATATCATACCGACTGTGATCTTCGACATGATGCTGACAGTCTTCCAAAAGGTCTCTTTTAGGGATCTTAAGGTGTGGCTCTGCGCTGATTCCTAAGACAGAAAGAAAAGAGGCTCCCGACATCGAGAGAAAATCCAGTCTCCGCTTGTGGGTGGTAGCGGCGCTAACCGGATGTGGGATAGCCTTGCCCTAAGCGCCTAATGAAGTTCACTGATGACAAAGACATAGCATAAAATCTAATCCCCGAGTCACGTGCGTACGGCTCAATGAAGCAGTGGTCGAGACAAAACATCCCATCTTCTGCAATGGTTCATCTGAATTTTGGGCTCCATTTGTTATCTGGGCAGATGCAAAGTGTACGAGAAGAAGAACACTTTCCCCCCCCTCAGTCTCGCAGTCATTCTAGCACTCTCCAACCCATTCTAGGGTATCACTGCCAGGATGGGGTATACACCCTGCCCAGCATCTAGATCTAGGATCGTAGTCTAATGAACTTTATACTGATTAAGAGTCGAGAATTACTGGGAACTAATGACCCCTTCCAAGCTCATATGCGACATATGGAAGTCACGTTCCGGTAGTAAATGTTTAGGGGGTGTGGTCAGAGGCCGGTCAGCTGCACGAGCCCCCTCCTCACGCCCCCAAGGCAGCAGAACACTGGGCGCGAATCGACTGGTAAATCGACACCGTCGGCTCAGCCCTCAACTGACTAGTTCAGTCATTCGCTCCTAACTTTAGCACGCGGCTGATAATGCGCTGATGATGTCTTGAATCTTAGCATTTATTAGTACGATTGCCAAAGCACTTTGTGCTACTGAAGAAGTGCTTAATTTTTCTCTCATCTTTCTGTCAAGCTATTGTTAACTGCTTATCACTGACCCGCTTTACATATTCTGTATACTTACTCCACGCTTAATTGTCACTTTGCGAAAACGCGGTTTAGACTGTTTGTTTAGCACGTGAAGGGAAGCAAAAGCAAGCATGTCTGAATCTCCGCGCTCTCACAGCTTTCAAACACCTCGCGAGTATTATTCGAGCTTTACGAAGAATCCGAAAATCCAGGATAGCTTCGATAACATTGATGATGGTACGAATTTCAGGAATTACTTGAGACACCTGCAGAATCCAGGGACGCGCAACTTTGTGCTGGACTTTGGCAATGATGATGCGTGGTGCGCGGTGAACATGGAGAATGGCGATCTCGCAGCCTTGCTCCAACAGCAGGTATGGACTATGGGACATTCTCACTGTTGATCTGGTCTGATCATTTGATAGAAACCTGGGTTCTTTGGGACTCGATGGATGTAAGTCGCATTGACACCTTGCTACTGGAAGTTTTTGATCGCTAACAGCGAGCTTAGAAATATATGGGCCCCCGAGGAGCAGAAGGACATAATCAGGGTTAGTTTCACAACAAGCACTTATAGTCCCTCCATGAGATTGACTCGTCCAGACAATCACAAGCCACTATGGAGTCTCAGAGCGGTTGCGGGGAATGATGTGTACAGAACCAGTGGGACGTCCATCCAAACCTGCCGCCAATGCCGACCCTTCTAAACCCCAATCTCCATCGGTCGAAATGGTCGATCCATCCCCCCGTGTTCGCATGGATGACCTCGAAGAGGCGCAGGCGATGAAGGACTTGGCCACGCAAACCCAGGCCCAGACGGCTGCGTCGTTCAGAGGCCTTACCTTTGCCCATGTGACGAACCAGATCTGGCATTTTTGCTCCGTCGACCATGGACCGCGTTGTATGTAGCACTGGACCATTCTATCTTTCTATAATCGCTACTAACTGAGGCTACAGATACCTGTCTCGGGTTCAACTCCCTGTACGTCGTTCCGAACGTTGAGATACAAAATGAGAAGTTCCTCCCAGACGGAAAACGATTATGGTCGTGGTTGATTCTATTCAATGATGGTAGGTCTTTTTTCTTTGGAATTTTGACGGGTTTTTGCTAATTTGGTAGGGACTGTCGTGTCGATCCAGGAGAATCCGTATCCTGGGGCGTCCAAGCCGTCGGAAAACGAGCTGAGGTCTGTCCTTGGGATAGTCCGCCGAAACGTGCAGTTTATTTTTGCTGGGGTTTCTAAACAACACTCTGCCCTATCGGAGAGCGACTCGTTAGTGACTATCCGAGTGCGACACTTCCGCGACGCAGGGCCAGACGACGCAAGCATCAGGCAGGACGACGGGCCGAGCCTGCTTTTTTTCTATATCTTTGACGATTGGCCCACGAGCTACGCCCTCGTTGCGAAGCGGGAGCATAGATATGGAGTTGTTCTCGACAAGTTGGTAGGTGGGCCCGGTCGTTTGGTTTGTCCCTCGTCTAACGCGGCAACATAGAGACGAGATATGCTTACCAAGCCTGCTATTGATTTGGTAAACGAACTGCACACGTTGGGCCGACAACTGGGCGTCTTGAAACGCCTATACCAGAGCTACGAACTGATCATGCTGCGTATTCTGCAACAACAGCGTACCCTCCGTGACGAGGCTCGCTCGAACCCTCCTCAACCCTTGACAGCGCATATCAATGGAGCTCCCCAGACGGCGGATGCCCAACACCAGACACTGCCATATAGCCCCAGTTTCCCAATTCTGTCAGACCACAGCGTTGGTGTGCGACTGAGTCCAGCTGCTGTGACGCGTTTCGAACGACTGCTCGACCGTATCAAGTTGTACTGCCTCTCGGAGCTCGAAACGTGCCTCACGGAGAAGGAATCCATGACATTTCTTGTAAGACGCGTGTCCCATGCTATTGCAGACACTTTGCTGACAAGCTGTCTAGAACTTCAACTTGATCGCCCTGAAAGATTCGCAGGCCGTCGAAAAGCTGACCCGCATCACGATCCTCCTGGCCAAGGTGACGATCCTCTTCCTGCCAGTTAGTCTGATGACCGGGTATTTCTCGACCGAGTTAGCGAATGTAAAGGGGGTCTACACCGTCGCCCAGTACTGGGTGGCCTTTGCGGTGATCATGGTCCTGTCCATCTTGGTTCTGGTCATGTTCGGATACATGAGCGACACCATTGAAGGTAAACCCATCTACCAGTCGTTCTGGCAGACATTCTTCCGGTCTTCGAAACACCGACTACGCGCTCGACAAGAAGACGAAGACTTGCGATTGCACTGAAATTCCAAGTCGTCTGGTGATGACTTGATATGTTCAACTGATGTTAAATGCGTGACGGATTATGAAGGATGAGAAGAACGATAATACTCGCAGTATATCCATAGCTCAGCGGAGTCTAACAATGCAAGAAGCAACCAACGTGGCCCTTTACCGAACTAGGTAGATGAAACAATCCCATTCAAGAGTTGATTATCATCTGAACCATGGGCCTTATATGCTGAGTCACTCCCGCGGCGACAGGAGTGGACACCGAGACCGAGACCGAGACCAACCATCTGATTAGCGTTAGGTATTATAAGGTACTGACACCGTATTGTGCAATGCTTGTAAATTGTACGCTATGGATGTAAAATAACAGCCACATGGTTCTAAATGGACACAAGAGTCTGTCACATGGACTTCCGATCAGGAGAGACATCAAGACAGATTGACAAAGGCTAGTCCAATAGGGAGACGTAGCTTATCAAGGACAGACAGCCAGAGCGGACCCAAAGGGAAATGACTAGCTTCGAACATGACGCGTATGTGGGTTCCGGAAGTTCTTGGGGTTATCTTCGAAGCTGGTCTCCATACAGGGGGCGAATCTTCATTGTAGTAAGTAGTGCGGTGTAATCGTACAGTACCGGACACGATATATGTAATCAGTGTTCTGATGGCAAATTATAGGGGAAGTCGAGATAACTTCTTGGACAGACGACAACGACCGTCGAGATCCACTTCGATGGGGGGTTTAAAATCCAGGCCGATGGGGAGCCTATCAGGAGATGGCCAGTTAGGTTGTCTGGACCTTTGTTCGTTGGGTTTAACTCGAAGTTATTTAGCTGTGGTTACTTTTAGTCAGGCAGGTTCTCCCATGGATGGGGAAACACCGTGTCCTCTTCGTGACGTACCAGTATTATACCTTTTATTACTGTCTTTGATACTTCTTGAATACTCTAGGTTACAAGATGCTGGATTGATCGATATGGAGTATTCTAATACTGATAAAAGACCACGGTGGAAGATGGCTAGGCAGCAACAGTAGCACAGTAGCACAGTAGCAATAGTAACAACTATCAACAATGATCGACTGGTTGATAGAGTAATTATAGCAGCATTTCCAGTATAGACATTAGTGTACTCCCTTTTATCGGTCCCTTGTTTTCCCTGGCTGGTTTCGTTCAAGAGTGACGGAAGCTACGCCGGCGGCTGAATTTCTTGACCTGGCATTTTTTCGCAGCAAAATCCCACCGCCCGACCAAAACAGTGACTGTCTTAGTGTCCGCCATAATAACATAACGCCTGCTTGTCCTGACCGGACTTGACCTGTCCTAATTCTAATTCTCCTTCCCACGCCATCACCACCTTTGAACGAACCTCACCCCATTCCACCCTCCATCCCTCTATATCTTCTGGTAAGCTACCTACTGTTTTGTCTTCGCCGTTGCCCTTGATTCTTGAATCGCATACTCCCCCCTCCGTCGACTCGCCTGTATTGTTTCCCCCCTCTCTGCGCCCACTCCGTGTATGCGGTAACCCCTGATTGTTCTGGTCATTGGGCCTTTTTTTGGGTTTATTCTGGCCCTCTGCCCACTCTGCAGGCCTCTTTTCCCCGGCTTCGGTTATCGTGCACCCTTGACTGCTTTCTTCTCTCCCCCCTTATATACCACGGGTGTTTCTGTTTACTGCTTTTCGCTCTTCCGTCCATCTGGCTATTATCGAACAACAAAACATTTCGACTATTGATTATTCTGACACCGCTTTTTTCCCTTCCAGTCCTCGAACTACATCCTCGCCACCGCCAATATGGGTCTCACTTTCTCGCGGCTGTTCGATCGTCTGTGGGGCAGAAAGGAGATGCGAATCCTCATGGTCGGTCTCGATGCTGCCGGTAAAACCACCATCCTGTATAAGTTGAAGTTGGGTGAAATCGTCACCACCATCCCTACAATCGGTCAGTCATCGCCCCTCCCCGTGTTCCGTCAATCAGGAGATTTGGTCGGACCACAGGCCACGTGGTCTGGAGGGGAACTTGCAACTGACCTGAAATACTTGTAAAGGTTTCAACGTCGAGACCGTCGAGTACAAGAACATTCAGTTTACCGTGTGGGATGTCGGTGGACAGGACAAGATCCGTCCTCTCTGGAGACATTACTTCCAGAACACCCAGGGTATCATCTTCGTCGTCGATAGCAACGATCGGGATCGTATCGTCGAGGCCCGGGAAGAGCTGCAGCGCATGCTGAACGAAGATGAACTCCGTGATGCCCTCCTCCTTGTCTTTGCCAACAAGCAAGATCTGCCGGTATGTTTTTCGACAGGAGATTTCAGCGAAATGATGATATTGACGTGATGTTAGAACGCCATGAGCCCCGCCGAGATCACCCAGCAGCTTGGTCTGCAGAGTCTCACCCGCCGTCCCTGGGTAAGTTGGACCGACCCCTTCGGATGACGGTATCCGTGGCTAACGAAATCTAGTACATCCAATCCACCTGCGCCACCACTGGTGACGGTCTGTACGAGGGTCTGGAGTGGCTCGCCGAGACGCTCCGCAAAACGAACCGGGACAGCTAGACTGTTGTTATGTCATTAGAAGGATGATCTGGATGGTTGACTGGGAGTTGGGGATGATGAATGGAGAACCGGGGCTGGCAACGACACCCCGTGTAGGGCAGGAAATGCTACGTGGCGGTGCTTGTATGTTCTCTTAACGGCTCTTCATTCCTCTATGCAATTAGCTTTTTGTGTTTTCTTCGTTCATCCCGGCGTCGATCTCAACGCATACTCCTGTTAAAACATCTTTTCCTTTTCTTTTTCCCTTTGTGTCTTTCCCCTTTCCCATTTTGCCTCTTCCCCCCTATTATTTTTTTTTATTATTTTACTTGATTTTCCTTGTGTTTTCTACTCTACTGGCAAAACTTGAATATTTACGAGCCACCGTGAACGGGTTACGTTCAAAAACGCCAATGTATTCTGATTTGAAACAACCATAGTAGACTACTATCTAGGCCATCACATTTACCACATTACCAAGCCAACTATAAAGAACAGCTGAACCCAACAAAATAAGATATAACCAGATTCATCCACACTAAACCCAGACCTAAACCTACGACCCCATTCCCATCCCCTCAGTCCAACCTAACCCATCTACACCCCCAACACCACCAACCCACCCAACATCCACAACCGTCCCGCCCCCACCCATCCCATCCCCACTAACCCACCAAGCAGCAGCACGCACAATCTCCAACACACAGCGCAGCTCATGCCCATCCCGCGGCGCATAAACCATCACAAACCCAGTTGGCACGCACCGCCCCAGCAATCCTCCCAGCCACCCGGTGTCATCATCACGAGCAAGCGGATGCCGCTGCGCCCAGCCGCGCTCGATGGCGGTGGCTACGTCTGCGGGGTGCAGTGTTAGGTGCAGGCTTCCGTCTGAGGGGTGGGCGTGGCATATTTCTTTGCCGTTGGAGGGATTGGTAGTGGTGGTGGAGGGGTTGGGTTGGAGGGGATGGATGAAGAGAGCCGTGCTGTGTTTCTCGAAGGAGGAGGTTGCTGTGTAGAGGGTGGAGTGGTTGTGTTTGGCGAGGGTGTGGAGGGCGCTTGTGAGGGCTCGACGCATGGTGTTGGTGTTGTTGTGTGTTAGTTGGCGCTGGGGGGCGATTCCGGAGATGAGGGGGCGGGGGCTGGGGCGTGTGGGGAGGGTGTGCAATGAGGTATGGAGGAGGCCGTTCGGGTTGTGGAGGGTTGAGGGGATGGGTGGTGGTGTGAGTGGGTTGCGGAGGGCGATGAGGCGGAGGAGGCTGATGCGGAGGTAGCCTGTGGGCGTGGAGGGTGTGCCGCCTGGTCCGAGGGCTAGGAAGGCGTGGTAGTCTTTGCGGATATGGTGGGTTAGGAGGAGGAGGGGGGGGAGGGAGAGGGTGAGGAGGATGAGGGGGAGGATGTTTGATGGGGGTGGGTTCTGCTTGGTGAGGGTTAGCTTTAGTATCTATGGGGGGGGGGGGGGGGGGGGTAGATGTCTATAGGGTAGTGTGGTTGAGGTAGTTATGGAGGTTGAGTGTCGTGACGGGTGTAGGTAGTAGGGTAAGCATACCATGACGAGAGGGTTTACGCTGCTATCGTGGGCAAAGTAGTTGATAGGCAGTCCGAATCAAGTATCCAACTTATCCAGCATTCGACTATTCAAGAAGGGTAGAAAGGTCAGTCTCCATCCGTGATTCCAGCGAGTTAGATAGAAATCAAGTATGATCCGGCCCAGAAGGTAGATAGGCAAATAGGAGCAATGTATGCCCGCAAGCGGATGGCTAGAGTGTCTTTGCATTGACTGTGTAGGTCAATAAAGTTGCGGAATTAGATGTGGTATTGGATCTGGTGTGTATGGTTTGACCTTCCTGTTAGGACTGACTTCTGCGGGCAATAGTTTTAAAGATAGTTTTAAAGTTGAATATGTGTTTTTGAGTGCTTGTATAGGTGGTGTACTCTACGTATGTTTAATGATATAGATATGGTTTATACTGCTGGGGGATGATCTTGTGCATTATCTGCATGATTGGGTATGCAGCTATCACCTCACATAAGCCATTACCTTGCTGTATCTCTAACAGTATGGGCAAATATATTGTAGTAAATATAACATAGATACTCATATAAGTCTGTCAAGCAAATTCATGCTGAAAGAGTGGGTGTAATCGAATTCATCCAGAAGTAACCATGATCGACCTACTATCGCCCTAGCCAGATCGGGTTGACCAGTTGGCCAACCAATTTTGGTACGAGGTACGGCCCGCTGAGATACCTTCAAGTACCTGGATATAGGCACACATTGTACCTGTTCCTTTTGTCAACAAAGACATCTGTGATCCATAACAAAAGATATCCTCTTGATAAAAACTGGGATATGTTTATTGCTTGCTATTCGGCAATGATTTCCATCAAGGCAGCATATGCCAAGCCGTAAGGTGACTAGTGGCAAGCGTTCCATCCCTTGGGCAACGCTGGCGTCGATCCAGTGATCCCCGGCCGACTAGTTGCTGGGGCGCCTTTGTTGATATCATTTTATAGATCTCTCCATCTATCCATCTCATCCACTCTCGTCCTTGGACCCCACTCGCATCTCAGAGATCGTTCATTGTTCTCTATTCATCCCATTTCATTCCATCTTCCTTTCCTATTAATCTAATCTTAATTCTTTCTTTTGTACTCTGATCTAATCAAGTAGTGAGTTGACTGCATGCTGGCCATACCATCTAGGTTGCATTGAGTTTACCAGGAGGTACGTGAGAGATCAGATCCCTTGTAATGTCTCATTACAGTCCCTTCCTCCTAACTCAGTCGCATCCCAGGACAATCCCCCTTGGTCCCTCACTCCCTGCATCCCTTGACACTTTGGATCGGTCCGTTGATCGTCCTCCTCACATACCACACCCGCTGCGTGGCATTGCTGTCGATTTTTCGGCAGTCAGCCTGTAGCCCTTGCGACGCGCAGCCATGACGCTCCCAACGGGGAGGCATTCCTCTAGCTCCGATGGCTCATTCCCATGCTCCCCGGGCGGTCGAGATGCCACAATAGACCTCGAGAAACAACACCGACCACGCAACTACCGCCGAACGAGCTACAGTTCCTTCACTTCAGCAGACAGTGGTGACGACTCGGTCACCTCGTCTTCCCCTTCGGACCAACCTATGTTGGCCCCTACAACGGTGCGCCGCACCCGCGCTGGTGTAGGCTTCTACCGCGTCCCCCATCGCATCATGAGATGGCTCTGCTTCTCGCTATTCATGGCGCTGGTCTTGTTTATTGTCACCTTGTTCCGATTCACGATCACTTCCTCTGTTAGTCCAGTTCCTCTGGAAGTACCTAATACCCCTCCGAAGCCGCCGACCTGGGAAAGCTTCCCGTTCTTAACACGATATCACGGTGGGATTCGGACCTTGGTGCCCCGCAAAGGTCAAGTCGCTGAATATCCGAACGATGAATGGGAGGCGTTGGGGTTGGATGCCAATGAGACGAAACCAGCCGTCGAGGCACGCGACAAACACCTGCCCGTGTCGAGTTCGGTTTTCAATCCTTATCCCGACTACGCCTCGCAGAAATACACTGAGAAATATGGCGAGAAGCGTGAGTGCTTCTTGGATGAGCATCGGGCGATCCACGTTCCCCAGGTTCACCATTATCCTGCGGTTCCGCGGGGTTTCCCGGACGCCGTGATGGGCTCAAACGAGATGCTGGGGATTCAAGACGATGTGTGCTTTGACCGCTTTGGCCGCTTGGGTCCCTACGGCTTAGGGTATAGCGTACGAAAAGGCGGCATCGGCGCCGGCTTGGAGGGCGACCGTGACGGCGCAGAGCGCGTCTGGGAAGAACACCCGCCCGTGGACTTTCGCAAAGTGGACTGGGCTGCTGCTCAAAGCCGCTGCCTCGATATCAACCGACATCGATTCCAGGATCTGCCGAAACCGCGGGCGAATCACTTCCTCTCGATGCCGGTGGGCACGCTGCTCACGACCAACGAGACCTCGCCAAAACTGCAGGACCGACAGGAACCGCCACGGGTTGGCAGTGAGCGTTTGCAACGGACGGCTGTCGTGATCCGCACCTGGCATGATTTCCGCTTCACCTCCGAGGACATCCTATACCTGCGTTCTTTGATCTCGGAGTTATCGCTCATGTCCGGCGGTGAATACGTGGTTCACATTCTGGTTCACGTCAAGGACGAAAACCTGCAGATCTGGTCCGACGACGAGACATACGACCGTGTCCTGAAAGACTCCCTGCCCGAAGAATTCCGCGGTTTGGGGACGCTGTGGTCCGAACGGCAAATGTCTCTCATGTACCCCGGATTGGAAGAGACAATGACCCGCGGGCTGCCCATCCACGGTGTATACCGCAGCACCTACATGCCCATGCAGTACTTTTCACACCAGCATCCCGAGTACGACTACTACTGGAACTGGGAGATGGACGCGCGGTACACAGGTCACTGGTACCAGCTTTTCGAGAAGGTCGTCGGCTGGGCAAAGGAGCAGCCGCGGAAGGGCCTCTGGGAGCGAAATGCTCGCTTCTATGTTCCCTCGGTCCACGGCTCCTGGGAGGACTTCCGCCAGATGGTCCGCGTGCAGACCGAGATCGGCACCAACAGCCCGAACAACATGTGGAGTGGAGCCAACGGTCCAACGCCCGGAGACAAAAGTCCTCACAAACAGCAGGGCGACAAGCCGATCTGGGGACCCGAGCGGCCCGACGAGCGCGACATGTTCGAAGTTGAAGGCGAGGGCATCCCCCCAACCACGGTGGACAAGGACCGATACGAATGGGGCGTCGGGGAAGACGCAGACCTGGTCGTGTTCAACCCGCTCTACGACCCAGAAGGCACCACCTGGCTCCTCCGTGACGACGTCACCGGGTACAACCGGGAGAACGGCATGCCCCCGCGGCGGACAGCCATCATCACAGCCTCGCGTCTCTCCCGCAAGCTGCTCCACACGATGCACCGCGAGACGACCCTCAAGCGGCACAGCATGTTCTCCGAGATGTGGCCCGCCACAACGGCGCTGCACCACGGGTTCAAAGCCGTGTACGTGCCGCACTCGGTGTACGTCGACCGCCGGTGGCCCACGCGGTACCTCGAGTCGGTGTTCAACGCCGGCCGCAACGGCGCGTCGGGAGGCGCGCGCACCTCCATCTTCGGCGACCGCGAGCACAACTTCCGCGGCACCACATGGTTCTACTCGGCGGGGTTCTCGCCCAATCTGTGGCGCCGGTGGCTGGGTTATAAGGTCGATAACGACGGGGGCGAGCAGGCGGAAGTGGCTGGGGAGGGGCGTATGTGTCTTCCTCCGATGCTTTTACACCCGGTGAAGGAGCTGGATATGGTAATTGATGATGGTGTTCAGCCTAGTGAGTCTACTCCTGAGGAGTAGCCACATTCTGGGCGGAGACTGCTATATGTGTGATGTGATTTTACAGTTTGATGGGCTGACCACTTACGTTTGGCAAAACGGCGTTGATCTATTCTGGACTGAGCTTGAGCATGTTGCTGGATGTTAGAGTTTTTTTTTTTTTTCCGACCTACATTATGTGTATATGAATGACTTGATGAATGATATATTCCCTTCAGTAAACTCACCAATAGGCAACAGAGAGAAGTGTATATTGTACACATAGAGTATGCTATATATAGAACAGTACAGCCTTGCATATCGAACTCATAATAACATTCCAAGATAATTGACACCGCTGCCTAGCACACAAACCCACATCCATTCTCCATAAAAGTAGCACACGAAACAATCCAATAACCTCCAATATCAACATCAATCTCAATCCCAAGCTAAACAAACCCTCTCACGAAACCCACCTCAGCCCTTAATCCAAGCCCAGGGAATTAGGGCCCGAAATAAAACCCACCGAACAAGGCTGAGTGACAAGGAAAAGTTAAAAAAAAGCCGTGGCGCCAATAGTCCCAACAACGCACACAGCCGTTCAAAGAGCACCCCGCGCCTCATTGGTTATGTCTTGACAGAAGGGCCCAACACAAGGCTGCCACTTCCCGTATGTACGGAGTAATAAGGCCCTTAATTCCAACAGAACAGGATGTGCGTACATGCCGGGGGCTGAGATATGAGGGAGGAATGTGACGGATGTTATGTTATGGCCCCTGGATTGGGATACAATCAAATATATACCCTTGACGCCCGCGCCTTTGGAATCTGGTTGTGAATGAAACAAAACAAACTTAAGCAACAAGAATAACTGAGTTCACTCTTTGAACTTTCCATATCAATATCCACATACCTAGGTGCCCAGGTATATAAGACACAGAGAAAAATGCACACCAAGTTCCTCGCAAGCAGCCTTATGGCTTTCTGCCTGTCGGCGACAGCAGCAGCAGCAGCAAAGGAATTCCCCAAAGCACCTGTCACGACGAACAACAACCCTACCGTCCAGCTCAAGGCGGAGCTGCTGGACAAAAGTAACACGACTGTTCGCGGCCAGGTTACTGCGTTTGCCTTGCCTGATACGGCTGGTATCAAGATTAATGCTCGGTTTACGGGTCTTCCTGATGGAAAGCCGTTGAGTGCGTCCCTCTCCCTTTCTCTTTCTCCCTCTCAGTTACCACAGCATGGTGTCCAAATCTACCCTACCCATAAACAAAAGAATCTCAATATACTAACAAAGCAATAAAATAGAATACCACATCCACGTCAACCCCGTCCCCGAAAACGGCGACTGCTACGCCACAGGCGGCCACCTGGATCCCTACAAGCGCACCGACACGCCCCCCTGCGACATCAACGCGCCCGAGACCTGCGAGGTCGGCGACCTCAGCGGCAAGCACGGTCCCATCTGGGCGGCTAAAGGCGAGGGCTTCGATACCTTGTACACGGACTATTTCATCTCGACTGAGGTCGGCTCGCCGGCGTTCTTTGGTGGTCGCTCGCTTGTGGTCCATGCTGCGGACAATACGAGGCTGAACTGTGGGAATTTTGAGGTTCAAGGTGGGGTTATCAGGGGGTTGGGGGACTTTCATGAGGGGGGGTATTGAATGAGTGAGTGACTGGGTTGGTTGTTCTTTGCGGTAGGGTTGGTTTAGATGGGGGGGGGTGGCGATAGGGGAGTAGCTGGTGGTTTTGCCCCGGTGGGGATAATGTTGTTTGAATTTGAATTTGTTGGCTATTTATTTGGTTGTTGGATGTTTGTTGAAATGCCATAGTTAGGCAGAAGAAATAATCACCCTATTCTGTGATGCGCCAGCGAGGCACGACAATCTATAGATGTCAGATATCATGCTAGTTGACGAGTATATTATACTCTTTTTAAATGCCCACTCCTTGCATGCCAACCATAGAGGCAATGGATCACGTCGGCTGCCCATCCAAATTCTCCAACCTGCTCTGTATGGCACTCTGGAAATACTGCCCCTCCTCCCCCTTATACTCCTGCAGCACAACAGCCCGCATCAACCGCCTAGGAGCCCTCCGCCCAGTGAAGAGCTCAAACTGCGCGAACCCTTGCTCCGGGAGCACGTCCAGCCCGTCGAGGGTGACCCAGCCGCGGTGCGAGAGGGCTCGCATTTGTTTGATTAGAGGGGAGTAGAGAGGTTTGTAGGCGAGCTATTTGTATGTTAGTTAGTATTGGGTTGAACGGTACTCTAGCTGAAGCTGGAGACATACCTCGACGACTACTCCACCAGTGGGACTCTCCAGCCACTGCGACGGGATCTCAAAGTTCGGCGCCGGCTGGTTACCAATGCTGTGCTGCGGGATGCAGGAGCAGATGACGGTTGGCTGTTTGTACTTCTCTGGCCAGGGGTCGTCTAGCGAGTGCAGGATGTGGATTCTGGCGCCCTCTGAAGACCCGTTTGCGCTGGTACTGCGGAGATTCTGTCGGTTATAGTGGTAGGCGAGTTTCTCCGCATTGGCAACCGTGCGGTTCCAGACGAAAATGTTCTGCACCCCCAGGTGAATCATGGAGTATACGGCTGCGCGAGCCATGCCGCCTGCGCCGATTACCACGCCTGTAGACGAAGGCCGGATTGCATTCGCTGGGGAGAGGCCCCTCCGGAAACAGTTGCACATGCCGATCCAGTCGGTGTTGTCTCCGTGGAGAGCCTTGATCGGCCCCGCGCGGCTTTTCTCCATGTACAGCGACGAGCCCTCCGTGTCTGTGGTGTCTGTGAATTTGCGGATGGGAATTAAAGTGTTGACAGCCCCTATGGCGCGCGCGTGGGGCGACATCGAGTGGAGGAGTGGGATGACCTCTGTCTTGTACGGTAGACTGACGCTCGTGCCTCCGAAATGGGGGTTCTCGACCAGCTCGTTGAGACCGCGCAGCGAGGACGACTGGTGGAGGTTGTATGTGTGGGGTAGTCCGGAGGCTCTGTATGCGGCGTTGTGCATCGCGGGGGATAAGCTGTATGTGATGTTTGCGCCGAAGACGAAGAACTGCATGGGGTCCAGCGCGAATGAGGTGTAGAGGGCCCCTTGCGCCTCGCGTAGCGTGATGCACGGTAGTCCCTTGGTGTGGATCTCGGGCGCGAGGGACTGGTGCACGACGGGGGTTAGGATTGGGTTGAAGCAGCATGATAGTCGGCCTAGGGAGCCGGAGTTGTATGCGATGAGAGGTAATGATGGTGTTGGAAGGGACGTGATGCGGTGGCGGAAGCGTTCGACGGAGAAATTGTCCTCTATTGATGCTGCTGGCTGGGTCAATCGGACCATGTCGCAGCCGAGCTGTTGAGCTCGTTCGTACATCGTCTGAAACTCGGCGTTGTCCCAGCCTCCGGGGCGGGATTCCAAAGCTGCGTAATGGCCGATCACTTTGCTTGATCCTTTGGAGGAGATTATCTGCATTAGAAGGGCATTGTCGTACGAAAGGTCGACGGTCAGGAACTCGGGTGCTAATCGTAAGCCGTGCTGTACTAAGTTCAGATACTGCTCGGCTGGGCGGCGTGGGTCCTCCGTTTGCTGCGCACCGGACCCGAGGTTACTATCGACATGGTAAATCAGGGGCACGACTATGTTCCGTCTGATCATGGCTACGATGTGGCTGATCCTGTCTTCATAGGTTGGATCGTCTCCGGTAGATGTCTTCCCCACGTCAACCTTCAACTCGAATGCGTCCGCAGTGGACTCCAAGTCCTCGATGTCCAAATCACGCTCGAAGAACGAAGAAATCGGCACGCTCACTGCGTAGGTGAACGTTCGCGTCTCGACTGGCTGCATTGACAGGGGGAACGACGCCAGATGATTGCTCAGATCGGTGGGGTCACCAGTAGCGAATGCGATGAAGCGGAGGAAATCCCGCTGCAGCCGTTTGAGCGTCAAGAAAGGAGTGACGGGTTGATGCCGCTGATTGACCTCTAGATCTAGTAGTGTATGAGGTCCGTCTCTGATAGTCCTTTCCGAGATATTGAAAAATTCGAAATTGGAACAGTCCCGATAGATCGGACCAGAGAGTTCCAGGAAGCGACGGATCTTGTTCGAATCCCACGCTTTAAGGTAAGATTGAATACTCTCTGGATCTCGAACGATATGGATCACCGGATGGGTTTTTGCGTACTCTCTAAGCAGCATCTGCCCACTCCGTTCCATAAATCCAGGTCCGCACACAATTACCCAACCCTCGCTATGTTCCGCCAACACCGACTCCATGACCCTCGCATCTTGACGGCGATATTCTGTCAGACCGAATGATTTTTTGAACGTGGCGCGCGAGTGTCCCGTCACATGCTGGAAGTATCGGTCTGCGTCTATCAAGCGACGTCCCGATGTGGCTGCCAGGATGACCGCCAGACTGGATTTGCCCGTGCCTCTGATTCCGATAAGAACGATGGACGAGTTCGGAGTAAATTTGCGATTGGTATGGAACGACCTCTCCAGGCTGCCCTGCGATGTACGATTGGAGTTTGTACCTCTCTGGGTTTCGGGCTCTGTAGCTGTCACGCAGAAGGACTCATCATGGGAGAGAACCCCCGCGATGCTGCGAGCACTGATTAGGGGCGTCGCGTTGTACACATCATGCCCTTGCGCGAAACGTCTTCTATTTTGCTCCTCCAATCCCTCTAACTCATGTAGCTTTCGTTTGACCGGCTTCACCAGAATGGACATGACCGGAGTTGAGACTGCGTCGTCGGTTAGATGTACATTAGAACGTCACAGGCCACGAAATGCGCAGTCGCGAAGCCTTTCGAGCCGCGAACCATGGAGAGCCGACAAAGGGCGCGTCGCATGTGTGAATGGCCGTTGATTCAAAAGAGATTGTGTCATAGCATGAGGGTTTCTGACAATCTAATCCTGTAATAAGGACAATGGAGACTTTGAAGGATGTGCTGTTGTGGGGTGTGCGAAGTATCCAAGAAACCACAATGTACCGAATCACACCACACAGCGCAGCCAAAGGAATTTGCTCTGACCTCGGCGCTTCCGCGGGGAAGTCAGACTTGTGCGGGAAAAGGCTCAGCCGGTCAGCTTGTCCATTGCCTGGCTCGAGTGTCGCGTTGTGGAGCAGTTCGGTAATTTCCCGTTCCCCACGGGGGATGCCGACGATTCAGCGGATTGATGTTGGTCATAATGGTTTTTCCCCGACTTTCCCCTCATGATTTTCTCCCAGTAATTCTCTCTGTTCACAGATCTCTATTATCATCGCTTGTCATTTGACATTTCGACACTGGTGTCTTTTGGGATCCTCAATTAATCAATGCCCTTCCGTTGACCACCTCTCTGTACCCTTACCCTAAGAGGTGGGGCCGCTCTCGATCGCATTCCTTTAGATGCGTCGCCGGCAAAACGTTCATTTCGATGGCATGATCGGAAGATGAACGTGCATCTAGAACAGTCAAGCGGGCCGTTGTACAGACGACCATGACCGGCGACACGCGCCACACCGCAAGGGGCAGCAGCAGATCCAAACGGCGATTAACAGGGGACGACGACAGCGGCAAATTGAATCGCGCTGCAGATGACTCGGTCTCGAATCCCAAACGTCAGCGAGTGTCGCGTGCTTGCGACAGCTGTCGTTCGAAGAAAGACAAGTGCGACGGCGTCAAACCGGTGTGCTCGACATGCGCTTCGTTATCGCGCCCGTGTACATACAAAGCAAATCCGAAGAAGAGGGGCCTGCCGACGGGGTATATTCGCTCGCTCGAATTACTATGGGGTCTTGTATTTTGCAAGATACAGGGGAGCGAGGATGTGGTTCGGGCGTTGTTGAAGACGGCCAATTTACCGAGTCATTTAGCGTCGATGGGTAAAGAAACGGAGGCGTCGGATACCCTCCTTTCTTCGTTCAAGAATAGCGCTATGTTGAAGGATATTGAGAAGATGATTTTATCCTTGGAACAGCCAGAAGAGGAGTTGGACAAGAGCGATCACATTCCGGGAGATAATGACTCTCCCTCTGATGCAGGGAGCAGTGCGCTGGCTTCCAACGCCCTCGAATGGCACTTGCCCCAGATACAAGTATATGAAGGAGAAGCATTGACTACATCTGGGCTTTCTCCCGCCAAAACACCGAGTACTGCATCCACTGCCAGGCTTCCTCCATGCATGACTCGTGATTGTGGCAGTCAAACCATGGATGCTGAAGTGACGATTGACCCCCCATCCCAGCTTTCACCTCTCCGAGCTGACCACCATTCAACACCACTCAAACTTCCTTCCAATGTATGGCCTTTGCTTGACATATACTTTTCCTACACACAATGCTGGTTTCCTATACTTGAGAAACATGACATACTTCGCACTGCATTTCGCCATTCTGAAGACGACGCGCCGGTCGATCCCTCATCCCCTGGTTCCGGAGATTATGCTGCTCTATGGGCCGCTTTGGCCCTTGCTTCTATTCAAGAGACATCAATCTCAAAGACTGGCGCTCGCAGTCGACTGGACTGTAATGTGTTATATACCACAGCCAAAAGCCTAATCCCTGACGAGAGTGACGCTTATGAGATCGGTCATGTGCAGGCATTATTGATCTTGTCCCTCGTGAAGTTTGGCCAACACAAGTGGATGACATCCTGGATTCTTGTAGGACAAGCTGTTCGAATTGCACGCTTTTCAGGGCTAGATTTTCTTCAGGGACAGGGCGCGAATCGAGACGGCAAGGCTTCTCCGCGTACCAAACATGTTCTCTTGGGCTGTTTTGTCCTGGAATCATTGATATCTATGCAGACTGGCCAGGTTCCCTCCATGCGGAAGGATGATGTGGCGAAAATTGGTTTGATCAACGAAGATGGCTTGGAAGAGTGGCACCCATGGGAGGACCAGACCGGCCTCCAACCAGGCGAACCATCGCGTGGTTCATTCCACAGGGGGCCTCTCCTTGCTCTAAGCACGTTCAATCGTTTGGTCTCGCTGATGTGTATTTTGAATGAACTTTGCTGTTTACGGCAAAGCCCAGCCGTCGCCCTACCACAGCTTGAGGCACTCCAGCGGCAGCTGCAATCGTGGGCGTCCGCGCTTTCGAAGAGCTACCGCGTCGATCTACAGAACCCTGCCAAAGTGGGCTCACCACATATCTTTGGCCTGGAAGTGATGCACGAGAGCGTTGCTACAATACTGAGCACCCATGTCGCCCTCCAAGAGAGCGATGGGAACAGTCTAGAGTCATCATATACGAAGGGTGCTACGGAAAGCGCCAGAAGGTTACTGCTACTGCTCCAGACCTACGTAAATAATTACAGTCTTGCAGCGACGTGTCCGACATTCGGAATGATGCTGAGTTTCAGCACCCTACAAACCACTCTTTTCTCTGAAGCTGAGCCAGAGTTAAAGAAAGAACTTCAATCTTTCTTGTCCCGCTTGTCAGCAGTATGGGCAGATCCAAAGAATACCATTCCAATTCTGACGCCCCCGGAACAACCGCCAATATCAGAAACCATGGCTCTCACAAGGACTCGAGAGGAAACTCACCCTCATGTACCCTCGGATAACTCTACTGTCATACCTCAAGCCACAACTAATATCTCCATCAATCCGTCACGAAGCACGCAAATGACGAACGAGAGCCGCAGAGACCTCGCTACCCCAGAGTCACTCATAGCCAATCTATGGATGAGAACACCGAGAAACACCGAAGGAAACATACCGTTATCTTTATCAACGCCCACGCCTTCGCTAAACGTGCATGGATCCCCAAAGGAAAGCCGCCACCGTGCATCTATATCTGAAAAACCGTCGAACGAAACGCCAATGGCTATACCCGACACAGCAACCCAATTCCACAGAAATGAACCTCAATACCCCACACCTTTCACCGAACCCAACCTTAACCTCGGCGCCTTCGTAGGCGTTGACGGATACGGATCTCTCCAAAGACAGCGAATCGCCCCTGATTTGGACGCATTGTTTGATGAGCTAGCATCCCTTGATGGGACAGAACAGTGAGCTTCCTCGTTAGAACATTATTCAAATGAGTACAAGCTAATATATGGCTGATGCAGCGCTGATAACCAGCCGGAGTTTATGCAGAATCTGGGATTCGTGCCTGATGCTGGGATTCCTGAGTTCTATCCGTATACACATCAGGTGGACCCTTCTTGATGGCCAAGCCCTGATTTTTCTGTCTTAAGCGACTGTTGAAAGATAGTGATCATGTTACCTCAGGCGAAAGTAACGTGAACTTCCATTTCCGGCCATGATTTAGTGGCGACGGAGTATTCCATACAAAGTTGGAATGCTTGTACATTTCGCAACGGTCTATTAGAGATACCCAATAAGATACTACACATTGCATCCCCCTAGCCTATTACAGAAGATAACAGTCTTCAAAAATCATAATTATAGCGACAGATGTATATGCAAAACAATCACAAAACCGCCCTCCCCTCCCTCTTCCCCCCAAATTTCCCAACCACATACTCCACCGCAACCTTATACCCAAACACCCCCAATCCAACAATGACACCCGCCGCCTTATCACTCAAATAGCTATGGCGACGCCAAGGCTCCCGCGCATGGACATTACTCACATGCAGCTCGACAAAGGGGATATCAACCGCGAGAAGCGCATCGCGGATGGCGACGGAGGTATGCGTGAAGGCGCCGGGGTTGATGATGATGGCGTCCATGTGGGTGCGGGCGGCTTGGATGCGGTCGACGATGGCGCCTTCGTGGTTGGATTGGAAGGTGATGAGCGAGGCGCCTAGTGAGGCGGCATGGGCTTTGCTGCTGCTTTCGATGTCGGTGAGGGTGGTGGTGCCGTAGGTGGTGGGTTCGCGGGTGCCGAGGAGGTTGAGGTTGGGGCCGTTTATGAGGAGGATTGAGGGGGGCATCTTATTGATTTATTGATTATTTGTTGTTTATCTTTGGTTAGAGGAGAGAGATCGGTGGGGAATTGTTCGATGTGTAGTTATTCAAGGTAGCAACGTTGTGTAGAGTAAGAGTGGATGATGATATGGAGTATTTAGGGTTGATATAGTTCTATACGTTGTTGAGTATGATATAGTTGACATTCTGTCGATTCCGCTTCCTGTTCGGATATACGAATATGCTAACTATAGGTAGAGATAGTGGCTGAATATACAGTGTCTACTTTTAGTATTACTCTGCAGAGCAAGTTACTGTTGGCCCAACCATGGTTAAGATAAACCGGATGGATATTGTAGAAGAACAGTGGAGAAGGTGGCCGGCTAAGCGTACATCCGCCATCTGATTCATACATCCGTACTGCATCACTGCGTTATAACCACTGATTATTATTTCAAAATATATTGCCATCAAGAAGAGAATGACAGAAGCTTGTAAGATACTTCTGGGCACTGCATTTGAAATAGTGTATAGCATGTCGACATCTTAATATCAATCTCGGAAAACCCCCGATTGAGTCACTCAGAACAACACCCCTAGCCATGTAAAGCGAAGTGGAGACGACTCCAGATCAGCGGCGGTTATCCACGGACGCTCAAACCTCCAGAGCGTTGATTTGCATTTCCAAGTCTGGTCTTTCCTTCCAAAGACTTGCTCAGAGCACCTCGTCTCCTTTCTCTGATTGTCGTCGCGTGATAACACCCTGCAGAGTACGATCACCGTTGAACAACACCACCGCTAGCCTGCATCTTATCATGGCCGTGACCGAGTTCTCCCAAGATCAGCTAGATGAGATCTACACCTTCGCGGTCGATCTAGGCCGCAAAGCCGGCGAGATGCTGCTGGCCAGTGTCGAGAGACGAATTGGAGACGGCGACAACCAGTTCGAGGAAAAGGACAGTTCAGTCGACATTGTGACTCAGACAGACGAAGGTTCTACACCAAAATCCGGTATCTCACACACAAACTAATAATCACTCTGGAAGATGTGGAGTCTTTCATCAAGACTGCGATCCATGATAAATATCCTGCGCACAAGTCAGTCTTTACTGTCCCTCCGCAAAAAACAACCAATCTCATTTAATGGATACCACAGATTCCTAGGAGAAGAAACATACGCCAAAAGCCAGTCGCGCGAATACCTCATCGACGAGCATCCAACATGGTGCGTCGACCCATTAGACGGTACGTCAATCCCATCTCCAATCACCAAACCCTCCCGACCAGTCAGTCAGTACCTTACAGAATCCAACAGGAACAGTCAACTTCACCCACCTCTTCCCCATGTTCTGCGTCTCCATAGCCTTCATCGTCAACCACCGCCCCCTAATCGGCGTAATCTACTCCCCCTTCCAAGACCAGCTCTTCTCATCCTGCGCCAACCGCGGCGCCTGGCTCAACGAAAAGCGCCGCCTCCCTCTCATCCGCAATCCGTCCATCCCGCCCTTACCATCCAACGCCCCCAGGCAATGCATCTTTTCCTGCGAGTGGGGCAAAGACCGCCGCGACGTTCCCGACGGAAACATGCACCGCAAGGTTGAGAGTTTCATGAACATGGCTACTGAGGCTGGTGGGCGTGATGGCAAGGGTGGCATGGTGCATGGCGTGCGGAGCCTCGGTAGCGCGACGTTGGATTTGGCGTATACTGCTATGGGGTCGTTTGATATTTGGTGGGAGGGGGGGTGTTGGGAGTGGTATGTTTTCTCCTCTTTTTTTGCGTTTTGATGAGTGGTTGATTTATATTGGATAGGGATGTTGCGGCGGGTATTGCTATTTTGCTTGAAGCGGGTGGGCTTGTCACTACGGCTAACCCTCCTGAGGATCCGATGACGGCTCCGATTGAGAATTTCAGGTTGGGGAGTCGGCTGTATCTGGCTATTCGGTATGTTTTCATATATATGTATGAGGAAACAGGATAACACTAATATGTTCAAGACCGGCTGGTCCGTCGTCGACAGAGACAGGGCGACAGTCGCAGGAGAGAACGGTGCGGGAGGTATGGCGTCGGGTGCGTGAGCTCGAGTACACGCGGCCTGGGGCGTGATCAGTAGCCTACATTGACAATCTTGGTCAAAGACTTGGCAGTTACAAAACGAATACAATGATAAAGAAAGATATGCTTTATTTGACATTTAAGAATCATTCTATCACATCAATGCTCTAGGGTATGCTATACACGAGAATCATGAGTACGTAAGGTCAGCAACAAACGCGCAAAGAAGAATCACATCTTCGACAGCTTAGGCGTCCGGTCTGCAATCGACCTGCTCACCATGTCGCGGACAGCCTGCACCAGGCCCGGTACAGCGACGATATCCCGATCAGTCCAAAGTCGCGCTTGCTCCAGACCCTGCCAGATGAGGGCTTCGGTGCCCATGATGACCTTCCAGCCGGTGGCGGACGCCAGCGCCGCGATCTCGGTGTAGGGAGTAGGGTGGTAGCACATCTCGAGGATAACGCCCTTGAAGGGTTCACCGGACTGCTGGCGCGATCCCAAAAAGGCCTGCAGGGTCTCACGGGCGCGGAGCTCCTCGGGCGTTTTGGGCGGGTAGTTCGGGATGCCGGAGACAATGGCCGCGGGCTTGTCGGCCGCCGCAGCGGATGCAGGGTCAGAGACGTGGATGAGGGGCGCCTTGGTGGAGTCGGGATTGCGCTGGTTGTCTTCCCGGAGGATAGCCTCGACCTCTGCGCTGTCGCGATTGACAATGTAGATCTTGCTAGCGCCTAGCCACTTGCGCATCACGTAGATCGCGGTGCGGGCGGTGCCGCCGCCGCCGACGATGAGGGCGGGCTTGCCGCGGAAGGGGTCCTCGGGAGTAGCTGGGGCGTTCTGCACCAGGGCTTCGCGGATGCCGATGCAGTCGGTGTTGGTGCCGACGTAGGTGCGCTTGTTTCCGGCCCCCCGGCGCACGAAGATGGTGTTGCAGGCGCCTGCTTGCTGCGCGTCTTCGGTCATCTCGTCTAGGTAAGGCATGATGGCTACCTTCCAGGGCATCGTTACAGACGACCCGACGAACTTGGGGTTGGCTCGGATTGCCGCCAGGTACTTGTCGATTGGTGGTGATTTGGTGTATGGCGGTGGGTAGGTGGCTGATTTGCCTGTGACGCTGGACAGGGGGATCTGCGTCCAGTTCAGGCCCAGCTTCTTGTAGACGGTCTGGTGCAGGGGTGGCGAGAGAGAGTTGATCAATGGGTGCCCGTATAGATAGGCTACCCCATCCAGATGGTCTGGGCAAGTAATGGGCTCTTCAAGCGGTGGTTGCGCATTGTTGGCAACCTGTGATGTGGCCATGATAGAGGGACCAATTAGGGCTGGAAGAAGTGGAAGGTGTAGAAGAATTGAGGTTGAGGGACTTGGTCAAAATGGCCTAAGGTGTGATCTTAACAATTATACAATAGCCATTAAGGGTTCCAACATTGAATGACCTCGTCTAATAAGGACAGTCCGAGTGGATGAAGTTGAAGAAACAATCAATGCTGGTTTGCGGCGGAGAAACATTTTGCTGGCCCGTGACGGCGGGTGCCTGAGGCAGCACCTCATCTCAAGTGTTCAGCCGATCTCTCTCTCTTTTCTCTTTGCCCTCGTCTACACAACTCCCATCTGTGGGTATCATTCCTTCCTGGTTGCCCCACTGACTGACATAGATCCAGCATATCAAGAATGAAACATCCGGAGTGCGATCGGAAGTTATCCGCTCCATCTACTCTTAACCACAAACTTTAGGGCCGGGGAGAACTCTTATCCCGGCCAAGCGTCCCTAAGCCTCATTAAGCTCGCTTAATAACTGACCCCCATGGGGAATGCCACAAGGATGTCAGAGCCGGGGAAGCCCTTTTCCCGGCAATTTGACACCCAATGGCCCAGGACTCGTTAGACATGCATCTCGTGGGATCCTTGACTCTTGGCTGCGAAATGCCGAAGACCCGGGGGTATCGCCCAGCCTAGGATGGTCCGTGCCGCTATTCACTCGATAACCTCGGACCTGACTGGTGAATGGTTTACTAGCTTCTTCGGTTCAACCATGCTAATGGCCTGGTTCTCCACCTCTGGCCTCCAACCTTCCTGCGTCTCCACAACCACTTCGAGAGCGGGATCGGAGAGAGACGTCCAGCTTTTGGCAGAGATTTCTTGACAAGGCGTAGCTTGGGCTGGATCTCGTGGAAGTCACCCGAGCAAGAAACTTGTACAATAATTAGGTTTCTATATCCCAGTCGCGTGCGCTGCGCTCCCTTGTGGTATAGTGTTTTCCGGCTCTGGGAGTGAGATATACGTTTTGCCGCCCCTAGTCTCTCTCCAACGACATTGGCCAGAATATTGCATGCTGGGGTTTCCTTCCCCTTCTCCCCTGTCCGCATCCTTACGCCGCTGCGTGATCCCCGGATTTTCTCTCCTGGGACTGAATTAGCGTGACGTTAAGTCACCCCATACTATTTAGACCTGGTGCCCGGTCAATCGTATGGTATTTTTCTCATTCTTTTGGTTCTTCATCTACATCTACCGTCTGAGCCTAGCGCTGTTCACAATACCCCTGTCTATACCTAGCCCTTGGAATTACATAGGAGGTCTCGATATTCGCGCCCTTCCAGGTCGGGCAAGTGCACTCAAAATGGGCGTTCTGTCGCTGGTCGAGGACCGTCCTACTCCCAAAGAGGTCTACAACTGGCGGATTTACCTCCTCGCAGCCGTCGCGTCGTTCACGTCATGTATGATCGGCTATGACAGCGCCTTCATCGGCACCACCATCCAGCTTGACTCTTTCAAGGAAGAGTTCAACTGGGACGCCATGTCCCCGGGGAAGCAAGACCTGGTGAGCGCCAACATCGTGTCGCTGTACCAGGCCGGGGCTTTCTTCGGCGCATTCTTCGCCTACCCCATTGGCCATTTCTGGGGGAGAAAGTGGGGTCTGATGTGCTCCGCCTTGATCTTCACCCTGGGCGCTGGCCTCATGCTGGGGGCCACGGGTGACCGCGGTCTCGGGCTCATCTACGGAGGACGTGTCCTTGCCGGTCTGGGGGTGGGAGCAGGCTCGAATATCACCCCTATCTATATTTCCGAGCTGGCCCCGCCTGCCATTCGGGGTCGGTTGGTCGGTGTCTACGAGCTGGGTTGGCAAATCGGTGGCCTGGTGGGCTTCTGGATCTGTGTAAGTGGGAGTCGCAAGAGTCAACAAGGCTCTGCCAAAAGCCATAACAATACATAGCTGACGGTGCTTTAACAGTATGGGGTCGATTCGACCATGCCCCCCAGCCACAAACAGTGGATTATTCCCTTTGCAGTGCAGCTCATTCCGTCAGGTCTGCTCATCTGCGGCTCCTTGTTCATCAAAGAGTCTCCGCGGTGGCTGTTCCTACGGGGCCGGCGCGAGGAGGCCATCGAAAGTCTCAGCTGGGTCCGTCAGCTCCCCGAAGACCACATCTACATGGTCGAGGAGATCGGAGCGATCGACCGCGCCCTGGAAGAGCAGCGGACCACCATGGGTCTGGGATTCTGGAAGCCGTTCATGCTGGTCTGGACCAACAAGAAGATCATGTACCGTCTGTTTGTGGGCAGCATGCTGTTCCTGTGGCAAAACGGCTCCGGCATCAACGCCATAAACTACTACAGCCCTACCGTCTTCGCCAGCATCGGCGTGAAGGGCGGCAATACCAGCCTGTTCACCACCGGTATCTTCGGCGTCGTCAAGACCGTGGTCACGTTCGTCTGGCTGCTTTGGCTGATTGACCACGTGGGCCGACGGATGCTTCTTCTGGTCGGTGCGGCCGGCGGTTCGATCTGTCTGTGGATCGTCGGTGCGTATATCAAGATCGCCGATACCAAGAATAGCGACAATACGGAGATGGATGGCGGTGGCATTATGGCCATGTTTTTCTTCTACTTGTGGACGGTGTACGTACAGCCCTTTGGATGCATTCCTAGATCTATCCCTCTAACCTACTCATACAGATTCTACACCCCCTCATGGAACGGCACCCCCTGGGTAATCAACTCCGTAAGTCCACCTACTCAACCCCAATAAACAACCACTCACATTACCCAGGAAATGTTCGAGCCCAACATCCGATCCCTAGCACAAGCCTGCGCAGCAGGCTCCAACTGGCTCTGGAACTTCCTCATCTCGCGCTTCACGCCACAAATGTTCGACAAGATGGACTACGGAGTATACTTTTTCTTCGCGACGCTGATGATCTTCTCCATCGTGTTTGTGTTCTTCTTCGTGCCGGAGACGAAGGGCGTTCCGCTTGAGAATATGGATGGTCTGTTTGAGCATAAGCCGATTTGGCGGGCTCACGGCGAAGTCATTGCTAGGCTGCGCGAGGACGAGATGCAGTTCCGGAGGGATGTTGAGGAGGCTGGGGGGTCGAAGTTGGGGTGGAGCGGGTTGAGGAGACTGTTCAGGGTAAGGGGGTGGATGGGTGAATGTGGTTGTATATATAGGTTTGGTAGTTAAATTTATGAATTGAATATACAGTCGGCATGCTGCGAGATCTGTCTCTGTCTACTAGATGTTAATCAATAACGAGATTGGCGTATGGCTTTCCCTCTCGCTGCTACACAATAATAAACTACTCCACTGTTTCCCCCCGCCACCCTCCTTCTCGCTCTCTCCTTCTCTCTGTCCATACCTATGTATATGTACTGATATACCACTCCAAACCCAGCCTAAAAAGCACCAACATCAACATCAACATCAACAGGCCCCCCCGTCCGCAACGACTCCCTAACAGCCCCACAAACAACCAAAGCCCTCAACCCCTCCTCCCCCGAACACCCCACCTCCACCCTCCCGCAAATAACATCCACAAAATGCCTCACCTGCTCATCAAACGGCTTCTTCCCCTCCTCCAGCTCAACCTCAAACCTCTCCACCCCCAACCTCTCCCCCAACCCCCCTCCCCACACCCATCATAACTCCACCGCGTCATATCCGGCACACTCAACGACGCCCGGGATCCAAAGATGCGGTAAAAATCCGCCCCACCGCCCTCCACCCGCGGAATAAGCGGGTTCTCGCCGGTCCCAGCCTCGAAGTTATGCGGGGAGGGCGTCGCGTCGCAGACGAGGAATGTGCCCACTGCGCCGGACGCGAAGCGCAGCGTGAGGGCGGCGCCTTCTTCGGTGGGGTTGGTGCGTTGCGGGGGGTTTGCTCGGCGTGCACGCGGGTGATGGGGCCGAGGAGGTAGTGGAGGATGTCGATGTCGTGGATGAGGTTTATGGGGATGACGCCGCCGCCTGTTGTGGAGGAGGCGCGCCAGGCGGTTGGGGCGGAGAAGTAGGAATCTGGTTTGAGGAGGGTCCAGAGGCCGTTTATGGCGATTATGTGGCCGAGGGAGGTGGCACTTGAGGTGAGGAGTTCCTTTGTTTTGAGCACGTAGGGGTTGAAGCGTCTGTGGTGGCCGACGAGGAGTTTGAGGTGGGCGTGTTGGGGTTGCTTTAGGAGAGAGAGGAGCTCGCGGGCTGAGGCGATGTTGTCGCTGAGGGGTTTCTCGACGAGGACGTGGATGTTGGCGAGGAGGAGTTGCTTGGTGATGGCGACGTGGGTGTGGTTGGGGGTGCAGACTATGGCGGCGTCGGGCTTGGGGATTGCTTGTAGGGTGGCTTCTATTGTTGGGTAGTAGCTTGTTCCTAGCTTTTGAGCGGTGGTTGCGGCGCTGGGGAGGGGGTCGATGAGGGCGACGAGGTCGGTGGAGGGGTTGGAGAGGATGGATTGGGCGTGTCGGGGGCCGATGAGGCCTGCGCCTACGATGATGAATTTGAGGGTCATGTTTATTTGGAGGTTTTTCTTGTGTAGTATGCTTGAAGTATAGGCTGACAAGGAAGAGAGGGAGATAGAACGCGATCAACCAACAGGGTCAATTCCATCAACTACAGACTAATGAAACATTGACAGTCATCGAAATAATCCTCTGCTCATACGCGGGTAAGTGAGGTACATGATCCACAGCGCAGGGAGAAAGCTTAGCCGGGCTGTTTTAGCCCTAAGTCTGGGTCATTTCTCCAACATCCGCTTATAGTTGAGAATGACATCAATACCAGACTCAGTAAGGATCATTTGAAAATAGAACAGAACTAGGTAGATATCACTGAAATATTCATCAGATCTAGATCACAACGCTCTGGCACTCTTGTGTCTGCCATGGTGTCTTGCTTGGGGGCATATACTCTAGATAGTGTCAGAATGGAGCTATCCTAGAATGGCATTATCGAATGGGCAGTTTATGAGACTGCCGACTCTGTTATTACTGTAGGCAGTTGTCTACTATCTAGATGGATGATCCAGCCAAGCAACTACTGATAGATGAACAGATCCATCCCGCCCACCGTACCTACTTAGAATTTCTTCAGCGTTTACGAAAAACCCCCTGCTCTATGTAGCAACATCTCAAACATCGAAGCAAGTCAACTCTACCAGAAGTATAAAAGCATGAACTGCATCATATAAATATTACGCTATGCCCTCCTGCACGCCAATAGACCAAACACCAGATCAATCCGATCAAGCCAGCCAGCCAAGTCAGTCAGTCAGTCGTTGAAGACGAGAGAACCCATACATTTAAATGCCAATGCCGTCGCTGTCGTCACTCTTGATATATCTTGTGCTTTATCTTTTCTTTTCACTTTTTTCTTCCTTCCTTTTCTTTTTTTTTATTGTCACAATTTTTTGTCTTTTAATTTTGTTATTCCGTTGGTCGTCAGGCGGCATAACGTCTCTGCTGCACATCCCCGTTCGTCAATCCGAGAGATATTGTTGAAACTCCCGTTTCACGCAAGACAGAGAAAAGCATAGGACGATCACAGTTATCAACACTGGATCGATCCTATCGCCGCGAAATGAAAGAATGTCTAGTGGTATATATAATAGGAAATTATGTGAGCGCCGTTGGGTGTGGCGTTTCGGCCCCGTCGTAAACGACGGGCTAGAGTGCACAAGCCAGAGTGCGATGTTTAAGCTTCTTGCGCCCACCGCCGCTCGCGCAGCGGCATCTCCTCCCCGGCCTGGGCTCGACTACCGTCCGTTTCACGGCGCCAGGCGTAGTATTCTCCGAGACGGTTCTCGGCGTAGGTGGCGTAGTCGAAGTCGATCTGGGAGATCTGGGCTTGGATCAGACCCCATACACCCCTATCACTATTAGCTCGGCTCATCACAACATATAGGAGAGGCTGGTTATACCAGTAGAGTCCGGGAATTCCCCGGAATCGATCCACGTCCTCGTACAGCCGGTCGACCAGGTCCGTCTGCGACGATTCGGAGATCCCCTTGTGTGAAGTGTAGCTCTTGATATATTCCGTCAAGAACTGCCGGCGCACCGCCCGGGTGGGCATCATGCCGTAGTCGCAGTCGTATCCGCCCCACTCGGCGAAATGGTTGGCGATGTCGAATGCCGCCGGGGAGGGAGTCGCGTATTCGTAGTCGATGAAATGGACCGTGGCGTCTTCCGAGTCGTTCGTCGACGGCAGCGCGATCACGTTGGCGCAGAGGAGGTCGCAATGGGCAAACACCAACTAGGAAACCATCGAGTTAATCGCGGCTCTCCTGGAACCCCTCGTGGGGAGTCTGGACTACGTACCCCGTCTTCACCTAATCCCTTTCCGTCGTCAAACTCGCCCGCTACCCGCTCCAGCTCCCCCTGCAGGCGGAGTCGCCGCTGGCGTTGGTCCTCGGAGGCGCTCGGGAGGGCGAGGATCCACTTCTGGAGAACCGTCCACATGTTGGGCCCGGGCTGGCGGGGCTTGATCAACGGGAAGTCGTGCTCCCTGGGCTGCAGATGCGGCTGGGCGTCGGTCTGCGCGTCTACTTGGGGGATGATGGGCATCGCCGCCGCAGACATGGAGGGCTCCGCCTTGCCCTTAATGGGCAACACGGCGTGCCACTGCGCGAGCCTCCGGGCCACCGGCCGCCAGATCCGCGGGGTCACCAAGTCATCGTGGGTGGCCGGACGGCCCCGGATGAAGCGGTAGAGGAGGCCATTCTGGAAGCGGGCCAGCAGGGGCGGGGCTAGGCCGTGGCGAGCCAGGAGCGCATGGGAGTTCGTTTCTCCTAAAGACAGCACAATCTACTCAGCAAGGTCGCAATGGGCAGGGAGAGGAATGGGCACCGGAGTATGGCATACTTTCGCGGTCTATGATAATCTCTGTATGGTTACCGTACGCTCTCATCAGTACTGCATCGTTGTCTATCTGCTCCTCGGACCAGCCCGATTTGCGATTGATGATTTTGAGGAGCTACCGGTGAGTATTAGCGACAAAGTCCGAGGTCGCCCGTTTTTACGAGGAAAGAGCTGCAGAGGGGCAACGCGGGAAACACACAGTGTTGGTGATCCCGTCCGTGAACCGCACGAACTCGATCTGGTTGCCTGGGCCCTCCCAATGTGGGTTTAAGGTCAGAACCAGCCTCAACGCGGAGGCGTGCGAATCCGCATGGTTATAGGACTGGGCGATATACCGAACGGAAGATAAGGCCGTCGACTCGGGTGTCGAGCCCATATCGCGGAGGGGTCAGGAATGAGCGTCAATCGATCTATTCAAGTATACTTTGCCAACAGTTAGCCAGGGGGATAACCAGTTTCTTTCACTCGGGGATCCGCTAAGCAACACCATCTTCGCAAGTTCAATGAGGAAGTTCCTTACCTATTTATCCAGTCTATGCAACGTCTGAATCAGAGCTGATCGGCGCATTAGCATTCCAGACAGCGAGTGAACGGTAACCAATAATGAATACCTAGTAACGAGTACCTTCGTACAACAAGAAAAAAAAGCCACTATGAGGGGAGGGGAGAGGGGCGGGATGAAAAGAAGAAATAGTGGTTAATAGCCCCTGTGGCGGGGAGGAGAGACGCTTGAGTATCAATGGGCGGTTGGACTCGGGGGTGTGATTGGCAGATGCGGCAGGGCGCCCCTCACTTTCTGCCTGAGTCAGCAATGATCAAGACAGGCGTTTCTTCATCTAAAATGACGACACGGACAAGATTGATATGCATGGGGGCTGTCAGAACTTAATCTCTTGCTGATTATCGTGATCTCAGGGACTGTACACCTTCGTATCTCTATATAGTAGCTAGACAGTCTATGCTGTTGTTGAATGCTACTCTAAATGAACCAATATACAGTATCTTCAGTATATTAACTACTACCAAAGACACCAGCCTAACCCAAAGCACCAAATCCACTCAACCATTCCCATGTGATCCCAACATGTGACTTTGACGCCCACTCCATCAGGCATCAACGAACCCCATCACATGACATGCCTAACCCCAGCCCTACACCCCTCCTCCCTCGGCAATCACTAGTCAGAAACCCCCCCTAGCGCGACCGCCCCAGCCCGACTACAAATAGCTCCTCTCCCCCCCCAACATTTACACTCTTTTTTTTTTCTTTCTCTATCATCAGTAGAGGTTTACATTGACCAATGTAAATTTTTAACACCGAGGTCCCTCAAAGAGGCTTGCTGAGGGTTATCCTGTTTGGAATTTTTTCTCTATGGGTTTCCCTCCGTTCCCAACTTCGAAGAGTGTCGTGCACGTTCCTTTCTCCCTAACACCATATGGCTTACATAGGGATTTCATTTCGCAAGATTTGTGCCCCATGCTCGTGAGCTGTGGAGGAGGTGCTACATTTTTTTCTACTTCATACTTTATGCTGTGTGATGTGGATTTTATTATCATTATTATCTAGATTTGAATTCACTTCGTATATTATCATGATTATCTTCTCTGGACATCGTAACTGGTATAAACAGCTAGAATGACAGCTGCTGATTAGCATATAACCGTCTACTTGGATTTCAGTTTCGACCAAGGATGAATGCAATGAATCTCGTGTCTCGTCCCAAGCATCCATCTAAGGATGCTTTTTTAATATATATCAAATACTAAATCAAGCCCGTCCAGCATTCCCAATCTGGATCCTCTCTCCACTCCACCTATCGTCGCTGCGCAGCACCGGCCAGCTCGTTCCGTCCGCCTTGGCCAGCGTCAACTCGAGCTTCGTGCCCAGCACCCGGAACCCAGACTTCTCCACGTCGATGGGCGCAAACAAATTGTAGGTATCCTTATACCGCTTGTTATCCGCGGTCGGCAGATCGAGCTCGACCGACTGCGGCGAGAACTTCACGCTCGCCCTGTCCTTGTCGATCTTCTTCAAGTAAAGCGAGGCGTTCACAGTCGACGCCGTTTGGTAGAAATCGTTTCTGTATCAAAGCCCAATTAGCCTTCCCCTCCCCCACGCACCTCCAAGCTGGAGATATGTAGATGCCTACCGGACAGAATCCACCTTCTCCTCCCCAGCCGGCTTCCCCTTCCCAACAAACAAATGCTTCACCTTCTCCGTACACCCAGGCAGCTTCAAGAACTCATCAAACTCCAGCACGCGCTTCTTGCAGCACGACCACCCCTTGCTCCCCTCATGGAAGATCGGATGCCCGGGATGATGCACGCACTTCTCGTCCGCGCGCGGCACAGCCGCATCGTAGCCCGCGCCGCAGCCCTTCCGCCGACAGGTCGCATTCGCGGGGATCTCGAGGGTCTCGTCGTCGGACTCGGGTTCCTCGGGCGTGGGCGTGGGTGCGTTCGACGGGGGCGGGATCGCGGGGGAGATGGTGTTGCGCGGCACGGCGCTCTCCGGTATCGCGGTGACGGGCTTGACGGATGGCGTGGGGGTCTCGGTTTGCGACTGCTCCTTGGGAGCGGGCTCCGCGGGCGTGTCGTCTACTGTTGAGTGTTTGCCGGTCGTGCAGGGTGGGATGGCGAGGAATTCGTCAAAGGTGAGCACGCGGGGCTTGCAGCATTTCCAGCCTGTAGATCATGACACCAGTAGATTTCAGTCAGTTTAGTGTCTTGCTATGAGGGACTAGTTCCCACCGTCAGGTAGGTAGGTCGAGCTTCCACAAGACGTAGGTCGATAGTTGCCCGAAAAGAAACTCCAAGGTCCTCAAACTTACCCTTTTGGCCTTCATGAAACACCGGCGGACCGGGGTGATAGACGCAAGGTTCGTCGGCGTCGGAGAATTCCTTCCCGCAGCACTTGTGCACACACTTGGACGGCATCCTCTGGTTTGTATGGTCGATCGGCACTCAAGAGAGAAATAGAGAGAGGGAGAGAGAGAGAAAGAGAGAGAGAAAGAGAGAGAGAGAGAGAGAGATGGTCTGCAGCGGGGAAGGAAGATCGCGGGGAAGAAAAGCGAATCGCAGACAGAGGTACCGGTACAAATCGAAAGTAAACCCGATCCATGATGAAAAGCTAACACGCCCGCCCCCCGAACGGGTTTAGTCTCAGGAAGCTCGAAGGTTCCAGTCAACATCCATCGTCTTCTATACCTACTTCAGTTATTGTATTTCTACCGGTTTTCGGACAATTAACTCCTCATCGAATAATATATATATAAAAAAGATGTTCCCAACACAAATCCTCTCCCAAGCCGCCCGCGTCACGCTCTTCACCCGCGTCGGCTGCGGCCTCTGCGACACCGCCAAACACACCGTGACGCAGCTACACAAGCGCCGCCCATTCGCCTACTCCGAGTGCGACATCATGCTGCCGGAGAACAAGTCCTGGAAAGACGTCTATGACTTTGACGTGCCGGTGCTGCATGTACAGTTTCCCAAGGGCCAGAACACGTCGGAACTCTCGGATCCGAAGAAGCTCTTTCATCGGTGGACGGAGCAGGAGGTTGAGCAGTTGGTTGATGAGGCTGAGAAGGCGTCTTCGTCGTAGGGTCTCTTGATTTCCTGTCTTTATTGAATATACCACGACGTCGCTGGGCAGTCAGCGTCACGTGTGGTGCCCGGACGGTGTGCAAAGCAGCTGGGTTGTATGAGCCATCTCCAGATATTGAGAATATGGGTTACTCTTGCGGCAATAAATCCCCCCGGCTGGCTCGATTGATTGCCTCTAAGGGCTAGCTTAGAGCTGATGCTTTCTTTGCCTGTTTCAACACTGCTTGGGTCGCCCTCGGAGTCTACCCTCGTATAGTTGGTTGGATCATATATCAAAGTGCCTGCGAAAGCCGCCGTCGACGAATCAACAGATATGCCCAATAGTTCTGAATTAAGTGTAAATAGGATTAGACTATATACAATCATAATCGTTCTCGCGCACACCCCCACCATAAATCACTCCAACCCCCCACCAAGATCAACCGGCAAACTCTCAATCCACGCAAACTGCCCCCGGCTAGCATTCATCTGGTCCCCAAGACCCAGTCTACTATAACTGCCCCTCCCCCCCGCCGTTCCATTCGCGAGCACCCCATCTCGCAAAGCCAACCCAGCACTACCTACACCCTCCGGAGCCGGCCTCCTAACATCCTTCGACAACCCCATCAACGTATCCCAGCACCGCTGCGCACCGCGCTTCAGAGACCCATGCGGCCAGATATTTCTGTACCGATCGAGGAGGTCGACAGCGCGCGAGCGGGTCGTCTCCATCGCCTGGCTGTCGATTCGCGCCGGGTCAGTGCTTCCAGGCCCGCAGAGACGGTTCGCGAGGGCGATTATCCCGCAGGCGTATGCGTAGTGGATGTTTTCCCAGTATGGGGTGATGGCGTTGGATCCGAGCGCGTCGGGTTGGCTGTTGAGTAGCCCGTCTTCGTTTTTGTAGAGGAGGTCGGCGAGCTCGGCGGCTGCGCCGGCGCATTTGCTTGATGAGTCGCGGATCATGCTGAGGGCTATGGGGGAGTCCGGGGATGTGGCGTTCCTGTCGGGTGCGTGGGACTGGCTGTCTGTGGGAGGATTGTGGGTATGGCTTAATGCGAGGCCGAGGATCAGGAGAGGTCGGTGTAGTCGTAGTTTGAGGTACAGGTAGCGGATGCGAAGGATGTTGCGTTGTCGGTGGACGAGGGGGTCCTCTGGATTGCCATTTGGTGTCTCGGTTCGGAGGAATGATGGCAAAGATCTCTGCCAGTCGTATAGGAAACTGTCCACTTTGAATAGTAGCCTGAAGTCCAGGGATAACATCTTTTTCGAGGCACAGCCGCTGGTCTGTACCCTCGACTCGTCTTCCCAGGCCATGATATCTTCGACGTGGCAGTAGAGCCTCGCGCAGGCTGTCAGAAACTCTATCGTGGATGGCCGTTCGGCATGTGCCCGAGGCTGCTTTTCCGAGATGGCGTCGAGGTAGTCGGTGTCCGAGTGCATAGGCAACGGGACGCGGAGCGGGTTGGGGGTCTGCGGTGGGATCCCCAGCTGCAGCGCAAGCATTCGCTCGATAATCATGGCGCTGTGCCAGAGCCTTCGGGCCAGGTCCCGATCTCTTCTCTCAACGACGTCCCGTCCCCCTGTCTTCAGGTGTAATCCTTGAGTTTGGGCAATCCTAATAGTAGATCCAATGACCGACCACGCTGACTGCAGCTTCCCGGTAGCATACAGGTAATGACTCTGCAACAGGGAGCTCTGTATGTGCTCCCATTGGTTCCCAGGCTGGACTATCCCCGGGGCCAAGTTCTTACCGTGGGCGAAGAAGCGGTCCACATCAGCAAAGTCCATCTGGTGAGAGTTCCATCCGGAGATAGCGAAGATGACATTCAGGATCCCGTGGAACGTGTCCGTGGAGGAACCCGTCTCTCGCCCGGTTTTTGCCGCTTCATACGCAGATCGGAAGTGGGCCAGGTCAAATATAGGCAGGTTTGCGTATTCTCGCGTGAGGTAGATGTGTATGAGGCTATCTGCCAGCTCCTGGGTCAAATGCACGGGAAAGTCACGCCGCGTCGGGCCTTTGGCAGATGATGGATCCTCTCCGGGAGGACTCATGATCGGGGAGCAAAAGGCGCCATCCTCCAGTGGTTCTTCCGCTTTGATATCACCCGTCCGTTCGCCGACGACCCGCTGCAATTGCCTAAGGCGCGAGTAGTCACTTGCCATCTCCGGGGGCTCTGTCGAGAAATTGGCCGTGTGGAAGCTCTGGTCCGAATGGACAGACTCGACTTCGACCTGTTCATCATTAAGGTCAACGCCGGCAGGCTCATCCAAGCTCTGGGGTGTCTCAACGCCGTTCGCGATGATCTCCGGACTAGAGGAATGGAAGGGCTCGATGACCACCATGGGTATCGTGGACGGACTCCGGAGAGTGTCTGACGGATACCAACCCTGGCTCCGACGTACTAGGGTTTGAGACTCCCTCTTACGCTTGTTGTTACTGTTTGACGGTTAGGACGGTCTGACGAAGGATGCCGATATGTCCATACATTGGCGGGGGCATGTCAGAGGGCTTGTACGAGCAGTCCTCCTCGAGGCCCCGGGCTTTACAGCCGCCACAGCCTAACAGATGCATCAGCTGTCGTTACTTAGACAAGGGAGGTGGAGCTACGTACTTGGTCGGTTTCGATCACATCCTCTCCGTTTCAACCGGCACACGCAACAAGGAGTAGACGGGAGGGGGTCGTTGGCATAGCCCATTTGTCTGGTAGGCTGGGTTTGTTAAGATGCAATCAACTAAATGTACGTCAATTTATCTGTATGAGATGACCAAAGTGTGTGTATCAAAGCATTCGGCAGAAAGTGGGGAGGGCATCAACGAAGAAACACCTGAAAGTCAAGGCTCAGGTACTAGACGACCGTAATAGGAAAAAGAAAACGTATGAAACCGTAAATTTTAAGAACGATAACTATAACAGAACAATTGGATAGAAGAAAGAAACCCAATTGCGATTATGACAGCCAGTCAGGCCATCTACGCTTTCACATACCTTTATAATGAATGATTGGGCATGTAAGCGCGGCTGGGTCTGAATCTGGGGATGCTGGGGACGCTCCAGCCAGGGAAGACGCGGTCTGGGACGGGACAAGTCAACCCAGTCCACAACCAGACAGTCCTGTCAACAATCCCAACAGGACAATCGACCGACTAAAGAGATATATAAACGAGTCGAAAAGATACGATAAGGTTTTGGTACTAGAAAGATGATGATGATGATGCTGGTAGTTGAAGTTGGCTGGGACTGTTCCCCAGGGGCGGACGCGGGTTATCCGAGTGCCTTATCGAGCTTATCGTTATCAGCAACTGGCCAGAATAGTCACCACCGAGGTAGGAGTTATGAGGGGAAATCAATGGATTCGGTGGAACTCAAAAAACATTCAGGATGTCAGATAGGTTAAGATTGAGAAAAGGGTTCAATCGTCCAGGGATCTCAGTCCCTAGCCCTGTAAACAATCGGATACTGTTTGTGATCAGTCAGGTGATGAACACATGCAGATGCTTCAATTGGTTGGTTACTTTCGCATCTAAATCCATCTTACATGGACTCATTGTATAGGGATTGAAGGCATTATGAGTGCTATCGTTCTAGAACAGGCTCGTACGTAGGTATAAACAAGCTGTCTGGGTTCTTGTTTCTGCGCATTACGGTTACTACCTATAGCTTGCGGACTTTGATAGGCCAATCGACTACAACTAAAGCCAAGGTCATCGAAACCAGTATCCAATCATTATTGCTAATATGTAATGCATTGATTCATTTTCGAAGTAGCCAGTAGCATGTATAACTGCTAACTTCCAATGACACTATACACAGCCACTCAGGTTAGATCCCAAGGATCCGATACATTGTACCTGGAACAATCCCCCAGACTCCACACGGAGCCCTCTCGGATTATGTATGTCCAGTAACGAGGTTCGTAAAACATTAAAGTGGAGCCCAATATTTGCGTGTAAGAAAACGGACGACAAGAAGATCTCCCCGGGTCATCGGTCGCTCTGACATATGACGACAGGGAAAGGAGTGGGAGGGATATAGAAGAATGTACACAGCAATAAGCACCAGTGGTGCAGGGCATAAATAAGCATCAATCATGAAGGAGGAAAGTGAAGGGAGGTTCTGTAGTGAGTGCTGTCAAAACCACACAACACCCACGACAATGCTAATCACAATCGCCATGCAACTGCCGCGCAATCTTTCTGGATCTCGATCAAGCGTTGCAGCCTGGGCCTCTGCTGCGGCTCGCTCTGGGATGTGCGCAGGTTTGGCTGTGAGATTGACATGGGGTATCGTTTCTGGCAGAACGATATTGTGGACTTTTGCCGGAGATGCTTGCGAGCAATTCCCTTCTGACAAGACATAATCGTGGGAAGGAAATTGAGCAGGAACATGCTCCTTTGGGTGTGACGTCGTTGGATAAGAGGTAGGAGGCTTTTTATTAAGGAGTTCGGGTGATGCGAAAAAGGTTTGAAGGTGGTGGACAAGATAGCAGGCCCGCTGCCATGTTGCGTTGAAGGGGAAGGAGAATCTCGATTCGGTGAGGTTGATTTCATGCGTAAGCCCGCGCGTGTAGCCTTTTTCAAAAGATCCCACCACGGCAGGCGTCGCTGGAGTAACAGGTAAATCGACAGTCGGTGTATAGGGCGCGGGGTCTGTCTTGCCGGAGCTGTCGAGCAAGGACGGTTGAGGAATAGGAATTTGTTCATCGACTTGTTTATAAACAAGAGATCTGAACGCGCGGACGCCCCGCACGAGACTCGACGGTTGCTCAACGGGACGCGTTATCGGACCATCGAGAACGGGTGCGGTTTCAATCAGATTCTCAGCCAACGAGTCCAACGTCGTCCGTCGAGGTCGCGACTTGCGGTCCAACAGCGGCTGATCCGCGCGCTCTAAATAAGACTTGCTCTGTCCATTATCCGTCCGCAACAACGGTTGCACATCGACCAAGGCATCGCTGACGCGGGGAACATCTGTCGGACCTGCATTGTGAGCTCGAGAACCACTATCATCCATTCATTCCTGGGGCAAGCAACATACGGTGGGCGTCAGGACGGCGATAGCCCAAATATCCAAAACGAAAACTATACAGATCCCATTCTTTCGCTAACGACGGCACCAAACTGAACAGCGAGAAGACAAGAAGAGCAAGGAACGGGACTGCGACAGGTTTCTGTAGGCCCGACCGCATCGTACACACTCATAGAAATCTCTCTCGAGCAGAACCGACACACTTCAAATCGCTTTATTTCGACGGCCGACAAAGTATACCACTCGGTGTAGACGCCTCAAAAGCAGACAGCAATTTCATTGCCAGTGCGTAAGGTAATAAACCGATCGCGGTTGGGATGTCGTAGCCCCGCAGTGCGTAACTATGTCACAGTGGCAAGCTCAGTCGCCCAGCACAACGATTATCGTTTCGATCGTGGACCAAAGAGATCGGCCGATGGAATGCGCAGGGAAAGGTGGGTTTGTGGTGGCCGGTTCGGGTAACTCTCGCAGGCAGGCACGTCTTTTCTTGGAAACTAATCCAACGTCCCCAGCAACGGGCGGTCGGAGGGGATCAGGGAAGGCAACAATTCGAACCAGAAATAGAAACTGCAGCCGTCTGGCCTTGATTTGAATTGACGCGACGCCTATCAGTCTTTTAGATATGGAAGAATCGCCGAGGAATGACGTAAAGGACGAGTACTAAGGTTGTGGCTGAATAGCTTGGGATAGCTCCGGCTAATGATAGTGGTCGCAAGCGGATGCCGCCCAACTGATTGGACAAGGGAGAAACAAGTCTTGGAGCAACAGAGAAAAAGAGGGGGATCCCTGTGGAGGGGGAGATCAAGAAGATTAAAAAAAAGTCACAGACGATCAGAACTCATCATGCATGATTTATTTTGGCGAGTCTGAGTCCGAGCTCCAAATAAAATTTCAAATCTCCAAAATAAAATTAATCAAATGAATCGATTAATTAATTGTGTCTTAAAGTGGTGGTTCGCGCCAGATTCCTTGTTGGCCTCGAAGAAAGGCCTTGACCGCCTCCTTTATCATTGGCCCTGAGTATCAGTGGAAATCATCGTGGGTCCTTCCTGGCAGTTAGTACCACTGCAGACCACCGATGGAGTCGGGGCCGACCGACCATTGCTCTTGATGCCGTTTGCAGTTGCAGATGCAACCTCACGATGACCATTGTGTTGCGTTCAATCCCTCTATTTAACATCTGGGTCCTTGCTCTAAACGGCTTTGGACTTACTGGTACCTTACCCACCATGATAATCGATTGTTTCTTGACCTACCTTGCTGGGAAACTTGGTCCTTAAATCGGACTAAACCGCTTCAAGAACCCAATTTACCACCCGCTGCCCAGGGCGAAAACAGGGCACACAGGGTCAAGTCTGAGTAGCCATAGAATTCTTAGACTCTTGGTGGCTCGTATCAGGGAAATCTCGGTCGATATCAGTTCAGTCCCAACTCTCGTTTCTTTCGTGGGCAAGCCGACAACTGGTATATATAAAAAAAGCGCTTATTAATCGACATGTAGGGATAGGATAGTACAAAGACAGGATACACTCCAGGCCAACAATTGTAAAAGATTGTATACCATGCTGGTATTATAGAAACCCATGCTATACCTCCCAATGAAAAAAGTATACAAAAAAAGAGGCAAAAAAAGAGACAAGAAAAGAAAAGGGAAAAAAGAAAAAAGGTACGGAAATTTTTTGAACGAATCGCAATTCCAGTCGTCATATATAATAATAGTCGTGGTCAAGACATTTCACATCACTCGTAACGGTCTTTTGCACAGAGATAAAGCACCTAGATAGGATTCATGATAGTCGGGTCAGGCACAGCAGGCGACAGCGCCTTCTGGTTCATCTTGACAGGGATCGGGAGTCTCGAGGCTGCGACTTTCGCCTTGGGCTGCGAGGCCTTCCTGGGCGGTGGGGTCTCGGCCTGGCTGCGACTACCGTCACTCCTCGAATTCTCGCCACCGGGAGTCATCGACGGCGTTGTTGTACTGCCGCCTTCGAGAGTGCTCGTCTTCCGTCCACGCTTCACCATCTTGCCTAGGACTCGCACGATCTCGGCTGCGTCCGTGAAGCTCTCGTCGTCCATGCCTTCTTGCGCGTTGTATACGTCGGATATGGCTTGTTTGGCGAGTCGGCGGCAACCATGGGAGTCGTGAAGGCAGTCGTAGAGGTAGGCCGCATATTCGAGTTTGATGGATAGGCGGAGCGGGTGGGAGCCTGGGAGGAATTGGTCCGCTAGAAGCACTGCTTGATCAAAGCAGGCTGTTGCGGTGGGGGTATAGTCGAGGGCTGGGAGGAGGAAGGCGGCCGTGTGGGAGGGTCGGACGGGTGCGAGGCCCGGTGGTGCCTTGGTCACTTTCGCTCGGGAAGAGTTCCTGGAGGAAGTATGCCGCTCGGGAACAGCCAGTTCCTCTCCTTTCCCTTGAAAGGAGAACCGCGACATTGAGTCTTTGGAGGGCGATTCCGATCTGCTGGCGGGATTCCCCGCAAGGCTGAGGATCCCCGGGGAATGGATGGCCGGTTGGTTGTGAAACAAGACAAAGATGTGGTAGAAGGAAGCTCTAAGTTTATATGCAAGGATCTGTAACTCGACGGAGACATGGACCATCGGGAGCACAACCTGTTCCAGTATTACAAGCCCTTCCCGGGAGAGCCAGATAACATGGTGGTAGAGCTGAAGGGATTTGGTCTCGCGAGTCGGATCCAGTCGTCGCAGCCGCCGCGCACGGAGAAGCTTCTTCGACAACATGATCGATAGGCCGAGAATCTTGTATAACATTGCAGACAGCAGAGGGCTTTCGAAGGTCGTGGCGGCCGCGAGGTTAGCCAGAGCCTTCTGGTCTACTTCGGATGAAGCCATCCACAATGCAATAAATGCGGGATCTATCGTCGGCGCATTGCAAAAGCTATAGTCAGCCGGACCGGTCCCAAACAGAGGCATAATGTAGAGCAGCCAGTCAAGATATAAACAGCAAAGGTAGGGCGCGAAAACTCAATTGAGCTGGGAACCATCAAGCTCCCTCCTCTGCGAGAATAAAAGAAAAACATTGAGAAATGAAACATTCTACGGAAGAAATTAGGCAGGAAAGAAGGAAAGAAGGAAAGAAGGCCAGAGCGAAGCATAACAGCAGCAGTCACTTTCAAGGGGACCCCAAAACAAGACGAAAGAAGCAAGCGGCAAGGCGACTCCATAAACTTACCTCCGAAGCGCGCGCAAACAATTGATGGGACACAATTAACCGTTCAGACGTTGTTCTTCTGCATACCCGTGCCAAGCGCTTATGCGAGTCTGGTTATTCAAAAATTGACCTTGAAGCTGGGTGTCGCTGGTGTTCAATGGAAGGGAGAATCTCGTCACTCGTTTGACCGTGTCCGTCAGTTCCTGCTCTTGAGCCGTTGCTGTCAAACCGGGCCAGGGAGGATGGATGCAGGTAAAGATAAAACCACAAAGCCGCCAAGTCAAACAAGCCGTTATGGTATACTACATGGAAATCGGGGTATAAAATTGGACATAAAGGTCCTGGTGTACAAGGTGCGTTTGCGAAGCGGGGGAAGCAAGACCAGAGATAAGCAAGGGTCAGTACATCAAACGGCTGAACAATTCGACCATTCGTCTGGGTGACTGCCTCTGGAAGCGAGTACGGCAAGCAATTGGGGATAGTGTAGGGTTCATGCAAATGAAGGGGTCCAGGGGGTGTATAATGATAACAGATCTTGGTTTAACAACCATGCAAGGTACGAAAAGGGGTAGTCAACAGCAGAAGGTCAAGAAAGCAGTCAAAAGCATTGTGTGCGCAACGAGGAGTGGTAAGGCATATTCATATGTGCTGAGTAGTAGCTGGGATCGAAGATGTTGCTGGCAATGCGAGGTGATCGATTGATGAATACCCAATCACTCCGACAGTTGGTTAAATAGGTTGTGTTAGTTCGTCCCGGGGATCGCCATCTCAGGCAAAGAAATCGAGTTGACGGTGAGGCATGAACATGAGGCCACCGAAGCCCTATCGGAAATAAATTTGGACAGGAAAGCAATGCAAAATGCAATTGATGAACAAATCAATGTCAATAAGGAGGATACAAGAGAAAGCACCTAGGCAGTAAGGAATAGAGACGGGCAATGCAAGGGCAGGGAGGTTATCTGCATGGGGGGAAGTGGAAAATCGGCCTCGGACAGCAAAAGTGGACGGAAGCCCACCACAATAATAATAATAATATATATTCCACCCCGCCTGGAGAGCGGCAGCTACTGCATTAGATAGTAAATACACATTACCTCGCTACTCCACTTGGCAGTTGGTACATAAACATCGGCACAAGACTGGCGTATAATCCTTTTGATACCCAGGAAACGGTACAATCGGGCACGAATAGTATCAGAGTGACTCCATCGTCAGGGTCTTCGTCATAGGTGATAAAATGGCAATTTTGTTGCGGGGCACATAGTAGTAGAACGTAGTCGTAATAAATAAAATATAATAAAATAAATATAAAGTGGCAAGTTGGAGACCCTAGTGCTTAGTTACTGCTACTCAGTGCTCAGCCATGAGGCGCAATGGACAGCGCATCAATCCTAATCATTGAGCCAAGTCAAACCCAATCCAGTCAGTCAGTCGACTGTTAGACCCGTCCCATCCCGTCGATTAACCGTGTCTTGCAATTTCCAAACCAGTCGAATGGGACGGTAGGAATAGCCCCCGTTGAGTCAAGAACCGGTGAGTCCACTCTGGACCCCGAACATCGCCACAGCCATGGCAAACACGGATAGAAAGTGACCTGCGATTTGGTGCCTGATCCAAACCTCCAGTCCGATTCGGAGACGGTCTATCCGGCTAAGCTGGAATGGCTGCCCCGCGCGCTTCTTCGTATGCGACGTGAGGATGGCGGCAGAATTAGCTCGGAAAGACGCAACACTGACAGCTGGCTGCCAGCGTGGCATCGGAAAAATTGATCCTGTCGAGGGGTTTTGCACGGCGTCTGGGCGAATCATGTTGCTTCAATCTTAGCCTAGCAGTGGGTGGGATCATGAGTTTAGATTCTATAGGTCTATGTCTATTGAATGCCGTATCGACCTTGAACTGGAGAAGTCGGGAAGATATATGATGACATACATACCAACGATAAAAAATGGATTGTAAATAAATTAAAAAAGGGAGAAAAAAAGAAACGACAAGGGCCGGATTCGAACCGACGACCCCGAAGGGATAAGATTTCTAGTCTTACGGATTAACCGCTCTCCCACCTTGCCGGGTTCATATTATCACGTGTCTCTCTAATGATACAGGTCTCACTGATCATCAGTTTCTATCCGTGAAACAGTAAAACATCATGTACAACTACAGTAACAGATATGGAACCCATACTATCTCTCTCTATTCCTGGGGTGAATCATTTACCAAAAGATCTGATACAGTATGGGAGATAAAAGAAGATTACTAGCATGGTATAAGAGCGAATATCCCACAATAAAAGTTACCACAATATATCTGAGTACACTCTACGCGGCCTTTATATATAATCACTCTATGAACTCTACATGATCACTCAGTCTATGAAGCCCTACATGGTCACTTATTTAACCCCTTGTTATAGTTTAATTGTGAAACACGCAGTCAGCAACATGTCAGCGTTGCCGAGTTTCTCCTACAAATTGTCATTTTGATTCTTCATGTTTCTTGCAACCTTGTAACTATTCGCAACTTCTTTATATAGCTTCAAGAATCGTCGACATCATCAAAATTTGATTGTTTTCATTAATCTTCCTACAATATACAATTTTTCTTCTTCACCTAGGTATTTTGCTGGGATATCAGTCACATCAAAACCGACCAAGATGCTATTCGGTATTTTGGTACAGTGGTTGAGGTATTATATATATTGCGCCTGTCCAAATTACCCGCTGGCTGTTATCTGTCTACCATGACCTCGCAATTTATATCGCCCACCATGGACCCCCAGCACAGTATCCACTGAACAATCTTCGAATACAATATATATTCTGGGCTCGCAACTGCTGCACCCGAACCTGAGGGTGCTCTAACACAACTCAGAGGGACAGTGCAGCATGGCCAACATACCAGCAGCCAGAGCTTACAAAGCGCCTTGGAAGATCATCAGAAGCATTATCTTTACAGCTATTCCACGGTAGAATTCTCCAGTCTAAGATACGACCAATAACCAGCACGCAAATACAGTTGATATTCCTACAATGAAGAACATGAACGTTGATCATCAAAAGAATGCCAAATCCCACCCATGAAAACACTGCAGATTCTGTCGAAACACTAATTTTTCTTGACCTGCATTCCATCAACTCAGAAGATGAGATGAAACCTTTCGGCTCAACAACAGTTACAATCGGAAACTGGAGAAAAGAGTCCGACTGTTCCTGGGCACATGCTTCAAAGACTACAGAGCTGAGTCTTGTGGCAGAAGTAGGGTTATCACAGTCGTCTCGAAAACTAGGTAGCTGTTGAAGCTCGAGAGTAATTTGAGACCTATACCGTGTCAGTGTACATCGCCGTCATTTTGAATATCAACCGGGTATATCCAGAAATTATCATACAGCGATGGGAGCTATCCTCTACCAAGAACCGCCTTTTCTTAGGGGCTCTCCCTCTTTAGCACGTCGTACTGCATCCCTCAAGCTATCTCGAGCAAATAACACGACATTCGTTACTGGAGTATTTGAAATGAATGGGCATATTACAACTGCGACGCAGCTGTATCTACCCTTTGACAAGGTAGTTGGGCGTCCACCGAACCCGCCTCTGCAAAGGGATCTTGTCCATTTACGAGCAAAAGTTTGGATGTTCAAGTTTTGCCGAGAGGGTATGGTGGGACGAAGAAGTTCCTCCTATGGCTTGATTGGGCTATGTTGTTGGTGGTTTATGTGATGAGTTTACGTGGCTGTTGTTCTGGCGTATTTGTCGCAATAGAGGGAGAAAATATCTCACTCGGCTGCAAAAGATATTATGACTGTTGCTTCAAATTTAAGGACCCCAGTCTTGTCTATTTATTTGGAATTTATATACAATTAAGTTCCATATAGATTTTAAACCAATTGGGATCTAAACAAAGCTAAATACATACAAGGCTATCATGTCCATCCCCAAATTCCTAATTCCTCCAAGTGGAGCTGCGTATATAATCCCTCATAGATTCCAGACAGATCACGGCCTGTCCGCTAGAATCCGCCCCATTCCACCCTCATAATTCATTCTATATCATAAAGTTCATCATAGGACATATACTTCACAAAAGCGCGTTCCAAGAAAGCCCTCCACACTCGGTTCTTCTTCGTTACGGTATCGTCATCGTCATCATCACCAGCCCCCTCGCTACTGGCTGCGAAATTGTCCGCAGCCCGAGTAGCCAGCTTGAAGAAGCTGCGCACCGTGAGATCGTCCATCTTGTATATACGATCCTTTGTGTCGTATTCGACCTCGAATGAGAAAAGGTTCTTCATGATTGTTTCGTCGGATTCCTCCATGGCCTGGTTGGTGGTGTTGGTTGAACTCTTGAACTCGGCCATTTCATCGTAGATCCGAGTCAGGTTCGCGAAGTACTGAGTGTAACTTAGCCATGTTAATGGCTGGTTTGAGTAGGCTGGTCCTGGGGGTGCCGATGGCGATGGGGGTTCAGGGACTTTGAAATTTGGCTTCTTCTTTTTTTTCTTTCCATTCTTCTCCGGCGTTCCTTCGTCGGCAGAGTCATCGTCGGCAGAGTCATCGGTCTCATGAGAGCGTACTTCATGAGACAAATTGCTGGAATTTTCTACCCATGTGGCCACTCCTTCCAGGCCGGTGATATTATATTCGACAACTCTCAACGTTGGAAAATAGTTCGGTACCAGACTGGGAGATACCAATGAGACACTATATCTCTCGGCCCACGGGCCCCCAATCTTCTTGAAGAACTTCTTTCTCTTCTTCTTAGATCCCTGCGATAGGATCTCACCCCCAGGAGGTGAATCGTCCATCAAGTCTTCCATCAGTGATAGATCGTTTGGCGGGGAAGGCATCCTAGACCAATCCTTTCGGAGACTAGAAAGATAGTCGGAACGGGACTGAACACCGACCCTATCTGAAAGCTCTTCTGAAGGGACTTCGGACGACGAAGCCCCAAAATCGTCAACGATGTCAATCTTGCGACTGTCTTGGAACATAAAGTGATCGAGATTCATGTGGCCATATGCACTGCCGACAATCACATCACGATACTGATGCACCCACAGGGTGTACTTTTGCCAGCAGGACTCATCCCAATTCTGCTTGGAACTCGTCCTCGCCGGGGGCACATGCCCAATCAAGATCGCCTTCATTCCACGGGAGCGTAGTATTTTGAGCTGTACGCGCAGCCACTCCATGTGTTCGTAGCCTGGTTCCGACTTATCGGCGCACCCGTCGACCGCGGAGTTGGAGTCGAAGAAGTACATGGTATTCAGACTGATGACCGCCAGCTGATTGGGGATAACTTCCGAGGTGAACCAGCCACCTTCCACGAAGCTATGGCGCTGGTGTTCGGGGATAAACCTGGTCCAGACGTTCAGATATCGTTTCGTCCACTCATTTGGCCCGTCCACGAGAATATTGTGTGGCATGATGTCGTTGTTTCCGAGCGTGGGGATGACGGGGATCGAAAGCGTGCGCGGAGCTTCGGGGTGCTTGAAGGTGTCGAGAAACTTGTCCGCGATGAATTTGTTTAGGGAGATCACCTCATCCGGTGTACGAGGGTTCTTCCAATCGTTGTCGTGGCGAGCCGAATCCCCTGTCCATATCACAAAATCGATCTCTCCTTTCAGATTGTTCTCAATCCAGCGAAATGTCTCGTCGATGAGGGCCAAGGGCGCGTCGCATTCCGTGCCTTCTGCGCCGAGATACCCCGCGCGCCCTTCGCCGCGGTGGCAGGAAACACGCTCCGAGGTGGAAGCTCCATCTTTGTAAAGTCTATCCGGATGGAGATCTGAATTGATCAGCAAAGGGATCTCTGAGTTGCGACCTGACAAATCAAGAATGTGGTATAGTCCATACCCGTTATGTGCAGAAAACGGCCCGACAGTCCTCGCTGGGACCCTGCAGAGTTTGCGGTATCTGCATCTGCGCTCGAGGACAAAGCCTCATGTCCCAAGGGGCGTTGATCCGACAGAGGACTGGCAAATACACTGCCAAAAAACAGAATGCCCGCGAGCAATGGATTCGGAATCATTGGAGTTTTCGTGCCAAGGAGAGCTCGACAGCGGGGAACGAGCGATTATCCTTGATCAATAATATCAATCATAAAGCAGACATCGGTACATGCGATTTAGAATAGAAGAAGAAGCGACTGCTGATAACGAAAATAGGGAAACAATTAGTTTTGAATTCGTTTCATTTTTTTTCCCGAGTGAACAGTGCGATATCGAAGTTACTGACCGTCAGTTTAAAAATGGAGAAGTAGCTTCGGAAGAGCACGAGACAACAACGTCACCACCTAAGTTAGTGACCTCCCAACCGTGTGGAACGCGCTGACAATTCTCCAATCAGGTTAAGGTCTCCCGACAATTGATGGCAGACGACTCCACACCATGGTACTGTGAAATAATAATGTCTTTCTCTTCACGGTCAAAGGCAATGTATTTATTTATTGCGACTGCGACTCGAATTGTGGGGCAGTTAATTAGGGTCAGAATGGTGTAGTAGGTAGGTTGGTGGCTACTGCAGTATCACCGAACCGGCATCAAACCCCCCCCTACACAACATCATGCAAGGGAGACAACTGCATCTCAGCCTGTCCGATTGTCCAGGCGCTCCACGTGCTCATTGGCGTGGTTCCCACTCCACGATATTTCCACACCCATCCTCAACGACCATCCAATCATTCAGTTTCTCCGCCAGCCAAGACACCTTCTCTGCACATCACCGAGGACCTTGTGGATGATGGAATGCCACGACTACCAGGAGGCAGTGGATGATCTAGTCAGTTGAGCACGCTTTGATCTCTCAACTTCGTTCAGGGTAGTACCGATCTCAGAGGTCTTACGATGCATCTTCTACGGAAGTGTTTAGCCTCAGCGTTGCATCACCAGTACAGTACAGCACGGGTCGAAACCTCTTTCCGGCCGCTGGAGACGAGCTTATCAAAAAATCTGGTCTATACCTTGACAAGATGGCAGTCTTCCTATTTGACAGATTTGACTGCATTGCATACATGACTGAGAAGCTGTATTGTCCATACTGCTAAACAAAGGGTCATCGCCAAAGTTCATAAGCCCGGCGGAAGCCCTGTCCTCCCACACTCCCTAAAACTACTGCTCCCCGGGTAGGAGGGCCAGTCTCCCCACGAGCTTGTTCACCACTGTCCGCATCTGCACCGCGCTGAATCTTCTGTATGAACTCTTCCGGGTGGTCCCAGCATGACGAAGTCCCTGCGCCGTGGACACACCGGATGAACGGCTGCCCGCTCAGCGCGAGTACATAGTCTCGTGTGATTCGCCTGTGTTCATTCGTGAGGGTGCTGCCTTGCTTCCGGCATAGCGTCTGGATAGTCTCGACTGGCGATGCCAGTAGGTTCCGGCCGACGGGTAGGTAGTTGCACGGAGAATCCAGTTTGCTGGCCCTCGTCCCCACGATTGCATCTCCCAGCCCCGCGCAAAAAAGACAGGGCAGCTCGTTCAACAGGGGCGCCCATCCCAGACCGGGTCGCTCCACCATGATGGTCTTCAGGTCGCTTCGTGGAGATCCTACCACCAAGTCCATGAATTCATAGCCGTAGATCCGGGACCCCCTGGGCGGCTGCAGGGTCGTCATAGAAAAGTTGATCGAAAATCCCATGATGAGCTCGCGCACGGTCAGCGTGTCTTCCCCGACTCCCTCCACCGCAACCGCCCCGTTGGCTCGCAGGCTCTCTAACGAGCTCGCGGATCCATTAGAAGGTATCGCGACGGGGATCGGTCGCCGGTCACCTGGCGGCGACATCATGGAGTGGTAGACCAATAACATGTGATGGTAGATGGAGAGAAGGGGCACGAGCCACGCTCGTTGGGCGCTGACGTCGTAGAGAATGGCCTGTTCCAGCATACTACTGGCCAGACATCGTGTGTAGTTTCCTCCCGGCGTGAACCGGACGGTGTTGACAGCGCGTTCCCACGCAAACCCAACCTGGGCCCCAATCTGGATGGGTGCCGCCGACTGAGCTAGCAACTGCAGATTGGCTCCCTTCCAGCGCCATGTCGTGGGCTTGACCTTGGCGTCCGACCAGCCCACATTGGCCTCGAGACTGTCCGTCCCTAATCGGACCTGTGCCGATGCGCACCAGCCTAGCAGGGCCTCTGCGGTATGAAGCTCTTCCAGCGTTTGTCTCTGCAGCCAGGATCCTTGAGTCGCCAGCAGTTCGGATTTTCGGAGCTGCTGCTCTCCAGGAGCAACCTCAAAGGTGCCATATCACCTGGCCGCGATCGTTGATATCAACCGGAACCAAAGCGGTCGAGTAGCCCATGAGAACCAATCCTGACTCTATTTCTACAGGGTATTCCACTGCTGCAAGCTGGAGCAAGGCCCCGAAGCTCAATTTCAATAGCCCATTTGTAGGGAAGACCTCAGCAGGCATTACGACGACGACTGCGTTTTCAAATAGCTGAGACCAACATGCGGGGGACGACAGCATATGAGTCTCACTCATTGTGAACCTCGAACCGTTGAATGAGCCCGTGGAAACCATGACTGTGACCCCGTTTCTCGGCGTACGGAATGTCAGACACAGCCACACCGCGATGTCTTTGAACTGAGGGTCCTCCCTGGAAGTCATGATAGTCAGCCGGTCGGGCGTTGCCTCAATTACCGTATCTTGGTCCACTAGCGATTGCGCGTCAGTATCAGAACGCAAAACCCAACTTGATGAGGAATTACTTGCCAGACACATAACCCGGAGAGCCCAGAGCATCGATGCAGATCCCCACTAGCTTGACCCCCATGTCTGGGTGAGAGCCCTCAAGGTACTGCCGGCAAGTCATCAACTCGACCGAATCACTCTTTGCCACTAGAGTGATTGCATCGAGAACGGACTCTCTCCTGGCATACGCATTTGCACTGGAAGAGATTTCCCGGAGCAGTGATGGCAATTCCCAGTCAAACGTGATCACTTCTCGAAGCCGGCCGATATCAGGAGCAGCTGGGCCCGACGCGCTCTCCTCGACAGAGACCCTAGAGCTACCACCCCGGCCTACTCCTATATCATCATCATCAGTCCATACAGATCTTTGAGATCCTATATAATTACGGATTGGATACCTAGCATAGGAAGGTAACGGTGATCCAGAAGTCCAGCATTTTCTTGCACGGCTGAAAGGTCAGCCCAAGGGGATACCGGTTCATCACTCGATGGAGTCGTGGACGAGATGCTGCTATTACCCAGCCGCACAGCTCTCACGTAACCTCCGTAACCCCCTCCGTAGCTTCTTCCGTCAACCCCAATCTCACTTCGGTTATAACCTCCACGGCCGTGAAATGCTTCGCCTCCGGACCTGTCCTGGCGGTCCGAAGCGGGGCCGACTCGGATCACCCGGCCATCAAACCTGATGGGGAGAGAGATTTTGTCAGCAACAATTGAAATTCTATGAATTTAATGCAGACCAGCTCTCATACTCTTTGTTATTCATGGCCTGCTGTGCCACCACGGCGTCTCTCTCGTGCGCAAAACGAACCAACCCGAACCCCCGACTACGTAGCGTGTCGCGATCTTTCACCACAACCTACTCAAAGCAGCACATATCAGAATCTCTTGATCCATCAATCTAGCCGATAGCAATGGCAACTGACAGCTTCCTGCACCTCCCCAAATATCTCAAACCCATGCCGTAGAGTTGCGTCATCAGTGTGCCAGGCGAGGCCGCTGCCGCCGTTAGCAATGGGCGCGGAAGCAAAAAAGCGAACGATTTGCACCCACCCGATAAATAGCTTTGACATGGCGATTTGCTGGACGCCTAAGGTCTCGGTTGTTGTCGTCGCTGGGAAACAATATCTGTGGATTTAGGAAACTGGGAGACGGGATCTGGCAGCGTCACAGCCTTGGGCTCAGCCGTGAGCGCACCCCCATGCTTGATTAGCTTCCTTCCCTGGAGGATTAGCACGAAAAATGCTGCCTAATTAATCCAACTTATAGTTCAATTATCAGATCATAAACATTTGTAAAGATTTCGAGCCCCTGACCATCGTTGCGACTCATATAATGCGGCCATTTACCATCCACCCTACCTCTGGCTAGGGCGGCGGGGATTCAATTGCATTAATGGGTGTTTGATGGTGAAGCTGGCCTGCACACCTATCTAACTAGCGGATATTCTGAATTGAGAGTCTTTGGTGGATATCAATACAGGTGTACATGTATGTAATCATATACTGAACCTCTACCAGACAAAGATCCTCGAAAACTACATCCATGTGCTATTGATACAGTTCACAATACCTAGGTAGCTTTGTTATTTGACATGCCATTTGACCGTCTTGATTCGGTTGAAGAATGTCTCTCTCTTCATATCCATAACCAAACGGAAGATCCCAAGGATATAGCCCTTGGTTGCTCGGCAACAATCTTACCCCGACCTCGTGAGGCCCGTGTCTGATCTGCTCGGAGATTTATACATGTACACTTCCAATACATGAATGGCACGTACACTATCTGATGGATGTACACCGGAACCTATAAGCACTCAGCATGGGTCATAAGAAACATCCATGGGCACTCTTGTGCGCATATCGGCTTCAATGCCGACACTGGCTCTGTTCGCAACAACATTTAGATATTCCTCCAAAGTCCAAGCTAAAGACAGAAAGCAGAGAAGGAAAGATTCACGGGCTAGTCTGCATAAAAGTGAATTGATGCCCATCTGAATGTAGCCTCTATTTATCTTGGTCGAATAAGGCGAGCCACCCCCTCATCGTCGAGTGCGGGGTTAGAAACCATGACTTCATCTTCTGATAACTGGAACTCTCCACCTGCAAACCATCAATATTCGAATACTCTTGTCGTATAGTAGCATTATATCCTCTCTTCTATATATCGAGTCAATTGGAAAAGCATCATGTCAGAGTTCCCTTCGCTGCAACCCGCCTTTACGGTCAAGGTAGGTAGAAGTACCCTCGCAGCCATGATCAGACATGCCGGAAAACGAAAGCACATTCCACATACTGACATTAATCTCCAGGTCGATATCGATGCCTCACTACCTGTTGGTAAGTCTCACTTCCATGATGTGCATCAATTATGCAAAGCCCATGGGACTGACTGATTGGAAACAAAGGGAGTGCGTCTCGTACCGGCAGCCTCCAGGTCGTGGTAAGCACACCTTACAACTTCCCCATAATCTAAACGAACATGATCTCACCATATACCAAAACGCAAGCCCATGATCGGCGGCACCGTCAAGAGCGATTCGAGTTTCAACCTCCCTATCGATGCCGAGTTCGTCGGAGTGGGCAATGACTACATCCACGGGGATCCGGATGGTAAACACCTGCGATTGAACGCCCATGGCGTTCTCAAGTAAGTGTGCTATTGCAATACATCCCATTGTCATCTGTGATACTGACGTGGTGGGCTTATCTTCTAGGACAAAGGATGATGCGGCATGTCTCTCTTTTCTATCTTACTATGGAAGCAGTTGCTAACCGTCCCTTGCACAGCTGCTCTACTTGAACTATACCGGTGTCATCACGCTCGGCCCCGCGGAGGCGGCGGTTTTCGGTGGTACCGCTGCGGATGGCTCTACGCCTTTTGGGAATTCCTGTCCGTTAGATTCCTTTTGTCGTTCCACTATGAGGCTGCGATTGCTGATATTCTGGTTTCCCTTCAGTCACACACTTTACGTTCGAAGTAAGTATACTACTTATTTTACCAGTCGCCCGTCAACAGATCATATCTAATTGTCTCAATACAGACCGGCGACGAACGCTACAAGGAGTTGGAGAACCGCGTGTTCGTCGGCCAGGGACGATTCAATGTCGAAAAGGGAAAGCCTATCGTTGTTGAGTATAGGGTTGGACAGGTTGTACACGGCTAGCAGTTTGCTCTGTTACTCTCCAGCCTCATATGGTGTCTATGTCAATATCACACATCTCAATGGAGTCAAGACATACCATTACCATCCACATAGGAAACACAGACATAATCCGCAGCCAGGAATCCCACCCACCACCACCCAGCAAACTACATACACACACACACACACACACACACACACACACTACCCCCCGCAAGCAACGGCCTCCTCTCCCCATCATCACGACCCTCCCCCCAATACCGACTCCTCCCCTCCAGATCACCCCCCTCACCCACACCCCCATCCGAACTCCCATAAAACGACCCCCCCAGCTTCCCCCATTCCCAACAACTACTCCATCTCTTCTTCCACAGCCGCACGGCAAGAACCCCCGCCCCAATGGCAGATACCGTCCCTAGAACAGCCACAACAACGCTCAGGAACGTCACCGTGCTCACGTGGCATCCGAAGGGCGGCGCGCGCAGCTCCCACCGCTCTTTTTGGCCGAGCGGGCAGATACCTGTGTCAAAGAGGGGGGCGAGGATGGGGAAGTGGGAGGGGTTGGGGACGCAGGTTGAGGTCTGTTTTGTTTTGTTAGTTTTTTGTTGGTTTGGTAGTGTACATGTGAATGATCCGAAATAGAAGAAAGGAAGATGAAAAAGGAAAAAGGAAAGGAAAGAGAAGAAAAAGAAGAAAAGAAAGGCATACCACTGCGCACCAACTGCATGGAACATCCCCCTCCAGGCACCACCCGCACGACTGACGTCGCCAGCAGATCCGGAACAGCGGATCGTCGATATCCGACGCGAGAGATGTATTTCGGTCCATGGTAGTCTTGTGACCTCTTGGCTACAACGCCGACCTAGGTTTAAACAGCGTTGCGGGAGCTCCCACTGAGGTCGATATTTTGGCTTGATAGATCTTAAATAATTTATTGTACGATTTCGAAGTTGCTGAAGCTCGACAGATGCGAAGAGTGTCGTGATGATACTTGCTGGTGGCTGTGCGGGGTCCGGCGGTTCGTGCTCTGGGTTTTAGATTGTATACTACCTACCTGGGCTATTTATTTTGTTGTGGGTTCCGTGTACCACCGAGAGAATTCTCCCTTTCAGTTGTATATTGTTGTGTGGGCTTTTCGGATTATAGTTCTATGATATACCAATCTGCACTACAGGTTCATAATATGAGATGGCTCGATTAATCCATTCGTGACTGTGTACATGACGTATAATTAAAGCCTCTCCATTTACACCCTAGAGCCCCAATGATTTCTCAATGCTAGAACGAAATCCCATTGCAAGCCAAAAAGGAGACAGCCCGCTTTATAAGACCGGCGAGTGAACGTACATCAGACAACGCGCTTGACCTGTACGATGATAGCGTTAGCGAGCACTCCGAATCGACTACAGAGTTCACTGGAAGGATTTACCTCGAAAAATCTCTTCAGCCACCACACCTGGAAGACTCCTTCGCCAATGACCACAGCCAGCTGGAACATACTCCACCACTTCACCCGGGCGTTGGTGCTCTCCGCTGTGTTCCGGTGGACTCGTTCCCTCATCACGATATAAGACTGCTCGTCCTTGACCTGGGCCAAGGCTTCGGAAAGCCGGCGGACTAGAAATGATACCGTTAGTTTGGTCCGGAGCGTTGACGCACAAACCCCATCCGTTTCAGGGCGGTCTTCCTACCTTCTGTCTCCAGCGGATCCTGTGCGAGTTCCGATTCGGGGACGTAGACGATGCCGTGGACGTTGAAGGAAACCTCCTTCGAGTTGGAGGCCCAGCCCTCGTTGCTGAAGCAGTAGGTGAATTGGCCGTCGGAGTGGGCGTTGAACGAGTAGTCTTCGGAGGAGATAGCTTGCTTGAAGTACTGGCGGTGTCCGCGGGGGTCCTCGACCTGTAGACAGAAATAAGACGTCAGTATTCTGTTTGAACCGACAAAATGTAGCCCCTTCTCTTATATGCATGAAGCTCTTTTCGTCCGTGGGTATTCAAATAACGAAAGCCCCCCTCCCCCCAATCTCAGAAACACCACCAAAACAACACAAGGAGACCTTACCCAGAAGTCCACGTCAAGGTTCCCACTCCCTCCAAACTCCCGATCACCGACCTGGAAGGTCACCGTCATCCGATCATCCTTGTGCAGCGACTCGTGGAAGCATTCTCTGGAGTGAGCTTTGAGCTGGATAGTGTGTGCGGTCGCGGCCGTGATCCACCCGAGCGCGGTGATCAGGATCGTTGTTGCGGAGAATCGCATGGCGGTGGTGTATTTGTCGTTCCGATAAGTTTATTCTCGGTCAAAAACGGTACCGGATCCCTTTTAGTTGAGGGGACGATTAGTGGTGGAGGGTGAGGCCTGATGGTTGATCGTCGACCCGACGCGCAAGGTGGTCTCTCTTCCATCTACGGAGGAATTTCGAGACGCACGGACCAGCTAAACAAGGTGTCAGGACAGGACCTCAGGAGCATTAGACAAACCATCTAGCTGTCTAGGTAAATTTATGGAAGTTTCAATTCTTATTAATTTGGATTAATAGCTCTTATTTTCTTTAGCTTCAAGCAACTTTTATGATTATTCCTTACCTCGATAGTTGATTATGAGTATACATCCCTTGAAACCCATAAGCAAGCTTCGGAAATGTATCAATGGTTTTTCGCTTTCCAATTGCTTCTTTCTTTTATTTGTCTGATCAGTACCTTTCGGTTGGTGTGATCCTAGCTTAATTGGACGTAAGATTCGTTTGCTGCCCTGTTGTCCACGCCATCTGGTTGATCATTGGAACCAAGTGTATACATACGTGTTGGCAGCAAATGTATGGCATATGAGACGGTGACATATCAACACCGCCGATTTCTCAGTGAAACCACTTCGTCCAATGTTTTTATAAGAAGGATACAGGGGAAAAGCAAATAATCAAACAAAAAAGAACAAAGAAGAAAGTAAAAAAGCCCCACAACCGTTTGGTATCAGATGCCGTATTTACCATATCCCACCTACGTATTATCGGTCAAACCTACCTACTTACGGATACTTGGGAAGGAAGTACCGTCCTCAGTACTCCTGCCCTGGGTAGCACTTGATTACTCTGGGAAGGAGTGTATATAACTTGGGCAATAAGTGTCAAGATAGTTACTTCCTATTTCATCTTGTCCGAGAATATTTGAAAGTCGCCAGCTTCACCAGTGTTACGAAATGAGATATCAGTCAATGGCACCTCCTATGATGCTGCGGTTGGTTTCCAGACAACATGCCGGTTTTCTTGATTGACGGAAAAAGCTATCGAGTTCCGTTACTGTCATCCTGGAGGAATCCCAGGATTCTTTTCAGAGAACCACCAATGGCAATCGAAGCCAAACCTACCCGATGGACTCCAGCAGAAGATGCACTTCTCAAGGAACTCAAAGCGTGTCATACACCATGGCAATCGATATCCATCGCCATTGGACACAGACCAGTCGCCGAACTCAAAAGACGCTGGGACGATCTGGGCCGCTACGAGAACAACCAGAACCGGCCTCTGAACGGGAGATCTTACAGAAGGAAATTCTACGAGAATCCTCCGAGCATGGGACCGTCGGGAGATGAGGAGGCTCCGCGTAATGTGTCCTTCTCCGATCCGTTGATCACCGGGGGCGATGTGGGTACAACCGTCGAAAAGCCTTGAGTTCTGGCTCCATTTTGTGAGAAGTCGAATGATTGACGGCTTGTTGCAGATGGATTATGTCGGTAGCCGCTCGTCCCTAGAGACTAAGAGAGTCCTTTATATCGATCGCGACTTGTCGTGGCAAGAGGCCGTTCTGCTACATCAGATCGCGGCCGGATGGGAGAAAGAACGGTGGGTGGCAATCAGTAGCCGGTTCAATGATAGGACCGGACGAACCATTACCCCGGAACAGGCGAAATCAGTTCTTGATCACTAAGCATTCGAGAATGCGTCGACACATCGAAGAAGAACTTTAGGCACAGGGCATGGGAACAGAAGAGCCGACACGTGTGTCATGATCTCGGCGCTGTCCGGATGGAATGCTGGAGAGGGCTCGATTCGATCATACTTGGAGAATGTTCGATATGATGGATCCATCGGCGAGAAGGATGATGTTTTTTGTGTTTGTTGCGCTGTTTCTTTATCGTTCGCCTCTGGATGAATCCAGAGATTAGATGTCCAAGGTTCTCGAGGAATGTACTCGCGTTCATCGGCCGAGTGACATCATGGTCCTTGTCCGCAGAACCAGTACCTTACCTAAGGCCATGAACCTAATAACAGAATAGCCAAGAATAGAAAGTTCAATTCCCACGTTTTGGCTCTCCGAAGGTTTGTGATATCAATGATAAGGGTGCATAAATCCGCAGGGGCCACTAGGGAGATAAATAGCTTTACGGATATTATAGTTTATAAATAACTGTGGATGTTTAACCATTCAGGCAACAGGAAGTACGGCACATCAGGAGTTAAGACACCAATTTCGAGAATAAATAGAGAAGTCACTAAACCATTCTAGCGTTGCAGAAGGAAGGGGGTTGGGAGTCTGGACCATGGCTGGCCAACTTGGGCCTGTTGCAACTTGCCCGTCACTGAATGGGAGCAATAATAATAGGTAGTCAGGTACCATAGTGGATGGTCTCACTCCGAGACTCCCCCAGAATTAGAACAAAACTTATAGGGATCGCCGACGCATTTTGGCATCATCCAGTTAGCCTGTCAACCAGGGGTCGCTGGGTGGAGCCTTCGAGGGTCTGGAATTATTGAATACCTTTGTGGATTGGATGAAACGGACGGTTGTGCCCCTCCGACGTGCCTGTTCTCATCATTGGCCCTCAATGTCTCGTGCGCCCCGATCGGATCCATGCAAATTGGGCCTTGTCTCTTTTGGCTCGTCGTGCTCAGGAGGCGAACCTTGGGTTCTATCGCCGCTGCTGTCGTGTTGTGATCCAACTTCTTTCCTTCCATTTCTCCACACTCTTTTTCTCTGGCCCTGACGTACGGTTCCTTGGATTTTCTTTATTTAACCTCAAGTCGCTCTTTGCCAGTCGTTCCGACTCCCTTACATCTCTTATTCTGTCCATTTCAAACATCCCTTTCTTTCAAGACCCTCGCTTATTTCTGGCTGACGAGGAACCTTGTCTTCTCGCTCTCCCTATTCACCCATCTCTGCTTCTGCAGTTCTGATTCCTTCTCACGAAGAGATCCCTCCACAATGCGTCTCACCGGATTGCTTCCTTTCCTGATGGCGGCCGCCCCCGCGGTTGCTAAGCGCGGTACCCTTGGTTTCGCTCTGGGCAACCAGAACGGCCCGGAGAGCACCGACTGCAAGTCTACCGAGGACTACAAGAAGGACTTTGATGCGCTGAAGCCCTACTCCACGCTTGTGCGCACCTACTCCGCCAGCAACTGCGATACCGCGGAGAACATCATCCCGGCTGCCAAGGCCAAGGGCTTCAAGGTCGTGCTGGGTGTTTGGTAGGAATCCTCCACCTGGAACAAATGCGCATCCGTGCCATTGCTGACAGTTTATTTTGCTTAGGCCCGATACTAAGGAGTCCTTCGAGGAGGATTTCGAAGCCCTCAAGTCTAGCGTCAAGGGCAACGAGGATGTCGTCCAGGCCATCACCGTCGGCTCGGAGGCCCTCTACCGTGATACCATGAAGGCGGATGCTCTCCTGAAGCGCATCCAGCAGGTGCAGGATGAGTTCCCCAAGGTGACTGTCGGCATGGTCGACAGCTGGAACAAGTTTGCCGATGGCACTGCCGACGCCATCCTCCAGAGCGGCATCAAGTACATGTGAGAATAACCTGCAATCTCGTGTCTGCACACGGTTTAACTAATCATTACGTCAGTCTTGCCAACGGCTTCGCTTACTGGCAGGGCCAGGCCATCGACAATGCCACCAACACCTACTTCGACGATATGTCGCAGGCCAAGGCTCACATTGAGGAGGCTGCTGGCCCCGAGGGCAAGAACATCCGCTTCGGCAACGGCGAGACTGGCTGGCCTACTAGTGAGTAACCCTGGTTTCCATTTCACTGACGATGCATGCGCTGACGATTTTGTAGACGGCGGCTCTGATTACGATGATGCCAAGGCTGGCACCAAGAACGCCGAGATCTACTGGAAGAAGGCTGTCTGCGGCATGCTTGCCTGGGGCGCTGATGTTTTCTTCTTCGAGGCCTTTGACGAGGCCTGGAAGCCCAAGACCAAGGGTGACAACGGTGAGATGCAGGACGAATCCCACTGGGGTGCGTTCACCGTCGACCGCAAGGCCAAGTTCGACCTGTCTTGCCCTGACAACTAAGCAGAGGACATGAATATTTGTGTTCTTGTGTTTTTGGGTTCAACTGAATAGTCTACTTGGATTGGACCTCGCTCTTTTTTCTATGATTCTTCTGTATCATATATCACATATATCAGAATTGACAAGCGATCAAGCGACTTTTGAGACCATCACATCACGTGGACGACTTCAGTAGAATAGGAAGATTGATCCACTGTTGATCCAAACGCGATCCAGCCTAATGTGGAAAGGAGAAATAGTTACTATTCACTGACTGTAGCCACTATAAGATTGATCAGTTGATATCATTAGTCAAATCGAGTCGTATTATTCATAGTGTAATCTATTCTGAATGGTGGTATGGCTGTATGTATGGATGTATGGATGTAAGGTAAACATGTGGAAATAGCCGACTGGAGAACCGTGGTTCATAGCGTAGTTTTTACCCCTGAGTGGCCGACACGAACCAGAGTCTGTTGTTTGTTTATGGGGTTGGATCCTGGTCATTCAGGGGTCATCTATATCTATTCTTCCTTCTCCTTCCTTTACTTGAGTGTCTTTGAGAGATACTTATCATAAACAATTAGAATAGCCAGCCAACAATCACAGTATGACCATAAGCCAGACGAGGCTCGCAGGTAAATGTACACAGGTTGGTACGTGTACCGACAGCGTACATACCGAGTCAAAACTGGAGCCCACCCACCACTAGACAAGAGACCACTAGACAAGAGACAAGAGGCAGATGGCGGTCAACAGGTGGAACAGCCGGCCGATCCTCTGGATTTCGAGTTGGCGTCAGGAAACCATTCCCACTGCAGTATATTTGACCGTCTTCCCAGGCCTGGAGAAGGGACTATTTCCGAGGTCCATTGGCCAAAGTAGGTAAACTTTTAATTGGAATTTTTTACCTTAGTGGTATATTGGCTGTAAATTACCTGCCCTTTTTCCCTGTCCCAACGGCCGTCCGCAAGTTCCCTCCCCTCCACCTATGATAGTCTGCATAAACGGAGTCCTTCTTGGCCGATCGTGACATAGACCAGCGACCATCTATTGGATTGGATTCTCGAGGGTAATTAAGAAAAAAAAAAAAAAAGAACTGACCATCACTCTCCATCTTTTTTTCTCCCCTTAGCCCCGACTTTTCGCTCTCCCTCTCTCTGTTCGTCTAACCTCGATCCAGCTGTCCTCCGCGTATGCGCCATGTCCAAGTTTTTCGCATACCTTGGGTATCTGTGATCTCTCCCTTATCGACACCATTTGCTCGCCCTCCCGTGTTGGGTTGGATTATCTCGGCCTACACCACCACGCACCCCTGAAGAACCGTCCCGCCAACCCGCCCCTAAAACACGTTATACTTCCCTGAGTCGCGGTACATCTTGTCTCCTTCCCTCCCCCCTCCTTCTGTGCCGATCACAGGTCATTCTGCGAGGTTGATCCGATCTCTGTGGTTTGATTTCCATGCTTCAATATTTTGGACAATAAGGAGAGCAGCAAGCCAGTGCTTGCTGCAGGTGTCGACACGGAAGGTGAGTGAATCTCTCTCTGGGATTCGTTCTGCTTGTTACCGTCCCCTCCCTGGCTCTCCTTATACCCACTCGTCCTGTCAATCACACATTCCAGCGCTGATAAGTTGAACGCGTTCTCGCAGATCTAGATCCGTCCGTCGCCCATTCGGCGCATTCTTCGGTGCCGCCGCATTCCGCAAATCCTTTGATCATTCGTGACGATTCGCACTTGACAGTTCCATTGACATCGGGTTCCACTTCACCAGTAGAGTCGAGTCGCTCGGCCGCTGGATCCCCTGGTCCTCGTATCCCCAAAAGGGACCGCAGCGTCGACCCCGACCCGCCTCTGGCCAAGTACCGTGGCACTGGGGATTCTTCCACCTCGTCCCCCGAGAATCGAAAAGCCGAGAGTAGCATCTACTATACCACCGTCTGGGGTTCTCCGTATGCTGCACCAAGCCCTCGGAGGCTCTCCTGGTCATTGAGTCAGTACGGCATCGTCGATCGTGGTTCTGGAGCCAGCTCTCCAGGCTCGATGCACAGTGGTCTCCCCCACGACTCGGAAGTGAACAATAACGATTCCCTGAGGCCCCCCGCCTTCGAAGGCTCGACGAGACTGCCGCATAGTGGCACCCTCAACCGTTCCTCGGGACGCGGCGACTTTTTTGGCAGAAAGGGAGGGAAATCGATCAAGGATTTCACGCAGGATTGGATAAATCAGTACCTCTCGGGTCAGCCTAGGACAGAGCGCAGTAACTGGCTGAGCGACGACTCTGGCAGCGAAGCGCCCTCGTTCTTCACGGCACCGAATAATTTCGCCGACGACGCATCGGACGATTGGCTTGCGCTAGAGCAAGATACGCGCGACGAGGATCTCCTCAAGACCCCGACGCTCTCAGACTTTGTAGGTCGACGATCGGCGGCTCGTAACGGAGAAGGGCCTTCTTCTCGTCCACGGGCAAAGGAGCACACTCACAAGAGAGCCGATACGCTGCGACAGGAGGATTTTTGGGGATTTGCATACGATCAAGACCCTCAACCGATCACAATGTCTGACGCAAAGGACGCCCAGTCTCCCACTGAACAGGAGCCGGGCAAGGCACCCGCGCGGGCTGAGAAGCCGTTGCCGCCTCCTCCCGCCGACGACGCCCAGGAGACGTCGACATCTGACAGCGCCCCGCCCCCTGAACCTAAACCGATGAAGACACCGGAGAAGAGTACGACTCCGAGGCCGAGGAAGAAGATCCTCTGGCGGGGAAAGGCATGCATCATTGCCCTCCCAATGGAGGACAAGAGAGGCTCGGAAGAATCGGGATACCGCCTAATGTCAGTAAAGGACGTGGACGAAAAAATGAAACAGTGGGAGGAGCAAGGGTACGACACTCGTGGGTTCAGTGTTTGCGCACCGGAGGACCCCGCAGATACCGAGTTGGGCGGCAATAGTCGGCCAACGTTCCCCGACCAGATCGAGGCCTACGATGACTACAAGGCAGGGAACTACGGTGTGAAGATTCCGAACAAGCACGAGTGGGATTCCTACGTCAATTTCCTTCAGGAGGAAAAGCTGCGAGCCCTGGGTGTGCTGTCTCCGGCGGAGGAGCCGGCGCCGTCCATTTCGCCTGCGTCGGCCGCGATGGGCCAGGTTGCCCCGTTCCCCGGTCTGGTTTCCTCACCACCCATCCCAACGGCGTCAGCAGCTAGCAACCCGCTGTCTGTGCCTCATCCGTTCTCGCCCCATTTCAACCAGTCCGCAAACCCCAACAACGGCATCCCTTCGTTGGCCTCCCCCGCCTCGCAGTTCGGCGTGCAGACGCCATTCATGGGCGTCGAGCATCAACATATGCTGCCCGGCTTCCACATGCCATTCCAGCCGACGCCTCCGACGCAGGGAACTCTCACGCCCCAGAGCTTCTTCAACGCCAGGAATGTCAGCGGCACGTCCACCATGGGTGGAGGCATCCCCAATTTGACGTCCATGTTGTCGCCGGTATCTCCACTGCATGAACAGAATGGGTTCCACCCCGGCCTGAACGAACAGCACTCGTCCATGAAGGACGCTTTTGGTGACCCTATGGCCCATGATATGCAGGAGCACATGATGGACGGTCAGCTGCTGCGACCTGTTCACACTCCTACCGAGGATGACAATTTCCATGCCTCGACGGTTGAGATCGCCCAGCCCACGCCTCGCGGCCACAGCCGAGGCCACAACCTGAGCGAGACGCTTCAAAAGGGGCTGGACCAGATGGGTCCGTCTGATTACCACTTGGAAGAATCGATCAAGCGACAACTCGAGGAGGGCGACCGTGAGCCGGCTCACAACTTTGAAGGCCCTGGGCTGATGAACTCTCGATGGGCTATGCCAGAAGACCAGAACCGTAACCTCCACCACCTCCCCCAGCATGTGCAACAGTTTTACAACGGCAGCTACCCTGCAGAGAACGCTCACGAGGGTTCCGACATCGACACCAACCCAAGTCTGTCTGGAACACCCCATGTACACGGTGCGCTCCCGAACCATCTGCCTTGGCATCAATCCAAGCCGAGTGGCGGGTCCTACGGTGTTGGGCACCGTTCCAAGCTCTCGGCGTCGACTCTCAATGTCGACGCGAAGGAGTTCGACCCGTCGGCCTCGATGTCGTTCCAAGGGAACGCTGCCGATAACCCCGTGTTTACTTTCGGTTCGGGAGCCGGCTTCCAGCCTCCATCGGGCACATATGGTATGGAAGGCCCTTTCACACCCGGCAGTGCGAGGCACAGCAACGTGGGCCGCGCGTCTGGTGAATTCAAGTTCTCTCCCGCTTCCTTCAACGTCGGGGCCGCTGCATTCAACCCGGCTGCTAGTGTCCATTCTGCGTCCTCCAAGCACGCATCGCCCGGACGGGCCAACATCTTCGGTGACATTGATCTCTCGGAGATATCCAAGCCTGCGAAGAAATCCAAAGCCATCCCCATCGTACGCCCAGACAGCGTTCAGGAGCAGAAGGAAGAAGAAGAAAAGGCAGCGGATGATAACAACGGCACTGCTTCTGCTGACCGTCACAAGCGAGTTCGTCGTGGTGTTGAGATTTCTGACAAGGAGGCTAAATTCAGTATTTCTGATAACGCCTTGGCAGAAAAACTCAACCTCCAATCAGCCCAGCCCTCGAATCTGTCCTTGTCCGCTGCGGGCAAAGAGAATACATCCCCCGAGAAAGGAGATGCTAAGCCGAGCTCGAAGATTGAGAAGCTCGACGAGCGCAAGGACACACCTGTCAGTGAGGCGTCCACTTGGGCACCCGAGGGCAAGGAAGAGCCTAAACAAAACGAAGGACAAGACAAGGAGCACAAGAAGACGCCTGAAGTCGAGCCGATTTCGGCCCAGGAACAGCCCGCCGAGCAACCCAAGGCAGAAGGTCCCCCGCCGAGAAACCCGCCGAGAAGCCCGCCGAGAGGGGATCTATCTTCTCCCGCTTGGGCAAGAGATTCACGTTCAAGCCATCTGTGGCTGAGTTCGTTCCCTCTGCCGCTAAGCTACAGTCTCCTTCGCCTCAACCTACTCCTGCACCCAAGGAATCAGAGCCTACGCCCCAACCAGCTGCCGAACAGAAGAATGATCTCATGGCCTCCCGTTACGCTGACCCCGCTCCTCCGGCCGAGCCGCAGAACAAACCGGCCTCTGCGGGGACCGATGACCCGGAGATCATGGCGAAGGCCCTGTCAGCTGCAATCGCCAGACAAGATGATTCGGACCAGGGATCCCCTGACGAGGAGGAGCTGAACGCGATCATGGAACAGCTCAACGGCGATTCCGACGTTGGTGTTGAGAGGATAAGCACACCGCACCATGTCTATCGCTCTCATCACGAGTCTGCCGTCGCGCCGTCCAAAGAAAAGCGCCACGCCCCTGTCGAGATCAGGAGTGAGGCTCCCAGTCCTAGCCCAGGACGCGGTCCCATGCCCCATGCTCTGGACATGCCCAAACTTGACTTCGATGCTCAGTCACAAATGGCGGTCACTCCTTCGAAGGGCTTCGCTTCCGGTATGCACTCGCCGATCCGGAAGCTGGCGAACCCGAACGACGACCACATTAGCGATTGGGATGACGTGATTACGTCTGGCGAGGAAGGAAAACTGATGAACAGAAGCCGGTTCTTTGATCGTCGGATCAACGACCTCGTCGGATCTGCGGTCGAAGAGCGTCTGTCTCCGCTTGAGCGTGCGCTGGGTGTCATTCAGCAGTCAATGGCGGCTATTGCCTCTGGCGACCCGAGTAAACTTGGCTGGAGCACTTCGGCTGATGCCGAGAGCGATGCCGATGACGAGGACGACGAGCTTGAAGAGAACGCTTCGTTCAGGGCACGATCACCTGTGCGACAACAGAGAACTCGCAAGCTTGATCAGCTGAAGTCCGTCATCCTGGAGGCTATGGCCGCCCGGGAACTTCCCGCGGAGCCAGAAAAAGAAGAGGTTTCCGAAATCGCTCAGATTCGCGACAGCATCGCTGAGTTGCAGACCTTGACCATCCAGAAGCTTTCGCAGAACCCGACCGCGGATCTGCGGGACATGATGGAAGATGTTGTCTCCGCCCAGCTGGCGCAGCAGCAGGCCCGTCCGTCCGATGCTGACGAGATCGGCGCCGACAGCCTTATGCTCCAAATTGATGGCCTGAAGAGCATGCTGCGGATCACCGATGAAAGGGCTGAGCAAGAGTACAAGCTGCGGCGGGAAGCCCAGGACTCTTTGGCAGAGCTGCAGCGGCTCTTGAAGGTTGCTGAGGAAGATGCCGCTCGTCACAGCGAGGCTGCAGAGTCTGCAGAGGCTCGTCTGCTTCAATTCAAGGAGGAGAAGATTCCTTACTTTGAGAGGATCCAATTCAGGACCGACTCTCTGGAGCAAGATCACGCCACCCTCAAGCTTACCCTCGCGGAAGTATCTTCGAAGAATATCCACCTGGAGGGCACCTTGGACGAGTACCGGGTTACCAGCGACAACTGGAAGCGACAGGGCGAGCGGGCCAACGCCGAATTGGAAGTCGTCAGGAAGGAAAATAAGAAGCTCACTGGCCACATCGACCATATGAAGACACGGATCGAGGATGGCATCAGCATCAGAAAGAACCTGTCGGAGAAGCTGGACCACATCCAGGAGGAGATGGCCCATGTGACCTGCGATATCACCCGCGACCAGGTCAATTGGCGGAAACGCGAAGAGCAGCTCAATTCGAAGTACAACGACATGAACGCTGCTTACAACAGAGAAGTCAAGCTGCGTGAGAAGCTTGAGAATGACGTCAGCGAGCTTGAACAGCAGGACCGTGAGGCTGCTAAGCTCAAATTCATCTTCGGGCAGTCCCAGCAGGAGAACGCGAGACTGGAAGAGCTGGTTGCCAACTTGCGAATTGAGAACCATGAACTCGAAGTCAAGGCGGCTCGCTTTGAGCGTGAGTTCAACGACGCGCGTGAGAGCAGTCGGATGGAGATCCAGCGTACTAGGACCTCGATGGAGGCCGACCTCGAGGCCGCAAACAGCCAGGTCAACATCGTCCGGGCTGAACTGGAGGCACAGTACCTCCGTCTCCAGAGCCAGCTTGATAGCTTCCGACTCGACAGCGACACGGCACGGGAGCGCTACGAGATGCTGCTGGAAGAGGCCAACGAAACAAAGGCCGCCTCCATCGCCGCTGTTGTCGAGTCGAAGGAGATCGCTATGGAGGACCAGCGGAAGCTTCACGAACGCACTCTCAATGACCTCCGGGAACGCCACGCTCGCGCACTGCACAACTCGTCTGAGGACAAGCAGCGCGGAGAAAACCATCTCATGGAGCGGTTGGCGCTGTCCGACGAGAAGGCGCAGCATCTACAAGACCGCGTCCGCCATCTCGAAGAGAAGGTTGAGATCGCCCAGTCCGCAGCTCGCGCAGCGGCTGAAGCCGCCCAGAAGGGCAAGGCCACCAGCGCCATGCCGTCTCTGCATGCAGGCTCTCCGTCACTGTCCTTTGACAAGGACTCCCACGCCCCGGAGAAGATCTCGCCGCAGGCGCTCCGTGAGTCGATCCTTGTTCTCCAGGACCAGCTGCAGCAGCGCGAGTCTCGCATCGAAGAGCTGGAGCAGGAGGTCTCTGGTTTCGACAAGGATGCACCAAACACGATCCGCGAGAAAGACACCGAGATCAATTGGCTGCGTGAGCTTCTCGGAGTTCGCATCGACGACCTCGAGGATATCATCAAGACCGTCTCGCAGCCTTCGTTCGATAATAACGCTGTGCGCGACGCTGCCATCCGGCTGAGAGCGAACCTCCAGATGCAACAGCAGGAGAAGGAACGAGCCTCCCCGGGCCAGAGCTTCCCGAGTCTCCGTTCTCTCACCGAGCTGACTTCGTCGCCACGGTCTCTGCCCCTCGCTGCCGCCGCCGCGTGGGGTAACTGGCGCAAGGGACGGGACAGCCAGCAACAGTCCAACCCCTCAGAGCAGACGCCATCCAAGACGAGCCATGCCAGCGCGTTCCTCTCCGGACTTCTAACGCCCCCGAGCTCGCACGTCCGCCGAAGCCCCCTGAACGCCAGTGCTCCCCCACCATGGAGGCGCACATCCGACAGCGGGGCTGCTCACAACGTGGACACGACCCCCAGACCACTATCTTCACGAAGCGGCGCCGGGAACCGCGAGCCACCGCAGACCCCGCCTTTCCTCCGCCAATCCAGCTACGACCACGACGCCGAGCCCACCGTCGACTACGGCGAGAGCTCCCTGGAAGACGAGGAGAACGAGGAGAACGAGGAGATTGAAAGCACCGTCGACGGCCTCGTCTCTGCGTCCCCCAAGGACGCGAGAGATGACGGACCGTTTGGACCGCAAATAGCATTCCCGCCGCCGTCTTCACCTTAGATTGCCCATATGTTCATTTCTTTTTACTTTCCGTTTCATTTGATTGCATTTCATTTCATTTATTTCCTTGTGTTCTCCCCCCCTGGTTTAGTTGATTCGAAATCATCAGTCGCAGTCGCTTAGACGAGAGGGCATTGTGTTATTACTATAATGGTGGTGTGGTGCAAACCCAGAAATTTTTCTTTCATCGTTTTCATCATCTTGCAATTTCATGTTTCCTTTCTTATCAGCATTTGAGAAGTTCACCATCACGATCTTTCCCCTCCTCTCCCCCCTTCCCCCTATTACTGCTACATACACGTCCATATCTATCTGTTGCTTTGCGTTCTTCCCTGATACCAATACTTGTTGATTGATTGATCGCACGAAACCGTTCTTTTAAACCTGCTCTGCTCTGCTCTGCGCTCTGCTCTTGTACATTGTACCATCCTCCTCTCTTCCTCTCCTCCTCTCGCCTAATATCGATCTATCTATCTATCTATATATCTACCTATTCATTAATTGACTTATTACTTGGTCAGCTTGTTCTGCTGCGTCTATGGGCGGGTTAAGTTGAGTTTGGGTTTGGTGTCTTCTTGCTCTGACTGTTATTTGTTCATGGCTAGTTAATCGAATGGCCATGTATATACTATAGATAGATGTCTCTGTACAGTCGTGTTGTCTGTTACTTGCGGTGGGATCCAGTTTGGTTTGTCTGATTGTAGATATCATATTATACTGTATTATGTTATAGATGTTTGTCATTCTATAGAACTTTTATATAGATATGGCAGATAGATAGATAGGTAGTGTAATAGCTAACCAGTATAGATGTGACCTGTAGTGATACTCTAGGGTATAATCAATTATCTTCAAGATTTGCCTTGGATTAGTCCACCCAGACATGTATCTAGAGGTGATAATGGTATACTACATAGTACGTAGTAAAAGAGTCAAAGCAAACAATCAATTCAGCATTACTTTTAACCAGTAGTATATAACCCATAACCCAAATCCAAACCCAATCTCAAATCCAAATACGCCTCCCGTCCACGCAAAACGCCCAAAAGCAAACAAACCTAATACTTTACTTATATCATATATCATAAACCAATCTGATAACGCCCCCCAACCCGACCCGAGGCCCCCGCCCCCGCGCAAAAGAGGGTGTCTTATCATCCACCTCTCATCTCCGGAAGAAGACATCTACTCCTCATCTCAAGGGAAAGATATATTTGCGCCTAGCTCCCACTGCATTTTTACGCCATTTGCTTCGAATAGAGCCCATACTATGTATCGGGTGGGTTCTTTTAGTTTTGGAGATGGGCTGGGTTGGGGATGGGAGCTGGAACTGGGGAGGGGAGGGGTGCTGGTTGTGGGGGTACTTGATGTAGGAGAAGAGGAGGGGGGGGATGGGGAGGAGGGGGAGGACAGAGAAAAATAGGAACACGAATCAGAAGGAGAGGAATATGAGGAAGAGGAAGCAGATGGGGAAGAAAAAGAAGAAGTAGAAGAAGAAGCCAAGGCAGAATCCGCCACCTCAACCCCAACAGCATCAGCATCAAAGTTGAGCCGATCCAGCAAAAACGGCCAGGCAGGGATAATGTCCTGCGGCGCCTTTTCCTTCCGCACCCTCAGCCACGCGGCCGTCGAATTCGTCGGGCTGCCCGCGGCGGAAGCCCGCCGCCCCGCGTAGGGCTGGTAGGCTGATGTGCAGGACGAGATGTTGACCACGTAGAGGGTGCCGCCGCGGGAGACGAAGCGGGTGTGCGAGCCGCCGGGTTCGTAGATCACCGCGAGCCGGTTGTCGGGGGAGGTGGCGAGGAGGGGCGAGGTGAAGGTTGCGGAGGGGAGGTTCGTGTTGGACCATCTTTGGACGTCGTGGCGGAGGTTGGTGGTGGTTGTGCCTGGGGTTGGGTCTGCGGGTGTGTTTGTGGGCGGGTTGGGTCTGCGTGTGTAGGGGGGAGTGAACCGGCGGGCGTGCTGTTGTTGTTGTTGTTGTAGTTGTTGTAGTAGTAGTCTTGATACATTTGGAGAGGGGAGGAGCTGGGGAAGGGGTTTGCGCTGGTGAGCACGTTGTTGGTGTTGTTGTTGTTGTTGTTGTTGTTGTTGTTGTTGTTGTTGTTACTGACACCTGGTAGGCGGAGGAGGCTCGGGAGATAGTAGCGGGAAGGCAAGACGCGGTGAATCTGGACACCGGCAGTAGTGAGCCCTTCTGGGGTAATGGAGCCGACAGCGTAGCTGTCCACGAGGCTCGTCTGAAGAGCGGCGATGAAGTACCGGGTGGCGGTGGTGGTGTCCAAGCGGGACATCCTTCTCGTGGGGTAACGGTGGTGGTTATGGTGGTGTCTGTGCTGAGAATGTACCTGGAAGGACGGCGGGAGGAGTCGAAGGCCGCGGAGGAGACATTGCCCCCCGCGGTGATCTCCAAGGTCGAGGGCGAGAACGACCGAGTCGACGTAGATGTGGTTGAGACTGGTCTTCCAGTACGACAGGCCCGGGTTGCAACCGCGAGCGAGGTCCGGGTTCCCCAGGTAGCGGACACGCGAGGGCTGATGGGAGGTCGTCTCGCGGTGGATGCAGACGCGGAGGAGGGCATCGTCTTCTGTGAATTCCAGCGACTTGACGACGCCGTCGGTTTCTTCGAAGCGTGCGGGTGGGGCGAAGCGGAATACTTTGTTGGTCTGGTTGATGGTGTACTCGACTGGGGCGGCGCGGCTTTCGTCGTCGCCGTCGCGGAGGCTGTAGATCTGGATATTTTTGCCCAGGGCTACTGCGAGGGTGTCGCCTCGCGAGGAGACCGCGAGGCAGTAGTTCGTGTACCGCTCGTTGATTGGTAGGTAGACGGAGTTATTGATGCTCATCGAGTTCCCGCAGATGGACTCCCAGGGCGGGTACAATGATGGAGCCACTGGAAACTCCCAGGGCGCTTGACTGCTGTACACACGTAATCGCGCTCCCTCCAAGGCCACTTTTATGTGGCCATTGGGTGACGAAGCTTGCGCGTTGCTCGGACTACAACTTGAAGCAAAGGGCAGCTCGGAGACTGTCTTTCGGACGTTGGTCCGGTAGGAGAGGAGGTTGAGCCGGGCGATCTGGTCGAAATATCTGTTCCATTCGGCTCCTGTCAAGGAGCTTGTTCTGGGGGGCATCAGCACGTGGGTTTGCTGGAGCACCCGTGAGAGCATACACGGCGCTGAGGCCGCATATCGCCAACCGCGACATGTTGACCGTGCGGCGTGATAACTCTCGATGTCCAGCTGTTGGAGAATGGATTGGATGATCTCCACGGGCAGTGGGGCGGGCCCTGTTTGTGATTTTGCCATGGTGAGAAGGATATCTCTTCAGCAACTGACAGGGCCACTCGATTTCAATCCTGAAGGTCTGTCACAGGAACTGGTATCACCCTTCGATTTCAAGGTCCTCAGGCCCTGTGATAAGAGCTGACACGATCACTCGACGAAGAGATCTTGAAGCTCGGTCACAAGAATCAGAAGCCTCCTAATATCAAGACGAAACCTCACCGCAAATATCAACCCTAACAGACCGCAACTCTCACCAAATATTCCTTTTGCTTTCCAGGGTCTTCGCGGTCCTATCCCTAGCCAGTCGATCTGCACCAAGGTATGCAAGATGCAAGGCACATTACACAACAGCTCGTACGTCAAGCCGGGAAGGACATTGGGGAGGAATGCAGCAAAGCAAACAAAACTCACAACTCGCCTTGAGAGAGTTTGCAGGAGGGGTTTGCTTCCGAGGCAGCCGCTGTCCATCGCGTATAAATTACATCACTTTGGTCGGCCGCTTTTTCCGCTGTTCGGGCTTGAGGTCAAAGTTTAATATGGGTTGTTGGGTGGGTGGGATTGTAGCCTGCTGTTCTGTATGTACTGCGTCCGGCTAGCGAGGTGATAGAGAGTAGGAGAACGTTGTAGGATTCGGATGTTGATACAAGGATGCTACGCTGTGGAAATGGCAATTTCAAGTTTTTATTGAAAGTAAAATATAGGTATGGATTACATACGTCGATATGTACCAAAGTGGCCCTGCATGGTGTCGAAACAATTAGTCCAAGCAGGGACCACCACCCATGGCATCAAACACAACCACCCAGCAACCTTGCAGTAGGAACGTATCCTCCATTAGACCACGTTGCAGGTAGATGTCGTTCGTGGCTACCCTAATTCTAGGGCCCATGGATGAAAGAAAGAAAAACAAACGGACCGCAGTCCAAGAACTGACGAGCTGACGAGGCGCTCGAATATGGGGTATATAAACGCTAAAATCTTAAAAACATATCAAACCAGCTTTTGATCAAAGACGAGTCGGCAACACCACACAAAATGAGAAGACCAGTCCGGTCTCACCTGCGTAGTTCGCACAGAAAGACGGAATGAGGGTGGAGGAGAAGGGAACTCCGGTTCCAAGCATGCTCGCGGATTTCGGTGTGATGATGGGGGCACAAAGAGCCAACTTCGTGAACTCGGATCGAAAAGGGTAAAGGCGCTGTCGTCATGGCATAGTCTGGCATCGAACCACAGATGATGCCGTGGGGACTCGCAGCACAGCTCACACAAAATCATCACCCTGTCCACCGTCGATGATCTTTCTCCAGTGCTGTGGAAGGCACACACAGACCAAGGGGAACGCTTTGATATCCCCGATTGGCGCCGGGGAAACCAAAGGCCTCTGAGAGCCATTGGACACGCCGCTATCCCGTTGTTCGCGATGTCGGATGTCGTAGTCCTCGGCAGTTTCAGGGACGCGAATCCCCGTGGCCCAGCCATCATCCCAGATACCGATCACCTTCAACATCTCACCGCGGTCCAGCGCGAACTCGTCGTCCGCTCGGGGTTGATATGCCCACAAGACCGCGACCCTATCACCCGGGCGCATGTCATCTTGCGAGTAATAGTCTTGGAAGGTCGAGAGCTGCTCCGATTGTCCGCTCGACAATGCTTCGGGGGACGAGTAATTCCCCACCGTCCCTGAACGAGGCGACGTGGTGTCGCTGCCTACGCCGGCCAGGACCGAGTTGCTGGACAGGGAACCCAACCGCTTCCCGGCAGTGGGAGGGATACTCTTGGACATGGCCCCGGGACTCGCCCCATAGCCTTCCGAGTCCGAAGTGTCGCTATGATATTTGCCACCAAAGAAGGCTGAGGCCCGGGAGCGTGCGGATCCAGGAACTTCCCGAAGCGCGGACATGCGTGTGACTCGTCCACCAGGGATCGCAGCGAAGCCTCGAGGACTTCCCTGCTGCTGCATCGAAGGCGAGCCCTTCCGTTGGGGATTGGGCTGGTTCAACCCACTGTCGAGGCTCAAGCGACGCTTTCGTCGCCAGTACACCAGGGATAACATGGCCAGAGCGGCGATGAGGGCGAATGCCGCGACGGCGCCGATCACAACCCCGGCGATCTCTCCTCCCGACAGGCCATGGTGCGCCTCGCCGGCGGAAGCATCGGAGGTCGTGGTGAACAGCGGGGGGAGGGTGCTGGCCGACGGGAGCGTGACGTCTCGGCATCGCGTTCCGGCGTCCGCGTTGACACAGCATGAATCGGTCGAATTTGGCGAGCTCGATCTGCAATAATCACACAGGCCGACCAGGTTGGAGCGGAAGCCGCATTCTTTCGGTTCGTTGTCGGCTCCATGGATACAGCCGACCGTCAGGGAGTCGGCGGGTAGGGCGCACACGGTGAAATCGGAACGGATTTGGTCCAAGTAGTTCTTCGCCTTCTGGGGACACCGTTCGGATGTGAGGATCCTGCCTTCACTCGTCGCCATGGAGGCCTGCAATTGTGTATTAGTAGCGGTTGGGGCTAGAGGAAGGGTAAGAGGACGAACGCAAGTGTCAGCACAGAGCGGGGGGGATTGTTCATCCGACAGGTCGCAGTCCTCCTTGGAGCTCTGGACCAGCCCACTGCAGATGGAACTGGTGGTATACTGGGCGTAGAATTCGTCCGTGTCGGTGAGATTGGCCCCCTCACATCCCAGGTAGTTTACATATCTAATGAGCGGTGATTTAGCGCCGAGCTCGCTGTCTTGGGCCGGAGGCCGACTTACTTTGACCGGACGTATGACCCCAGGACGAAGTCATCCAACGCTTTATCAAAGTCGGAGAGGCTAGTCACGTCTTTCATAAACGGACTGTGCAGCGGTTAGCGGGTTCGGGTTTGTGATAGGGTTGTCAGGATCAAACCCATACAAATCAGTGTGGATACGCGAGTTGGTCGATATGGAAGACGATTTGAAGGCAGGACATTGTTTCGACCCGGACAGCGAAAAGCATTTGGCCATGATGGGCCTCGTCGACCCTATCCAGCGGGTGGCTCGTCAAGCAGTGCTCTCGGTATACGGTTCGTGACCACCCGAAGGCCCACCACAATCAATCGCGAATTCAAGGACGGCTCAGTAGTCGAATTGGCGGACAGAATCGCTCATAGCGTGGCACGGTCTTTTCGCAGGTTGTGTCGTCAATGCGTTGGGTGGTAAACCTCGAGTCGGTTTTGGATGGATGACAGCGGAACGATCGCAACGCGTCCAGCTTTCAAAGGGACCGGTTGAGATGATAAAAGGTCACCAGCCTTAGAGGAATAGGAAAGTGAAAGAGGAAAAAACAAGGTGGTCCAAGCCCGGATCCACAGGAGTGGTGGAGAAGGGAAAGTGAAAAATCAATAAATCAATAAACGAATGACTGGGAAATGTGACGAGTGGTGAGAAGGAAAGACGAAGCACGAGAGATGGGGAAGAGGAGAGAGAGAAAGAGAGAGAGAGCGAGAGGAAAGACGAGAGAGAAAAGAGAGAGAAGGAGATAAAGCCAAGAATAGAAATGAGCAGAGAGAAGGATTGAAAAGGTAGGAAGATTTGACTCGTGTCGATGCTCAGCCTGGACGCTTGATTAGCGACAGAGACTTAGGCAGGTACTCAACACCCCCTCACAGACGAAAAGTGCGATAAACAAGGTCAATCTCCATCCCAATGCAGTCGACTCGCCAGGAACAGGAAATATGGACCACGCGGGTTGAAACTCAGACAGACCGATTGGAAAAGGGGGGATAAAAGAAAAGCGAACTAACCTCGAACTAAAAAAGCACCGGCGTCTGTCCAATCTCTCGACTTCTCCACGGCCCTTACTGTGTCGCACAGGTCTGCTAATTATTATTATTCGGATTCTTATTATCGTTAATTAATTGTGATCTCCAGAAGACTCTCACCGATGAATCGGGTTAACTTGAGGCAATGCAAGTCGCCTAGGTCAATCGAGAAGACTGGATTCGGTGGATTGGATGAGCGATCTCGATCCACTTCAGGCTCGAGACCCTAGATCACCCGTTCGTGCCACCGAACGGGTTCGTCAATCCTGGGATGGAGTACAAGAATAATAATCGAAGTCAAGGCAAGGGTGGTCGGAGGTATTCTTCTGGATCAATCCTCCGAGGTCTGACACCGCTCGCTATATATACAGATCCAATCTGGTACTTTGACAACCCCAACGCCTAATAAACACAAAAGAAAGACAAAAGCAGGAACGCCAACATGATGCCGTCTGATTGGGATTTGGCTGGTCGGTCAGTTGTCTTTCTGACGTGGCGTTTCGACCGATAGCCTCGTCCATTGAAGGGCTGAGTATACAACTCTCTGCTAGTCATCCACGTCGCACCATCGCTCACTGTTGTCTCTGAAATTGTACCGATACCTATCAGAGACCATTTCGGATGAGCGCACCTCGATCAGTGGGACCAGCATGTGACTAGAGTACGAACAGTGGCTGCAGATATTATCGGATATTTTCCACCTTCGCTGTTATGCACTCGGTTTGTTTGACATCCAGATAACTGGCAAACAATCCCCATGCCAGACCACCTGGTCAGGCGTCAATGCCAGGGACGATGGGGATCAAATTACCCATGATCAAGGACAGAAAGCCCGGCAGGACTGGGCCCAAGCTCCCAACATCGGTGTTTCAGTTGCTGCAAGGTCCCTTGCCCAGTCACAGCGAAGAAGCCTCGGCTCCACCCTTCTAAAGACGATCGCTATTTATTGTAAGATGATGATAAGGACAATAATAGTCACTGACTCGGGAAATACAAATTACCGGCCGACGTCGGTTATGCATCTTATGGACGATTGATGGCTTGATTGTCAACATCAGACTATCTTCTTATTGGCGCTTCGAGACCTTCACTTTTGCTCTTCATGCCTTAATCGTCAGGCAGAGATACAAGTAGATCCACTGTTCTTCAGCCTCACGTTCTGACCTTGCTCATGTGGCACTCAAGATAATGAGATCACTTGACTCTCGAAGTGAGGGGAGACTGAATATCATCCACCTTACTCTATGCCGGAGATAATTAATCTCCAAGGCGCATACCCCTAAATTGACCTCGTTATGGGTGTTAATTTCCTGTATGCAAGGACGATCTAGCGCACAAGCAAGACCGAGTTAGTCACAACACTCATCTTCAAAGTCACACTCCAAGCGTCAAAAGGGTCAACCCTGGGTTCAACGATGGACGAGAAACTGATACCCCGCTGTTATGACACGAGGATGCGGGATTATCGTGATCTGGTTGGTAATAATCTGACTATCTCTGTAGAAGCTGTCATACCCCGCAGGCACACGAGTCCCTAGTCAGTCAGCCAGTTTTGCAGTCAGGGACTGTCAGAATAGGCAACTCAGAACTAAAGACAAATCTATACTATCTATCTCAGCGGCATCTTTGTAGATCTAAAGAGGGTGAGGATAATTTTAATACATCCTTAGTATATAGGATGTTTGATACTGAAATATATAGAACCACCGTGGGAGTATACAACCCAGATCAACAGATCATATACCGTTTCCCAAGCACAGATAACCATAATGACAGAACTAATATTACATAGATATAATATAGATATATGTAACCATTATATAGATATAATATAGGAATGTATATGATGAAATGAATCCATGATGGCTCATCGCCACAGGTCAGGTGACCTCAGACGTCATCTGACAGGCAGAGGCGGCACCATTATTACTGTACATTTCCCCGACTTCTCCATCATCCTCGTTGCGCTGCATCGCTGACGGTCTTCATCCCACTCGGTGACGCCAATCCCATCTGCCGTCGGCCCTGCGCGTTCCTTACCTTTCAGATAGATACACATCCACCTTGATCGTCTCTTCTTAGAATCTTATATGGTGACAAGGTCCTCGAGAGACGTCACCTTATCATAACAACCATGTGCAGCTCGGACATGTTCCTTGGCGTCCTAGCCATCTTCTTTCCCCCAGTGGCAGGTAGGTTCCCATACGTCATCTGTTGTGGTCTAAGAGTGGCCCCCTACTCTCATATCCCCCGAAATCATCTAAGATCGGACCAAACTAACCAGAGAACCCACAGTATGGATCAAGAAAGGACTATGCACCGCCGACTCTGTCATTAACCTTGCCCTCTGTTGCCTGGGGTATATCCCCGGACTCCTCCATGCCTGGTACGTAATCATTAGAAACCCAGAGCCCGACTACGACGATCCCAACTACGAGCCGATCCCACGGTCTGGGTCGCGGGACGACGTCGAAGGTGGCCGCGTGACCTACTACTACGTCTCGCACCAGTCCCCGCAGCTTCAACCCCAACGGGGTTATGGCACCGTCGAATCGCAGGGACCACCCGCACAACCTTCTCCCAAACCCCAAAATCAGAACAGTGGTGGCAGCGATGGTGGCGGCCAGGGCAGCAGCCAGGACAACAGTCACCACCATGCCTCGGATGAGGCGCGTCCTCCCCCAACGTATGCGGAGGCGGTGCGGGGTGATCATAAGGTGCAGACCGACGAGTGAGTGCAGGGTATGATCAGAGTTGACCCGGGGGGGAGAGTGATTGGGCCGTCTCTTTTCTCCGTGGGATGGGCGGACCTCGTTCATTGCCCCTCATGTCTTTGCTCTTTTGGGATAGTGGTGATGGGCCATGGGAGCGACCGGCGATTGGCACATGTGTATACGATATCACAGCGGACGAGCTCAATGGGTTTTGATTTCGACGAGCTATGGATTTGACGACCCTGCATAATATTGTCTCGGATTTTGTAATGAATGTTTAGTGTATTGAATATTTTTCGAGAGATTTTCCCGGAGGCAGAAATGAGTTCGCCAGAGACGATCGTGGAGAATTGCCAGCCTCGTAGGTCCATCGGAGGACAACTGGCGGTGGGGGGGAGGAGTTCTTCTTCGAAGCCCGCAGAACCCGCGGACATGTAAATTCCGCTTTCCCGGTGCTGCCCGGACCCCATCGGGACCCCCAACCCCAACAACATCAATTCCACGTCCCTCTCTTCCCCACGACCAACCATCAATCAGCCTCTGGTCGGCAACTCGGGGCTTCCCTTCATATCGGCCATGCAGTCAATGCCACTGCTGTTCCGGCAGTCTCTCCGAGCGAGCGCCAACCTCACCAGAACCCCTCGTCCCATTCGCCCACCTACGTTTCCTTCCGCCATCAGCTCGAAGACATTATTACCGCCCACCACACGGGCATTCTCCGTCTGCCTGCAGCGTCAATTCCGCAGCAACCCCGCCACATATGCCTCCCCCAACGACCCAGACCACCTGAAGGATCAGGAGAAACACGCAGAGCAATCACCGCAAAACGCCGCCGACACCCCGTGGACCGACGCGATCCCGAAACCGGACGTGCTCACCGGGGAGCAACAGCCCCCGCCCGCCGCGGAGAAGGAGTCCCTATACAGATCGACAGAGGAGTCAGGGAAGACGGGCTCTGACCGAACGCACGATGGTGGTCTGCCGTCGTACATGGAGGACCGCAGGTCGCAGTTCGCGAAGCAGTTCAGCACGATGATGGACAATCTGCAGTCGAATGTCTTCGTGGCGGGTCAGCGATTGAACGACCTGACGGGATATTCATCGATCGAGTCTTTGAAACGAGACATCCATAACCAGGGCAAGCACCGTGACCTGACTTGACTACACTTTCAGCCACCTGCTAACCGCCCCAAAACGAACAGAGGACCGACTCCGCTCCGCCCGCTCCCACGTCCGCAGCGCCAAAGACGCCTACGCATCCGCCATCAACCGCCGCTCGACCTCGCAGCGCGAAGTCAACGAGCTCCTGCAACGGAAACACGCCTGGTCGCCCACCGACCTCGAGCGCTTCACGCACCTCTACCGCAACGACCACACCAACGAAGTCGCCGAGAACGAAGCCCAAGAGGCCCTGTCAGCAGCCGAGCGCGAGGCCGAAGAGGCCGCCGCCCAGCTGAGCAAGAGCATCCTGTCCCGCTACCACGAGGAGCAAGTCTGGTCGGACAAGATCCGTCGCATGAGTACGTGGGGCACCTGGGGCCTGATGGGCGTCAACGTGCTCCTGTTCCTGATCTTCCAGATCGCCGTTGAGCCGTGGCGCCGGGCGCGCCTGGTCCGCGGCTTCGAAGAGAAGGTCATCGAGGCTATCGAGAAGGAGAAGTCATTTAATAACGGCAACATCCTTTCTCCTGAGGACGGTCACGTCCCGAAGGATGCGCACTTCTCCACACCTCTTGAAGTTACCGATTCCGAGGAACCTTTCCACACCAACAGTGCCCCAGCTACCACGGACAACGCCCCCACCCCGGAAGCAGCAGCAGCAGAAGCAGCAGCAACACCAGCCGAGACACCCCTCCCCCCAGCAGACAACTACAAAGACGTGCTCAACAACACCGTCGAGCACTGGCGCCGCGTCCTCCACGACTGCTTCAGCGAGCGCAGCATCACCATCACGCAGCGGGACCTCTCGACCGTCGCGCTGCAGGGCGCCGCAGCCGGCGCGGCAGTCATGGGTCTTGTGATCGCACTGATTCGGCCGCGGTGATTGTGCTGACTTAACTGTCGTGATCTGCGGAATGTATATTTGAATATAAGTCCAAGTTTTGGTTGAGTTGTATCAGCGTTGCTTTTCTTTCTTTTGGTTTCTTTTCTTGCTTTGTTTGGTTTATGCTAGAGCCGGAAATGCTTTTGTACAGGGTGATGAAAATAGATATGGATGGATGGATGGATGGTTGGTTGGATGGATAGGATAGATATACCTGTATAAATATGAAGATCTTTTCAACTACATGCATGGAATGGACACTACTTGTAGATGATACCTATATAATACCCATACATCATCTGATTGAATGACTGGATAAACCACCTGAGTGGGTACGATGTGAACGACGTCCACCAGGATCCTTAGGAAACTCTAGTATCAGCCTATGGATATGGTATGTTGTACAAAGTTTGATACTACATACAATACACACACGGAGAGAAAGAGAGAGGATTAAAAATGAACAAAAGAAACTGAACTGCGTAGCGAATATACTATATAGACAAGACAAGACAAGACAAGACCAGACAAGACCAGACAATCCATCCACGTCCGAGATTTACATACATGTGCATTTTCAACGGTTTTCTGAATCAGGCCTTCCATGTCTCCTGTCTGGTGGAGGTGGAAAAAGTCTATGACTTGGAAAGAAAAGAAAAGTAAAAAAAAAGAAAAGAAAGAAAGTCCCTAAACAAACGGGTGGCTCTCTCTGAGGTGTCGTAAAGTAGAGCAGAGCAGAGCAGAGGATTTGTTGTCGAAGGGTACTGAAAACTGACACCAACAGGTTCAGGTTTTTGGTCGCACGTGTGATCAATCGGTTCCATATTAAAACAAAGTTCTCTTTATAATCTTGACAAAGGGTACACTGAGATGTCCATCTAAAACCACAAAAACAAACAAACCTTCTGGTCTCTCCCTCACTTCCTCCGTCTCAACCCCTTCTCCATTTTGCGTTCAGTCAATCGTCGCTCAGCAACCGGATGACGGGCGGTGATACGATGCGAATGCGTTTAACCGATAACGAGGGACTCCTCGTCGGGGAAGCTGTACTGAGGAACCTCCAGGTTCAGGGGAGCGGGACCCTTCCTGATACGGCCGGAGATGTCGTAGTGGGAACCGTGGCAGGGGCAGAACCAGCCACCGTAGTCGCCGGCCTCACCGATGGGGACACAACCCAGATGGGTGCAGACACCTGTAGGGCATGTGTATTAGTTGCTGAACAGTAACACCAGTGGGATGTAAAGTGTCACGAGATAATAGAAACATACCAAGCATGACCAGCCACTCGGACTTCTGGACACGGTCCTGATCGGGCTGGGGGTCACGGAGGGCCTTCCAGTCGTAATCCTCGGCCTCCTTGATCTCATCCGCGGTACGGTGGCGGATGAAGACGGGCTTTCCACGCCACTTGATGATGACCTGTAGACGGAGTCAGTCTATTGGACCCTGAACGATTTGCGACGAGCTGTCGGCGGATGGACAAAGGACGAGAGGAATAGCATACGTTCTTGCCCTCGGGGATGGCACCGAGACCAATCTCGACCTTAGCCTGGGCCAGGACGTCGGCGGAGGCGGACATGTTGACGAGGAAGTCTGTAGACGGATGTGTATCAGCCGAGGGATCTAACAACCTCCCAACCCAGTGCGTCCACCATGTGACGCCTTCCATTGTCCAAAACCACCAATTGCAACTGTATCCCCACAATCCTCCTCTTGATAAGCCTGGGACGATAATCCAATCACTCACCCTGAACAGTGGCCTTGGCGCCCACGGCGGAGGCCAGACCGAGAGAACCGGCCATGAAGTAGGAGAAGACCTGGTTGGAGCGCGGGGACTTCTTGGAAGAGTATTTGCTGAAGTTGGGGATCTTCAGGGTCGACGAGTACTCCTCGGAGGAGCCGAAGGGGCTTTGGAAGGAGGACTTGGAGGCCTCGGAGACTCCCCTCCGCTGTTGGCAGGAGGCGACGGCGGCGCGGGAGGTCGTGGGGAGCTGCTGGCGGGCGCAGGCGCGCAGCAGAGAGCTGGAAGCGGAAGAGAGAGACATGGCGAGAGAAGCAATTGCAGCCGACCAATTGCTAGATCTGAGGGAGGGTGGTCGTGGGGGAGGGGAGGGGGGGAGGAAAACACGGGGTGTGGTGAGGATTTTCGGCCAGAATGGAGATTGGAGGTTGAAGTCGGAGGGCCGGCATCACCCTCAGGCTCAGTTTTCACTAAGCCACAAGCGATCGGAATCAGCGGCCTTCTGATTGGACGAGCCCACCCGAAAACTGCCTTCCTTGATTGAGGACATATATAGGTACTATCTAAGTTCTCTTATGACTAGAATATGGATGGATTCATTATTCAACTATATATTCTTTATATAATTATGTAATTCCTTCTTCTCATTATATACAAAATGCTTTGATAGAGACGAGTGTTGGTGAACTGTTAACGGACAAAAGGCCTGGCTGCTGAGTCAGCCGTCACAGACCCGATCGAGTCTTCCGCCCGAGATTAAACACCATCATTTGAGTCCTAGTGTGCCATTGTCATTCAGAGTCTGATCTGGTTCTTCATCTTAAAACGAAACTGTCAAGATGATGATACGATAAAAGAAACGGATGATAATAACACTAATTTGCAGCACTGCATATATACATGTCATTTTCTTCCAAACTAACCAGCACAACTAACAGCAAACCCAGGTCCAGTGTACTATCTTCGCCAACCAGCGACTCTCCGTCCCAGAAGTCTGACTCCCACCACGAATACCTTCTCAAATGAACAAAAGACGTCGGACAACGAGCTTCGACATCAACCAAGGCCCAGGATATTCAACAAATATAGACGCATATATTCGCTTCCCCAGAAAAACGTCTACTTTGCCCACAACACTCAACCGACCACACCGAACGTCCCTCACAGTGAAACAACGGAAAGTACCAGCGACAAGAACATCTCGCTTCTTCACCATACATCGCGCGCATGATCCTCGAACACTACATGCACGCCGCATACGCAGCCTCCGTCCCGAAACCTGGATAAAAAGCGCAACAAAGAAAGTCAGGGATGTAGACTGGGTTCTGGCTAGGCGGATGTCCGAGGATGGTGTGGGTTATGGGAAGAGGGATGTAGTAGCTATATATGTGGAGCTCAGTGAGGAAGTAAAGTAGGTCTACTACGTAGGCATACCATGTGTATGGAGTTGTTTCTTGATATGGTGGACACTATATCCTCACTAACTGTCATAATGTGAATGAAAATAAAAGAAAAAGGCCAAAAGTCATTTCGAAATGGACACAAACAAAGTTAAGAAATCGAAAAAAAATCGAAAAAATGAAACAAAAGACAAACTCCATAATACTTGGTATATGGGTATGGGACGAAACAAACAACCACAAAATGCAAGTCCATCTACAAAACCCAGATCCGATCCAAACCCAACTCCGCCCAAAGCTCGACAAATGGAAATCTCCTGTTCCCGTGAAGACATATCGATAAGATTGAGTGCAAACCTCTCATAGACCGTGCAGTAGGCTACCCTCCGCGAATGGGCTCTGCGGCGTCATGTCCAACATGGGTTTGGCCGCGTTGCGGTCGCCCGTTGCGACGCCGTGTCCGATTGGCGCTCCGCTTGGTGTCACGGCCAGCTGGGCGGTTCGGGCTAGGAGGCTGTTTGGTATGAAGGGTTCCTTCCCTGGGTACTGGGCGCTGTCGATGGGAGACGTGGGGGAAGAGGGGGCGGTGTATGTTTGGTGGTGTCGAGGGTGGTTGCTCACGCTGCGGGCTGTGTTGGATCGCTTGCGAGTTCGACAGTCTGCTGTTGTCGCTGACGGGAGTTCTGGGACTGGAGGGATAGTTGGCCGTTTCCAGGTCGTTGCCGGTGGGATTGTGATTGCATTAAGCGGGCCATCACGGCTCGTAGCGGCGCCGATTAATGGCATGCCGGGGTCAACCGTGACGGCTCGGCCTTTGCGGGCATGCTGCGGTGGCTCTTGGTAGACCGGCGTCAAGTCGACTAGCGGCTTGCTCTTGACGGACTGGGAGCGTTTCATGAGACTCGCATGATCGGGGGCATGTGCCGACGTCATCGTATTGGATCGGCTGTTGGACCGACTATTGGGTCCGCTGGCGGAGTTGTGCGACGGACGGGAGCTCATGGCCCCGACAAGGCCTTGGGTAAACGCTTCCTCATTCGCCCTCCTTTCTTGTTCTTCCCGCTCTTTCATGGCCCGTTGGCGGACCGTATAGGTTCGGCCCAACAGACCTGAAGACGTAAAAGGAGCCGCTTCAGACAATTGAGATAATGGCGTATCGGCATCTGTCGCGAGCGACTTTGGGAGAGAACAGGGAGGTGGTCCGTGGCCCCGAGCGCTCTTCTTGCGCGAGAACAGCTGCTTGGATGTCGTTGCTTTCGAGGGATCTTGAGACGAAGACGAAGCCATTCCTTCGTCAGAGCTCTCGAAAGGGTTCATCAATGGCTTCGGGGGCGACTTCACTCCACCTCGGGCGTCATCCGTGTCTATCTGGGATTGCCGTTTTTCTTCCGGCCTACCGGCGCATAGTTTGGTCACCAGGTACCAGCTGCGCCAGGCTTGAACTGCCTTGTACCAGGTCTCCGCGACATCCTTGTGGTTGGTCGAGAAGAAGTGCACGAATTTTTCGGTGGTCAAGAACATGCTTGACTTCTGCTGGCTTTTCACTGCCTGGCAGACCTTTTTCGGCGGCCTCACGCTGTCCGCATAGTAACTTGATGTGAGCGAGTACATATCAAAATCGGACAGATGGCAGGTGTTGGTTTGATCTTGGCTCCGCTCCTTCTTGGAGACAGTGATCTGCCCATCCGACCGTAAGGTCACGTAGCGTTTGTCCCACTTGCGCGGGCGTTGCGAGTAGTACATCTGTACGGTCACGTCCGCAGGTGGTTCAGACGAGACACTTTGAGACTCGAGCATAGACAAGGCATCAAGGCTGGCGGGAGGAACGATGATCAACCGGTTCTCTCCATCACTTGCCCACGAGTTCATGACATCTCTGATGTACTCGTATCTGCGCAGCGGTCGCTCCAGCCCAAGCTCTCGGAAGGACTCTACCAATATGTATTTGTGAGGGTCAATCTGGCCAGTCAAAACTTCTGCTGCGGAGAGCAAAAGGTCTTGGGCCGATGTGGATGGGACCACATTTAGTATGAAAGTATGTTTCTTGAACTGGACATGGACTGCCCGTTCGCCGGAATTCACGGCAGAAACGGGCGCATCGATGCCAGGAAACCGGCTCAAGGCGCCAGATTCGACCGGGCTGTTAAATGCGGCATCGCTGTCACTTTGATCATTTGAGAGAGCATTCGGTGGCTTCCTCGACGGCGGTGTTGGTTGTTGATTCTTCGACCGTCGTCGACCCGCTTTAATCTCTTGACTCGACGGCCTGGACCGAGTCCGATCATGGTTGCGATCGTCATCGGGCTCGTTTTCGCTCTCTGTATTCTTACGAGTCCTCAGTCGCACCGTTGGTCTCCGAAACGCCGAAGTGGACGCCGAGGAAATTTGATCCCCTCCAGTCAAACAATCCATCGCATTTTGTCGATGCAGATCGCGAGCGGTTGCAGAATGATCGCCATTATTAGCGCGGGCCCTATTGTGGTCTCCACCACGGTACGGTCTCTCCTCAGTGGCCGATCTCGAATCAATCTTGTTGTCTGCAGCAATTCTGGACCCCACGTCCTCGCTACGTCCTGCAGAGCGCCGGCGGACGGGAGAGTCAACAGTGTCACCACGGGGACGTCCCTGATGCGCGAGATCTCGCGTTCGATCGGCGGAGGTCGGAAGGGGAGGCGGTGGATCGGGAGTCGATTGCGAAGTGGATGTTCTCGGACGCCGATATCGCGACATACTTCTCTTAATGGTGGTGTTCGAGGCCAAAGCGGTCGCGAAATCATCCTGAGGGACGGGCGCATGGGCTCCTGAGCCCGCGGCGCTAGGAGCACGAGACACCGGTGGCTGTTTGGCGGCTTTTCTCACGGACCGGTAGCGGGAAAATTTCATGGGGCCACCACCCTGGCTGCCACCCACACTGTCCTGTTTCTCGCTGGCCATCTTGATGCTGTCCTTTCAACGGTGATATTCATCAAGGTACCAAAAGCATGGTAACGCGAGGCGCGCCGTTTTCAAACAATCCCGTATAGTTGTAGCACAGTAAGGGGGGGTTATTTGAGCAAAAAACCTCCCCACCAGTCCACGTCGCGCCTAATCAGGTTCGACTGTCCAGTATATCCCACCCAACCCAATCTCGTCGAGGGTGCACAGCAAATAAATGGGACCGCTGGCTCGTTGTTCGTCGCCACCAACAAACAACGAGAGCGGAAAGATTGGATAGAAATAACGACGGGCCTTCGTATTCTCCACCCCCCCCTAAAGCCTGCAGGTATGTTTCACTGGCGTTTAATCACTTCATTCTCTCTGGTCAGATCCGGAAGCCAAGCCCAACCAAGGGATATAATGCGTCGAACAACGACAGATCTTGACCAGGGCTGAATGGAATGTGCGGAGACGTCGACCAGCGGTGGACAGACTAGTAAGGAGTGGAGACTGGAGCAAGAGATCTGTTGTGTAATGGAACGAAAGGGAGTTTGATTCTTGCAAATGCGCGCCGTGCAGCGACAGAAAGGGAGGCTGCAGCAACTGCACCTGGATCCAGGCAAGGGGGTGAGAGAATTCGGTTGGTTTTTTTTTTCTCTTCCTTTTGACGCATTTGGGAGCGGGCGTAGTGGAATTTAACTAATTTATGGGCAAGTATGATGAGAAAGGGTCAAGACTCTAGGGAAATTGTCCAGACCAACTTTGGTCCAATCCGGGAGAGGATTCCGGGGAAGAGGAAAACCTGCTTAACGGCCAGACTTGCGAATTGCGACCAACCTAAGTGGCGTGGGATCCAGATACAACAAACACTAAGGGAAGGAAGTTGGTAGGATTTAGTTAGCGCCAAGTCTTGGTGAGATCCATTCCTGCATCCCATTCATTTCGTTAGCCTGATTACCAGGGTTAACTAAATACACCAGCCTCGAAGCGTCCAGTGGGGCTATAACCACCCGTCTTTTCCATGAACAAAATCTCATAGGATATAGCCATATAACAAGGGATAATCAAATAATATAAAGAAGAATCAAAAAGGGTCAAGTCGATATACACAAGCCACAAGCCACACGCCACGCCGGTTGGGTACCCACCTCTTAGACAATGCCACCAAGTCAATTTATGCTTTCCGTTGGAGCTTATGATCACTGGCTAGTCCAGGACGGGGGGGGAGAGAGAATGGAATGATTATTCTGGCCCATTATGCATTCGTTGGTAGGTGTGTAAACTGTGTATCAATAGCAACATCGATGATCAACTTTTGTTGTCCTGTCTAGTGTTTTCCCTTCCATGGTGCTGTGGCGATTCACCCAGTTTGAGTCTTATTTCTTGTAGGCTCCCAAGTGTTTTTTCCTGTATCCCTACATTAGCCTCCCCCGCCCACTATGCAGCGCCAAGTCACTCGCAGGAGGAAACTTACCACCATGTCACGAAATTCACTGTCCGTACATCAATCCCCATGTCTTGGAGCCCCTTGGTCGAGAGGTGGGTATCGTACGGCCGTTGCACGGACGCATTCGGATCGTTGCCTTCTTTGTTTCGGACCATCCCGACGAGCGACAAACCCAGCACCTCAGCCAGTTTTTCGCAGATCTCATACTTGGTCATGCGATCTTCAGACGAGAACTGGAGGATCTTGGGCAGATGCTTGGTCGTCCGTTTCTCCTTGACGGCCTTGAGGTATTTGATCACGATGTCGCGGCAGATTCGGGCGACATCCTCCGTGTTGGTGGGGTAGCGCTGCGCCCAGTCGTCCATCTTGATGCCCGCGTTTTCATCCTGGGCCTTCTCGATCGTGTCGATCAGCGTGTTCACCGCACTCTCGGAGTTATCCTTGGCGGCGCCGTACAACACCGGCACGCGCAGAACGACGCCCAGCCCCGTCTCTTTGGTCGCTTCCAGGACGGCGATCTCCCCATCCCGCTTCAGCTGCCCGTAGAGGTTCGGCGGCTTCGTTTCCGCGTCAGCTTCGTAGGGTGCATCTCCTTCGGTTCCCGGGAAAACGTAGTCCGTCGAGATGTACAGCAGGAAAGCTCCCCGGGCCGACGTTTCTTCGGCGAGGACACGAGTGGCGTCGACGTTAATGCGGCGGGCGAGCTCGGGGTTCTTTTCGCACGAATCGGGAGAGCGGTCCGCAGCACCTTCATTCCCATGGAATTAGTATACATTGTTGTGGGTTGGGTTGAGAGGTAGTCTCAACGTACAGTGGATGACAATCTGAGGCCTGGAGGGTACATGATTAGCACGGAAGAGCACGGCAAGCAAGAAACAAAACGACTCTCTATATCTTGGTAGACATAGATAAGCCGGAGGTGGTATGGGCTAACTAAAACTACTTACTTCGCATCATCCAGCAGAGCCCTGATCTCCTCCGGCTTTCCGAGATCAGCCTTGAGGATGGTTGGGGGGTTAGCTCTGGAGTAACCCTGGCCGACAGCCAAGCATCCCGAATGCTTGAAGGTATTCAGTACTTGTCGGCCCAGAAGACCGGTCGCTCCGGTGACTAAAGCAATGCTCGACATGATTTCAGGGTATGTTTCTTCGGAGGACATGGTGTGGAGGGGGAGCTCTGCTTTTTACTGAATTTGAGCTTTGCTGCGGGACCCGGTAGTGACGTAACAGCCGTTCTTCTGGGCCTACGTTTCAAGGTTGGGAACGCCGGGACCAAAACCGGATCGGGTGGTGTGGTCACTGAGTAATGGAAACCTCTGCAGGTTGATAATGAGAGTGATTATCTGGTGGAGATGGAGCAAACGAAATGATGCTTTAGTTTTGCTGTTTATGAGAGCTAGTCAACCCCACCGGTGAGGGGTTGATACCATGACGCACTAAGACAGCGATTACATCCAACAATAAGTGTCACGACACTTTTGGGACATAAGTCGCTCGATAACAAGTGCGACATTAAACTATATATACGGGTTATATTGGAGGATAGGGGGGTTGTTTTCTGAAAGCGACCGGCGTGCCTGAAGATCCCTCGTTAACCTTTATGGGCTTTAGTGATCTGCCAACTGGCCAGAATTCAATTCGACGGCCGCCTGGCGAGCGTGGTCTGAGAGCAGAACTAGTGGAATAGTGAATAATATAGAACTTAGATATAATTTTGTGTTTACACTGAGCTTCCATAAGTATACATGTTCCTCTATAATAATCAGTATGGGGTCAATTTTTAGGCCGTGAAGACTGAAAGTAGAAAGATGCCATGGTAGACGGATGACTTTAGGGTTGATACGGAGAATAGAGTTCGCCTTACGCTCTCAACTCCTCCACAATCCGACCGCGCGCAAAGATCCCATCTTGGTATATTATATTTATCACATTGATCGGTAGGTAGACCCTTGCATATGAGGGATAACTTATGAAGCACAGCTCTGATTAAAGCACAGCTCTGATTAGATAGATATATACATTAGGATCTCGCTCTCGATCAGAGCTAATCCTGCAAAAACAAAGATCAATGCGAAGATGATATAGTGTCCTGTGGCATGCAGTGAAGGAGCTTCCTGTGATCACAAGATAGATCATGTATGTAGAGGACGTAATAGATACGCAAAGTTATAGATGAGCCATGCATAATACAGAGTTAGTGATAAATTACATGGGTCGTCGCTAAAACCGGAATCCGTTATAATGATTCATACTCCTGGGTGTATGCATGGAAAATGCCACAATTCCAGAACAATCACATATCCTGAGACATCGCCCACAGCCACAGCTACGGGACCGAGTAACACCAACAGCTGGCTGCAGAGTCGCACGGGGCGAGGCTTACTGTCTCCAACTGCTCAGCTGTATAAGCTGCAATTGGCCCGAGATTTTCCAAGCCAACAAAGAGCTACGATCTCTGATAAAGGAGCTCCACTATGAATTATGTCAGATCTAACACACCTTGTCTCGGCCGCTTGCATGGTACTTGGGTTGAAGGTGCTCAGTGGCGATGGTAGCAAGTACTCCAGCTGTTCCTGATCTATTTATCTCCGCCAAGTTGATCTCCAACCCGAGACTGTGGCGTACCCGGTCTTAGATCTCGATAGCTATCAAAGGATCGACGGCAATCTTGGCGGCTTGTAAAACATCCATGGCTTCCGAGCTTGCCGTGTGCTGCATGATCAGTCTGCCCAGCTCTCGGCAAATGGTTGCTTCGGTCTCAGGGTCATCGGGGATAGCAGGATTTTGCTCGATCCTGGCCGGCAGTACCCTGGTCTGGTCATTGGTTGCGTTCGGTGTCTTGAGCTGATTCGATGTTACGGTATATCGCGTAGCGCATGTTGCGTGTCCTGGACGTGCGGACGGTGGAGTCCATATTACTTACTGGGTATGGTCACAGATGGGGGGAAAACCAGAAGTGGGGATGTGATCAGTTGACGCATGAAAGTGGATTGGATCTTCCAGACCGACATTTGCAGGTCTAACGGATACATCTGAGCTCCCATCAGCCAAAGAGGTAGACGAGTTGCTTTAAGTCTGGGAGACCAACTGGCGTGGTATACGTTATGACGGTCTATGTCAGTTGATTGTTGACAATGTGTTACATTGTCCATGTCTTTCTTGTCTAAAGAACGAATGTAGACTGGGAGAAAATATAATCACTATGGAAGAAATTCATGAGAATATGATCCTGGCCGAACTAATCATGTTTATACTTAGAGATTAGCGTGGTGCAGCCAATGGCATTATTAAATGACCAATGAACCGAGAAGACAGGTATCTCGAAGTGTGCCATCCGCACAACTACTTGGAACCCCCGGCGGGGGAATCAACTCATCATAGGTAAGTAAACGGATTTTAAACGCCGGTCGAGAAGATAGCTCCGACGGGATGTCTTCTTCTTTCCATCTGGTGGTATCCGGCAGCCACAGTTCAAACATCTTAGCTGAAATCATGGCCAACGGTGAAAATACAGCATCCAGCTCTTTGCCCTCTTTTAGCTGCTCTCCACGAAGACACAGATACAAATTAGTCAGACCCTTCATATTTGCCAGAATCGCACAGTCGTTCACCCAAAGGTCGTATCGGCGAAGAAACATTTTGTATGTATCTCGTCGAGACATTCTCTCGAGCGTCCAATCCAGCTTTAAAGTGCGAATGAGGTTGAAGCGTGACGAGGGCACCGAGTACGACATCGATCTCACGTCTTTGATATCATTAAAGTCGAAGACGTTGTCTTTATATAGTAGAGGGACAGTCTCAGAGTACCTGCATTCGTCAACAAAGTCCTGCGGCCTTTTCATGTATAGATAGGCGAATGGGCATTATCTTACACCGTCCGACACACTTGCAGCAACGACAGCCGGCCAACGGCCTTCAACCTGCCTCTCAAAGTTCGCCCATTCATATCCGTATCAATTCGGCAGTGAAGGTCCGTCGCCAGATGACAACCATTGCATTCGAGACCCAGCAGTCGGAGTTTGGTAGGCTCACAACCGATATGCCAGCGGTGGTCACTCAAGCACGCTTCCCAGATCTTCAGCCGGACATCGTATGGAAGCCGACATAAAGGCGACTGTTGTTGATCGTATGTCTGTTGGGTCACCGTCTTGACCACAAATGAGATGCTGGGTTCACATTTTGCCTTCTGGTTACGTTGAAAGACCTTTCCCATGAGACTAGTAGGCTGTTGCGGCTGCTGATGGACTCTCACTTTCTCAATTACCTGGGTTTCATTGATGCCTTCCGGTAGAGGGATGGTAAGTGCCCGTGGACGTCTGGTTGGCGCTTGCTGGGAGTGGAGGATAGATGAAGATGTTGTTTGGGGATGCTTGTCTGTAATTGCAGCCATTTTATGTCACAGCATTTTCAATATTCTCATAAACCAAAGACCGTGGATTACAGAGTAGACTTCCACATAATTATATCAAAGGTATAACACGTGTCAGCCTCGTCAGGCGTCCTTTTCCATCATATAATTGCTGCCTAGTTGGGGGCGTTGAAATTAAGACATAAACAAAACATGTGCTGCCAGTTTGAGCATCCTGTTCTATAGTCTCCTGGAAAGATGAGATTCTCCGAGGGAATAGACTCCACGAATTGAAGAATTCATAGAACGTCAGTGGTATATAGAAAGTACATGCCTGAGGCAGTAAAGATGACATAATCACTGGCCCCTGCGCGGGTGGGACTTGGCTCGCACAGACTCGATCGGTTGCCATGCGCTACGGCCTGTTGTTTCCCGCGAACCATGGGAAAGTGCGGATTCGACCATCGGATGCGATCTGTTAGTATTTGGGTTCACCCACTGTTTCCACTCTACAGATCTATCCCCGATTGCCCAAAAGTCGCTTCATGCGACTTATCCAGCTCAGCTTGAAAGGTTGACTGTTTGGTCATAGCTAGCTGGCTGGCTGCGTGGGTCGTCGTTTGTATTTTTGCTTTCATTTTCCATTTTTGCATCGCCCTTGAAGGACAATTGGGTAGGCGACACCGATCTCTCGCGAACCATGGCGGACGATATGGCAAATCATTACCAGATGCTGGAGGAGTTGGGAAGTGAGTTCGATAAATTGGAATCGTGGTCAATTGCAGGAACTGATGCGAGCGACTGTTGCAGGTGGGAGCTTTGGCACGGTATACAAAGCCATTGAAAAAGCGACGGGGGAGATTGTTGCAGTGAAACACGTACGTGAACGCGATATGCAATCCGGTTTTCAGGAAAAGCAATAAGACTGACTCTAGAACACATGACTAGATTGATCTCGAGTCGAGCGAAGATGATATCCAAGAGATTCAGCAAGAGATCTCCGTTTTGGCCACATGCGCTAGTCAATACGTGACACAGTACAAAGCGAGCTTTCTTCGAGGACACAAGTTATGGATTGTCATGGAATATCTGGGCGGAGGATCGTGTCTCGATCTGGTAAAAGCAAACCGACCTGTCTGATGCAGGATCCATCGCTAATGTGGATACAGCTGAAACCCGGGGTCTTTAACGAGGCCCATGTCGCGATCATCTGTCAACAGCTGCTACAAGGCCTTGAATACTTGCATAGCGAAGGCAAAATCCATCGGGACGTTAAGGCGGCCAACGTACTCCTCTCGCATACCGGGAAAGTGAAGCTTGCGGACTTTGGGGTGGCGGCACAGCTGGTGAATATCAAATCACAGCGAAATACTTTTGTCGGGACCCCGTTCTGGATGGCACCAGAAGTAATCCAGCAGGCTGGATACGACTATAAAGCAGATATTTGGTCTCTAGGAATCACTGCCATCGAGATCATCAATGGGGAACCGCCGCATGCGAGTACCCACCCGATGAAGGTGCTCTTTTTGATTCCCAAGGAGGCCGCTCCTCGCTTGGAGGGCAACGAATACAGTAGTGCCTTTAAAGATTTCATCTCGCAGTGCTTAACGAAGGACCCCGACCGGAGACCCAGCGCGAAGGAGCTCTTGAGGCACAAATTTATTCGCAATGCGGGGAAGACTGAAGCGTTACAGGAACTCATCCAGCGGAAGCAAGACTGGGATGCAGGACGAGGCGTGAGCCGCAATGTCAAATACTATGCCGAATCCCTGTGCGTGTTCCTAGGCCATTCTGATGAGACGTCGACTAACAAAACAACTTTGGCAGAAACACGATGACCAACTTGCAGGACGATGACGATTGGGTTTTCGACACCGTTAGAGCACCGACAATGAAGATAGCCGAGGACCCGGAAGACATATTCCGTGAGCCAGAAAGCCAAAATCTTGTATACGACGAGACCTCCGAAACTTCCGAAATGATGGAAAGCTTGCACATCTCCAACAGCCCGCCCGTTGCACCTAAGCAGGTTCCGAACTCGACAGTGCGGCGCATTCCGGCTCCCGAACGGATCCCTTCGATCAAGCGACCTCAAAAAAAGCGACGATCCAGCGGTTTCAAACAGCCCCTCGGAGTTGACTTGACCTTCGGCAATAGTCCATCGGCAGTCCGCCCATTCCGTCGCGTTTCCGACAAGGCACCGCTGAACGCAACTGACAGTCACTATTCGCCTCCATATTCTTCCAGCAATGGGGAGAATGCTAGTCCCAACGCCATATCCACCGAGGGGAACAGTAAAGAGGCGTCTCTAGGCCGTCGGGCGTACAGCAAAGCTGTAGGGATGGCTTGCCAAGAAGTTCTGGGGACAACTGGGGATCAAGACAAGCGCGAGGCGATTTCGCGGCTGGCAGAAGCTTGGAGTGACCTGGAAATGGTGGACCCCGAAGGACTTTTCCACATCCTCAGGGTCACCAATGAGAAGCTTCAAGCGTAAGTGGTTCTTCTTCTGTTTACCTCCTGTTTTCCATTTTTCTGGTTTTCTACTGGTGTCCTCCATTAGCGCTCTTGTCCTCTTCCCCAACCATCTGCTTCTAACGATTTGCTAACACTTCTTGGTCCAGTGACACCAAGCTGTCAGGTCTCGTTCCACAAGCTCCACCACCCGAATCTCCACAGAAGCCTCGATTAATTTTGGCACAAAACAACCCACACCTAAAAAGCCACAAGCGGCGGCAGTCGACAGCTACGGTTGAGCCTAACCTGCAACCGGCGCAGCTAGCCAGCCTACCGGGCCAGCAAGTTCCTGGAATGGAGCACACCAAGCAGCTGTCGGATGTCCTCTACCAATGTTGGTCCGAAGGCCTTCGCAACCGCTGGGCTGGGCTTTGAATGACACTTTCACTTGGTGAAGAGCATCCTTCTACTTTTCCTCTTTCCCACATCCCTTTTCTTCCATTCGCTGTATAAATGGTCTATGTGGCGTTCGTTGTACTATGTTCTTTCCCCTTGCTTTGCACTCGTTTCCCGTCCTTTTCAGCTTTTGATTGATTACTAGCGTTCGCTTGACTGTTTCTTGATGCACCTGATAGGGTTCTTATACGTTCGTTTTCCTGCGTCTGTCTTTTGGAGTTGGTTGCTGATGGCTGGCACCCCATGGTTGATTCCCCCTCTGCCAACAGTATAGCATGACCCGTACTCTGCGGCCCTGCGGGTCTGCTTGCCCACATCTTCTAGCCGTTACTGGTCCCTCTCTTTTCCATGCTGCGATATCTTTGGCGAGGACCCGGGTCTGGAGTTTGCATTTGACTCTGTTTGTGATGGATTGCTGTCATGGGCTTTGCTTTTCTTTTGTTGATAGATTTGTCCCCTGTACATTTTCTTTTTCATCCCCCTTTGCGAATATTGGCTGGGATAGTCGTGTAATTATCATGATCTACTTTTTGTACGAATGTGTGTACGGACATAGATACCTAACAAGGCAGAGTGATGGTCCAAGACGGCCCTGCGAATTCTTTGGTAGGCAGATAGCTTCCAATATAGCTATGCTCTTGGTAGTAGCAGGAACCTTTGAACATGTCATCCCTGCTATTTTCCAGATATTCACCCCCGTCCATGTACGACCGTTATATAATCGATGATTGACATCCCTACTACCCTGTCAGATAGGGCTGGTGATCCACCACGAGGTGTTCCATGTGCGGCTGTCAACCACCTGCAGACAGACACTGACTCGGGTTTAGATCTAGCGGTCAAGCAGGGGGTTCTCAATCGGTGCAACCTCAGTAGATGTTGTCTGCTGTAGAGAACTCGCACTCCTTCCATAATCGACCTAGCAACGCCGAGAGAACTCCATTCCCCATTTTGGGAAAGGATTGTTCCCAGCAACGGTGAAAATCTCCGAGCGGCATCGCATCTAAGTCAGTCTACTACCACGAACTATTCCCAGATCATCCTGCAAGGAATATGCAATGAATCATCTTAAAGATGGATCGTCCGGTGGGATTATTATTAGCATCAACACTTCCAAGTCATCGACTCATCATACTAATTATAATACTCAATCTTAAATAAAATCAAGAAGAACCCGCATGAAACGGAGGTGAGCAGATCGTGCCCCTGAAAGGCCGGCCAGAAACTGGAGGCGGAAGGGATTCGCGCTCGACCCGCTCCGTCAGCAGAATCCTCTCTCCCCATCGCTCCTCCTTCGTCAATTAAACGGCCCTTACCGGCTCTTCTGGGTGATTACTACGGTATTAATTACCCTTTGGCCCTTCTAGGCGGGGAGACGGAAGCTATCTCGAAGACGGAAGAGGTCAAGAATGAGGACTAACCTGTTTGTCGTCTAGTTCAGTGATGCGTCTCCTGGCCCAGATTGTTTAATTTCTTCGCTGTCTCCTCTTCTCTGCCGCTCTCGACTACATTCCTTTCTTTTATTTTGACCCCCTGACGGCCTTCTTCTTCTTCTTTTCTCCATCCTCGACTATTGGCACGTTTCTTCCCCCGTTTCTCAGCTAGAGTTGAATGTTGTCACCCTTTCACCTCCTCGTCTCCCTCGACCAGTGAACCCTTGGTCCGTCATGGGGGATTCCCCGGGAACGGGCGAGCCGGGAACTGCGCCGGAAGCGTTCCAGCCATCCAAGTCGTCTTCACCTGACCAGAACCAGAACCAGAACCATGACGCCCCGAATCATCCGCCACCGTCAAATGATCTCGCCAATGATTTTGATCTCCAAAACCGCGAGCTTCGCCGACAGAAGCGATCGTCTCTTCCTGCTCGACCTCACGCCGCCGCTCGTCACAGTAAAAGGTTGACCTTGAACTTTCCCATCAGCATCCCCCCGGATTTGCTCTCAGAACCGAGTTCTGCGTCTCCCGGATCGATGACGCCAATCGGTCGTTCGTCCGCCCACCAATCGCCGGTGCCTGTCGGCAGCCCGCCGCTGGGCTTGGATGATAAGGATGATGGATCGGGGATCTTGACCGCCATCGCATCCCAAGAACGGAAGGTCCTGGAGCTCAAGGAGGAGTTGCAGCGAGCGGAAACCGAGCTGGACTCTTTGAAGAAGCAGTGGGCGCAGTCGGAGAAATCGAAGAAGCGCACGGAGATCAACTACCGCGCGGAGCCGCTGGTGCCGTTGAAAACGCCCGACCAGGTGATCGGCGACCCGCTCGCCCAACATAACCGGGAACGCAGCGGAGGGAGTGTCGACAGTCCATCCGCGACCCAGGCGAGGCTCAGCCGGGAGCTGGAGCGCCGTCAGAGCCTCCGCTCGGCGACGAACAAGGGCACTACCATCTCGTCGAATGGGAGGCGGGTGTTTCAGGGGTCGCACGCGCGGACTTTGTCTCTACTCTCCGCCGGCTCGGGCCCTACCAGCGGTAAAGCGCCTGGATCTGAATCACCCAGGGGCCAAGGAGAGGCGGAGCGGTTGGGTCGGCCTCCGCGGTCTGCGACCTTGCCATCCCTTGAACGCATGCCTGTGGCGATGGGTGATAAACAGGCCCAGGACGCGATGTCGCAGTGGGGACAGACCTTGCCTCCCCCGTCGCGGGAAATGCTCATGCGAACGGGCAAGCAGATGGCGTCCGACCTGAGGGAGGGACTCTGGACATTCTTGGAAGACATTCGACAGGCGACCGTCGGGGAAGAGGGAATCAACGCGACCGAAACGAGAACCATGCGGTCGTCCAGCTCGAAGTCACGGAGCAGAGACCGGTTGTCGGTCCAGGGAGACCGGCCGTCACGGTCGTCTTCGACGTCACAAAGCAAGGGGGCGGGGGCGAAACTTTCCGGTAAAGACTCGAAATCGGTGGACCTAGATATGTTGTTCTGGAGTGAATTCGGCATTGATACCCCTGGGCAGACGTCCCCGAGAGCACAAGAAGCGTCCAACAACCAAGACGGCACGACCGACCCCGCCGCGTCCAGTCCACCCGACGTTGATGATAACTGGGACGATTGGGAATCGCCGCAGCCGAAGAAGACGCACACCCCATCATCCAGCCACTCCACCTTGGCCTCGAAGCACGATCGGTCACCGACGACTCAGAACAGCAGTCCCCGGACTAGCACAAGGTAAGTTTTGGTATCTGTGCGCTTATGCAATTCTGGACCGTGTCGACCGAGATGCTGATTTGTCTAGCTTGGGCGATTGGCGCGCCACCCAGGATGCCAACATGTCCGATCCCAATGGTTCCGATGGAATCCCCTGGCCCGCCATCACGAAGCTGGCGCCCTCGAAGCTCACCCGCACCGCCTCGAACCTGATGGCGGAGTGGGAGCGCAGTCTCTCGCAATCCCCGGAAAGCGGGCACGAGAGGAGCTCTTCACTCGATAAGGACCACAAGAACGACTAGAGTCCACGCCCCCTTTCTTTTCCTGCTACAACCATTTGAGCGCATTTTTATCTCGGCTCTCGGTGCTACTGTAAATATATGCACCCGAGTAGCCTGCACGATCTACCTTTTTCATTTCTTGGTGACCGGATTTCCCTGGACATGAGACAGTACGGAATAACGCAGGGTTTATGATCGTTGATCCGAATACCCTTTATGATCACGCTTTTGACTACTTTACCCTTACGATCCTTGATGTCCATTTAACTTGTGTTTGGTCTGATTTACTTTTCTTTACTTTTCTTTACTTTTCTCTTCGATGACTTGGATGTTTACAACATTCTGGAATGTATATTTAAGTGTAGTTCAGTTAGACATTTTCAACCGAAGAACTTTATTTCTTTCCAAATCTATTGCGGCCTAGAAAGCCACCAGGACAATTTCTCCGTATGCAATCAATTCGGTGATTATAGTAGGATTGGTGGCGATATCGGTGTCTTCCCGAGAATCCTCCGGGATGTCACGTGTCATTCTGCGTCCATGGTCCGTCCGGCCCGCAGTAAATAAAATTGCGACAAATTCGCCCATCTCCGCAAAACCCCCGGAGATCACCAGCTTCGTCATTCTTTGGCGCTGTGTTTTGCGAGCTTTCCATCTTGGTTGCGTTTTGCATTTTTTTACTCGAGAGTTCTTCTTTGATATTTCCGGATCTCTCTGAAAACAGCTGAAACCCCGTTACTCGCCAAACGAAGAGAGAAAAAGACAAAACAAATAGTCAGCGCACGTCGCCATGAGTTTTCCTGGAATGACCTCGCCCGTGGGCATGGGTGGTGCCGGGGGTGCTGCCATGCCTGGGATGAGTGAGCAAGAGCAGATGATGGTCAAGTCGGTGAGTTTTGTCAAAAGGATTGCTATATCTATTCGACCGGCAGGACGCTAATCTCCAATGTATAGATGCAAGCCGCCATGGAGTCGTGTCCGGTGAAGACCGTGATGGCCGGCGGTATGGGTTTCGCACTTGGTGGTGTGTTTGGCTTGTTCATGGCCAGTGTATGTCTTCTCTCCTACCCCTGATCTCCCTACGCGTGTGCTCTTGACCAGACAGCTAACGGACCGCCTCCACGACAGATGTCCTACGATTCCTCCTTCACCCCACAAGGCAAAGCCATCATGGACCTCCCCTGGAAGGAGCAAGTCCGCCGCGGCTTCAAGGACATGGGGACCCGCTCGTGGTCGTCGGCCAAGAACTTCGGTATCGTGGGTGCGCTTTACTCGGGCACGGAGTGCTGCATCGAGGGCCTGCGGGCTAAGAACGACCTCACCAACAGCGTCAGCGCTGGGTGCATCACCGGTGGCATTTTGGGCGCCAAGGCTGGGCCTCAGGCTGCGGCTGCTGGGTGTGTTGGTTTTGCGGCGTTCAGTGCTGCTATTGATGCTTATATGCGGATGCCGTCGGAGGATGATTGAACTGCTAGAGTGGTGTGAACCAATCCTTTTTCTTGCATGAATGGGATTGGTGGTGAAGATGACTGTAAGAGATGTGGAAAGGGGCTGATTGTCTGATTATACATTGGCACGGCGTTGACTTGTTTTGGGATAGAAGTGGCAGCATTGTGGCGTTATGGGTGTTTATTTTCTGCTGGGGTCTGCTTTGGCTGGCTCTGGCTTTCTGGCTCTCAACCTTATAGCTAATAGGTTTGAGGGCTGGTTTTGTTGTGTTGGTTTGCACATGGGACTCACAACTCTTCTGTATAGTATCTTGTTACATATTAGATTTAGATGTACGCACAAACAAGTGATCTTTGACACATCCATTTATTGTATAGCCTAGCATGGGCTCCAGTGGCAGTTTACAGCAACCACAGAATAGGAAAATTAGAATTGGAACCCCAGCACATTGCTTTCACTCTCGAGACCAGCAACGCGCTTCATGATGGCCTTGACCGGCGCCAGATCTGTTAGACCAGCATAATGCGCGAGCGTAGCCACCTTCGACTCCAATTCCGACCTGTGAGCAAATAGTCAGTATAGCCCATGACACTGGCTACTAGCCATCGTATGAAACAAGGCCTACCAAGACAACGTATCCCCCGGATCCCCCTTAACCACATCCACCTCCTCCGTATAGGAATCCCCACCCTTCGTCGTAACAGTAACACACCCCGTCCACTCCTCCGGAAACCTCCCATCAATCCGCTCATCCAGCACCATCTGCACCCTCGTCTGAAACTCCCGAATCACCCCATCCCGCAGCGCCTCCTCCGTGAAATCATTGATCGACGCCCGCCGATACTTCGCCGCAACGCCCAGCACAAACCCCATCGAGAACTTGCTCTGATGCACCGTCTCAGCCTGCTCGCTCATCGACAGCACATTAATCCCAGCCTGGTACATGCGCGCCACGACGCTCTCGATATCGCCGATCTTCACATCATGCGTCTCGACGATCTTCAGCAGCGCGTCTACGCTGGGATGCGTGTGTCGGCAAGATGCGTGCCACTTGAAGCTCGACTCTAGCACGGAGTATTTCTGCCCCAGTAGGGCGTCGATTGCTGTTGGGATAGTCGCTCCTGATGGGACGAGCGAGGCTCCCATCCCCCGCTTTCCCTCGAGAACGTCGCGCGGGCCGAGCAGGTCCGCCTGCGCTGTGTACGCCGCGAAGATCCCGTCGAAGCAGGCCTTGCCGGTGTGCACTTGCTTTGAGTGTGTCGCGTCGAGTAGGAACTGCCATAGTCCGGCGGCTTGCGTTCCGGCTGTGCCTAGTGCTGAGAGCGTCTTGTCGGTGTCGAGGTTGAGGAGCTTTGCTGCTGCTGCGGCGGCGCCGAGGGTTCCTGCTGTTGCTGTTGAGTGGAAGTTCTACTGTCTGTTAGCTAGATACCTGGCTTATAGATACCGTACGAATGTACACCACGACGGGAAAAGAATGTACATACCTGGTAATGCGTCTTCCCAAGATACTCCCCCGTCCGACAAGCAACCTCATACCCAACCACACAAGCAGTGATGAACTCCTTCCCAGTCGCTCCCTTCTCCTGCGCTACAGCCAGCGCCGTGGGGAACACAACCGTTGCCTTTACACAAATCAGCCACGCCATTCATATATAGATATATTCTCAACCTTTCCCCAACCCGCAGAAGAACGCTGGGAATAGAGAAAACCCACCGGATGCACAATACTACAATTATGCAAATCATCCTGCTCAACAACATGCGACGCCGCGCCATTCACAAGCGCCGCAAACGCAGCACTGCTTGTCCCCCCGCTGGCATCTACAATCTCGCTCTTGCCAGACGCGGGGCCCATCTGTTTGCTGAAGGCTGCTATCGCTGCTATGGCGGGGTGGTGGCGGCCGGCGATGGCGCAGCCGATCCAGTCGACGAAGAGGGATTTGGTGCGTTGGATGGCTGCTTCTGGGAGGTCGTCGTATGTGAGTGTCGTGCACCATCTGGCGAGGTTTTCGGTTCGTGTTGGTGTCATTTTCTTTGGTTTGGTTTGCTTGAGTTGGGATGTTTTTGGTTTGGGCTGTTTGGTAGGGAAGTACGTGTTGGAATATTATGTTAAGGGCGTGTTCAGTGTAGTAGTAATGTAAAAGGTGTTGAAGTTCTGTTCCCTGTATTCAGTCAATCCCCGGATTCGAGGCTATAGTTACTACTCCGCATGGAGGCGCGGGGCGCATCAGTGGGGTTGATAACGGGTATAGAGAACCCCCCACGCAGCCGATATCCGTGCCGAGGTTACAATTACGGTTCTGTTGAAGACGGATTGTCATACTCGCACGCATGCAGTCAAATCAAATTGCTATGTACAGTAATGATCACATTGAAACGTTCAGCGTGAGTACGGCAGCTGTCGTAACCGTATTGGTTGTGTCCAACCGTCTATAAACTCTTTTTAAAAGACTTAATGCTTGTTTAAGGAAGCACAATGTACTTCTCAAGGTGCTTGGGAATGGCATTGCGCAACCCCTTGTTCTGCAGCCACGTGTCCGAGAACAGGCGATCCGCGTACCGGTAAGCACCATCGCAGAGGATGGTGACGACCGTGTTGCCCTTGCCGAGCTTCTCCGCGACTTCCTTCGCGGCGACAACGTTGAGCGCGGAGCTCGCCCCCAGGTACAGACCTTCTTCGTCCAGGCAGCGGTACACCATCTCAATGGACTTCTCGTCGGCGATGGTCAGCGAGCCGTCCAGCAGGTCAACATCCGGCGCCAGGTTGTCCGTCACACGGCCCTGTCCAATACCCTCGGTGATGCTGCTTCCGGACCGCTCCTTCAGCGTGCCTCCACTCTGGATGTAGCTGTGCAGCACACTGCCCGGCGGGTCAGCCAGGAAACACTTGACCTTCCCGTCGCTGGCATCCTTCAGCGCGCGCGTGATACCCGCCAGCGTGCCACCAGTGCCAGTCGCACAAGTGAAAGCGTCGACCTTGCCGCCCGTCTGGGCCCAGATCTCCGGACCGGTGGTGGCAATGTGCGCCTGGCGGTTGGCGGTGTTGTCGAACTGGTTCGTCCAGACGGCGTTCTCGAGCGACTCGGCGTGTCTCCGGGCCTGGTGGTTGTAGTTCTGCGGGTTGTCAAACGCCACCGCGGGGACAGGGTACACCTCCGCACCCAGCAGACGCAGCAGATCGATCTTGCCCTGCGACTGGGTGTTGGGCATGTAGATCACGAGCTTGTATCCCTTCGACCGGCACACGTGCGCCAACCCAATACCCGTGTTGCCTGCGGTGCCTTCCACAACCGTTCCACCGGGCTTGAGCAGGCCCTTCTCCTCGGCGTCTTTGACCACGAATAACGCCGCGCGATCCTTCACACTGCCACCGGGGTTCTGGAACTCGGCTTTGCCGAGGATGTTGCAGCCGGTCTGCTCGGAGAGGCGCTTCAGGCGGATGAGCGGCGTGTTTCCGATTGCTGAAACGCATGTCAGCAATCTCTCGTTCGTTCAATTTCGCTGTTGTTGGGGGAGAGCCTGGTAAGGTGCCAGTGCCGTACCTTCCGTAAGGCCGTTGACATAGCCCTGCGCCTGCGACACTCGCACTGCATAACCAGTCGAGCCCTCTGCGGCACGGAGGGCCGTGGTGCCAAATCGCCGAACACTTTGACGGAACATATTGTCTTGATTTTAAAATCCAACACAGGCACCCCAGAACGCCGTTAGAATGACTGTCTGGGAAAGAAGGAAGAATGGATGGACAATCATCGATGTTGGGGAGCCGATCATCGGCGTTAGTCAGCAGGAGTCACGTGCACGATGGCGTGCTTGACGATAGCGATAGAGTGGTTACATGATAGGAAGCGGAGACGCGCCAGAGCAACATGACGTTATTTTCATATACCATGCTTGATTATAGAGAGAGATGCCATACATATATTGGTCTTAATTGTTCCTCGGGGGAGCGTGACTGATCCAAAGGGCAGATTGTCCCCGCTCCAGTAGTAGTAGTACAGTAGTAGAGACTCAATGCAGCCCTAGCCCTTATCGGGCTATTTCCCGTTTGGGCTGTTTGTTTATGCGCAACCCCGTGACTGTCCTGTCACCTCGTTATTATCATCTATCGCTCCGCCAAAAACGCCGCAACTTCAATTTCGCATCCCCGCTGCGACACCACCTACCACTTACACCAGGGAGTGCTGCGCGGAATCGCCGCTTTCCACAGAGAAAATATCAAATCCAACCATAGATGACGCTGTTTGGTAATGGTTTTTGATTTTATCAACACCCCCACCCGCTGAGCGACATTCCTCACGACATACCCCTCCTCACTATTACAACATCATGCCTGCTCGAGTTTCCGCCCGTTCGACATCAGGCTCGTCACGCAAGGCGTCAGCACAGTCATCTGTCTCAGGAGGACGTGCGGGTTCCGCGACACCCTCGTTCGCCATCCCAGAAGAGCCCGAAGCCCCCGAAGCCGTCCCGAGCCTGCGTCGCGATGTCGGTTCGCTCTTTGCAGACGCCCAGCGGTCGACGACTGGTCACCGTAAACTCGTCGTTCGTCTGAGGAAACTCCAAGAATCATGCTGCGGAATTTCTCGAAAGTCTAAGAAGGATGACAAAAGTGCGCCAGAACCTATACTACCGACCGAGGAGACCCTGCCGGAGAAGGAGCTTAACGTGGAGATCGGTCGCTGCATGCTGCGTATCTTGGTAATCAAGAAATCCGAACCCGTCGGTGACCGCATCTTGCGATTCCTTGGAACTTTCTTGACCCATGCGTCGGAGAAAGACGCGGAGCTCTTCGCCTCGGACGATGATGATGAGGGTATACCTGAAACGCCGACTGCGCGCTTGACGGCCAGTTTGGTCGCTCTCCTTGCTCCTATCATGTCTGCAAAGGACAGAACCGTGCGCTTCCGTGCGACTCAGACCATCGTTCATATCGTCAACTCATTGGAAACGGTGGATGATGATGTGTACCGTGCCGTCCGCCAGGGCCTGCTGAGGCGAATCAGAGACAAAGAACCTTCCGTGCGGGTGCAAGCCGTAATGGGATTAGGCCGTCTAGCCGGGAATGAGGATGAGGAAGAGGACGACGATAGCAGTGCCCTTGTCGAGAAACTTGTCGATATCATGCAGAACGATACGAGCGCCGATGTGCGCAAGACCTTGCTTGTCAACCTACCCCTTATGCAAAGGACACTTCCATACCTCCTTGAAAGAGCCCGAGATCTCGATGCCCCTACGCGGCGTGCCTTGTATTCCCGTCTACTTCCCACACTAGGCGACTTCCGACATCTGTCACTGTCAATGCGAGAGAAGATGCTCCGATGGGGCCTACGTGACCGAGATGAGAGTGTCAGGAAGGCCACCGGAAAACTTTTCTACGATCGCTGGGTTGAGGACTGTGCAGGGACCAATAGCGAATCTGAAGGGGGACCTACAGGCCAGCGTTCCCCACCCAACATTCCAGCTTTGTTGGAATTGCTAGAGAGAATTGATGTGGTCAATGCCGGTATCGAGTCTGGCATCGCTCACGAAGCAATGGCCAGCTTCTGGGAGGGACGGCCCGACTATAGGGAGGCCGTCGTCTTCGACGAGCCGTTCTGGGAGTCGCTAACCGCAGAAGCGGTCTTCCTCCTCCGGTCATTCAATGATTTTTGCCGTGTGGAAAATGACGGAAAATACGACAGTCTTGCCGACGAGAAGATGCCCGAAGTGACCGCCTTTGCATACTATCTGAACAAGTATCTGACGGATCTCTTAGAACGGAAGCGGGCTGCCAAGGAGAATCCTGACGCGAACGAGGATGATGACGTTGAGCAGGAGTTCATCGCTGAACAACTCCTACACATTGCATTGACTCTGGATTACAGCGATGAGGTTGGACGACGAAAGATGTTTTCTCTCCTGCGCGAGTCGCTGGCTATCCCTGAGATGCCGCAGGAGTGCACGAAGCTTGCCGTTGAGACCCTGAGGTCTGTCTGTGGCCCTGCGACAGCTGCCGAAAGCGAATTCTGCAGTGTTGTTCTCGAAGCCATTGCCGAAGTTCACGACACCATCGTCACTGAGGATAGCTTCGTGTCTGCCAAATCTGAGATCAGCGACGACGCCAGCTCCCGTCAACGGTCCGAGACTCCGGGTGGCGAAGACAACAAACCCTTCAACAAGGAGGAGGCTAAGGCCAAGGTGCTTCGGGAAATCATGGTCAACATGAAGTGTCTGCATATTGCGCTGTGTATGCTGCAGAATGTAGAAGGGAACTTGCAGGAGAACATGAACTTGGTGACAATGTTGAACAACCTGGTCGTCCCTGCTGTCCGAAGCCACGAGGCACCCATTCGGGAGAGGGGTCTGGAGTGCCTGGGCCTCTGTTGCATGCTGGATAAGGTCAGTATATCTACAGTCCATATACTTTGTTGACTGCGCCATACTAATCAAAATGTCATTTGCAGACGCTAGCCGAGGAGAATATGTCTCTCTTCATCCACTGCTACAGCAAAGGCCATGAGGGCTTGCAAGTCACGGCACTCCAGATTTTGTGCGATATGGTAACGACTCATCCCACATTGCTCGCGCCTGTCACCCAATCCGATGGGGAGACCGTGTCCCCGCCGGTGTTCCAAAAGCCGCTCCTCAAGTGCTTTTCACGCGCACTCAAAGCAAATTCGCCCATCACCGTGCAGGCAGCTGCGGCGACTGCCTTGTCCAAGCTGCTACTCACCAACGCTTTTGCGCCATCCAAGGGCAATATCCCACAGGCCATCCAGGAATACAACGAAGCCGCCATCGATACTCTACTACAATCGTTGGTTCTATCCTTCTTCCACCCTCGCACCCGCGAAAACCCGGCTCTCAGACAGGCACTGGCCTACTTCTTCCCCGTATACTGTCACTCCAATGTTTCCAATACGGAGCACATGAGGAAGACTGCTGTGCCTGTTGTCCGTGCTGTGCTCAACGCTGCCGAGGAACATTACTCGCTTGAGGCAGAAGAGGATAGCGACGGAGACATCGATGAGAGTATCGGCGAGCGAGAGGTGAAAGCCCTGATGAGCGGTGTGGTGGGAATGCTTGCGGAGTGGACCGACGAGCGAAGAGTGATCGGCCTCGGTGGTGAGCGCGTCCTCGCCGGGGCTGCAGCTAGCAGCAACGCCTGCGGCTTCGTCCACCTCGCTCTGGTCAAAGACATCCTGGAGCGTGTCCTCGGCATCAGCGCCGGCCCCAACCGCTGCACCAAAGAGGAACGAAAGCTGCTCTTCTCCCTCCTCAGCAAACTCTACATCGCCCCGCCCCCGGCTGTCTCCTCCCGCTCTGGATCTCGCAACCCCGAAGGTGTCGACGACCAAGGGTTCAACTCCAGTGTCCGCAGCGCGCAGATTGAGATCGCTCCCGAGAACACGGCCCTGGCGCAAGAAGTCAAGGAGCTTCTGGACCAGACGATCGAGGAGGGCCTGGCGGCCGAGGCAGCCGGCCGGAATGCCCTGGTCAAGGTCAAGAACTCCGTTCTGAAGCTCCTGGCCACGGCGAGCGGCTCCCGGCGCAGCAGCGCCAGACCGCGCGACGGCACCGATGAGGGAGACAGCGACATGATGAGCGTCCGTTCGGGAAGTGTCCGCTCCGGCAGTGTTCGTCCATCGATCGAGCACGGGGCGCTCCGTCGGGGTGTCTCGGTTGAGCCGAGCATTATGGAAGAAGACGAGAACGACGATAGCCGGACGACGATTATCAAGTCTGAGGCTGGGGATGAGGTGTAGATTTGATTCACGTTTGCTGTCTTTCTTTCTCTTTTCTATATTGAATAGGCTCGGCGTTCGTTGAAGTGTGTTTTCTTTATAGGTTGGCTGGTATAGGTGTCATGAGTGGATGGATGGATGGGATGGCAATGTACTTACATTTTTCTTCTTCTATGGGATTCATTTATATGATTTGTTTTCTTCAGTCAATGCTACTTCTACTCCAAGTTCCTGATATGTATCGTATCGTATCGTGTCTATTCCACAATCAAGCCCGGAGAATTCAACAAACCAAACCATCAACAACGGCATAATTACCATCCCAATTTCCAGCCATTGCAAACAGGCAAATTCCACCACCAATGGATTAAACACAAACAGACCATCCATCGACAGGGAACAAAAATCCAAAAGTCAGAGCCAATAGTCACAGTAATCCACGGTGGCAAATTAAAGCCTAGCAGGCTGGAGGCTGTCGAGCTCCCCGCAAATGCACACACTCTTACCTCATACCTTCCCTAGTCTACTAGTGTCTCGGAGCTATCCTATCATGGAGGAATGGCCAGATAATCCGATACTAGGTACTACTCCGTTTGTTAGATACATAGGTATGTATGTAGTACCTCCCCTCAAGCAGAACCAAACATTCGGACATTTGGTCCCGAGTGGGGAGGGCAGCAAATGTCTCACCATTGAGGTTGTCAGACTGTCGATACCTTCTTCATATGCTAGGTAGGTTGGTTATTGCCTAGACGCTAATGATACATGGACATCTGTAAAGGGAGGTAAGTACTCTTACCTACTGGGAGCATGATTTCCTTGGATTGTGGTTGCTCTGTTCTCTGGCTCTTACAGCCTGGGGATTTGGAGAGCCTTGGGGGTGATAACTATTAATTGGTATTATTGTGATTGTTATTCTGTCTGCCTGGCATGGATTATAGATAGTATTAATAATTCTATGCAGACGGTGAAATCCACTGCGTTTGTTGGCTGGTCAGATTGGTGGGGATTAAGGCCAGGCCCACGCCGTGTTCTTTTGATGGTGTTGGGAATATGGTCTTCTTTTATTGTTATTAATGTTATTAAAATTCTTCTTTTGTATAACTTCTTGAATATATATATTTGATATATATCTATTCTTCTGGTAAACTGTGAAGAATTTGTATAGTGGACTGGATACAGATTGATGGATGTAATGATGTTGTGATGCTGTTTGTTGCCTGTTATTGTTGTAATCTGTAAGTACTTGGTTACTAGTAAAACATAGAGTAATATACCTCTATCCATACACCTCAACTGTGATCTATATCTATCTACTCACCCATTTGACAGGAAGAATGCCTGTATGTTTATAGTCATTATTTAGGTGCTCTGTACAGGGTAGATATCTCCTCATTATCACTACTAGTGATCGGTTTTTTCATCAATTCTAGAATTGATGATATCTTAATATAGAGGTATCTATCCATCCCCTATTACTTACTTAAACACTGCCTGATACTGCATTACACCACCGTCAGTATCACTCCTGACAGTCGACATCTGAACAATCCTCTGCGCATCCAAAAGTACCTAGAAAGAACTGCATATCAGAGTAGCAAATAGTGACGCCAGATCCATTCATACAGCTGCAGACTCCCATGCATTGGATTATTTCCTCCGTCTTCCAGCTGTAATAGATCGGGTGTATACATCCACTCTCCATCAATACCGCCTTGATACATGAATCCTTGTGTATTGGCCGCCTTCCCACACAGAGACCGATGTATCTCCAATTAATTAACAGAGCAGTCTCAGGGAGTAACCTCGGTGGGAGAGAGGTTACTTCCATGAGATCATAGCTGGGGTCAGTATTTAACAACTGTCCCGATCAAGATTTCCAGATTCAACTGGAGTGACTACTGAAGTTAGAAGTAAAGAAAACAGAAAGAAAAACAAAGAACAAGAGTAAATCTGGTACGGGTTAGTGAAGTCGAACCACTTTCAACCCCGAAACTTTTCTGTTTAATCTCGACGCTCCACCTGGGAAAAAGGGAAAAAAAAAAAAAAAAAAAGAACCTACGGTGGACCAACTTTCACTTTTCCTTTCCTTTCTCTCTCTCTCTCTCTCTCTCCTCTTTCCCTCTTTCCCTTTCCCTTTCCCCCCTTAGGACCGAATCCACCTTCTCTTCCTCCCCTTCCCTTTCGTTCCCCGTTACTGGTTCTTCGTTTTTTTCTTTTTTATTTCCTTTTTGGGAGTCTCTTCTTCTTTGTTCCAGCTCTCACCGGTTGAGCCCTTCTATTGTACTTTTTTTCTTATCCTCGATTCCCGGTGTCTCTCCCCCCCTGCTCACCAAATAGAGACAAATCAAATTCTTTACAATCTCGTCCTCCCATCCCAAGTCGACCTTTTTCCATTCTCTCCCTCCTACCCTGTGCGGCCTGTGAGAGAGCCTTTCCCGGCATCCAGACAGCTTGAGCGATGGCAGCCGTTTCAGCGCCCACTCCTAAGCTGGATCGCTATATTGTCGTCCACGTCGCAACCACCTGCGATGAACATGGAGTCTACGTCACTAAGGATTCAGCGGAGGTGATTGAGTTGGGTTGGATTTTGTTGGATACCAAGACGTGCGAGGAGGTAAGCAATTCGTTCATCTGGGTTTTTGCATTCGGGGAAGGTTGAAACACGGCTTCATCCCCCTCCTCCTTTCTTCGCGTTGTCCCCCTCCCCCCCGATCGACTCGTTGCCCCGCCTAGGGGTAAATGAGGGGGTTAAAGAGATGAAAGTGTATCTGGAGAGGGGAATAAAAAAAAACGAAAAGCTTGTTGTTATGTACCCGCATATCGCTAACTTGGGTTGCTTCTCCCGTGTAGTTGCACCACGAAAGTGTTCTCGTCAAACCCGTCAACACCCCCATTACGCCTCTCTGCAGTAAGTGCATCCAACCGTCCAATTGATCGACCATCAAACCTTCAATGCCCTTCCTACCTGGTTTTCCCCAACTCCCCCTCACGTCCCTTTCCACCAATCCTCAAAGTATTCGGTCTGTTGGTTCCATGGCTGACGGTCTTTTGAAGCGAGCCTTACAACTCTGACATGGGAGCACGTCCGCTCGGCAGGTACTTTCCGCGACGCCATCAACCGCTTTGACGCCTTCGCCCAGGAACATCTCATCAGCAAGAACTTGGAATTCGCCTTTGTGACACTGGATTCGTGGGACCTTCGCGTGCAACTGCCCCGTGAGGCCCGCGACAAGGCGGTGGTGCTGCCCCCGTATCTCCAGCACTCCCGGACGTTTGACCTGCGCACCGAGTATCAGAGATGGCAGACTCATCACCCCGAGTCCCTGCCTTTCGGCCCCAGCTCCCTCTCCAACATCTGCGCCGCCCTCGAAGTCGAACCCGTCCAGTCCTCCGCCCCCATTAAGCACAACCTCCCCTTCCACCTGCAGGCCTTGGCCCCCGCCTCCCCCCGACGCGCCATGGACGAGGCCATCACCCTGGCCCGCGTTCTCCGCGGACTCATCCGCAAATCTCAGCCCCCGCACGAGCACCCCGAGATCCTCACCCGGCCGATGGATGCCCGCGCCGACGTTCGTGCCTTCTTGACGGAGCGCAGCAAGGTCCTCCATCTGAGTGGACTCCCCCACGATACCACGCAATCGGAGCTGGAGAGCTGGTTCACCCAGTTCGGTGGTCGCCCCATCGCCTTCTGGACTCTCCGCACGCCGGACCAGCACAAACCGACCGGCACGGGCTTTGCTGTCTTTTCATCGCACGAAGAGGTATGTGTTTTGGTCTTCTTGACGGTTGTTTGATCCACAGAGCTGACTTTGGTGTGACTTCTAGGCTGCCGAGAGTCTCTGCATGAATGGTCGTGCTCTGAACGAAAAGGCCATCGAGGTCTCTCCCTCCTCCAGCCGTGTTCTGGACCGTGCGGCCGAGATCCTGACCCCGTTCCCCCCGTCGAAGAACCGCCCCCGACCGGGCGACTGGACTTGCCCCTCGTGTGGCTTCTCCAACTTCCAGCGTCGCACCGCTTGCTTCCGCTGCTCGTTCCCTGCTATGGCGGCCAACCCCGACCCGATGGGATACGGCGCGTATGGCTACGGTCCTCCGTCGATGATGCCTCCCCACATGAATCACGGTCACGGCATGGGCCACCCGCGAGGCATGGGTGGCAACGGCGGCGTTGTTCCCTTCCGGGCAGGAGACTGGAAGTGTGGCGGGGACGGCTGTGGCTATCACAACTTCGCCAAGAACATCAACTGCCTGCGCTGCGGCGGCCCCCGGTCCGGGGCCGCGGTGGTCGCCGATTCGGCCTTCCCGTCGCCGATGGACCCGCCATCGACGTTCAGCATGGGGCCCAACTCCATGGCCAGCACTCCGGCACCCGGCCCCTTCACCTCCGCTGCGGGCGGTTTCGGCGGCTTCAACAACCAGCAGTTCGGCGGGCCTAGCAGCTACGCCCTGCCATCGGCGGCCGGATTGGGGAGCGGCGGCCCGGGTGCTGCTTACCCCCAGATGGGTGGTCAGATGAATGCTGGCTACGGCTCGACCAACGCCTCGCACTCGGCTGCCTCGTTCGCCAACCCCGCCACGCAGGCCGCGTTCACCGGTGCCGACCATGCCTCGTCGACCAGTGCCTCGAATGGTGCCTTCTACGGGAATGACGGCACGAGCGATCCGTTTGCGTTCCTGTCCACCGGTCTGGGCGGGTTGACGGTGGCCGACGATGGCCATTCCCGCCGCAACGGCGCTGGCGCGAACAAGTCTCCTGCGTAAATCCAGGAACCTCTCTTCACTTAAATTCTTCGTCCCTGGAGAAACTTTTCTTAACCCATTACCTTCTTGTTCATGACGCACTCCTCACTTTGTTTTGTCAATATGGTGGTCTAGATTGTTGGTATATGTGATGGTTGATACTCGTTGATGCGTGTTTGTATAAGGGATTCTGCCGTTCGGGTGCATTCGGTTGGGAGGAGCAGGCCGGTAGCGTGTCGTCGTTTCATCGGATTGGTCTTTGTTTTGTCTCATCTTGCACAGCCTTTACGTCCAGCCTTTTCGGTATGTTTTATTATTGCGTGTTTGCAAGCGATGTTCTTGAGGGTATAGAGGGGTCTGTCCTGGTCGACGGAGGCCGGGGCGGCTTCGTCCGTCAATTCTCCGATTTGTTGGCTACCTTTCCCCCAGCCCGTTGTTTCCTCGGCCTGGGACTTGCAGAGGGGTTCATCGCTGGGATGGCCACCCGATTGGACGTCGTGACTCACTCATGGCATTGCATTTCTAGATATTGTTTTCTTTTGCGAGTTCATCTCTGCACTCTTTGGCACTCAGGAATCATTGGGGGATTACGGTATTGCTCACGGATGGGATACAATGGAACGGACTCTGTTGGGGGTGTTGGGGTATTCCTTTTGAGCCAGCAAAATTTGAGCCAGCAATGACAGATTTGGGACATGCGAGGCATACGGATTGGGAATCGAAGGTTGTTTTTTTTCTTTACTTTTTTTTTTTTTTTTTTGAATGTCCATAATTATTCTGTCTTTATTCCTATTTGTTTTTTGTCCTCTCATTTGGTCCTGTGCCTTTGTATGGAAAAGTTGCCGCGGTCCTACGCTGCCGTTATTGTACAGAAGTGGCTGTTAGATGTTCGCCTGTTTTGGACCGAACTGGCATTTTAGACTGTTCTTCTGTCCGTGCAACTTTGAATGTAATTTGTAAGATTCATTGTGTTCAACTAGATCTTTGAACGATATACGGAGTAGCTATGACGATCATGTTCCCGGGAGCGAGAATATACTAGTATCTTGCCAGCACAGCTGTAGTGTTAGCTACAACATGTTAGAGTAGCCTGATTTTCAGACCGACTAAATGACCATCACGATTTTACACCCCATAATTCAAAGCATACAATCAATTGATTGAAACCCAGGACAAGTAAGTGCAAGTGGAAACCCAAGTGGAGAGCCCGAGCTAACCGCGCGCCAAGCGCTAGCAGAGCTCTGGAGGCAGCCGCGGGCCTCGCGTCCAACGACCTTCTGTCATCGCCCAGACCGGACAGCGGACATCTTCAGCGTTCAACGACCCAATATCACGAATTCATCTTTTCAACGTTATTCCGAGCTTTCTGACCTGTTTGCTATCACCTGAATATTTCGCTGGTGCTTCGATACATCGACGTTGCCCATAATGTCCGGATATGACCGAGCTCTGTCAGGTAAGAGAGCTATCACCCTAGCTTTATTGAATGGTGAGGTTCGAGGATGCTGACAGCTTGATAGTGTTTAGGTATGAATATTGGATCGTCGTCTGGTTCATTGAATATCAAGCTAAACGCCCATTTGCAGCCCCGACGGGCATGTCTTCCAGGTAGAATATGCCATGGAAGCTGTCAAGAGAGGTAGGCACCCAGCTCCCCCATCCCCGCCCCATCTCCCAACCCCATCTTCCCCCAACCAGCCAAATACTAATCTCTCTTCTTCACCCTCAAAGGCACCTGCGCTGTCGGCGTAAAAGGCAAAGACGTCGTCGTGCTCGGCTGCGAGAAGCGCTCGGCCCTCAAGCTCCAAGATACCCGCATCACACCGTCGAAGATCGCCAAGGTCGACAACCACGCCGTGCTGGCCTTTGCCGGCCTGAACGCCGACGCCCGCATCCTGATCGACAAGGCCCGCTTAGAAGCCCAGTCGCACCGGCTGACGGTCGAAGACCCCGCGTCCATCGAATACATCACGAAGTACATTGCGGGGGTGCAGCAGCGGTACACGCAGAGTGGAGGCGTGCGGCCTTTTGGTATCAGCACGTTGGTGGTGGGGTTCGATCCGAATGATGGCGTGCCGAGGTTATATCAGACTGAGCCGTCGGGGATCTATTCTGCTTGGTATTTATTTCTTTTTCTTGGATCCTTTTACGGGGGGTCTGGTGTTGGGGTAGGGGTTGTTGGCTAATGGGTTTGTTTGCTGTATAGGAAAGCGAATGCTATTGGCCGGTCTAGCAAGACCGTCCGCGAGTTCCTCGAACGCAACCACCAGGATGACATGGACCGCGAGCAGACGATCCAGCTGACGATCAAGTCGCTGCTGGAGGTCGTGCAGACGGGCGCCAAGAACATCGAGGTGGCCATCATGGCGCCCGGCCAGACGATCGAGATGTTGCCGGATGACCAGATCGAGTCCTACGTCAAGAGCATAGAGACGGAGAAGCAGGAGGAGGCCGCCAAGAAGAAGACCGGTCGGTCGGGCACCACCACGGCTGCCATCCTAACGCGCCCCGGTGGCGGTGAGGGCAGCGAGGCTCGGGAGTAGGCTTGTTATGGGGGATGATGATGTTGACTAGTTAGTTAATTAGATTAAGCTATGTGGGCTACGTTGAACATGCTATTTCTTTCCATTATCTCTCTTTCTCTTGTTCCACCTTGAAGTGCGTATTGGTGCCGCTATCTGTAGTGTATGGCCATATGCCTGCACATGTACGTTTAAAAGGACGTATATACACATTGCTTTATTCTAAAGCAAGACAGGAGGTAGTATGTCTGTATGTCTGTATGTATTGTGTATATGTATGTGTTTGTATATGTATGTGGAAGGCATAAATCATAAGCATCGTAACCGCAACCACGAGGATCCGTAGATCCAGATCTAGACAGCTATATCTAGCACAAGCGCTCCGAGGTATCTTTGAGAGAGAAGATGGAGCGTTCGTTGTCGCCGCGCACACGATCATCCTTGAGCATTCTACATAATTAGCATCCTTCCTACACATACATATATATAGATATATAGATATATAGATATATATGTATGTCTGGAGAAGAGTACACACCTGTTATCGACACGAGCATCATCACCCTCTACGTGCAGCGCAGGCTTAGGCGTCACTGCCTCGAGGACGAAGTGGTTGTCGCAGTGGGGGCAGTATTCGTCGCTGTTTCGGGGTGGATTTGTTAGTATAATGGAAGTGTAACGGAGGGTTTGTTCTTTGTTCTTTGTGTGAATGTGGGTGTGCATGTGTAAGGGAGGAAGGGCATACCTCTCTTCAAACTCCGCCGAGTCCTTCCGGAAACACTTTTTGCATTTCTTGCAGGCGAAGATCTGGTGCGCACATTGTCTGTTAGATATAATGGTCTTGCAAGCATTTTATGCGATATAGGATTGTTGATATTGGCGGACGACAATAGGGTTCACGGTGATGGTGGGGTAGATGTATATACCATCTCGGGAGATTTTTTGAGCGAGTGGTCTTCTTGCTCCATGTGGCATTCAGCGCAGTCGAACCATTTCCGACCTGGCTTGTTATTATTTCATCTCATATTGTGGGAGGGGGACTGAAGTATCAGTCGGAGGAAAGGGGGTATGTACAGCATGCAGAGCGGATAGAGACCTGGGCGTTGAGGATGTGTTTACTAGATGAAAAAGCGTTAGTGTGGCTGATTTGTGATCGACAGGATCCGATCGCGGGTGACGTACCACATGATGGATATGGGTTAGGGAGAGATCAGAGACAGGGGTGGTAGTGGTGGTGGCAGTGGCCGTGGTGGTAGTAGGAGTGGTTGAAAAGGAAGAAATTCGGAGAAGGGAGGCGGATGCGAGGATGGTGGAGACTGGGGGGCAAAGAGCCAGATTAACGCCGGGATGTGTTGATAGGACTAGATAAAGACAACTAAATATTAGAGTAGGCAACGGTTTAGTTTGAGATGACTATCACTAGACCATGATCGGGACTGGTATATTCTACTGAGTTCAAAGAATCCGACTCGTGCGGAACGAGCTACAGCTGACAGCGCGTGGTCAGTCTTGGTACCTGGCTTGGTTGTCCATCATCTGCCTCCCCACACCCTCTTCTCTTCTCCCTTTCCATCTCTCCCTCTTTCTACCACTCCCGACTTTAATCTCTCTCCTCACCACGTTTCCCCTCTTTCATACTTCTGTCTTCTCTCGCTACCATCTTACTCGTGATATCTGGCATCAAACAGTGTCATCCCTTTGTCTCCTTATTCCGCCTTCGTTCCCCCGACTTCTGGTTCCCCCATTACGCCGAGCCCACTTCGAAACTCCGCCACCCGCCGACCTCGGGGTTTCAAACCACTTGAGCTCCCTTCTATGTCACGCCCCTTGATACTCAGTTGAATTGGTTGCAATTGAAGGTATATGGTCTATCTGAGCCGCAGCTTGTGTTGGATCGATCGTGAGTATGGAGAAACCTGGAGAGGGCAAGGAGAGCGCGGATAATGCTCCTATTGTATGTTTTGCGGTCCCTTCCCCCTGGCCACTATATAGTACTTACAGAGAACCTGCAGAGACCGGTATCGTCACTGCTGTCGCATTTCGAGAACCTTACCACCCGCCGCCCGTCTCCGTCTGCCCAGTCGCGCGATTCATTGTCCGTCCTGAAATCCTCCGAGCCAACTGATGATTTCCGGGCCCGGGCTTCCCTCGACTTGCCTCGTTCGCGTTCCCCCTGGGCCTCGACATCCGATCTGCAACATGATGACCGCTCTGGATTCGTCCCGACGAATGGGTATTCGGCGAGGAACAGTGGATCGCCCGGGAGATTACCGGGAAGACGGCAAAGTCGGCCAATGTCGATGAACTTCCGCTCCTCGCCGCAGCTGGCGCCGACTCTGACGGTGGACTCCCCGCGGTCACCCCCGCGGGAATTGGGGAGCCCAGTACATCGCGACCATGATTTTCGGACCTCTCGCAGCCCCGGCAACCATGTGCGGGACTCGTTGCCCGCGATACCCCAGCGCCCGTTCAATCGGGCGATCTCCCCCATGTCCGCTTCGTCGGTTCCAACGGAGCAGAAGGTCTCCCACTTGTCCCCGAGCGCGTCGAACACCATCAGCGTGGGGGAGGATGGCATGTCGGGTCGCAAGTTGAAAAGTGCGTCGCTGCCTCCGCCTGCGAACCGCGCGGCAAAGCCCAAGATTCCGGCCAAACCGGCGGCGTTGGCCCACCAGGATGGAGGTTGCTTGGCTCCTCGGTCGGAGCGTGCGGTTTCCGAGGAGCGGGTTTCACCGTTCAGTACACCTCCGAGTAGCCCGGAGAAATCGCCGAAGCAGTTGTCCACATCCAGAGCGTCGACCTTCCCGCATTCGCTGTCGCAGCCGGAACGTCCAAGTCCGAGCCCGTTGATAGGGAGAGGGTCACCCGCTCCTCCGATACATACAATGCATAGCGCACGGGAGTCGTCGTTGTCTCGGCCGTCGGGAATGTTCGGGGCTCCGCAACCTCCAGTGCACTCGAAACCATTGATGGTTCACATTCCCCAGGGACCGTCCGTGCAGCCACGATCGCTGGCGAGCGCACCCACAGCCGGTCCGCCGCTGTCTAACCGGTTACAAGCCATCGACAGCCCATACGAGCGGCCGGGTCTCCCCCCACGGCGTCGCGCCTCGCGGTCTCCGTCCCGACCTGCGTCCCGCCTGGAACCCGCGTACACCGGTCCTGTCTCGCGGCCGGGATCGCGAGCATATGCTCATGGTGAACTGCAGACTCCCAGCCAGGTTCAACGGCAACCGTCGTTTTCTCGCGACACCAAACCCGGAGTTGCCCGGCCGCTCGCAGAACGGCCTAGTGTCGAGCCGCCCGTTATTGAGCAACCGGTCGTTGGGCGGCAACCGGTTCGCCCGATCCAGACGGACGAAGGCATCTTGCGAGTGGATTACCCGGATACATCGTGTGCGAACCGACGCCCTCCTGTCCTGAAGAGCGGTCCGCGGGAGATCAACACGCGGTACGACACTCGTCTGATGGATGTGTGTGGGAAGCATGTGTGCACCACTGGCTATCTCACGCGGGTGTGGGATCTCACGGACGGCGAGCAGATCTTGAGTCTTAGCCATGGTGAAACCGTGAAGAGTTTGTCGATCGCTTTCAAACCCGGTACGGGACTTGAGGACGAAGGACAGCGATTGTGGCTAGGAACAAGTGCCGGTGAACTGCATGAAGTCGATATCCCCACTCGGGCGATTGTTGCCAGCCGGTCTTATCCGTCACGCCGGGAGGTCATCAAGATCCTTCGACATAAGAAGGAGATGTGGACTCTCGATGACGAGGGTCGCTTGCTTGTATGGCCGCCGGATGAATCGGGAACCCCGCAACTCCAGTACAGCTACCATAATCCTTACGACCGTGTCGCGCGGGGGCACACCTTTTCGATGGTTGTTGGCGATACCCTCTGGCTGGCCACTGGAAAGGATGTGCACATTTACCGGCCCAACGCAGCTGACGATGTTTCTTTCCGAGTTCTTCAACGGCCACTAGGCGCGCAGCATACAGGGGAGGTGACGTCGGGTGCCTACACCACCAAACATGGCGGTCGCGTGTACCTCGGCCATGCTGACGGCAAGGTGACCATCTATTCGTCCGCCGATTACGCATGTTTGGCCGTGGTCAACGTCAGCGTGTACAAAATCAACTGTCTGGGTATCGTCGGGGACTATCTCTGGGCGGGCTACAAGACTGGTATGATATATGTATACGACACGACTACCAATCCCTGGACCGTGAAGAAGGATTGGATTGCCCATGACAGCCCGGTGTCCCAGTTCTTGCTAGACTGCAGCAGCGTATGGACAATGAACCGGCTCCAGGTGACGTCGTTGGGCTTAGACAACTGCATCCGCTCGTGGGATGGCATGCTGGAGGATGATTGGCTCGGTAAGTCTATCTGGGTGGATTGTGTGGCCATGGCTAACGTATGCAGATTCTCGGATGCAAAACAGGGACTTCGAATACTGCAAGTTCCGGGAAATCAACGCCGTCATCATGACTTGGAACGCTGGTGCCTCTACCCCAGGGAGCGTGCGCACAACCACCTTTATCCAGGATGCGATCCGTCCCGACAACCCGCCGGAGATTTTGGTCTTCGGTTTTCAGGAGTTGGTCGATTTGGAGAATAAAAAGATCACTGCCAGTACGTGTCAATCCGGTCCCGGTTTGAATTGTACTAACGCAGCGCAGAGAGCCTGCTCATGGGAAGCAAGAAGAAGGAAACTGGAGAGAAGGAGCACATGAGCCGGCAGTATCGTGTGTGGATGGAACATTTGACTCGCTGCATCAACGAGTGCATGCCTTTGGATGAGTCGTATGTGCTGTTGCACAGCGCAAACCTGATAGGTCTTTTTACGTGCATCTTTGTCAAGCACAAAGAGCGCCATCGTATTAAGGGTGTCAATGCTGCGGAGGTGAAGCGTGGAATGGGTGGACTGCATGGGAATAAGGTAATTTTCCCTAGTTTTCTTTTCGCGCAATGATAGGGTTGACATGCTGACTCTATAGGGTGCTCTCATCTTCCGCTTTATCCTCGACGACACCTCGCTCTGTTTTGTGAATTGCCACTTAGCTGCTGGACAGACTCAGACGGCAAACCGCAACAATGACATCGCGGGGATTCTCGAGGCGGAATCACTCCCCGCGGAGCACAGCCCCACAGCTCGATTGGATCATTTCGTCAGCGGCGGTGACGGCTCGATGATCATGGACCACGAGATCTGTGTCCTCAACGGCGATCTCAACTACCGCATCGACTCGATCCCACGGAACGTGATCATCGAAGCCATCCGGAACAACAACCTGGCCAAACTGCTCGACCGGGACCAGCTGCTAGCATCGCGGCGCAAGAACCCAGGATTCCGCCTCCGGTCGTTCAACGAAGCCCCGATCACGTTCGCCCCGACTTACAAATACGACGTGGGCACAGACGAGTACGACTCGAGTGACAAGAAGCGATCGCCTGCGTGGTGTGATCGCATTCTGTATCGGGGCTTGGGACGCATCAAGCAGTACGACTACCGACGGCTTGAAGTCCGCGCGTCGGACCATCGGCCCGTGACTGCATCATTCAAATTCCGCATCAAGACTATCCTGCCGGAGGAACGCACCACGGCATGGGAGACCAGCCAGCAGGACTTCCAGGTAGAAAAGCGGCGGCTCGCATCGGAGGCGAGGTATGTCCTCCTCCAATCATTGCAAACTTTCCACATGAATACTAACGGATTCACACAGCATCGAATACCTCATCGGCGTCCTAGGCACGGACCCAAAACAAGCCCGCGCCTTGATCCTAGGCGCAGGAGCCTAGTCTCCCACTGGCCTAGTCATTCTCCTTCGCTGACCTGACCCGACCTACAATCTGGTCTTGTTTATATTACCTTCAATCTGTTTATTTGTGTTGGACTATTCTTCTGGTTAGCGGAGGCCGAAACGATGGGGGACTGCGCAGCAGTCATGCTGTATGACTAATGAATTTACGATAGACATGGTTTTTATGAGCCAGAGGTGTGTTAGAGCTGCCTTTTCTGAAGGAGGCAGGGGAGCCTGGCACTTGAATCATTAATGGGTGTTGGTGTTGGTGCTGGGGGATCTACTGTATGTATGTACAGCTGTGTATACGAGGGGGTAGATGGTATATAGTATAGGATAAGATAGGATGATTAGAATTGGGCCGCTGGCTTTCTCTACCTTTCTTCCACACTGACTTTTCACCTGGATGAATATAGAAAATTTCAAAACAGACAAGAAATAAATAAATAGATAATAAATAAACTGAAACCAAACGGGATATCTAAACATACACGATGCACGATAACACAAACCACCCCATCATAAACCACCAACTAAAGACACCTACTTAGCTTCTACAGAAAGCAAGCAAACTAAACAGACAGCTTAACAGCAGCCATCCCCTTCGCAACAGACCCCAGCGCCGCAACACGATCAAACCACGACGTCAGCTCCGGGAACCGCTCCAGGTCGAGCCCGACTGAGCCCGCCGCTGCGACGTACGGGAAGGCTGCTAGGTCGGCGAGGGTGCTTTATTCAGTTAGCTTGGTCTACCCCTCAAAAACATGGAATGGCACATTCCAAGGGGATAAATAAAGAGAGAGGAAAAGGAAAAGAGGGAGAGACAAACCATTTACTCCCCACCAAAAACCTCGTCCGAGCCGTCGAAAGCTGCTGCTCCAGCCTCAGATACAGTCCCAGCGCCTTGCGCGCAAACGGCACCTCCTCGTCTCCCTCGGGCCCCTTGTTCTTTCCGTCGTGGTGGTTATGATTGTCGGCAACAGTCGTGGAGAGGACGGAAATCCAGCGCACGACTTCCTCCGCCTCCTTGGAACCCTGTGCGTAGGAGATGTGTTTGTGCTGGTCGTGCGAGGAGAGCAGGTAGGTTGTGATCTCGGCGAAGCCGGAGAAGACGTGGTGGGTGCCGTGGCGGGAGATGTTGGTGATTAGGGGGAGGGTGGGGGATGCGGGGATGTTGGGGTCTTGGATTTCGGAGGGGGAGGAGATGAGGTGGAGGGAATGGGGGAGGCTGTTCATCTGTTAGTTTACTGCTATGTTTCTTTTATGGATTGGGAAAGATGTGTAGGTAGAGACGTGTGTAGAGGTGGGGTTGGAGGGGGGAAAGGGGATGAGACTGACCGGAGTTCTTCGAGGACGATAGCTACTGTGGCGGCGTCTTTGGAGCCCGGGGTGGCGTAGAGGGCGATTTGGCCGCGCTGTTCGTTGAAGACGTTCATTGTGGTAGACTAGAGACGTGTGTTGGTGGTTTTCAGAAGGTGAGGTTTTTGTAGATTGGTGGGGGGGGAAAGGGGAAAGGTTCTTTAATAGTCCGGATGAGATTGACGAGTTGGTGCCTGAGCTGGAAGAATGGGATGACGTTGATGTAAAAGTATTAGCGGGGGGAGTCATGCTACTGGTTGCTGTCCCGTGGTTCTTCTTTTCAACCCCAATTGTTCCCCTCTTTGTTCTTTCTTTTACTAACTACTTACCCCATAATATAATAGGGTATGGGAATGTTAAGGTAGTAAATATAAGTTCTTATCATTATGTGTTTCTTTCTGCTATAGTAGAATGATTTTTACCACTTCTGACTTGAAATTCAACTTTGTTGTTCCTCAACCATCACCAACTGGCCAATAGACTTTCTGGAACCACACAATTCTAGCACGTGCATTATTCAGGGTCTTGTATGGTCCAATCTATACAGCTGTATATTTAGTTCCATCCATACATTAGAACAGTCAATGAATACTGGCTCCTACGAAGTGGATGATCCCTCACTCTAGAAACCAATGGTTCATTTACAGGCTACCAAAATATACTGATGTTTGAGTGAATAAGATAAATATGCCCCAGGCATACAATCAGTATGGAAAGTACTAGAGAACTGTACTTGACTTCAGGATGAGAAGGTAACCAAGTGATAGATAAGGCATAATTCACAGTTCAATTCACTCACCCTTGGAACTATGCAACCCAGTAATGGAATATGCACCAACGACTTGTTCTCCCATATAAAAAGTATCTATCTACAATAACTACTACTGCAGATTCTACATGACACAACTGCCTTGATTCTCAACCTGACTTATTAGCATCATCGTCCGTTGAAATCATCAAAATGAGCACCCGGGATTTCTACACCGTCGCCCACGAAACCCTCCAATGCATCTACAGCAGCGTGGAAGTCGCCCAGGTCGCGCACGCCCGAATCCAAGCCCACAAAGCCACCGACGGCGCTAGCGACGAGGGCGAAGCAGAGCTAGCGGCTGTCATCCACGGTCTAGAACGCCTGATAGATCAGTTCGAGTTTCGCCTGGACACTGAGATTGGAGACACTCCGATGGCGATAAGGCTGAAGACGACCTTGAGGGGCATTCGAGATCTGCTGGAAACCTTGAGACCGTCCCCGGTGCTGGAGGATTTGTGCGCTTCTTTGGAGCAGTTGGGTGTTGAGAGGGATGGTACGTTTCTTTCTTTGTCTGTTTCGTTTTGTTTTCTGTTGGCTATCTTGGGCCTGTGCTCGCTGATATCTTTGATGTTGCTCTCTCTTCGGTATGAGTTTGCTGGGAGAGAGCCTGTTCAATCTGGTTGATTTCCCCACTAAATGATCGTATTGATACTATATAGTGGGAGAGACAGGACCACCGGAGAACACCGAAAGATAGAGTATGCTACGACTGCGAAGCGTGGTATTGAGATGCGTGCCAGGGACAGAAGGAAGATCATGGACGCCACCAACCGATGCTCAGGGAGCTTTGAGGATAACATAGTTGATTGAATGATGGCAAGAGCAAGGATATGTATCAAGGGGGTCAATGGTTTCAAACGATACTTCTCCTCAGCGGATGGGGGTTCTTTTTGATCTTGTGCAAATGGTTGAAGTGATATCTGAGTAAGTGTGAGGCCAGGAATCCGAGCTCAAATGCAGACATTGATTATGCAGCTCCTGCTCTAGTATGTGATAGTCTCTGTACGGAGGTCTTACCTTCGGCGAAATACTCAGACATCCGCAGACTTTATTTCTACTAATGCAGACCCTGCGTCATCACATTGACCATAATTCCTCATTTATTAAACCAGACCGGTGCCTGCAAGTCAGGCTCTCCGTAGTTTAGTTACATACGGAGGAATCCATGCTCTCGCCTTCGTCTCTCCATCGAAGATTCGACAATTGGACCAAACCAGCAGATTGAGAGTAACTATGTAAATGCGCGGCCAGAACAACTTTAATTGACCAATTGACAAATACCAAGGCCTGGATCGTTTACAATCGGTGACGAATGCTCTGTATCGTTCCTCAATAGTCACTCGCTGTCCCACCCTAGACCATGGTCAAGTCAACGAGCAAGCACACTGCTTCTGATACTGGCAACCGACCTACCCCAGGAAATCCCCAGCGAATGAGCACTGACAATACTGGATCAGCAGCGGTCTAGACACTTAATCTCTAGTGTTGGACCGCGTATGTCGCAGACAACGGTAGTCCCCTCGTACATCGTATTGAGTGCCATGTTCGGTTAGCCCGAGCCCTTCGGTATAGATGAACAACGTCGATCAGTCCTAAAATGTACATTCATCCTCGAATCCAAACCAGACATCGACCAAAGAGAATCCAACATTTGAAAATAAGTAGATCTATTGGGCAGACTCTCATAGCTGCAGCGGTTTCTAGTTTTTAGTACCTCTGGAAATGGATATGCATGCGACACCTCGGTTGAGCTGCCAATTTCCCTTGTTGATCGGATATCCGCCCGGAGATGAATGGAATGAAGGGGCCTTTGGCTCAGGGTATGTCGAGAGGGGTAGGACCGTTGACTCTATATAAGTTCCTCGAGGGTACGACTAGTACCCAGTTTATATTCGCATGAAACCCCACACTTTCTCTTAAACCGCCTGCAAGAGTACCTACCCCTGCCCAGAATCTGCACTCAAAACGCTTGATTGATCCACGATGAAGCTCGCCATTCTTTCAACCGCTCTGAGCTTCGTCTTGGCCACTGCAAATCCCCACTATGCACACGGCTCTGCTTCCAAGTGGGAGGCTCCCGGCTTGAATGACTGTATATTACCAAGATCCGAACCCGTAGACGAAGCTGACGGTATACATAGTCCGCGGACCATGCCCAATGCTGAATACCCTGGCCAACCACCATTTCCTACCGCACGACGGCAAAGGGATCACCAAAGATGTGCTTACTCGTGGCTTGGGCGACGGGCTGAACTTCAATGCGTCGCTTGCGGGCTTGATGTTCAAGATGGCTACTGTTGCTAATCCCGAGCCGAACGCAACCTTTTTCACCCTGTATGTATCCTGTCTTCTGCCTTTGCATTGGGAGAGACGTATGAGCTCACTGTCGTTCTAGGGATCATCTCAACAGACATAATGTCCTGGAGCACGACGCGAGCCTGAGGTAAGTTCATCATAGGATTCACACAATGACCGTCGATATGCATGACATCAAACTAAGATAACAGCCGCACCGACGCCTACTTCGGCAACAATCACGTATTCAACGAGACCATCTTCAACGAGACACGCGCATATTGGACTGCGCCCTTACTAGACGCCAAAATGCTCGCCAACGGCAAGATCGCCCGCCAGGTGTCTTCCCGTGCGTACAATCCCACCTACAAGTTCACCTCAAACACGGAGGCATTTAGCGTCGGGGAGGTCTCGGCCCCGATCGTTGCCTTTGGCGACATGGATGCGGCGACCGTTAAGCGAGATCTCGTGGAGTATTTCTTTGGTAAGTCCATGATCTCTGACACCATTTCGTATGCTATATTGTGTTCATGTGCTCATTGACCTGGACAGAAAACGAGCGTTTCCCTACCGAGCTGGGATGGTCGAGGAAGGAAGAGGTGGTTAATATTGAGGATATTACTCGACTGTCGGCGATTATCACGAACGCGACGAATCTTCTGACGGGGTCGCAGGAGAAGGAGACCAGGCGGAAGGACTTGCATAGTGGATTCCAGGTCCTTTAGGAAGGACTAGGGCAGGATGTAGATAAGTTTCAGCCTTCTACATAGTATTTGACATATCAGCCACGAATGACTATCCAAGATAGATTGTGCTGGATGGGCTTAAGCATTTGGTGTGACTGCTGTGGGCTTACACTGGGTGTGTATCGAGATGCAGACAATGTTCTCGGAAGCGCTCCCCGGCTGTGTGGAGATCGCACATGTGGCAGATATTATTTTAAGGGAAGTTGTGCATTATACTGGTGCTGGTCTGAATTGTCTCAGTAGACAGAGTTACATCAAAGATGTAAGTCTGCAATCAATACAGCCTCTGAGCCCATCAATTCTTGATTACACACAAGTAGTCACCAGGCATTCTCAGGAGAATGACATACCCAAGGGTTGGTTAGGAAGGTGTTTTTATGGTTTTAGAAACCCACCAAGCCACTCACCCCCAGCGAGCTGCTCATCCTGTATTAGATTGGCAGGACGCCCCCGGAACCCGGCCCCGGCCCACCCCAATGCGCCCCGGATTGGGGTGGAGGTCATCCAATTGCTTCGAGACCAGAGCGGGTGAATATCAAAGATAGCACCATCCAAATAACCCTTGCTATAGTTCGTCGTTTGACCCGCACAAGCACCCCGTCCATCTGGTACTCAAAGCCTTGTTTGGCAAGACCATTGCCAAAAAGTAAAAGTGCAGGATAACTCACCCAGTCTAAACATACCTAGACGGCATGCTAGCAACTACAATACTCTGAGTGAAGCAACTAGTTGGAATTGAATGCTGGGCTTGCACTACGGCGGACCCTCAGCTTGCCCACATTATTCCGAAAGATAATCAACAGGTAAGCAATAAGACATTTATATTGCTGTTCTATTAGTAACAGTTTGCCATCCAATATGGATCCCCACCTCGGCCGAACCTATATAGCCCGATACGCTTTTCAATATCGTCAGATCAAAATGCAATACCCCTTTGCCCAACATGTCACCATCAATTTGACTATGCCCTTGACCCAGGATTCATATATTAGAATATCAGTCAGGTTGAGCCCTATACCAAACGCTGGCCAGCGTTTTTGATGTAGCGGTCATGACCTTATTCAACCCACGCATCTCTAGTTTTCTGTTGGGTTCGAGATCGAGGACCAAGAGCGCAGGAAGACGGCAGCAAAGAATGGCATCCCCTTACAACGAATTATTCCCACAGCTGAGATGTACAAATGTTGAGAATATCAGTCAGCTCAAACCCTCCCAAAGTGCTGGTCAGCATTCTGGTGCAGCGGCTGTTACATCATGCCAGCTAAGCCGTGTGAGCTCCCTGCGCGGGCCTACGGTATTCTGCTGCTAGAAGCAGGGAAAGAAAGAAAGAGGAAAGAAAGAAAGAGGAAAGAAAGAAAGAGGAAAGAAAGGAAGAGGAAAGAAAGGAAGGACAGACATGAATCCCTAAACCCCGATGGGCAGTTAGGCTAAATACTGCTAATACTTGCCGGCAGTAGCTATCGGCAGGCACGAGGGTGCCAACAGCCGGGTCATCAAAAAAGACAACAAGGCACTCAACAGAAAAAAAGAGCCGAGTGTTTCACGAGTAAGAAACAACTACATATTGTCCAATCTTTCAACAGGAGATATCCGCTCGTTGGAGCTTGGGGCCCGACGTTTCCACGGGGCTTCCACTTTTCAGTTCTATACTCTTGATGTGAGACCACTAGATGGCTCATGGCTGCAAAGCAAGTAGGAAGAGAATAATAAGAATGTCTCAAGTATCTATAATCATACTATAACCACCCGCAACTGGTGGCCACAGGTAGCAAGCTTACTCTCAGCTCACCATATATCCCATATCACACCGGTGAACCGATTCAGTGTATTCAACTGCGCGATATCCCAGCTCCTAAATCAATCCAGCACAGATCAAGCTGCCTTGAGATTTCAAATCATGTCAACCCCATTCTATACCCTGTCAGCAGTTTAATAGCACGCCGCGCATTTCACGCATCCGGATTCGTGGATTGTTACTCCATCGGACACGGATTGCGGAGACGGTCTCTCCGCGGGGTTGCAAATCATCATCAACACCAGCTAGGGTCTGACTTTAGCGCCGCCTGTTCCACTATCTGATTGGGCGTATGAGAGCCACAGAGGAGAAAGAAGCCGTCAATCATCCCCCGAGCAGAGGTTAATTCAATCTACATGATGTTTCCCGCTGCGTGGTGTTGAAATGTGGAGCCGGCGGTGTCTAGAGTACAAATAGCCCGCCTTATGCTACTCATACGTTAGTAGTATTAGCTCATAAAATACAAATTTTGGCCTATCCTTGTTTGTGTTGCACGTGTCGACATTCTTTTCTTAGGTGAGGATCTACGTGATATTCAATATGCGTGATCGCGCTCTTTTCCTCTCCGCCTTGCTGGCTGGACTGCCGCATGGGACGCTTGCCCTGGAGATGGCAGATGGCATAGTAGGTCTCCATTTTCCCGTAGACTACTTGTCTATGTTAAATGTCAGAGGAAGACATACTGACCAGAATAGGGCAAACTCCCAGCTTTAGGCTGGAGCACCTGGAACGCCTTTGCCTGCGAGATCGACGCAGACAAGATCATGACAGCCGCCAACCAGTTCGTTGAACTGGGCCTGAAAGACCTGGGCTATGAATACATCAACAGTTAGTCCTTACAGCCCATCCTCTAAAGCCCAGTGTACTGACAGCTCCAGTCGACGACTGCTATTCGGAGAAGAACAGCCGCGATTCGGAAACCAATCGCATCAAGCCCGACCTGAACAAATTCCCCGATGGGATTTCCGGACTTGCAGAGCAGATCCACGCGTTGGGACTGAAAGTGGGGATCTACAGCAGTACGCCCTCCACCCCGGCCTTCTTTCCCCCTACCTTCGGAGCATTGAAGCGTCGGCTAATCTACTAAACAGGCGCCGGAACGGAAACCTGCGCCGGCTATCCCGCCAGCCTGGGCAACGAAGACATTGACGCCGAAACATTCGCCGAATGGGGCATCGACTGTACGCTCCACCTTTCTCCAGCCCCATCCCGCAGTATAGTACCTACTCACAGCAGACTAACAACATCAAAAACAGACCTAAAATACGACAACTGCGGCGTCCCGCCAGACTGGGCAGACGAGTACACCCACTGCGTCCCCGACACCTGGAACGGGGACTCCCTCTATCCGAACGGCACCTGTCCGGAACTGTTGAACCCGGCCCCGGAGGGCTACGACTGGAACGAATCCAACACGGCCAAACGGTACCGCGCTATGCGCGACGCTTTGCTGAAGGTCGACCGTCCGATCTTGTACGCGCTGTGTGAGTGGGGCCAGGCGGACGTCAACGCCTGGGGGAATGAAACGGCGCAGTCGTGGCGGACGACGCCGGATATCACTGGTGTGTATTCGTTGCTCTTTCTATTTCTATCCCGACGTGTTCTTCCAAAAGATCAGAAGAAAGAAAGAAAGAAATAAAGAAGAAAGAAAGGTTGAGACAAGCTAATGCGGATTACTACACAGATTCCTGGGACCGAATCATCGAACTCGCCAACGAGAACTCCTTTTACATGGAATACGTCGACTTCTGGGGCCACCCGGACCCAGACATGCTGGAAGTCGGAAACGGAAAGCTCACGCTCGAGGAGAACAGGGCGCATTTTGCGCTGTGGGCGGCGATGAAGTCGCCTCTGATTATCGGGACCAGCGTATGCTTTATTACCCTCTTCCTTATTCCTTCCTTCCTTCCTACCTACCTTCCCTTCTGTCATTCTGTATCTACCTTCCAAAGCCAAGCATACTAACCAAGTAAAGCTCGACACAATCGACCCCGACCACCTCGCGATCCTCAAAAACGAGTACCTCCTCGCCTTCAACCAGGACCCTGTGATCGGCCGCCCCGCCTACCCCTACAAATGGGGCTACAACGAAGACCACACGTTTGACCCTGCCCATCCGGCAGAGTACTGGTCGGGCCCATCGTCTACGTTGGAGGGGACGCTGGTGCTGATGTTTAACTCGGAGGGGGAGAAGAAGACGCGGACGGCGGTTTGGAGTGAGATTCCGGAGTTGGGCGGTGGTGAGCAGAGGGATGATAGGCATCAGAGTGGTCGACGCTGGAGTAGACGGGGTCAGAATGACAGACACCAGAGCGATGTCAAGGGTAAGGGGTTCCAGGTGACTGATGTGTGGACTGGGAAGGATTTGGGCTGCATTGAGGATCAGTATGAGGTTGAGCTGGAGAGTCATGATATTGCTGCGCTGGTTGTGGGGGGTGCTTGTTGATTTCGTTGGATGTTGAGGCAGAGTCAGTATAAGCTGACCAGGCTGTGGGGTATGGAGGGTAAAATGATGCTTCTCATACACTGAGGAAATACCTACCACTAGTCAGGATACAAAATGGAATTCTGTTGAGACAGATAAATAGTCAATCAATAAGACGGTGTAAATTCGACGAAATAAATACGAGCAAAATGATGTAATCAGTCCTCGACCAACTAAAAGCCCGCAATGACGAATATATATCCCAGAAAAAAAAAGTCACCCAAAAGACAGCCAGTATAGGGTATATCTCATTATAACATTATCCAACCAACACTCCTCACCGAGAACCCTCCCAGCGAAGACAACGACACCACCTGGCGATTACCGCCACAAATCCTGACGACTGTCGCGTCTCCAGCCCCCGCTGCTCTTCGGACGTCCGTCCTCCACAGGTATGGCCAGGAACCCGCCAAAGCCGTTACCAACCAAGGTGCTCTTTCTCGCTTCGCCGCCCCAGTTGCGGCTGAGCTGCGCGTCGTGGAGACTGACGGGTCGGGTGGTGCTGTCGCGACGGCCTCGGGTCGACGGCGGTTCGTAGGGAGTGAAGTTCCACTCTAGTTCGTCCAAGCCCTTGCTGTATATATCGAGTGGGCGCGAGAGGACCCCGCTCGCGAGTTGAGGCCCGCTGTCGCCTCCCCCGAAGAGACGCGGGGGTGGCAGCAGGAGAAGGGCTTCCGGTAGGTCGGCGTCCCGGACGTACAGTTGCCGCAGATATGGTAGCGAGTTGGATACCAGCGACCCGATCAGGTAGGTATAGTAGGAGGCTGAAACGGGTGGCAGCCCGTAGGAACCGTTGGGCGACGTGATCTCGTAATGGAGTAACTCCAAGGACCGAGATGCCAGGGGCGGTACCTTCTCCGCAGGGAATGATCGGGTCACTTCCTGGACTATCGAGAAACTGCGCAGGTTAGGCGCGGCTGGGAGGATGTGATAGATGCCCGACGGCACGACACCGGTCGATGTCAGGTTTAAGGAGGTCAGAGATTTGCGGCACTCCGGTACGGAGAAGATGGCGGCAAGCCCACTTGCGGTGACATTCGGCATATCGCGAAGGGTGAGCTTCTGGACCGGAGGAAATGGCGGTAGTGCTTGAGAATCAGCAAAGGCGGAATCGTCCAGCCAGGGAAGATCGTCCAGCGTCAATTCGCGAAGCCTGGGGAATGACCCCAGACCCGCCCGAAGCATCACCGGCTCGACGTGGAGCCGGGTGAGCTCCAGGACCTCCAGATTCATCCACAGATGGGATCCTGGCAATTGGGAGAAGCTCCCTTCGGACCCCTGATTATAGGTCATGCGGCGGATGTCGTGGCAGCGGGCCATCAGCTCCTGCTTCAAGGCCAGACACGACCCGTCGTCGCTGTATAAACCCGCAGGAAGGTCGACGTAGCGCAGGTTCGGCAAGACGGAGATGGTGCGGGCGATTTCCCCTTTGTTCGCTTCACGGGTCATGTACGGCATACGGAGCGACAAGACCATGTTTCCGAGCCCCTGCGACTGCCGGACCGAGCGCATGAAGATTGTCAAACGGACTTGCGGAGCGTCAATCGGATCGCCATTGCGGTCGAAGACAGAGCGGCGTTTTCGCTTGGCAGCTAACTGCACCTCGAGCTCACAGTAGTGGACTGGGTCGATTCGAACATGGGCGTACCTGTTGCGGGGCAAAAAAGGTCGATATCAGTCAAGCAAGCCACAAGAAAATCAACTCGCTTGCAGATGAGGTGCATACAGTAACGCTCGCGCGTCCAGATACCAATGCTTGCACGCTAACGCACAGTGGGCCAGATCCCGCATGTCACAAAGCATGCAACCATCCTCCGTCATGGACTCCTCGGAGGTATCATAGCTTGTATCAACGGCGTGTGGACAAACGAAGGCGAAAATTCGGGCTAACACCGGTCGGGGAAGTTTCTTGGTATAGTCGAGACCGCGCCGGGGCACTGGGGGGATGTCATCATGGTAGCGGTAACCATCGATGCGGAGAGAGTCGCTATTCCCCGCACGGCTACGGCTTTTCGACCGCCTGCGAAATCGGCTCAAGAATCCCATGATGGGAGCACCGGCATGGGAAGAAACACTGTGAGATGACCGATGAGGTCAAAATGAGACGGGGGGGGTGGAAGGGAAGAAGTGGGGGAGAGGGGGATGAAGAATGCTAAAAGGAATGAGAATGAGGGAAGAAAGAGAGAGGCTGATTAGCGAGAAGGAGGGTGGAAGAAGAGCCCGAAAGGCAGTGATGAGCGGGGGATGGGGGGGGGGGATTTGGCTGCATGTACCCGCCAGCTCGGATTCCCAGACTTTCCCTTTGTACCTGCAATTTCTTTGGCTCCTTTCAGTTGGGAGATGGAGATGTTCCTGTCGATGTCTATCCAGTCTCCAATCTCCGCCTCCTGACGGGGCACAAGGTTTGTTTTTGTTAAATCCACCCCTGGTCGGGGTCCGTTCTTGGTCCGATCGATTCAACCCTGCTCCTCAACCTGGACACTTATTCCTTTCACAAGGGAGTATAGCTTAGTACGCCCGATCTTATTTATAGCAGCCTATCAACGGAGTGATTGAAGTGGGAAGGACTCTGATGGCTGCAACGCCCCCGTCCCAGTTAGGGGCCGCAAGAACGCGCAGGCGGGTGTTTCAGCCTGGCGGTTAGTTCCTGCGGTGGTTGGCCCACCAGGGTGGAGCCTGGTCGGGGGAACGGTCAATTGTCACCTCTTTCAACCAACCCTCATGAACATTGGTCTTGAATGGGCAAGTTGATTGAGCGATTTTAGACCGGAAATGGCCTGCTATTCGGACACCGGCCTCGCTAATCGGGGTCGCTAAAAAGTGACGTGAGAATCGGTACTACATATTTTGGGGTTCCGATATGATACTAGCTGTGGCCAGGCGAGTCTATCCAGTCCAGGTTACGGAGTACTCTGTCTCCCATTCCAACTTCCTCCATCGCAATGACCAACACAGGAATCCGGAGCCTGGAAGAGCCTGAAAATCTTCAACATTAAGCATATTCTGAGGTCACACAATGGAAGTGCCACCAAATGACTGATGGCAGTGGCAATCATGCTTTCTTGACAAACCATGACATCATAATCCTGACCTTGTTCTCAGAACCAGCCATGGTCATACCTACAGCTGTACCGAATACTTCGTAGACAAAGCATGATGAATTCAAGACTATTTATTCAATTGAAGTCCAGGCCTACTGTATTTTCTCGTCAGACGTCTTGGTTACCACGCCTAGATACTATCTTCCCTTGTAGGACTAACACACACACGACTGCCAGAGCTAAACTCCCTATACCATCTCCTCTGACATCACGACAATCGCATAACATGGCAGACGATGCACCCGGCGGAGGAAGTCCCCTGCCCAATCCCGGCGTCGGTCTCGGGTCAGTCGAGAAATACCCCAAAGAACTTGCATGGCAAACCCGGCCTCCGTATCGCGTCGTCTCGCGCGACGAGTTTGGTGAAGTGAAATGGAAAGGTGGATGCCACTGCGGCCGGGTCACCTACGAGGTGAACAGGGAGCAACCGTTGAAGGCCAAATATTGCCATTGCCGGGGATGTCAAGTGGTGCATGGTATGCGAGACCCTCTCGGGGAACGTCAATGGTAGCCTAACTCACTAACCATCTTCTCCAGGTGCACCCTTTCAGTGGGCTGCCATCTTCCAGAAATCCGACATCTCGTTCATCAATGGGGCAGATGGCCTCGCATTCTATGCCTCTGATCGCAAGACGACCAAGTACGAGCTTCCCACCAAAGTGTCGTGTGCGTACTGTCGGACCCCGATCATGGACGAGGGAAGGAACATGTGCCTTCTCTTCCCCGGGACGATCCACTTTGGTGATTCGCAGGAGGAGCAAGACGCATGGATGAAAGCGTTTGAAATAAGGTATGTGTGTGGTTTTAGCATTTTGGATGCAGATATTTGTCTAATGCAGGACACAGTTGCCATATATTTTACAGCCAGCGGTCTCTCAATATCCTCGACGGCAAGCAAAAGTGGTCAGGAATGGATGAGAATAGCGACCTTGTCGACGACTATGGGAAGAAGGTATGATACTCACACTTGAGTAGTCATACAGGCACGAAGGATATTTATCATGTAACAAAATTGTTGGGATTGAACTCATGGGCATAGTTTGTGAGGGCATATGTATTATTAAATCAAGCATTGATATCAAGGACAGACTGGGCAATTGCAGAAGCTATTAATCACATATAACTTTATTCATAGAAACACATAAGATCTATACATCTTAACATTGCTTATACTTTCTACTCTTCAACCAAGATCATAGTCATATAGAAGTCTCACCTTTGTATAGTCCCACGTAGATTGACATACTCCAGGAGTTGATTATACCTTGTTACCACTGAGAAATCTCACTCATGTTCAAATGAATCAAGAATAGTTTAAAGTAGCAATTATAATAAATTCATTAAAAAAACAATGATACATCTTTCAAGGCCCTGGTGTGCTGCATGGTTAATTTCGGAATATTACTGTAGATATATACTTCACTGGGACTATTATATTATTCACGTGTGAGTATCTATCACTATTGATGACCATGTCACACTTTATACTGGACAAATATACAAAGATGCAATTATGAAGCTATCACTGATATAATCTCTATATATCTAGCTAGTCACAGCTGGAATGGTCATTCTTGATTCACTTTAGGCCTGTTTTGCAATCTTCAGAGACGAACAAAGAAAAATCCCTGTATCTTCTGCTGGTATAAATATGACGCTGTGGAAATTCCAGAGAAGCAAGACTATCCATCCTCACTGATCCTCGAGTCAGCACACCTACTTCAAAGTACAATTTCTTCGGCCAAAAGCCTCTCCCAGTCGAAGACTACTAATAGAAAACCTTGTTTCTTCACGCAAGATGCCTTACAAATCGGAGTGGACTATCGACATCCCAGATACACATCTGGCGTCTCTGATGTTCACCTCTCCCACTCACCCCCTGTCAGACTCAGCGAGACTTCTAGTTGATACCGAGAAGCCAGACACTCACTTCTTCACCCCGGCCTCGTTTCGCCTCATGTGCCAGCGCCTTGCTCTCGGCCTGCAGCAAAATGGAATCAAACCAGGCGATAGGGTCCTTTATGCCTCTGGAAACACTCCCCTCTATCCAGTCATATTCGTGGGAATCATCATGGCCGGAGGTGTGTTTACTGGGGCCAACCCAACCTATGTCCCGCGCGAACTCGCATATCAACTCCAGGATTCTGAGCCGACAATCTTTCTTTGCTCGAAGCAAATCCTCACCAACGGCCTCGAAGCAGCCAAAATTGCAGGACTGGTCCCAAACCAGATCTACGTCGTCGACGAACTCCTGAACGGAGAAACGCAAGAGGAAACCGGCTGCCGCTGGTGGGGTGAACTCCTCGCCTCAGAGGACACGGCACGCCACTTCGCATGGAATCCTCTTTCCGCTCCAGGAGAGGCTGCAAATACGCTTCTCGCCCTGAACTACTCCAGCGGTACAACCGGTCTACCCAAGGGTGTGGAAATAACGCATCGAAACTATGTTGCCAACATCCTCCAGGGGATCCATAACTACAAGCTCGGTGAAGAGATGGCTGAGCGATGCATCATATACCTACCGATGTACCATTCCTTGTCGCAGAGACGAATCATCACGAGTTTGATTCAAGGATCTGAAGTGTATATCATGCCGAAGTACGAGCTCAAGTCTCTTTTGGAGAATATCCAACGGTTCAGAATCACTATGCTGGTGATGGTGCCCCCTGTTGCTGTGTCGCTGGCTAAGAGCCCTATTGTCAAGAATTATGATCTAAGCAGTGTCAGAATAGCTGGGTCGGGTGCAGCCCCGCTCACGAAGGAGATATGTGAGACGATCGAGGAGATGTTGAACAACCAAGTTGCTATCAAACAGGGCTGGGGAATGACAGAGTAAGTCATGAGGAGCGTATCCATTTTGATTCATTGATTCGTTGTAATGACCGTTATTCTCTAGATTGACTTGTTCTTTTCTCTTCTGGATTCCTGGAAAACATTATCCACGATCGTCCGTTGGAGAGCCCCTAGCCAACTGCGAGGCCAAAATCATGAACGAGGACGGGACGGCTGAGCTGGGCACAAACGAGCGGGGTGAACTGTGGGCACGGGGTCCCAATGTCATGCGCGGTTACTGGAAGAACCCCCAGGCCACTGCAGACACAATTAACCCGGATGGATGGTTGAAGTCTGGTGATGTCGCCTACGTCGACGAAGAGGGTCGCTTTTTCATCGTGGATAGACTCAAGGTAGGATCCCCTATGTCCAACACTGACCGATTGCACTTTATGTTCAAGATGCTCATGGATGTCCTTACAGGAATTGATCAAAGTAAAAGGTGTTCAAGTAGCGCCTGCAGAATTGGAGGGTCAACTGCTGCACCATCCCGCTGTTGCTGATGCCGCAGTCACAGGACTCAAGATGTCAGTATTCACTATCTGTTGCGTTGTCCCTGGCTGTCTACTATTAGTACTGACAAATTATTCTATGCACAGCATTGACGGGGAGTATCCTCGAGCGTATGTCGTTTTGAAACCTGGACATCACGCCACCGATAAAGAGATAATGGACTTTATCAAGGAAAGGGTGGCTCCCGTCAAGCAGCTTACCGGTGGGGTCGTGTTTTTGGATGCGATTCCTAAGAACGCTTCAGGGAAGATCTTGAGGAATGTACTGAAGGAGATGGCCCAAAGAGAGGCTAAAACATTGTCGGGTGCATCTAAATTGTGATATGACAGCAAGATGCGTACATGCGAATATCCAGATTGAGTTTGGGAAATTTGGGAAAACAATTGGGGCTAAATGGAAATGCAAGAAAGTAAGGGAACAAACAGAAGAGGCTATGAAGGAAGAATGAGAAACATCTATGTAACCAAACCATATTTATGAAAATCTAATTCTGAACTGTATCATAGTATGTAAATGCTTGTAAATGGCTAAAAGAACATTGAGCAGATCAAGTAAGAAGGATGCTTAAACAGGTAGAGGGCAGACTGGTGGGGCCAACGCAAGCTGAACATCGTATAGTACCTTAAGATCATGATATTTATAAGCAATGATTTACATGTCTACCTTGATAGGCTCAAGTATATCTTTAGGGTAGATCTAGAGGGCACACGCATTTATCAAGAGACGAACGTGGTGTATCGCAGGGCCGTCAAACCTAGCGTTCTATAAATGACGTCGATCGGTTTCCCCACCCCTCATTCTTTTCTCCTCACTCGTCCACAACTCCCATTTCTCCTGCAACACTCTTCGAGCCAAGTAGCCATTATATGTATGTATATCCCAGATATTTAGGTAACCGGGTGTCTTCCAACGACATCACCCACATCAACTCTCCCCCTCCCCATCCAACATTCTCCACACCAAACAAAAAAAACCACCCCAACCCCACCAACAACGCCCATATCAAACCGCAATTGAACCATACTAACCAACCAAACCCCCAGACCCAACACACCAATCCCATCCCAACGAACCTCCCAAATCAGACCTACAAATCAGGCGAAAAACATGTCGTGGTTCCAAAAAACATTCACCCTCCCCGCGCACTCCCGCGGCTCCTACCTCGTCACCGACGAAGTCATCTCCCAACTTCCCGAACTCCGCGACTACAAAGTCGGCCTGCTGAACTTGTTCGTGCAGCACACGAGCTGCGCGCTGTCGCTGAACGAGAACTGGGACGATGACGTGCGCGCTGACATGACCGACGCGCTGGAGCGGGTCGCGCCGTATGACCGTAAGGGGAACCTCTATCGGCATAGTGCTGAGGGGGAGGATGATATGCCTGTATGTTTTTTTTTTTTTCTCTTACTCTTTCTCTTTCGATTTAGTGAGTAGGGTGGTTGGGGTGGAGCTTGCTAACTGGTTGGAAATAGGCGCATATTAAGTCCTCTCTTATTGGTGCTAGTGTGTCCATCCCTATCTCGAATGGTCGTCTTGCGACGGGTACTTGGCAGGGGATTTGGTATCTTGAGTTCCGGGCTTCGCGGCACTCGCGCAAGGTGGTTGCTACGATTCAGGGAGAGAAGGCTTGACTTGGCGGGCCTGAGAGTGATATTGAGGGGACGAAGTCTATGATGTGATGATTGTATGAGATAGCCGGGGGTACTTGGTATGGTGAAAGCGAGGGCTGCAGAGTTATATATCAGGCAATATAATGAGAAGAGTAGCAAAGGCGATCAATATATTGTCGATCGCAATCGCCATTCAGAAGGAGTTCAAATTACTGTCTTTGTAGAACTAGGGAAGAACAAGTTTTACTCTAACTCATGGAACAGTACACTCTGTACAGGTGGTCGCCCTTGTCAGGCACATAATAGAACAAACAATCATCAACGCCAAGAAAACAACCAATCTACCGCTGCTCCAGGCCACCGTCGGTCACCCGCTGCTCCTCGTTCACCTCCGCAGCGTCGCCCACGGGCTCAAGGGGGTAGCTGGTGGCAGGGAGAGACTGGAGGTATGCGCGGTGCTTCTCCTGGGCCTGTTAAACATATTAGTTAATGTCCTAGCCTCTAAAACCACACGGCTATATATCAAGGGAGGATCATACAAAGGGCACACCGCAGTAACCGCAGGTCGCAATCTCGGGCTTGTCGGTGTTGATGTAGATTTGGGGATGACCGAGGGGACCACCGCCGCCGTCGCATCTGACGACACGCTTCTTCGTCCAGCGGACAGGCTGTCTGTGGATGAGCTCAATGGCGGCGTAGGGTTGGGGCTAGTGGAAGACTCGTTAGCATGTATATACACCAATTGACAACTGGGACCGGTCCAATGCGCAAAGCACGGCATAATGTATATCTATAGAAAGGATAATGTCAAAAAGCTCACCTGCAATCCCATGATGGTCTGCTCAAAACGCGGCCCCGTCATGGCCTGCTCCCGGGGCTGCTGGCTGGCCGCCCAGGTGTTGGCCCGGTTAGGAGCCTGCAGACTGCGGATCCGCTCGCCGACCTCGGGGTCCTCCTGGAGAGTGCCCTCGAATGAAACAGCGTCAACGGGGGTGGCATCGGTGACGGACACATTGGGGACTCGCTTGGGCGGGTTCGGATCGTTGGCTGGGTTCGGACCGGTGGCTTCGCGCAGACGAGGGGCAGTGGTCGTGTAGCTGGCCCGGGCGACGAAACGGGGGCTCCATGCGGCCTTGGAGAGGGCCGCCATGCGGCTTCGAGCGCAGGACATCATCTTCGGCGTGTGATCGCGAGTCGACGACTGGTGGGGAAACGGGGAGAGTACCGGGAGTGACGGAGGTGAGGTTGAATAATTAGCAGTTGAATGGGCGAGGTTTACTTAGCGGCCGCTCGAGGGAAGTTGGCCAATCGGCTGGGCTCCTAGGATGGTTCTGCCACTTCCGAATCTGGTTCCGCCTTTGGTCGATGTTTTTTTCGTCCTCTCATGTTCGTTGCATTACCACGGTCACAAAACTTCACGTTGTGCTTCTTTTGTTTGGTTTGAGGGTCATATTCCTGTTGCAGGTTATTATCAATAATGGCAGGCGCTTCTCCTTCTGGCTCTAAGCCAGAAAAAACAATGTCGTCGCGACTGCTCACTATGAAGGTATGTGCCTTATAAAATACGTTATCTACGCGCTTTTTACGACGACAGTCTAACAAACCGGACAGTTCATGCAACGCGCTGCTGCCACAGCCGCTGCGAAGGAATCTTCTCAAAAACCCTCGAGCACTGATCCCAATACGCCCTCACCCAAACGACAGAAAGTCGGCTACAACGACGCAACGCAAAGCCCCTCCGGTACGCCTACGTCTGATCTAGAAGCCATATCGGCTGCCCTGGCGGCTGAGGAGGAGAAGCGTCGGGAGGCGGTTACACGACAAGCTGCGGAGGCGGGCGAATCCGAGTGGGTGCTCGACTACGGCAATGACGCTTTCAATCAGTATCCGTCGCAACCGCCTGTGGTTGTGGCCGATTCGTTGGATGTTGATAGTGAGGATATGGATTATGGTGGACGCCAATCATACGGGAACTACAAGAAAAAGAACAAGAACTGGGTATGTCTTTTTTCCCACTCAATGTTGTTGCAATGCGACACGAGAAGCTAACTGCTCCGGAATGAAGAAGGCGAACAAAGATCCAGAGTCTGGAAGCGAGGAAGAGGACGACGAGGATATTGACGCCTTGATAGAAAGTGGCAAGAAAAAGGCGAACAAGAAAGACAAGGACAGGGCCCACCAGCCGGTCAGGTTGTCCAAGCTCACGTCGATATCCGGTGGGGGTCAAATTCAAGGCGGGGGGATGAGCAGATCCCAGAAGAAGCGCAAGAGCAAGTAATCTCGATGCTGTCATCTACCAAATCCACAGCCGTGTCGAGGAGGATACTCAATATGCCAATCTCCGTCAATGGCTACACGTCTGGGTTCTCGCGCTGCCGGTCACACCGATATACCCAAACGACAGGAGATGCGCAGTGTCGTCCTTGTCTTTACTGGCGAACGCTTCATCGCAAACCAGCGCACTCGGTACTATTTTGATCCTTTAGAATCTCGCGCAGCGCGCTCCCGAACAAGGAACACGTCTCCCGCCTTGACCTGAATCTTAGCCCCAACAGACGATCCTTGGAACTTCTCCGCAGGTGCATCACTTGTTCCAAAGGCCGGGATCCTGATCACACGTGAGGCAAACATGCGGAAACGATCCTTGTCGCCAGCTCTGAGACGGAGAAAATTGGGTTTGCGGCTGCGAGCAGGCTGATCAAGTAGTTCTTCCCCGAAGGGAAACCTCAACGTGGGCGGTTTGAGGATCCCTTTCGGATGGGAGCGAGGTGCATTGTCCGGGAGATCGGAAATTTCTATCTACTAAGCAATACCGAGTATTTAGTCTCGGCCAAACCTAAGCTCACCAGTAACAGTTCCACAACCACTGACCTTATTCTCGAGTATTCTGCGTATTTCACTTGCTTCTGTAAATCCAAGGTCTATCAAACTTAGTCAAAATCCATATAAGAACCAGACAGTCCACGACATACCTATACCCCTCCGAAGCGTCCTCCCCTGCCGCCGTTCCCTAAAGAAGCCACCAGAGCTCACTTGTCGCGGGAGTGTAACGCGGGCACCGTCTTCTCCCTGGAGCCTGAGACGCACAAGACTGGGGGGCTCGGTCTGTAAGTCGACCGATAAGCTGTCGCGGCACAAGCAGGGAAACGACATCAGCTGTGGTTGTACTCTGTAAGTGTACATGTGATGGAAATGAGAGGGACTGGATGGTTTGGGGAGTTTGGGTGTCATGGGTGAGGTTTAGATGAACGTTGACAGTGCGCGTTGCTGACTATGAGCAAATAATACCAGTGGGAGTAGGTAGGTATAAGTGAGGTGTCTTTCATGGTTTCTATGTATCAGCCAGATCAGACTGCACGAGATGTTTAGTAGTAGGTAATAGTATACCGAGAGCAATTGGAATATCTTATACATTGATCTACCCATAAACCCAACCCAGCACATAACCCTACAAAAACAGGCACAAAAAGAAAACAGAAAAAAAGATATCAATCACAATTTCGCCTTCTCCTCCCCAACCTTCCTCTCCCACCCCCTCTGCACCGAATAATTAAGCGCCAAATTCCAAGCCGCAACGCTCGCCCCCAAAGGCGGCGCCAGCAGCAAAGCCCAAGCCCACCACCTCGGACTCCTCCCACTAACCAGCCCCATCGCCCGGCTGACCTCCCTCTCCAAATCCCCCCTATCCCCATCATTCCAGACGATGACCGCGCGCGCAGAGTCCGTGCCCCGAAACTCCGCCTGCCGCACCTTCCCCAGCACGTCGCCCTGGCTGCGCACCCTGTTCTCCGCATCCTCGGCAGACAGGTGCGGGTCGCGCGCGCGCAGCCGCGCCATTTGCACGGCGGGGTCCTTCACGCCTACTACCATGACGGTGCCGCACATGACGTCCATGCCTGCTTCGAAGAGCAGCGGGACGTCGAGCACGACGGCCCATTGGCCGCGCAGGTAGTGGTATACGAGGACTTTGTAGATTTCTTTCCGCACGGCTGGGTGCACGATTTTGTTGAGGACGGCGCGGTCTCGTTTGCGCTCGTCGGTTGTGCCGAAGACGCGCCGGCCTAGGACGGGGCGGTTGAGGGGGCGGCCGGCGCTTGGGTCTGTGCTGGTGTTGCTGTTGTTGTCGGCATCTGGGGGGAGAAGGAGGTCGGGGGTGCTGGGTCCAAAGTATTCGACTATGGCTTTGTAGCCTGGGGTGCCTGGTTCGACGACCTTGCGGGCGAGGATGTCGGTGTCGATGATGGGGAGGGAGTACGGGGGTGCGGAGAGGATGGAGGAGACGGTTGATTTTCCCGTGGCGATTGAGCCGGTTAGGCCGATGATGAGCATTTTGGATGTTCTGGTGTGTTTGTTCGTTGTTGGAGTTGGGGGGTTGGTTTGGCTGCAGCTGATGATACTGCCGCTTTGCTGTGGTTATGGCCTGTGCGCAGTAATTGAGTGCGGATGCAAGGAACGTCCCAAACACTAGCCGCAATGCAATGTAGTATGGCTTTATGTTCTATAGGAATGCGCGATGCTATATCGCAACCAACTTATTAGTGGAGTGGATTGAGTGGGAGAATGATGATGGGGTTACAATGCGGGGAGATTGCATGATGCCGCAACCTCGGCCTACTTGTCACCGCCTACGCAGGCAAGCGCAAAGGGTGATGCTATAAGACAGCACCAGCTATAGAGACATTAAATGATCATTTGTATATAAGCGCTCCAAGTAAAAAACGCCGTCTGATATACAAGGAAATGGGGTATTCAAGTGTTTTATCCTTCGCATATTCTTACAATTCATTGGGATTTTGTCGATCCTCGCCATCCCATCACCGTACCCACCAGAGCTGTGAAAAAGCAATGCTTTGTCTGAAATGATGTTGACTTGAGACTTCAAACCTATGCACATTTGACATCAAGTGTGCTAAAATTCGAGTGAGGCCTCAGGGCTGGTGGCGGAGGCGCATATAGCACCTGTTGTTCATCTGGCCAAGTGGGACCGAAGTAACCCGCGGGGGTAGAAGCCAGCAACTCTCAAAGCGACCGCAAATTCCCGACAGCTATTGCTCTTGTATAGACCAACTGACGAACCGCTCCACGAAGGGATCAGCCCTTTGTCACGGCGTCAATAATTAATGATATGTCGGCAGTGCAAATCTGACAAGCTATGTAGGAAATCACGCCTCTGGAAGACCACCTGCGCTGGGATCTTGGGGCTGACCATTCCATCCAATATGGGGCCAGCCCTTTGGTAGAGAGGAGTAAGGAGGCAGCGCATAGCGATCATCGCACTCGCCTTCATCGGGACAATGCAAGTTGCACATTCCAAACACCTTGCAATAGCATTCTTCCGCTGTTGGGCAATAGATGGGTTCTTTGCCAAAGATCACTGCCGAGAAGTTAGCACGAGTTCACCAATCCGCAATTCCACCAACGGTGTCGCGTCAGTAGGGTAGGAAGTAAACATACTATGCCACGAGTATTCCATGATGCGTCCACTCAGCTCATCCGGAAGCGTCGTCGTCGCCAGCCAATCCCGGAACCTAATGTAGTCGCTCTTGGGTCGCTCGAGGATCTTCCACCGCGTAGCACCAAACTGCGCGCAGCACGACACCCCTACTTCCTGCGGCACTGGCTCTCCGGGAAAGAGCTCCATAAATCCGGTTTTGAAGTACTCGCCGGCGTGGACGTCATTTCGATGGGTATCCGTGAGCGGGTGGATTTCGACGGGGCAACCAAGCACCCAGGCGCAGCGTAAGTTCACGTAGCCTTGTTTCTGAAGGTAGGGGACCTGGAACTTTTGGAGCATCGGGACGCCGTCGTAGTAGGGGTCGTCGTTGTGCCACTGGAAGCGCTGCGAATGGATGAAGAGGATAGACTCTGGGAGATTGTCGTAGTTATCGATGATATACCTATGGATATGCACTTGTCAGATCACGTTAATAGCCACAAGGAACTGAATCTCTCACGTCAGGTAAACCATCGACTCTCTTCCCTTGTTCTGCTTCACCGTCAGTGGCGCGTTCTTGTCGTCGACCACGTAGAGATTCTTGTCCCAATCCGGAAAGTTCTCAAACAGCCAAGACACATCATCACGTTTCATGCTCGCCACCACCATGGCGTTGTCGGCCTTTCGAGAGGGGGGCCGCTGCGACGGGGTTGCCATCCCTGACCGCGGGTCCCGGTATGGCCCTCTCTCCGCTGAGCCATCGTGCGTGAACACTGCTTGTTGTTGTCGGCGGTCCGAGGAGTTTGCGAAAAAGAGGAAGTAGATCGCGCAGACGAGAACGATCGTGAGGAAAATGGCCTTCTCTTGGTTGCGACGGCGGCGATTCGAGGGTCCGCTACGGCAGCAGAACATGGTGGCAGTGGATGTAATGTTGCGGGTTCGATTCGGTGGTCAGATCGGTGTTTAACAGGTCTTTTGGTATATTGTTCGGCGTGTGTTAGGTGAACGAAAGTAAAACCATGTTTAGGCATGCGTTGGAGATATGTGGCTGGATGGCCTGATGCTTTGCAGGAGCGGAGAACAGTTCACTGCCAGCCTTTCGAAGGGGGGGGGGGGGGAAGATCAGAAATCAACGGTGTGGAATCATCCAGAGTAATCACGAGGGTGAATTGAAGAGGAGGCAAAGACCGGCGTCAAGAGATGGGAATTGAGGAGATGGTTGGTTGCGTTGCGAGTAGTTTTGTGTACGAGGTATTAACCAACAACCAGCTGGCCGCTTTTAGATCCTACTGGGGGAGCCCTGGAGGAGTGGAGCCCGCGATCTGCACCCGCCACTTGCGCAACGTAACAGTAATGAGATTAATTCTCCTGCCAAGATCTACACTTTCATCCACCATTGTTAACCACACAGTCACATACATCAAGTTATTCACAGGTGTCGATTTCTACAAAGTACCACGTATGCGCTGGAATACTCATGTCTAACCCGGACCCCGCGTTTCCTTCATCCGAACCCACTCCGTCAATCACTTTGATATCCGACGAAGTGACCTTCATGTCGTTTTCGGTGGTGATCCAGTACTCCGGACTGGAATGTGTATATCCCAAGATATGACTCGGCAGCCGGGGGACAATATCGTTCGAATGAGTAACGCGGTAATTCGGTCCATGCGCCGTGATATACTCCGCCAGCTCGGTATTTCCCACCCGGGGGGAACCATATGTGTACTACCAGTTTGATCAGCCGGTGGAACCGTGATTAAACAAGAAAGACAGAGATGCATGGTCAGCGAGCAAGGGTGACACGCTTCCGACTCACCAGCTCAATCTTATATCCTGCATTCCGCAAAGCGACCGCCCCCAACGTCGCGAGGGCAGCGCCGTAGCTATGCCCGGTGAGCGTCACGGAGTAACCCGGACGGGCCTTGAGGGCCAAATCAATCTCCTCTGTCAAGTTCTTCTCGACAGTCTGCCACGACTTCCAGAATCCCCGATGTGCACTGCAACCGAGGCACAGCTCATCGTTCAGTTCTTCCAGGACGAGGTCCAAGTTCGCGATCCAAGTGCTGAGACTCCGGGTGCCGCGGAACGACAGCACCAAGCGTTTGTTAGTCGCGTCAGCGGCCAGGAATCCAGCGACGTCGCCGTATTCATATCTCCTGCAACCCCTGATCAGCTATCACCTACCAAGATTCCAAGGACTAACGCACCCGTGAAACTCAGTAAGGGTTTTCGTGTCGGCCTTTTCCACTGTTGGACAGTTACCCTTGGGGCACCGCACTTTGGTCCCGGGGGACTCGAGGTTTTCGTCGCAGTACGCTGCGGCAGCATACTCTGCGAAGAGAGTAAATTCCTTCAAGCTCTCAAGAGACACGTCTGCGGCAGTCAGTCCTTGAGGACACGAAATCGATATCACGCTTACGTACCCCGAGTATCCAGCTGAGCCGGTACTGCTGCGCTCAACGCCGCACAAGCAACCAAGCACACGCAAAGTATGCCACCTGGTCCGAACATGCCTAACGTAGAGACCGCAATACGAACAGAAATACCCAGAGAGGAAGAGCAAAGGGCGCGACGAGCACGAAAGCCAAGGGGTAAAACAAAGGGCCCCTCCCAGGCTATTGAATAATACGTATCACACCAGAGCGCTTCGATCGGAGCACCAGTCCCTTAATTCTTCGATCGGGCATAGAGATGCAGGCAGGGTATTCTGTAGACTGATATACCACAGAGCCAGCCCCCTTTAAGAAACTCGACAGGGAGCCAATCCCCCGACCATTCTACATACCACCCATCCACCCCTTGGTAGGTAGCATCCACACAGTATCAGACGCCCTCAACCCTTCACCTCCAACGAATAAAAGCTCGAAAGAACGAAACCAAAAAACATCAACTGGCCTCTCACGAGAACACAAATTAGCCAGCCCGGTCAGGGTGTGGCTTGATTACATTCCCTCCGTGCTGACTCCATCGTCGAAGTCAAGAATAGATCGGACCTATCCGGTTACCCACATAGACTACTCGATCATTGCATCCCCGGATGTATTCGTACCTGACAGTAAGATAACCGCAGGATAATAAGCCTGGACAAATAACAATCCAGCAATGGAACCTGATCATTGGAGAGGGTCTCGTGCCGCTGTTTGAGTGGATGGGGACTCATCAGGAATGCCCGTCCTGTAAGGGTCAAGATGTCATCTGCCAAGGGTCATGCTCGGCGCTGGGGCTGGACGATCGGAGCGATATGATATTATCGTTTGAGTTGGCACGCCGATCATCTTGTGCCATTGTCTCCGAGTTGTTGATACTATTGGTGCTTGACACATACCCTAGTGGTTGTGTATCGGGATAGTATCTAGCTGTGAGCAAGAAAAACTGTACTAACTGCACGAGTAAACAAAATAAACATTCCAGGACATTGACAGACCTTGGGTGGGGGGGGGGGGGGGGGGGGGGGCGACCTCACATTCCCAGAGCCTACTTTGGTCACAACAGGCATCAAGGTCGTTTGGATGGCGTCCCCAACATCTTGGTTTCAAATGAAACCTGTGGAACGGCCAAAATAAGCAATTCTCTACGTACTGAAACAGATGGGCATGACCTACGATTCTACCTTTTCCTTTTTATTTCCATTTCGCAGCGATGACTAGTTGGTTATACAGGTCGGCTGACCGATTGATATGGGCCTGCGGTCTAAGGCGTGAAAGACGAGTGTGATTAGTAGGATGGCACCCTGCCTTTACTTTAGCTTTGCTGATCTACCTTGCAACTTCCTACAGGATCTTTACCCTAGCCATCATGAGAATATTCAATACCCCGTATAATTCGCTGGATTTTACGAAGATCACCATCCTCTAGAAAATACACCAAGACAGATATATCGCTCCTGGAAACGCCGGCCTAAGAAAAAAAAAAAAAACAAGCAAGCAAGCGCAATAAGAGAGAAGACAGACTTTCAATCTGCCAGTAGCTTGAGCTACCCTCACTGCGCAGTCTGCCCTCCGGTCTCCTGCCCATCTGCATTATAATCCGCCATGCCTTCGTCCTGGCTATCGCTCTGTCCAGCAAGCACCTTGGTTTTCGGGGGCTCGTTATCAGACAACGGCGTCCCAGGGGTCGCAGCAACGACGTTGTCGTTCTCGTCGACGAACTCGAAATTGTAGCGCGAGAGGAGATGCGGGATGGCGGAGAGCTGGGGGCCGTAGCGGGCGGTGTTGTCGTATAGCTCGAACAACGGGACGGCGAGGAGTTTCATGTTCTTGGGGACGGAGAGGACCTCTGCAAAATTAATTAGACAAAATCCACACATGAATGACAAAGACACGGGGTCGGAAAGAGACATACTCTTCTTGGGCAACTGGATGAAATAAAGCTTCTTGCACTCCTTCGGCCGGGTAACGTGTCCAGGCAGGAACGGGTACATGAAGGTCTCGAAATTCGGCCGCCACCACTGCGCCAGGGTGTCACCGATCTCCCAATCCTCGTTGACGCCTTCACCCGAGAACTGCGACCCAACAGGCGCGAGACGCTCATTCAGCCGCTTCTTGAAGCCGTCGATTTCCTCGTCCTCAAAGTTGAGGTAGTCGCCGGGTCTATATTCATCGCACCATTAGTATCCACCCATGTCATATAGTATTGTGCATGTCAAACATACAGCTTGAAAAAGGCATTCGCGATCTGCAGCATCAGGACATGCGGGTGGTTGTGTTCGTGGCAGACCAGCACGCCCTCGCAGGTCCGTCTCATGCCGTGGATGTCATAATGCTCTTCCAACCGCTTCAGTCGCGCCAGGACCGATGGGTCTTCCTCTGGTTGTGTTTCCTTGGTGCCGAATGTGTAGTTGGACAGAGGGTAGAGGCGGATCGTCTCTGGTTGTTGTGCGGAGAAGGTCTTCGGGGTGATGGGGCTACTCGAGTATCGCGTTAGTATGGCGCGAATGAGGGGATGTGATACGATAGCTTCAAGAGAGGACAAGCTCCTTTTGTAGGTTTCGGGTGCTGGATGCTGGGGTCAGGTCATCCTCTGGAGTAACTTACGGGTGAGAGCTCTGCATCGCTGTTTCGGTGGCCGTTGACATTCCGGCAGTGCTGTGATATAATCTGATGGAATTGCTGGTTCTGTTGTAGGAGGGACAGAGAATAACTAGGTAAGGTGAGCCACAGTGGGCTTTGTTGTCACTGCGATGCGGCGGGTTGGAGATAGTACGGAGCGGAGCATGGACGGAGCTAGAGGTGTTGCTGCGCGCTCGCGAAAACATTCAGCCGCCCCGAGGTGTGTACAGCTCTATGTAGGTCAAATGTAGTACATACTTACAGCGCACGATCTACGAATCAGTAAAGGCCATCTGTCCAGTATTCTAGTAATGAAATTTGGTATTCTACTTCTACACATTGTTCAAAGATCGAATCTACTTGAGTTCGTGGCACCATGATCCTAATGCCCCACCGCCATCGCCCACACCCATTCCCAATTCACAACACCGAAACAACATTAAAAAGGACCCATTGGGGAAAATTGTTGCAACATGTAGCAAAAGATGTCTATCTAAAGTTTCGCATCAAAATCTTCATACTCGGTGAGGTCCGTAGCAGGGCTGGGACCCGCGCTGACAGCCAAGCGGGCCTTGAATTCGGGGACGTTGGTAATGTAAGTCGGGCCCTTGCCCTGCTTAGAAGCATTGGCCGCTGCCGTCGAGTTAGTGTTGTCATTATCGTTCTTGGACACGAGTCCGAGTTGCTTGAGATGGAAGCCCAGGTTGCGTTCCGTCTGTGCCATCACCAGGTTGACTTGTTGCTCCGACAGGCTCATCTCGCCAATGAGGAAAGCCCTGAAGGTATCCAAGACTGCGTTCTCGTCACCGGTCGAGATGTCGAGACCAGCAAACGCAGCGCTCAAACGATCCGTGTCCACCGCAAAGCCGTCGACCTCCAACTGACTGCCCAGCAGCGAAACCAACTTGGCCTTCTTCTCCTGGGGGCTGGCCTTCGTGCCACCCTGGGCGTTCAGATGGATCGCGAGCTTAGCCCGTGTGGGGGACGCGGGATCCGCGTACTGCCTGTAGAACTCAATAAGGTCCGACTTGGTCAGGACGCGGACATTGGCAGCGTCGTTTTCGTTCTGCACAAAATCAAAGTACTCCGAGCCAATATGGTTCCAAAAGCGGGAAGTCTCGGAACTCAGGTTCTTCAGCTTCTCCAACCGCTTGTTAATAAGACTGCGTTTGTAGCCTTCAAACTCGTCTTCCGACATGTCCTCTAATTTCCTTCCAAAACCACGTAAGAAGTTGTTGATCCGAGATTCCAGATAGGCGGCTGTGCGCTCGCTTTGAATGATCACGCGATAGCCAATGGCCGTCGCCGCATAGCGGGCGCCGCTCCACACGACGTATCCAAGCTGCTCCTTGCTGCGAAGCTGGTCGAAGGCGGGCTCGTCGGTCATCTGGGCAAACAGCAACAGCTTCGCGCGGAGAACGTCGTCGGTCATGTCACCGATGGAGAGATAGTACTCGATGCAATGGTTGACATTGTCGGGATCCTTGAGGGTGCGCTCGTAGACATAGTCCGATCCCGGAGGGATAACCATGTTGCGTCGCAAGTTCCATTGGGACTGGGGCAAGGGGCGGCTCTGGAGGATCTTTTCGATGGAGTCGGTCATACGAAGTACATCCTCCTTGTACAGGTTCCCATGCGCCAGCACCTCGATGTGATTCTGACGGAGAATTTGAGGGAAGAAGCACGAGATGTCCTCGGGTTCGATGTGCTCCAGCTCAGCAGCATATTGCTCGTTGGTCCAAGCTTTCTCTGCCGTCAGATACCGTGTGAAGTCACCGACTTGGTAGAATGGCTGCTGGTACTCGGAGTTCTTGTAAGAACGAGACAGGCGCTCCTTGATGACATGGAATCTGTCCTGGTTAACAACCAGGTCACGCATGCTCGTGAGGACCTTGTCCAAAAGCACGGCCATCTTGTCATTGTATCCACCGACCGATATATCGAGTCCGAAGATGCTGGCAGATAGGTGGTATTCGAGGCCGGCCAATTCGGCATCGTAGGAGTACTCAACCAGAGCGTCCCGCACCAGCTCACAGTAGAATTTAGACTTGACGAGATTCGCCGGAGTAGCCCACACTAAGGGGTTTCGGAGCGTGACATGAACGGTAGCCTTTGGGACCCAGAAGCGGTCGTCCTTCTTGAACCACAGCCGCACATGGTCATCGTGGCGGATGAGCTTCGGGGTCTTGGCCGGCTCTTGCACCTCCTTGCGTTCTACCGAGAGCCTAGTGGGAACAAACTCGTTCTTATGCGGCATATGCAGATCGGGAAGTCTAGTCTCTGGGGACGTAGCCAATGCTTCGTGGATATCGGCCATGAAATCCTGGGGAATCTTCTCAACCTTGTAGTCGGTCCCATACCACTTCTCCTTAGAGTCCCAGTCTCCCGGGTAGTCCTGGGCAACGATGGTCATCCGGAAATTGTCGGCTCTGAAATATGACAGGGCTTTCTTGATAAGCTCCGGGTCGTACTTCCTCATGATTGAGCCACTCAGCAGCCAACCTCTGGGGAGAGGCTTTTGCATCACACTGCTCAAGCGGCTGGTGAACCGACTAGCGGGCGATTTCTGCTTGAAGCGGAACTCCACCTCGGCAAGGTTCTTCATCTCATCGAAGATCCACTGCTCGGGCTCCCGTTCCTTGATCATTGCGATGTATTGGAACACCACCTTCACCACCTCTCGATACTGTCGCAATCCCTCCCGGGTCAACCGAAGAGAGACTGTAAAAAACGCAGCTCCGGGGCAGACGGGCATGACACCGGCCGACAGCCCATTCGCCCAACCCTTTGCCTTGACATAGGCCAGGATACTGCCGGGTCCCTCGTGGCCAATCAAGTGACTAATGTACCGACTCGGCTGGGACTCGTACAGAAACTCCTCGTCCAGGAATGGGAAGTAGATATCGACCGATCGCGAGTCCATAACCGGCTTGGCGAAAATCTGCTTGCACATGTCGTCCTGCGTCCATGGTTGGACATCATCCCAGCGATTCTGCGGAAGACTCTTGTTCTGCACTCGAGAAAACAGATCGCTCACCCACTGCTCCATCTCGTCCAGTGATTCGCGGCCCAGAACCACGACCTTCATCCGGTTCGATGAATAGTGCTTCTCGTAGAATTTAATGAACTCACTCCGAACATCAAGCCCCCGCTTCTGCGGCTCTTCCTTAAGCGTCTGCAGGTTGCCGGTGGAGAAATGATGATAGGGATGTGCGGGATTCGAAAGGGATTTGTTCAGCTGCATTAAACGCCACAGGTCGCTCTGAAGGTTCTTCTTATTCTCTGAATCCACCGCTCTTAGTTCGCGGTCCAGGGTCGACTCCAGGAAAAGAGGAGACACGAAGAACTGGGAGAAGCGATCCAGGGCGCCATATAGGGCCGAGGTCGGGTAATTAGAAGACGACCCATTTACCGGCAACTCTGCATTCGCGGGTGTGCTGTCGGTGTCACCATTCTGGGCCGAGCCGCCGTTGGGGGCCCCCTCCGTCGGCGCGGTTGCCGATACCTCGAAGAAATAGTTCGTCTCTGTGGCGGCCGTGTATGCGTTGGAGGAACCGGAGTTCGAAGCGAGGAACTGGTTGTACGCGTTTTCTTTGGGATACTGCAGTCCAGGCACGGCAGTTAGTAGTCTGACATGTGGCGCCCAAGGGAAGGAGGGAGAGGGGTCCAAGACCCATGATTCGAGGGCGGCATACCTTTTGTGTTCCCATGAAAAGCAAGTGTTCTACCGCATGCGCCACACCGCTCAGATCGTCGGGGTCTGAGAAATTTCCCACATTCACGTTGACCGCAGCGCTGGCCTTGTCTGTGTCGGGGTCGTGGACCAGGAGGGCTTCGAGTTGATTCGGTAAGCGGATGACGCGATAGGAGCGGTCATCGAGTTCGGGCTTCTCCAGCTGCTCGGTGATACGTTGAATTGAGCCCATGGTGATGGGTCCGGTGGAAAATGAGGCACGGGGAGTTGAAGGAAGGGAATGGAGATCGCGCGGCGAACTGAGCCGACGAGAAGGTGAGGACAACCCGGGTGAAGCCGACGAAGAGAAAGAGGCAACCGCCACACGCGCCCCTGGCCGAGTAATCGAGCTAGAAGCTGAGCAATCCAGAAGAACTCTGAGGTTCCACAGCCGCGTTGCAGGGGACCTTGGTAGTATCATCCAGAGAAGGATGCAGGCGGAGGTCCAGTTTACCCAAAGTCAATGCAGATCACGCAAGGGCGGAGGTCAAGTGGACAAGGAAATGTTGGGTGACGTGTTAATATCTAAAAAATAAAAATAAAAAATTGGAAAGAAAGGTAGGTCTTAAATGAAAAGAGATCGTGACAGAAAATGGATTGTAATGGAGAATTCCAGTTGGCTTGGACACAAGAGTCGCAGCCAAACAAAGCGGTTGAGGGATGATGACTGATGCAATGCTGTAAATACCAGTGAGATGCGGGAAGAGTGGCGGAGACGGAGACCTATCGGGGACACGCGAAGTGAGAAGGCGGTGAAAAGAGAAAGGAAGGGATGAGGGTTGACTGGCGTTTTTATATCTGACCCAAGGAGGTGGTATTCACTGTTCTACTGTCAATTAGTATCCTGTCAAGTGAGTGCATAGAGTGAAGGTCATCCTGACTACCTGGATATCATCACAATATATGTCATCTTGTGTGACTTTCATCTGCCTTGGTGGTGAATTATTACTACTACTGGATCAAGTTATATATACTGGATGATACAGTGACAAGAACATGTCTAACATTCCAAGTCAGAATGCAGAACATATAATTTCCAAATGAAGAAGTTACTGTCTGATCTATGGTCTATGGAAATCTACACCAAACTCTAGCGATGCCTAGACAAGCTCAACCCTATATTACCCGAACGGGGCATATGTCAGATGTACCTAGCCTGGTCAGCCATTGGGACTTGCAATAATAGCTTCCTGTCTTTGTTCAAAACATATCCAACTTGCATTCCACAGGGTTGTTGTACATAATCCTTGTATACAGAATGGGCCCTGAACACCCAGGCTCGGACAACAACCCGATCCATCGGCATCTTCAACCGAACGGGATACTTCATGCCCGGGTATAGAACACATTTCTTCTCCTTCCGAAATGCCACCAACAGATAAACTTCATAATAACAATACCCAATCTACAATTGTCGCAAACAGTATAACTCAAAATGGACATCGCCGAATCCCTCACAACCACACAAGGTCTCCAGACCATCCACTGCATCGACATGCACACAACAGGCGAACCCACCCGCATCATCTATGCGGGGTTCCCCAACCTCACAGGCACGCTTCTCTCGCAACGCGACCAAGCCAAACAACACCATGACGACGTCCGGAAACGCCTGATGCTCGAGCCGCGCGGTCACGACGGCATGTACGGAGCAATCATCCGACCGGAGACGGAGCTGGTGCTTAACGGAACAGCAGACATCGGGGTGCTGTTCACCCATAACGAGGGCTACTCGACGATGTGCGGACACGCAACCATAGCACTGGGGCGATTTCTTGTCGACACGCATGACCGCAGCGTGTTTCCGCGGCGGGACCAGCTGCGATTCGATCCCCGCACGCAGACTGTCGCGGTCAATATCCACGCGCCTTGTGGTCTGGTCCGGATTACGGTGCCAGCTACGGTAGACGGAAACAAGTCTGATCCTGCTCGTCCTGTGGCGTTTTTCTCGACGCCGTCCTTCGCCACGGCGCTGCAGGTTGAGATGCCCGTGCCGCCAGAAGTGCGTTGGCCGCAGCTCGGGGCGAAGGGGTCGATTTTGCTGGATGTTAGTTATGGTGGAGCGTTCTACGCTATTGTCTCTGCCTCAGAACTCGGGTTTGCGGGTCTCCGCAATGTCGATCTGGATGCTGTTACGGCCTGCATGCAGATGCTCATTCCTTATCTCAAGAGCCGGCCCGAGATCGTGTCGGCCATTCAGCATCCTGATGATCCACGACTCTCGTTTCTGTACTCTGTCATGGTAGTGGATCAGGCTGTGGGGCTCAAACCACAGGACGTGCTAGGGAGTGAGACAGGTCTCTGTTACTTCGCTGGCAACCAGATCGATCGATCGCCTACGGGATCGTGTGTCTCGGCCAGGATGGCACTGGCGCATGCAAAGGGCCTGCGCGGTATTGGACAACGCTGGGCTTATAATTCACTTGTGTCTAACCATTTTGGCACGGGGGCATTTAGCGCTGAGATCGTGGAGGAGGTTGAGCTGCAGGGGGCGATAAGTGGGAAGATGAAGGGCGTTGTTGTCCAGGTTGAAGGGCAGGCGTTCTATACGGGTGCTTCGAGCTTCATGGTAGAAGAGGGTGACGACACTTCGCGAAGCGGGTTCACGATGGGCAGTGTTGCATAGAAGCCTACTGGGGTGCGCGCATAACACTACATGAACTTGCTAGATGGCCGAATTCTAGATTCAGCGTAATTGATATAATTTTGATAGTGGGTATCGCATTTCAATGTGCTATTTTGCGCCAACGTTCTATTCATGGATACAGAACGAACGTAGCATTCGAGAAGAGCGACAAATGCTTTGACTTACTATTGATACCTACAGTAGAGTCTGCCACATGTCAAGGAGACACCACCAACCCAGACGTAGCGAAGTACAGCTCCGCCCCTTTCTTACTCTTTGCTGTGTAAGTCACTGCCGTCTCGAATGGAAAAACTACTGGTGCAAAGGTGAAGCTCGATTGCTCTATCTAGAGCAAGACCATTTTGCACCATTTCAATATTCTATGGTGTCAAGATATTCTTGTCCAACTAGCGTTTAGATAAGTATGTGTAAGTATTAGAATAAGCTATATTGGTCAAAGTAGATGATCCTAAAGATGACGCATCATTTCTACTGCGTCCTCAGACTGAAGACCGGGTCATATCACTTTCTTTGTATGGACTGGGACAGCGCATACCGAATAGGGTAGATAAACCAGCCTTCGCATCACTTTATGCTTCAAGTGACTGCCTTGGACAACAAGAATATATGATTTTCTACTATGCCAGCGCTAGGTTGAGTAGTCACTAGGTAAGTCAGTATCCCGTACGAGTCAACACATGTTTCCTGACTTGTCGTTCACTTTCATACCCTCATCATAGTGTCCCGTGGACCAACATTTGACAAGCATCCCCGGTCTTCACTGATATAATTAACACATCATCTTGATGTCACCCACAGTCCTTGTCATATATGGATTATATGCTGGTGTGCTTGGAAGACACCCAGATATATTGGTAATGCTTGAGATAAAACAAGTCACAGGTAAGATGAGGTCATTCTTTCTCTTTGTACCACTCATCTTGCCCCTCCCCCGGGATCCATATATCAATTGTAGGGCTGTCACAGACGATGATGGCATATATGATGGTCACCTGGTATGGTATTCTACTCCCATTGTTTCCGGAAAATCCCGCTTGCCTGTGATGAACAGTTTCAAATGCAGCGATCAGACAGCAGCACACCTATCTAAATGACAAGGTTCATTTCTTCTGAAGCGAAGAACTTTTTATCTGCTACGTAGTGGTGCTGGGGGGTCCAGCGAAGATCCAGGGAATGCCTATTATTTTGGTTTGATAGCAGCCATTGCCTAAACTGGCCTCTGCATTAACTTCATAAAATATGTCAGACCATTAATGCCTCATCACAGACGCACCTGTCAATCCCCGTCAAATATAGTAACAATATCCAGCGAGTTTCTATTTTAAAAACTACAGCGCGACAATCTCGGACCCGTAGACCAAGACTGCCTCCGATAACAATGGCTCATTAGGTAAATAGCCACGTCCATCCCCGAAAACTATGTAGGCAGCAGGTTTTCCTCGTTCACGACTGGAGGGGGGAGCCGAACGATCTAAATATCTTCTGCCGACGGGGAGGCTGTGCAAGATCTCGGCAAACTACCAGCCCAAGGATCATTTTAGTTAGTTACTTGCCTAGTTGGTAATTACCTGCCAAATCTTAACCTAACGGTCCACAACTCAGCTCCCCGGGCTTTGAAGTAGTAATTCCGGGTAAAGACATTTGTGTGTACCCTTAGACAAGATCTCACTTATCACTCACTTGAGTAGTAGGTCCAGATACATTAAGTTCAATCGAGCAAGGGCGGATGCATCTACTCCAGATTATTAGACAGTGACATCACCAAACACGGGGAAGATCTCCGCGGAGAGCCGGGGTTGAGAGAAAGCATCGGGATGTCAACGAAAATAACCACCCACGTATGGCGATCAATTCCAGAAGCCCATTGAATTGTGGCAGTGAACAACAACTGAAGAGTTGGGCAATCCCCGCAGGCAGACTTGTGGTCCAATAGACAATCAGCTGGCATGCACGTCGACACAGCAAACGGCCGTCATTGACCAGGCAGCTCCTTTCGCTGGTCAGAGATTGGCACTATCCCTTGTGGATCGGCGTTGCACAGGGTTGGCTGTTTGGGTTTGCGACCCTTGGCGTGGGGATCTCGGAAGGGCTTACCAGCGTTCAGTCGTTGTAGATCTCTATAGCCATGCTTGTCAGACACGTCTGTGAGATATTTGGGGATCCCGAAGGCGATTCATTTCTTTGTAAAGAAGGCAGACACTAGTCTCGGCAAAAAGCAATTATCGAGTGTGTATCACCACATCGCAGATATAAATACTGGCTAGTTGCCCTCTGATCAAATTCATCATCCTTATACTCTCACAAGCTTACTACATCACACTATCACTACTCTTCTACTAATAATTCAAACCAACCTTCGTCAACCTACTCATCCGCCATCATGCGCACCCAACAACTGCTTGCCCTCTCCGGTCTCATGCTCATGAGCAACGTCGTCGCGGGCGCCGAGCTCGAGAGAGACGACGTCCCCAGCCGCTGCTGGCACGTCTGCGGTCCCGTTGTCGCCATCGCGCGCACATGCGACAACGTACACCACGACAACGACCGCGCTGAGATGGACTGTATCTGCGACTGGAACAAGACCAACAAACTGGTTCCCATCTGTGAGGCCTGCATCGCGCAATACCGCAGTGACCGGAAGAACCGCGACACCAACCGCAAGGACCGTGACGACGACGACGATGACTGGGACACTGATGATGAGTATGACAATGACCATGACGACAAAGATCCTCATGACAACGGTTTGTCCCATCCCAACCTTCCCCTTCTTACATAGTTGAAATATACTTTACTAACAACCATACAAAGATGCCTACGATATCGTGACCAGCTGCAACCTCAAAACCACCACGTACAACTCCGCCGCTGCCACCAAAGCCGCCGACTCTGCCTCCAGCAGCGGCACTGCGGCCGACACCATGGCCACCCCGACCGGCTCGGCAGCAGATTCCACCGGTGACACTGCATCTGCGCAGAAGGCTCGAACGACCGAGAACGCAGCTCCAGGCACCGTGGCCCCCAAGGCTGCTGGCGCTGCTGCTGTCGCTGGTCTCGGGTTCCTTGCTTATCTGTAAGGGGTGTTGACATACACTACGATACTCCACGGGGGTGGGTTGTGCGAATGAGTTGGAGCCTGGGAATGTTTGTGGCTTGTATACCCAATGCACTCTTTGATGTCTGATGGTTACGAGACATGTGTACCTTTTTCGTCACTCTTTGTACTTAGTTGGCAATTGATTAGTCTATTTTCAAAGACCTAGCCTAGTAATGCTGTAATGGTAGGTATAAACATTTCGAACAATAAAGATTCATACACTATTATTTCTATCTAAGCCAGGAACACTCAACGAAATCATCTAAACTCGCACAACCAACCCATTCAAGACCTTCCACCCAGTAGAACGACCTAGACACCTCTCATACTCCCCATACCTACAATTCAGGTCCAGATCAAGGGGCAGACGCCTCCTGCGCATTCCAACTCGCAAATCTCGCCCCCTTACCTCGATGACGATAAAGTCCAGCAATCCAGACGCGTGTAGCGGTGGATTGCTGGACAGGTGCCCCGTTTATCTCGTGGGACTGACGTCGTCGTAAGAAGGGCTAACTCTGATATTGGTGGTATTTGGGACGTTATCCATGTATACGTATACATCGTGTTTAGCCCGGTGTGCTGGTCGTAAATCCAGTAGGTTTGAAACACGTGTACTGGGGAATGGGTGACCTCAGTAGATATTGATATGGGTTGGAAGGAGATGAGTGTAGGTAGAAAGAAACAAGTCGTGTTATTTGTTGTTACTTGAGGATATCTCGACTGTCATCAATATAGCTACGTATCTCACCAGCCCATCAGACATATTTCCACGTCATCGCAGTGTGCTGCAGCATTGCAAAGTCAATATAGAACTGCATGTCTAACAGTGGAAGTGTACCGGGTATCTTTCGATACAATAAGTATAACTTTTTGATATAGCCTCTAGAGATAAATTCGCATTCAATCCGGTAAAAGCATCAACCAGAACGTTTTTCCAGAAACAGCCATTATATATGCTCAAAAATCCATCATAAATCAGCACTCCCCAACCTCAACTCTAAACACACCGAATGCTATCAAGCCTCAACACCACCCAATCCCAAGAACAAGCCCGAAATCACTCATTGTCAACAAAAATCCACGCAATCAATTCCAAAATGCAACACCCCTTCGGAGATCAGATACCCCAGAGCCCTTGCATGGACCGAACCAGACGAGGCCAGTCCCACAGGTCCTCCCAGTTAACCGGGCAGTTCACCAGTCAACCAGCGAACCAGTCAATTCTCGTGTCTTGGGCGAATCAGGCAAGACTTCCATTTCTCTTTTCTTTTTTTTTTTTAAATCCGTTTCCATAAAACAAGGCGCAGCATGATTGATTGAGTGATTGATAATACACGTTATTCCCACCTAGTACCCCATCCAGCGCCATCCCGCCAAACCCGGTAACCAACGTAAGAAGAACACCCATTATTATCTGGTTCAGCGGGCCATCCCGAGAAAACCAACTGTAAATCTGGGTCTGGTGTGGGAGAGGGGGTATGGTTTGTCCCCGATCGCATCCATCCTTGGTTCCGGTGCGGGTTTTAGTGGGTATATTTGCTTATTGGTGGCGTGCATCGCCTCGATGATGATGCATATAGTAGGTTTCTTTCTTCTTTATGTTCGGTTTTACCTTCCTTTTTTACTCTCTTTTTTTCTAATATTCTTTCTTTCTTTGTAGTGTCGTGTGGCGAGGACTAGCAATGGTAGTATGTATGGTGTGGTCTGTGTGGAAGGCTGGCGGGTTGCATGCATGTATTTCTAAAAAAAAAAAAAAAAGTTAAAATAATATCCTTATTGCAGGCCTAGACTCAGTATGGAATCGCTTACTTGCTCTTGTATATCACTGATCAGATTGGTCTTTGTACATGTCAGTAGGATGGGTTTACAGCGCAGATTCGATATGCAGCGGGGAGAGAGACTGCATAGCTGCCGGATAGGGACTCGAGAGAGCATCGGGCAGTCTGAGGTAAGGTAAGAAAAAGCATCATCAGATATGTCGTGTCGTGCGCTCTTTTTCACCGCTTAGGATACACTACCTTCGTGTTGTTCCTGTTTGGCTGTGTGCTTTTGTTTACTGATTCGTTGTTCTTTCTCGGCTAGTTGAGGTCTGAAAAAGAAAAGAATGATCGCTTGCTCACTACTTCGTATACTAGTAGTAGGTAGGTAGTATGTATGGAGTACGAGGTACTCCGTACGAATACTACTAATAATATCTCACTAGACGACTGGAAAAAGAGATACCACTCAGGTTGTCAAGAGACAGACAGAACAGTCCAGCCGATCAGATACGTCGACCCGAACAACCCGACAAAGCGGATAGAGAGTCGTCGCCGTGAATCTCAACGCAGCCATACAGCCCGACATCCATCATGAATAGGACACCGTCATGCATGAATTGGCTGCGCAGACGGAGTCGGGACGGAAACCTCGGCAAACCTGAAACCTTGTCGCTCTTGCGGGCCTCAAGACAACGGATATCGGATCACGTAACGTGATATTTCCCCCTTTTCCTGCTGCCAATCAGCGGTCAGGGGAAGCTCTTCTTTTAGTTCGTTCTGCGCATTCCGTAGTGCCAATCGCCCACCGAATATCCTCGATTAGTACGGACTATGGAGTAGTGCTGTATCTTGGGAACAGACTAAGAATGTTCTATGAGACACTTTTTTTGGGGAAGAGGGGAGGGGAGGGGAGCTAGTCGTTGGTGCCGGGATCAGCTTGGTTGATGTGCTTCCTCGAGCCACCACCCGCGCCACCACGCCGGACGCAAACGCCAACGCTTCCAGCTGTCCGTTTAACTGCAAGTACTTTGTAGAGCTGAAGGTAGCTCTGGATTTGGGACATAGCTTACATGACGTTCCGGGTCTCAACGATGCAATTGGGAGTGCGAGCCACAGGTGACATGTCGGTCCTGCGCCGCCAATGCTTGCTTCCGAGTCGGTCAGAAGGAAGATCGACCGACTCCTGTAAGAAAGTACTACAGACTGAGACTAGTCTACCTGGTAAATTACATACAGTAAGTGAGTCGAGCTCATAAGACCCGCTCCCTTTTTTTTTTTGGAATTATCGAAACGCAATGGTAGGAATCTGACGTCTCCATCGAACAGGTTCTGGCGACGCTCTAGTGGCTTCTAGCTTCGGTGTTAATCCTAAACCGCCACTACATACTTAGCCCATCCCACTCCCCCCATAGTCCCGAGTCCGGTTATGAATTGGGGGGCGAGTCAGAGCGGATCCCCTGACAAGTTTAGAATAGTCGGGGAAAGACGGTGTCTGATCGTTATTCGCTCGGGGATATGGGCTTGTTTCCGAGCCGCAATTTAATTGGGAGCTTCAGGGGTAGCTCGTAGCTATTCATCTGTTTATTCATCGTTGCCCATCAGCTTGGGAACGAGCTATCTGAGTAATACTACTAATCACCAAGGCAAAGGGGGATTAGTTAGCAGATCAGATGGAGCAGAGCCAAGTCGAAGTTATGAAAACCTCATTTGGAGCTACCTCGTAGTAGGAAAGACTCAGGGGGTGTCTGGTGTCTGCGTCTCAGATTGATGGGGATGAGTAGATTACCGCGTGACGACAGTAATAGCAGGCGTGATATATCAGCCTTTCCCAGTCTGGCATTTGATTGTCTCGCCGTTATTATAGAGTCCATACTTTAGTATTGCCTAGCATATCCAGACAGAAACGTCTTTGAACTCGCCTGACTGTTTCAGCCAACGAACTCCAGCATTGATATTGTCCGACCTCAGATACCTTAGAATTACACCGGAAATGCACCCTTTCCAACCCACCAAGCTTCCGCATCGCATGGGTCGATTCCATCCCAAAGGAACTGACTTCCCATCCGGCGGGGTCAACGGATCGACCTTACCTTCGGGCCGACCAACAAGCCAATAGCGATGATAGTGGCCCTGAGTCGAGTCAAACCATACCATTGGGGGGTAGAATCCTACCTAAAAGGGAGAAGCAGCGTGTGGGGACGCCTTTAATTGCAGCGGGAGCTCTCTCCTGTTCAAAAGGGAAGTCGAGCCAGGAAGTTGACGGACTTAAATAACTATACCCACTTGACGACGAGACGGACCCTCCTTCACCCCCGTTGAGCCCACTCTCTAGTGATAGTTGCTGTCGGTGGGAAAATGAATGACGTTGGAGGTGTGTTGGATAGGATGGGCTTTGTGGAGTGCTTGGTAACCTGGGTTAGACTGAGAATTACTCTGTAGAAGTCGTAGGTGGTAATGGGTTGTGGTTGTGTCGAATCATTCTCCAGTGGGCAGTAGGTAATCTGGCAATGATGCCGAAGTGCCGTCAGTAGAAGAAGATGGAGCATGGTAATTAATTGTATTGATGGTGATAGGAGAAATCATGGGACGTTTTTTTTTTTAAAAAAAAATTATCAGTATTCCTTATATATTTCTTCTTGTTATTTTGCATTAGGCAGCATCCGGGTCATTGGTGTTATTGACTTCATAGCAATTTTCTAAATCACAATAGGGAGGGATTGGCCCAGGAAGGAAGCCAATTCCCCGTCCTGTCCCCAGCTGAAAGAGAGGGGCAGAATCCGAAGCGGGGTGCGACGAGTCTGGTTTCAATGGTTTGATGGTTTGTAAGGGACGGAGAGACATTCTAAGATGAGTATGAAACAGCCGGTAGGGGAGGACTCGAGTGCTCGAGCGTTGACCTGGGTTCGTGTCTAGGGTAGGAGTACAGGATATATAAGGCGTTGTATCCGTACCTGAAGGGTATGGATACAATGACGAGATAAGATCAACAAGACCCGTGGTGTAGGACCTTGACTGTCTTGACCAATGGAAAGAGACATTTGAAATGACTACACCATTCGAGAGCCAGGGGTAAAGCAGAGGACTGAGGAATGGCAGTGATCATTTACTGCGTCCTACCTATAGTGCCCAGGTACTGACAGACTGCTATGAAGATGCACGGTTGAAAATCTAGTACTCGGTACAATACCATGCTTACCGGATAGATACTGATATTGAAAGG